AATTCCCCCGCGCACTACCACCGCGGACCAAATTACGAGGCCCAGCCAGTATTTTTGCAAGTGTGTGTGCGCCAGGTGTCCCTTTGACGAGCCGCGGAATGTTGCATCTGATCAATGAGTGCGAGAGAGATGGACGATACGAGGGCGGCTTGGCAAAGCCGAGTGGTCTCCTTTGACGTGCCGCATCTGCCCAATGAGTGCGAGAGAGAGAGACGACAAAACAGCGTATCGACCACAACAAGATGAGCCCTGCTCCCCGTTTACGGCCGTTCTTTCCCGGGCTCACGCTCGGAAAGCACTTGGGTGCTTTTGCCGGCAACGGAATTCCCCCGCGCACTACCACCGCGGACCAAATTACGAGGCCCAGCCTGTATTTTTGCGAGTGTGTGTGTGTGCGCCAGGTGTCCCTTTGACGAGCCGCGGAATGTTGCATCTGATCAATGAGTGCGAGAGAGATGGACGATACGAGGGCGGCTTGGCAAAGCCGAGTGGTCTCCTTTGACGTGCCGCATCTGCCCAATGAGTGCGAGAGAGAGAGACGACAAAACAGCGTATCGACCACAACAAGATGAGCCCTGCTCTCCGTTTACGGCCGTTCTTTCCCGGGCTCACGCTCGGAAGCATAGAGTACATACATATAGTTGTAAAGGAAATGGGAGAGCTGGCGCCATGTTCTGCTCGACGAATTCCGAGCCCGGTGTGCGCCGAGTGTAGATTGACTTCATCGGTGCGCCAGTAGATAGCGACTCTATTGTCCTCTGTGGTTAGTGGTTACTTTGCCAATTTATTTGTTTTGTAAGGTTATTATCACATAATTTAGACATTATTGAGACCCAAAAGGTACCCCGCGTAAAACTACTTGTTATTTTTGGTTAAATCGCCTTTATCGCCGTAATATTCATTAAGTAATTCAGTCCATTTCCGACTTCCGTTGTCTCATATGTGTCATTATGTGTTCAAACTTCTTCTCATTTTCAATCAACTATGCTAAGTTGTTTCTGACTGATCAGTGGCTTTAGTCTCAGTTATCGCTTATGGCTTGCTATGATGTCACTCAACAATCTGCTGAAAGTGAGTGTGAAGCGGAATTGGACCCCAGGATTCGGGTAAGCTCATACGATATGTAAGCCCTACGTTGTTTCAGCTTTCCAGTTGAACTGAAGAATGATCTCCTTCCACTGCTCTCAATGCATTGAGGCATGTTTTATTTGTATTATTAGTTGCTATCGCAACGCATTAAGGTCGTGGCTATATGACATCTCAATTTGCCTACTGCATTGCTGCTGCATCAGCAATATACCTTGAGTAGCTGGACATAGTGCAAGGTACACTCTCCTACAGGTATGGACAAACGGGGTGCCGAAGTGGCAGCGCTGAGAAAATCGGCGATCGAGTGACGTATGAAGTCGTACCGTCCGTTTGCCGCGCAGGCCTTTGCAGTGGTACTCTCGATGCTGTCAAATCTACGCGTTTTGACGACTTTCTAAAATTCCATTTGTCCATACCTGTAGTAGAGTGTACCTTGGACATAGTGTGAAGGAATAGGTTACTTCTCTTCAGAAAGAATAAATTCACTTAAGTCTGAATTCTACATCCTGATACATGATGCTGCCTTACTTTAAATGTTAGTAAAGGAGGTGTGGATGTAATAATTTAACACATTAACACGACCAAGGCATGTTGTAGCCTAAGTAGTAGTGCAGGAGCCGCACTTTCATGTGCTGGCTCTGAACAATGTTCCCAAAAGTTCCTACTTGTTCTTTAACCTGAATCAGGAATCAAGTGACAGTTTAGGGTTGACAGTGAGTTAGGAATCGTGAGATCTTATCTCATGGACAAGCAGATGAATCGGTTTACAGTTTAAAATTCATTTGCTGGTATCTGGCATCTGACACTGTCTAAAGAGAAGAATATCGTCAAGTGCTGGCACCTGATGCCAATGCTGATTCATTGAAGGAGATATCCTGTAAGAAAGTGAAGTTAAAGGAACAACCAGGATGATATCTAGAGCTTGAACTGTGTTTTCGATAAAATGTTACAATAATAAAAACTTCATTCAAATCATCTTATTTTACTTCCAAAATCGATTTTCTGCATATATAAGTGAAGCAAATGTGTAAAATTGGTACGTGATAGCTCTTCAAGGAGTATGAACGATTTCAATTTGAGCTGTACTTAAGTAATGATACTAATCATTCACTCGGAAAAGTTTGATTTCAAATCTGGCCCAGGCATGGCATGGAAGTGCAAGAGGATATTTTTAAGCTTAAGGGACTGCACTGAGGCCTAAGGTCTGTACTAAGAGACTGTAAACAGGCGACCCTCTATTAATTTTGCTTTTCTCTCCATTTTAGATTGAGCTAGAAAGATTGAATAATGCCACAGACAAGATTAACAAATTGGAAGTTGAGCTGGATGTAAGTGTTCTTCATATTGCTCTTAGTTATATTAAATAGTTCAGTTTTTCATTTGCTATCTTGAGCAGTTTAAGGTGAATCCAGGCCTAGAACTTCGCGATTTGGCCACCACGTCGCGCTGCTCAGAATAGCCGTATATATTTGCCAAAATAATAAAAACCGTAATACTTATTCAAGATTGGGGATCCAGGGGATATAGCAACATACTTGAGGAACATTAAGTAAAACAATCTTCTCAAAATTCCTAAAAATAAAGTCGTAACTACGGCGGAAAGTAATTCCCATTGCGGCAATGGGAGAGAGAGAGACAGAACATGAGGGATTCGGTTGTGCGCTCGGCCGCCGCCTCTGAGCTGAAAGTTTCAGCCATACCTTCTCTGCGCTTGTAATTCTAATTGCCAATATTTTTGGCTCAAAAAATTGTGGCGGCGGGTCAATTCACCTAAGACGTCTAACGACAATCGTGGATGAATTGATCCGTCAAACTCTCGCTCAAAAACCGAGAGCTCCGCACCGGCACTTTTCAGCGCCGTTCGTAGCTTCGTGGATTTGAGCGAGGGTTGCCTAAAATGATTGATGGGGACGATGAAGGATGAAAGAAGAACGTGAAATTTAGCTTCACTAGAAACAAACGAGCATCAAATAAACTCTCTCAAATAAGCTCTCGTCCTTATCGTCGGGAAGTCGTTACCGGACTGCCTGATCACAGTCCGGTCGCGCGCTGGTTGCCCGAGAGCACAACTAGCGGCCCCCTCCCGATCGCTGCTCGGCACCGCGCATGTGCGCCATTCGGTGCTTCTCCTCTCTAGCGGCAGCGGGGAGTATCACAAAATCAAGCAAAAAATAATCTATATCTTGTGGATCTGCTTTTTGTAATTTGAGGAATATTATTTCAGTAATCGTAGAAATAAAGTGAAATTCTCAGTAACGACTGGTGGCGCTATCTCCAATCTTGAATTATCCCTAATCGAACCCTGGATTCACCTTAAAATACCTACAAACATATTGATGGTGAGGTTGCCAAACTAGGTATTTCGGTTTGCGACGTTGCAGACTTCCTGTTAGGTATACTTTCTTTTATAAATGAAAAGTTACTCAATGACAATTCTTCAAAACTTCTGTGACTTTTCACTTTGTGGGAAGAAAATTTTGTGAAAACTATGAGGAATGGTGTCGATTCGTTCTCTTTTAAAAAAATAAAATGGGAATAGAAATTGTATAGCATTATGAACGAGATGCGTTGTTTCGTAGTTTCACTAGGTATCAATATTTTTCCTCATACTTAGCTCATTGTTCTGACCTCTCTATGTTTTTGAGTAGATTTTATTTGCCCATACTTAGACCCTACAGAGGTTTCACGTAAAACTCTCTCCACTTCTACGCGATCAGCTACTTATGGTGTGTTTTTCAAGTATGAATTTGAATTCCTCTCATTCGATTAATGATCTGCAAATAAAAAAAAGTTTGTTTAAGACAGCGTCAAACTCACTATGCATTGAAGATTGCATAAAAAATACAGTGCATTCCAATCCAACCTGCAAAAGTATTTTTTGAAGTTATGACAAATGACATCTTTGGGTACATGCCTCCATTTTTAAGTGTCTGATATTCTGAAAAATTCAATTCAATTTATTTATTTTCTTCAGTTTAAAATGTACAAAAATAGTTACAATCAACTTCACTCATCCGTGAGTTCAACTTGTGTGGATGAGTCAGTTATACATGTTTAATTTAAATTTAAATTTTTAAAACGATTACAATGTTAAATAAAATAAAGAAATTTGTATCAAAATAGTTTACATTTGTTTTGTTCTTTTTAATTTATCTAGGTTAGATTCAATATCTAGGCCCTCGTTCCAATTTCACCTGTTTTCACATACCAGCATAAAAAATTTTATTACAGAAATGAGTTAGGTACAATTGGATTGCACTTCGCGAAAAGGAACCAAGAGAATTCCAGCGTCGCCATGATTGTGCAACTTGAATCTTGGCCAGAAACAAGTTGCAAAAATCCAGCAACACTGTAAATATTTTATAGGTAGACCAAAAATGCAAGAGTTGAAAATTCAGAATGAAGCTTGCAAACTCACTTACAACTAGTTAAAATGAAAATTGATTTTTCAGAAGCTTTTCTAAATTGTACAAAAATTCCATCACATGTACAGGCAAAAAACTTTTTCATATGAAACGCCAAGGGTTGAGCTTTATAATCTCTGATTAAATTTTTTGTTTGACTTAATTTGTAAATTACAGGAAGCCAACACAACTTTTAGACTCTTGATGGGAGAGTCTACACGAAGACTGAAACTCCTTGCTCGAAAACTTGGTAGCTGCATAGAAAAAGCGCGACCATACTATGATGCAATTGAAATTGCAAGACAAGCTCAACAGGAATGTCAAAGAGCAGCTGAAAGATTTCAGAGGGCTAATGGTGAGTCTCATTAACTTTTCGCATGAAGAACTCATGACCCCAAATTCTGTCTCTGGTCCAGAGGCTTGACCTAAATCTTTGGCATTTGTATCACTGTTTTATTGATGGCCACAGTACCAAACTTTGTAACTTTCTTGCGGTGATTCAGATCTTCACTCCTATTTTATTTTGTCCAAGTGAAATAAGCTAACTTTCTAACTTGAAATTCATACAGAATATTCTGCCAGCCGAGTGAAAAATCGAAGAAGTTTTCAAAAAACCATGTCAACTCGTTTTCCAAAGAAAAAATAAAGTATGATAGGAAGTCCCCTATGGAGGTATGTAGTTTTGCCTTTCGGCCATTGATATTACACTTCGTATCAATTGAATCGAGGTATGCGAAAACGCCGGATGTCCAAGACAGTGTTTCAGAATTTGGGTGGACAATTTCATTGTAACTTATCGACACAAGATGGTTTAAGACATTGGGAATGTAGAACAATTTTATAAATAATCCCCTGAGTGTAATTAAACACTTACAAGAGATTGATCCTATTCATCAGTGTCATGGGACAAAAGAAACCCACTGCAATCAGGAAACCCCGTTTTGGACAATGGACGTTTTCGCATACGTCAATTCAATTAAGCGGGTCATTTTTATTTATATTAAATGATAAAATTACTCTACCCACAAATTTAAATGTAACTTCTTATCTCTACCAATACCATTTTTAGCTTTATCTAACCCTTAAAGTTAATTTACCTATAGTCCGTGTGAAAAATTCCTCCAGCGTATTTTAATAATTGAGGCACTGGATGCGAAAAGGGCACTTCTCGGTTGCAGTGTTTCAGATTCTCCTCTAATATTTAATTCATTGTAAAGAAAGTGAATCCATTTCACTAAAATTGTTCCTGAGTATTCCTTATGATTCTACAATTTTCCATGGGAAGAATTCAGGAATAACCATCCATTAAATTCTCCTCCGAGGAATTAAATACCAATAGAGATTCTGAAACACCGCAAACGAGAAGTGCCCTCTTCGCATCTAGTGCCTCAATTGTTCACTTCCAAGTGAGGATTATATATATGGCATGCTAAAATCCCACTTGCTTGTTACAGAGTTACATCAAGAAGCAAAGCTCACTGTTGCTCACGCTGAACAGAGGTTCATGAGCAAGCAGAATGAATGGGAGTTTGACAATGCATGGCAAGAAAAATTGAACAATGCAATTATCAAGGTGGGCTAAGGATTTCAACAGTCACTCAGGGGTTTTATTCTTTCTGTAATACCACTCCAGGAGAGAGGGTTTTTTAATATTTAGTTTGAATGGATTCTAGTATCATGAAAACAGGGTTGCCACAGTCAGAGATAACCAGGAAATGTCAGGGAAAATTCATTAAATCACCTTCATTTGCTTTCTAGAATGGGTTTGAGGTTTGGAACAACAAATTGTGCACAAAAACTATTTTCAATTATGCCCTCTTAACCATTCGTCACATCTTCAATTGTCAGGGAATTCTACCAAAATTTGTCCGGGAAATCAGGAAAATGTCAGGGAATTTCATTTTCTAAATTCAGTGGCAACCCTGTGAAAAGAAACCCAAAGAAGAATCTTAATTTTTATTTTACTTGATTCATCTGATGAATACTGGCTTTAAATCAATCTCATCAGTCTCATGGAAAGCGTTGAGCAGAAAGAAACCAAGTCACATCAGCCATCGCTAAATTTAATTGGGTAATTCAATTTATTTACATGAAAACGGTTGTGCAGATTTTCGTGAAAATTTCAGGCATTTTCTGCTTGAAACGAAGCAAATTCCTTTAAAGTTTCAAAGGGATCCGGGAATTCAAGTATTCCGGAGTTTCAAGGGAATCCTGGCTTTTAATCAGTCTCATCAACTAGACTTGGACCGCGTTGAGCAGAAAGGAACTAAGCCACATCAGCCATTGCCAAATTTAATCGGGCAATTCAATTTTTTACATGAAAACGGTTGTGCGGATTTTCGTGAAAATTTTAGTGCATTTTCTGCTTGGTACAAAGCAAATTCCTTGAAAGTTTCAAAGGGATCCGCACAATCGTTTTCCTGCAAATAATTAAAGTACCCAGTTAAGTTTGGCAATAGCTGATGTGGCTTGGTTCCTTTCTGCTAAACGCTATCCATTTGTAATGTTCGGTTGTTTCCTTTCCCAATTTTCAATTGCAAAATTTTGAAATTTATGGTCGATTTCACTTTTTTTTTTACCAAGATTGCCCTACGTTATGTTCAAACCAGTTTCTTAGAAAGTGCTTTCAATAGGTCAAAGGAAAATCATCTTAAGCAAATAAAAATATTAATGAATGCTTTCTCTGAATACTAATAAAATGAGACAGAAATTTGAAGTGCCACAAATGGTAGTGCATGATATCTCAGTGTTATCATTTTTATGTCAGGGTTTATTTCATAATTTTTTTTCTCTTACTTGTATTTTAATTTACCTATTTGATGCAGGTGACAGATGCAGAGCTTATGAAAACAGAAAGTGAACGTGAACATAGGAAGAAAGCATCTCTGTTTCATGCTGCCGAGCAAAAGGTATGGATTTAAGTATTCCCAAATTTATCTGGAGCCCCTTTACAGAATATCAAGCAGACAAGGGAAACATCCATCAACAAAAAGTTTGAGTGGCCATTTTCTATTTCTTTATCTAAAAACAAAATTTGAGTGCATTATGCAATTAGGGACTCCTATTTCTGACTTTTCCTTCAAAGTTCCTATCTGCATAATCCAAATAATGGCACTTACAATGTCTCTCATCCAGAATTGGTGGTCTCTGTTTGCTCAATATAGTCTATTTGTGACTGAATCTGTGAAGGCTGACCTAATCTTCCAGTAGAAAACCGTCCTTAACTTTTTTCAACGTCTTTCTACAATCCAAGAATTTTTGTCTTGGAACCTAGGACTAATATCTCTTTCAATTTTTGAGAATTTAGGGTCAAAATTGCACCATAAGTTCTAGATTTTCTTCCTCCATACGTTTGCAACAAGTTGAGGAGAATTTTCTCATTTGGAAGATGAGGTCCCTTTCTACAGATCTATACGGTCACATTTATACTCGAGTTCTATCAAAACCAAGCTAAATGATGATTCAACTAACAGATTAGCCAACGGAAATCACAACCAAAAAAAAGAAAAAGCAGTCAATGATTTTACACTCTCTTTGCTGGAAATGCAAAACTCTGCATTATCATGCATGGTCATATTCTGCCGTGCTAAAGAAGAACGCCAATGTTCATGAACGTGAATGTTCATACGGATGAACATTCGAGAGTTGCCAAATTTCCTTCGATAAAATGTTTATTTTTGAGGAAAGTTACCAATATTTTTCCTTTAAATTTTAAGGAGCTTTAAAACAAAATACGAGCAAAATTCTCTGAATAATTGAAAGGAAAATATTCATAAGTTTACTAGCGAATTCGTGTTTTATTGAAGAAATTTGGAAATGCCCGAAGGTTCATACAGCGTTTTTCCTTAGCACAGTAGTATTGCTGTAAGGAGTTGATACCTTGCAATGGCTGAACTCTTGTTTTAAAACCTTGTTTTTCAACATTGAACTTGTTAACTCAAAAATGGCTCTTAACCATTTGCCCTCCTCTGGGTCACATCTGGGACAGCTCAAAGCTGTTGATGGAACCGTTGGCAGAATTTTTCGCATTTGGTGATTGATATGCTTTGTTAAGTCTAATTGTAACGTGAATTCTATGTTTATGCTCTTTCGCCTTCAATCTTGGATTATGAGCATTAATTAGGTCAGATTTAGGTTTAATTCTAGAGAGATTTTGAGGTTTTGAGCAGCTGCAAAAATATCCAAACACACTTTTGTACTATTGAAAATTTGAAAAAAAAAAAAAAAAACTTGAATTTTTGTCCTCTCAAAACAGAGTAAATTGTGTCAGGTTACTCAGTAAAAATCAAGCGGATTTTAATCACAAAATCTGCTATGTAGGTAGCTGGCTATTCATGTATAATTTATAAAGTTTTACCCTCGTCCCCCCCTTTTTATGTTTTTAGCAACTTGTTTTAAGCAAGACATTTTTCCTTTGCTTGTTATCAGGCACAGCTATTTGAGCAAAAGCTGAAGTCAAATATTGCAAAATCAAGGCCTTATTTTGATGAGAAAATGATCTGCGAACGGCAATTGTCAAATCAAAAACAGCGCATTTTAGAATTGAGAAAAGCAGTGACAGAAGCTAAACAAGAATATGCTGATTCTCTGCGAAGACTAGAGGATATCTCTGAAGAGATTCACATGAAACGTAGAATGAAGGTAAATCATCATAATGTTTAGACTATTCCTATGAAAAATCAAGCATTATTTGAAAATCAGTTTTACGGAATCCTTCTCAAACTTCATGAAGCTTGTTTTGAGCAAGAAACGAAGAATGAGGATTGAAGATGGCACTGAGTGCCAAAAGGCCTTAAGGCTTCAGAATATTCTGATAGAAATAATATTGTAGAGTTCACTCCTCTTTATCCAGTATTTAACCTTGAAAATAATTCTAACTCTCCCTCAAAAAAATCAGAAGGTGAAGGTTTCTGCCAAAATCGTAATTAGTCAGATTACAATTGAATCGGCTCATGCGAAAACCGCTAATGTCCATTTTCTCTTATCTTGAGTAAACTGCAAAAAACTGTAGAAGCCTTTTAAATGCGGGATTAAGAAATGTTTAGAAGTTAATTATTACAAGAGTGGATTGTAGAAAAGGATCCCTAACAGTTTCCAGCTCCACTTCTGTCTGGGACAGAGTAATTAAAAAGAAAGGACTCTGAACATTAGCGGTTTTCGCATGATACGTAAAAATCGCCGAGTTTTGGAGCAGTTTGATACTTTTAAAATTCATTCTAAAGATATGAAAGCGATAGATTATCATTCACATAAAGTTGGAACAATAAAATTCTGGACAATTGCGGTACTTAAAATAAGTTTCATCATGAAACTACCAGCAATAAACTGGACTTCAGCGGTTTTCACATGATTTGTGCGTGGATGGTTCTAAAACATCGAAAACGCATATTTTTCTGTATGCCTCTCTGGAAAAATCAGGTGTGCTCCAAGTATTTTGAAGCGTTGAATCCGAATATGACCTCCGTTTCTTCCCATCACCGTCCAATTTTCCGGAAAAGCCGATTTCACTCGGAAAAATGACCATTTTTGGGCATTTTCGGTGCTTTTCCAACTGTTGTCCCCTGCAGAATGTAGGTGTAATTTTTTTAGCTACTAGATTCAATTTTGCCGATGTCTTCTTAACTTATGAGTCCGGACATGACCTTAATTTTTTCTGTTCACCTCTCAGTTTTCCGGGAAAGCAACTTTTTCCCGAGAAAATGAGCAAATTTGACGTATATTTGTCGTGCATGCAATTTATTTTTATAAATTTTCCTGGACCCGTGGTAGTATGTTACTTGTGTATTTTGAGCTGCTGAAACCGAATATGACCTTGGTTCCTTTCTATCACACTTCAGATTTCCGGTAAAGCCGATTTTTCCGAGCCTAAAATTGTGTATCGTAAAAGCTTTGCCGGATTGAAGTGTATTCAAAATTCATTTTAAAAATGTCTCCGATGTGTGATACATCGATTCCTTTGTATTTTGAACTGTTAAATTCAAATATGATCTCAGATTTTTCCGATCACCCATTATTTTCCCGAAAAAGTCGCTTTGCCTAAGAAAACGCTCTTTCCAGGTATTTTTGCGATGATTTTTCTGCTGTACAGAAGTTCAAAAATCCTCTGGTGGGTGATAACGAATTTCTAAGGTCATATTCGGGTTTTTCAGCTCAAAATACATGATAATCACACATGCGGAAAATGTTATGAAAATCCCTGGAAGTGGGAACAGTCCGGAAAAGCTTTTTGCCTGGAAAAATCGGACCTTCTAGAAAACAGGGGGTTTGTCAAAGATGAGAGAAGGTCAAATTCGAGTTCAGTGCCTTTTAATACAGCAAGAGAGACCTGAAGAGGATCTCGGAAAATTTCTGAAACTCCTTAGAACAGGAAAATCATCGCAAAAATACCTGGAAGGAGCATTTTCTTAGGAAAAGCGACTTTTTCGGAAAAATAATGGGTGATCGGAAAAATCTGAGATCATATTTGAATTCAACAGTTCAAAATACAAAGGGATCGATGTATCACACATCGGAGACATTTTTAAAATGAATTTTGAATACACTTCTATCCGGCAAAGCTTCTACGATACACAATTTTAGGCTCGGAAAAATCGGCTTTACCGGAAATCTGAAGTGTGATAGAAAGGAACCAAGGTCATGTTCGGTTTCAGCAGCTCAAAATACACAAGTAACATACTACTACGGGTCCAGGAAAATTTATGAAAATAAATTGCATGAACGACAAATATATGTCGAATTTGCTCATTTTCTCGGGAAAAAGTTGCTTTCCTGGAAAACTGAGAGGTGAACGGGAAAAACTAAGGTCATGTCCGGACTCATAAGTTAAGAAGACACCGGCAAAATTGAATCTCGTAGCTAAAAAAATTACACCTACATTCTGCAGGGGACAACAGTCGGAAAAACACCGAAAATACCCATAAATGATAATTTTTTCCGAGTGAAATCGGCTTTTCCGGAAAATTGGACGGTGATGGGAAAAAACGGAGGTTATATTCGGATTCAGCGCCTCAAAATGCAAAAAGATCACTGAATGTCGTCCAGGAGACTTTTTTTATTTTGGTTTGTTGTACAGTATTATGAGGAATATAACGAAAGATGGACATCAGCGGTTTCCGCATGATTCGGACCACGGCCTCCCCTGAAAAAGGGCTTCAAACCTAAGGAACAAACATTTTCACCACACTAATGAATGTGTCTGACCTCCGAGAGTATTTTAACCCAAAAATCTCAAAATTGAAAAAAATGGACATTAGCGGTTTTCGCACAAGCCGATTCAATTATAGGAAGTACATATAAAATTACTTGCTTAGGGTCATATGTTTGAGCTTTATGTATTATAGAAAATTTAAAAGTACAACAATTTTGCAGCATAATTACAAGGATTTTTTTTTTTTAAATAGACAGGCTTTCAAAAGGCTTAATATGGAAAATTTTTCACTGTTTATGATGTTCAATTCAAGGTCTCCGTAAGACCTCACTCACAGAAAAAGTCTCGAAACCACATTATTAAAAAACAAGCGTGCTATGCCAATCACTTTGCTAATTTTGATGGTCTTCATTTTTCAGTCGGGCAATGTGAGTCCGTGTGGTGTTCGTGAACCAGGAGTTGGAGCAGAAGTAAACGATGACCGAGCATCAGATGACATGGCAGCCTGTTCAGCGTTTGCGTATAATGGATACTTCCAAACTATCGACAATGCCTACAATTGTGATAATATGAATGATTACACCGTGCCATATTCTTCAAGTAATAACTCCATCTCAAGGAATAGTCTCGATTATGAAACCGAGCTTGACAAATGTGATAAGAGGAGCCTTGCGAGTGTCTCTGCCACCACTTCATCTGCTGTCAGTGAGATTGATGAAACAGAATGGGCTTCATATAGAGAGGTAAATTGTTTTACAATGGCCAAGGAACAGTAAGACTGCATTTCGCAATCAGGAACTATTATTATATATTAGAATATATATTACTATCAACTATTATTACATTACATGTATGTATATATATATACATTAGGAACTAACTAGCTCATCTATAAAATCTCCTATGTGCATAAGGAAACTTATGGTGCATTCGTTGTCTTTAATCTGAGCTGGAAATTGAAATTCCTAATTGCAAAATGAAGGCCTATCTTGTAACTGACGATTTTACTGGACGAGGAAAGTTTGCAATTTTGTTTACACTTTACAGCGTCATTACAGTGCTTCTGTGCAGAAGTCGAGAAAACTTTGAACATCAGCTTGAGCATTTTATACTATCAAATGCAACAAAGCCTCTTTCTCATTTGTGGTGAAATTGTCACCTAGGCGATATCGTTTTTTTAACTTAACTCTGTTGCTTAAAAATCTAGTCAAATTTGTGATTACCAATTGTTTATCTTGAGTGAATGGTTTTTTTTCGTTGTTCTTTTTTTTTCATGCATATTGGTCATAACACTTTATTTTTTGGTGATTATGAAGCTATGTCTTTCCTTTTCAGGACCTGGAAATGTTGAAACAACGCGTGAAAGAGTTAGAAGCAATGCCTAATGAAGAACGAGGAAGTATCGAAGGTGAAGCTGTAGATAGCTCCGATAAAGATGCCGAAGGCGCCAATCAAAAAATGAATAAACTGAGTCTTAGCGAGACTAGTAATGCAAATCCTACGGATCAAGCCCCTAATCAAAATAATTCCATCATCGTCAAGTCTGAAGAGGTGGCAAGGCTGGTAAATTAATCTAAAAGTCGAGTCATTTTTTTTTTTTTATCAAAGTAAGTCTGTGTTATTCTCGATTGTCTAACTATTAAGTTTTCTAAAGTGTATAGATATTTAACCTTTTAATATGTTCTCGGCTGCAACTTTTTGGCTTTCATTTCATTTGTAGCCATGGAATGCACAAGGGGCTGTTCACAAATTACGCCACTTTAAAATGTGAGGTTTTAGTTCTCCTCTTTGTCATGCATCTATTCAGCATGTCTGCACCCCCTGAAATATTACGATACATTGCATTGTGTGACGCAATAGTCGTATTTTGTTTGGTGTAACAATTGTCACTGTTTTGCAAAAGTTCGGAACATTTCTATTTTGTTTGAGGGTAACGAAAAGTTAGGGGTGGGGCTTATTTAATTGAGAAAATTTTTTTGTACAATTTGGCGACGCTGTCATAGCATTTTGATGCGCAACAATCGGAACGTGCTCTGAGCAGGTTCCAGAATTGGTTACGGAGTTTCTAACCTCACTCTGCTCTGTTCTCTCATTGGTTGCTCCTTGATCAAGAAAAAGTAACACAAATAACAGTTTTTTTGGAAACAAGTTCCAACTGTCACCTCAAACAAAATACCACTATGCTAAAAATCAGCATTTTTTGTGGATATTATTACCAGATATTTGTCCAAAAAATAAGTGCTATGAATGATTACTGACAAGGCTTCACACAGTGTCAACTCCTCTGTCACATCACCATCATGCTGAAACCAGGATCTCACTCTTTCCGTACTGATTGATGTAATTTATGAATGATCCCTAAAAACACGAGCATCTGAATGCTTGATGTAGGGGCAAGAGCTTAAACCAGCACCTGCTGGTTAAAAACCTAATTAATTTGGCAAAATTTGTATAGATTGTATGCACTTTGCAGCTCTGGTGTCACAAATAAATTGATCAAGGGTACGTTGGTTGCTAATAATATAAGTTTTTAGAATCATAAAGAACCATTTGGTTATTACTGATTTAACTAGCTTGGCAGAAAATGTATTAATTATGGCCGCAGCTAAAATCAAGGGAAATAATTTGTACAAGACCATGCTTCTTAGAAGTAGTGTGTTTTCCTCAATACTAATCTAGGTGTGAGTCCTAGGAAAATTGATGTTTAATTTCCATATGACTGTCATTGTACTTTTTTATTTTTTCCTTGGGGGGGGGGGGGGGGGAGAAGTCCTGGTCAATTCTCGACTATTGCTGTTACAGCAACTGTACAGCAAGGAAAAAATCGAGAAACACTTCTTTCTGATTTTATAAACTATTATTGTATTACTGTCTAACCATGTTCTGTAATTTTTAGCGATGGATATTTTTCATATGTGGGGATGTAATTTTTTATAAGATTTCAACCGAAAATATGTACCGTTTTTATGCCTTCTAAATTATTTTTGAAGACTTGTACTCTCGTTGTCCTTGAAGATCTTCGTTTTGATGAGCATGCTTTGTTTCAAACAAAAATCTCTTCAAACGCTTCTTCTTATCACAATTTTTTTGTTATTAAAACATTGATTGACTTATGTACCATAACAATGAAGCAGTGGAGCTTGTAAAGCATTTTCATACAAATTTCCTTCAAAAAATCTCCTAACCTAATTATGTTTTCAGGTGTGTATAATAGAAAGAGCTTTGTAATAATATTTTATATTAATGAAAAGAGATTTAAAAAAATGTGTTGGTAGATGCACATTTTCATTGCGCACTCAAATGCTATGTACACGGCTAAGTTATTATCTACAACCGAAAAAGTCTAAAAGTTAATCTTTTCTAAATTATTCTCATCAGTCGGTGATGCTCTCATTCACACTGTTTATGACTTACATTCGATGAAACCAGGGTCAAAGAAACCATTGTTTCACACCAGCAGTATAGATATCGCCATTCTGTTTTTAGAGAGTTTTATTCTTGCCAATATTTTACAGAATTTGTTGGTGTTTGGATTAATGCCATTAGATACTTTTAAAAGATCTGTAAGTTAGTATCAACCATTGAAACGTGAAGGCATCACACATTGATGGCTGAAGATGGAAGCCATGCGCCCTGGTATAGCATAACGCGGTTTTCTTGGAATACTCCAGTTATTTGTTAGGAAACTGACCGTATTTTAACAAGAGAATCTACTGTGAGAGTTTTGGGAAAATAAACAAGTGCATATTTAGACTTGTGAGTTGTGACGTTTGCAAGATCAATTTCTCTCCTTTGTTTGAATAATACTTTGCAAAAGTTAGACGCAATGAAGTGCCTTTTCTTCTTCAAAAAACGGTACAGGAAAGGAAATTACAAGACATTGCAATCACGTTTTCTGAGTTTAGCCATCCGTGAGCAACTGATCAATTTAAATAAATTTGATAATGAATTCAATCTCTTTTAATACTTGCAGTGAATGCATAGTATATTTTTTTCGACACTTTGCTGATACAAATGCAAGAAACAGAATAGACAAAGTCGTGCCACAGTTGCCCCTTTTGGCATATTTTTATATTTAAGTTTTATTTATTTATTTTTTTCTCTCTCAGTTTCTCTTCTTAATTTTAACATGTATGACTGCAATTTTCAATGCGCATCTAAACCTCTGGATCTCTGTTGTTTAACTTCAGTTTTACGTAATTTATTCTTGTATTTATTTTTTACTCTCAAGGAGAGGTTACAGCAGGACTGTCCAAGATTTTTGAACTAAGATTGGAGCTGAAGCAAGAGGATATAACATACTGCAGGGTTTTTCTTTTTAGAATTTCCCAAGGCCCCTTGAAAATCCCTTCTATTGAGTTGTGAGCTTTCAATTTGAACATATTAAGCTTATTTATGTTTATTTTATACAGCAAGGGGGGCGCTGAAAACAGCGAGGCTCTCTATGCCCTGTTGTTCTAAGCCCAACTCGATGGAAAATGGGGTAATACTGTTTTGACTTTAATTTTTCAACTTTTTTTCTTTCTTTATGAAAGCCTTTGACTCTAGTGAAAATTTCTTGTCTTTCATAATATTTCAGTTGTTTAACAATTTATCTTTAAGAATTATTCAAAATCTAAACTTTACTAGGTATTATTTTCTACTAGTTAATCTCTCTTCATCTTTTTAGCGATTGGGCTCTTCAGTCTTAGATCTCGTCAAGATAGAGTTATAGTCAGGATCTTGTCAAAACACTACAATTTAGTTGGATTTATTGATGGGGAAAAGATAAATCGGTAAGAATCAACTGCCAAAAGTGAAATAATCAGCAAATTTGTCCTTTACGAAAACGAGAAAATCGCCGGAAGTTTAAGCAGATAGAATAGTTTTTGTTTTCCAATTCCCTGCAATCTCTTGTTGCTTTAACCCCTCTAAATTCAGCTTTTATTAATGTTTTATAATTTTTTGATGATGTTTAAAGCATCTGTAAGAAGCAAATCTTGTATGCCTATAATATCTGAACATGTACAGTGATGCAAAATCAACATAACTAGTCTGTGTCCTTATTAACTTAACGCTAGGTTCATATCTTTCTCCAATTGTGTGAAACTCAAGCCGTTCCCAAGCTTAAGAGTTATATTGCAGCTTTAGTTCTCTAGAACTATATTCAGTTCTCTTTTAAGGTTAAAATTAAAAGCAAATTAACCTTTAAAGTTGTTTTTATCGGTTATAAATTTTTTTCATTTCTGTTGAAAATATGTGAATTTTTTAAAGGTTTATGTTTGATCACAGAGCTTAGAAGCATCTAATGCTAAAAATCAAGAAGGTTGTTGACATATACGTGTATAAATATGTGTACATAATCTTTGTTAGATTGGAACTAGTGTATATCACCAATATTCAGCTTTGTTCTCAATTATTTTTGGTAGTTGAACTGCTGTGACATATTTGCCACACTTTATAAATCCTTTTATTTTTTTCTCACAGCATTAAGGAGTCTAATTTGGAAGCAAATATATACATACTCATGTGAACTCTGTATGAGTCGGGTATTTTTTCTCATTTCTATCAATAATTTCTGAGTATTAGCTGCCCTTAAACTCTTCTTGATAATTGCTGTTTAATTTTAAGAAATCAGGAATTTCAGAGTTTGGTTTTTAAAAATCTCTCCAAGAAAATTTCCACGCAGTCACAGGAGGTATGATATGATCTAATTCTTTTTCTTGTCCTTTTTTTTGTACTATCGTCAATACCTTGTGATTTCATTGTCTTGATTTCCATGACTTGTTTCACATACCATGACAAGTAAGTTAAGAATTGATGAGTTACAGAAAAAAAATTTTATTTATCAAGGTGTAGAAAATTCAAATTTTTTAATGGTTTGAGAGGGGTGCAGGCATTTTTTAGCCTTCCCTCTTTCCTGATTGGCCTTCTCATTTAAAAAACTTTTTACTCCTCAAAATGTTGAGAGTAATGACTTTCTTTTTTTTTTTTCTTCGCCATTTTGCGAACCTTGTAAGGTTTTCACACTTATATGGACTGGCACTCACCAACCTTTTTACAAAATCCCTTTTCACTAACTTTCAATTTTTGAGCGCAAATAGTCAAATTGGATCATAACCTGTGACTGCAAGTTTGTTGTTTAACAGTTTATAGATAACTATTTATCACAAAAAATCGCTGTTCTACGGTCACATCTCTGTTTCTGTTTAACTAGGGCCGTAGCTTCAGCTTTCTACTATATTCCATCCAATTTATCCCGATGAAAAACTGCTGTTCTCTCAATGACTCTTTTGTTTTTGTAAGATAAGCATCTCACTCATATGCATAATTCTCTGAAAATAAATATGCTTTTTTTCTCTGATATCCAAAGAATTATTTTTGAGTAACTGTGTCAAAACTTCATTTTGCATTAAGTACCTTTGTCTGGTAGTCTTACTGGGATTTTTAATAGCTGCATTCTAGCATTTTAAATTTTCATTGATTGGGTACTTAGTTTTGAGAACTGAAGATTCTAGATGAAAAAAACACATTATTAATACAAAAAAGAATGTAATCACAATAAGATTCAACAATGATAAAATATTTTCATAGTAAGTATGACAGTGGTGACTTGCTGCCCCCCATTCAAAAAGCACATGCTACATGTTCCAAAAATATTTCAACAATTACTTAGTGCAAAGGAGTCGATGAAGTGAAAGGTTCCACTCTAAAAAGCAAGAAAAAAACTGGAGACCTCAATATAATTTTTATGTTTCTGGCCAAGAGAGTTAAAATTGAAATTCATGTGCAGTTTGTCTAAAAAGACAGAGTCCCACGGTCCCACTAAAAGAATAAAAATATAAAATATTGTCTTCATAGAAATGTACACAAAAAAGGAATTACACTAATGATACACAAGAATTTTCGACGGTTGCGGCTTCCGGGCTACAAAATAAAAGAAATAAAAAAACAAAGAAAAAGTAAGGATTTGTTTTGTAAACCTCTGCCAAGCTTGTTTGGCAAAACTAATGAATTTGAATCAACCGACAAGTTTTACCTCAGTTGACCAAAGTTCCATGGAATCAAATCGTTAGATTGAGGATCTTATCGAAGTATGTCTATCTAGTAAAAACCTAATCCTTGATAACTAAGAGGCTCGGAGGACAAGTCGCATAAGTGCAGTTTCTGCTACTACAAGAAATACTTCTTCAAATTTTAAAAATTACATGAAGCCTCTTGGCGAAAAGAAAGTTTAAATTCAAATTTTCATGCTTAAAAATTGGATTTTCATGGTGATTTTTTTACAGAATATATTTTACTACTAGTTTTAGTTGAAATCATTAATATCTCAATTATTTAAAAAAACTGCACTTGTGCACCTGAGATTTTGCAGGATGCATGCAAAAGTTTTTCAATAATAATAAGAGCTTAAAAATAAAAGAAAATAGTTCAGAGCGAAAAATGAAGGATGAGAATGACAGAAAAACTTCTAAGCTGAAAAAATATCCGAGAATGAGATCTGTCTGGTATTTTTTGATAAACTGAATTTTTTACTTTCAAGATTATAATATGATAAAGTTTTTGAGGTTTTAACAAGTAGGCTGTAAACATTTATTATAACTACCTAATTCCTAAAAAATGCACACATTAAGAGTTACTTTTCAATGTGTATTAACAAATAGAGGGAAAAAATCCTTATTTTTGTTAACAATTGATGATGATAGGTTGTGGTCGATATATTGAACTTACTCACCCGTTTGCTATTTGATAGGTATCTGTTACTGATGTGTGTTCCATTAACCCAGTTTTAAACCTTGCCTCTTAATTAAAAAACCAAATTAGAGACATGATCGTCTCAAATTAAAAATGCAACCTTGGAGATAATTATTTAATTGCTCATGAAACGCTTTAATTAACATGTTACAGAAAAACGAATTCTTTTCATTTCAAAGCCATTACTCATTTTTAGCAATAAAACCAGATACATAATTTATTTTCATTTATAGGTGCTGAATAAAATTATGAATAATTATCTAAAGATTAAAATTGAATCTACTGATATTAAGCGGAACTTGTTACTGATAGTTTTAACTGTGTGAGAGAGCGTTTAGAGGGAAAAAAGATTCAAACTGAATTCAATTCTGTTCTTAATTATGAGTCGGAAAGTTTGCCCAGTGCAATGCAAGAAAAGAATGCTTGCTTGTATCATTCCAAAATTATCTCCACAAATACTGCATACCGACAATGAAACTACCAGACCACTTACCTCGGTTTGTGACATCGCAGACTTCCAGTCATACTATATTTTTTAAAGGCGAACTGCTCAACGTCAACTCTTGAGAAGTTTCGTGATTTTCCTTTTCTAAACGAAGAAAGCTCTGTGAAAACTTCCAGGAAAGATATTGATTTGTTCGCTGGTCATGGTCTGGTAGTTTTACCGGCGTTATAGTTAATATTTTGAAAGGGGGATGCTTGGTAGTGTCCTTCGATGATGTCAGTGGAAAAAAAACGAGTGACCCTTATCATTTTGGAGACGACCAATCAATATAAAATAAATGAGCAACCGTAATGAACATCTGCAATGTGGCGATTGTGAAAAACAATTACAGTAACAAAAAGATTTAAAGATTCGAGTTGGGTTGTAGCTTTTTCCTGCATATCTTTTGGTATCCACGATTTGATTTCTCTGATGATTGCACTTGAGGAGAATAAATTGGCACTGATTTCTGTTAGATATGAAACTGAGATTTGGCAAAAATTCATTCTCAGAAACATTCTAAAACTAGGTATTTATTACAACAAGAGGAGCGCAACTCACTTGCTCGCTTATTCGTAGGATATAACTTACACAGCCATAAAATTTAGGAGATTCTTTCAAACACAAGCTTGATGGACCTTCTATTCCAGAAGTACACTCCATTTGTGTAAGGAGAAGAAAAAATTGCTTCAGAATTTATTTCTCTTGCCGTTTGACAAGAGTACAAAATGAAGCATTTTAAAATTGCGTATTCTTGTATAATCCTGCAATCATTTTCCCAGCGTTGAGTAGCATATCTCGTCTGGATACTCCGGTATAAACATAGTGCCATTCATTTGGACTGACCTGAAATTTTTGATGAAAAAATTATTGGTAAATAAAGAGAGATGCGAAAATTTCTAGAAAAAGTTAGTTACTAAAAACTGGCTAATGAGACAAAAAATAAAGATAAGTAAGAATGAAAGATCATGATGGAATTCTGATCCATTAACATTCTTTCTTGTAGAAAAGAATAATAATGATTCTTTACAGTGGTGAAATAAAGACGAGGAAGAAAAAATGGAGAGTAAATGGGTAGTGAGTATATAATCATTAACATCATGACTCTCATTTGATGTTTGTTGTTCTTTCTATTCGGCTGATGAGGTTGCTCCAACGACCCAATGACTGCATGTATTGTGAGTAGATCTATGAAAAGGGACCTTATCTTCTAAGAGGAAATTTTCCATAACTTTTTGCAAAAATTTGAACTACATTTTCCTACAACCTACAAATTTTGATCTTGGAACTTCAGGGATGTTATCTTCTTCGATTTTCAAAATTCAAAGGGAAAACTTGTGCCAAAATTTCCGGATTTTCTTCCTTCATGCATCAGCAAAAAGTTGAGGAAAATTTTCTTCCGAACGATGAGGTCCCTTTTCATGGAATTCACCACATTTGTCTTTTTTCAGGCCAGTTGGCCGCAGCATCACAATGCTCTCTTAACATCAGAGAACCTAAAATCATAGTGGAAATTATTCATTTTCCATTGCCTCCTTACCTGCAAGTTATTTGCCATCAAACTGCCGATAGTAACAGCAAACCCTGTAGACAGGTGTTCGTAGTCTTGCGGAGTGTCATCTTTAGCCACACTAACGATATCCAGAGGCAAGGGTGTGAATTCTGTGTAAGTTTCTAAATTTATACCTTTGTCCAGCTCGTTCAACATCACAAGTCCCACATCAAACCATCTGTGATGATATAAGTTAAAAACATCGGTTTAAGAGTACAATTAACTTATGAAAAAGAATTAGTGATGAAGATCTCTGAAAAGATAGAGTTAAAAAGGATTTTTCCCATTTTTGGCGGATGAACTTTATCAAAATTACTTGAAAATCACTTGTAGAGTACATGGAAAAAAATTGAATGTTAATTTAGCATGTATACTGTTAAGCAAATGTGCGACAAGTATCAAATGTTGATTTTACAATAAAAAATAATGCTAACTCAACATTGTATTTGTTCATTCAACCGTAGACGTAATTAACCTAGCATTTTTTCAATTGAGAAATCAGGATTTATACTTATCGCACATTTCTTTAACATTATAAATGCTAAAGCAACTCTCAATTTTTTTCTGTGTACAGTTATAGTTATTCGGATATCGCATGTAGAAAACTGTTTTGATATGAGAGAAGATGAAAAATTCATTAATTGAATCAATTTTACTCATCCGAAATCAATTGATGACAGACGTAACACTTACTTTCCAGGTGTAACTTCCAGGATGAAATTCTCAATCGCTACCACTGGGCCATGAAAGCTTTCTTCTTTGCGGATTTTTTCGATACGAGAGCAAACAGCTTTGCTCGCAGCTTCAAAACCAACTGGTTGTGAGGCCACCCCTTCAGGCTGAGATGAAACACCCCTGAAGGAAAAACAGAGTTAAAACATGTTTTTTGCATCAAAGATAACATCAAAGCTAAGCTCAGAAACAGGATTATCTTAATTGGCAGCTTCGCAGATTTCTAGTCATTACATTTATTATTCGGAAAACTACTCGGCACAACTTATTGAAAGTTTCCATGCTATTTTTTCTTTTGCAGTTGAAGAATATTCTTTAAAAAGAAAATTTTAATAATGAAGCTGACGCATTCCTCTTTGAACCAAAGAAATCGGAGAGAAAATTCTGAAACGACGCAATCAAGATACTGTGACATATCCCTCTCCTAGTGCAGCAAGAGGACAAGGATCGAGGAGTGGGAGTGAACTGAGTGCGTACGCTGCTATGATTCGATCACAGGCAGAGACGAGACGCATAAGTTGGTAGCAGTGCGTCGTAAAAGCCTTAAAATTCATTTTGTGTTCTGTCAGGCTTTGCCAATCAATGTCAAGTTTTTTTTGTTGATCTTTTTTTTTGTATTTGTTCATATATATTTGGCTATTTTATCTTAAATTATTTTTTACTGTACCAAATTTTTTTATATGTGTTTTTCTAAGCATATACGAGGGGCATTCGTAAAGTTAGTATATATATATTTTCTTCGAAACTAATGAAGATAAATTAAATTGGTAAAAATTGTTTTTACCGCTATACTCTCAGCTTTTCAAAAAGCCTTTGTTTTTTCAATTTGGTTCACCGGTTCGCGAGTGACGTTATTCTTCCCACGCCCATCTCTCGTCACTGCGTGTCCAAAATATTCGAGTGCGGCGGAGCTCCTCAGACGAGTACATGCTACGGTGTTTTGGGACGCTCAAGGAATATTACTGATCTATTTGTTGGAGAGCGGAAAAACGATGAATGCCGCAAGATATTGTGAAGTTTTGAAAAAAATTAAGTCAGCGATCAGGCGAAAACGGCCCGGTCTTTTGTCTCGTCAAGTTTTGTTACTTCAAGACAACCTCATGTGGCTCATGTGACTCAAGACTTGTTCGCCTCATTCAAATGGGACCTTTTCCCTCATCCACCGTACTCACCTGGCCTTCCTCCAAGCGACTTTCATCTTTTTCTTGCGTTAAAGAAGAGATTGGGTGGCCAAATTTCTCTACCGACGCAGAGTTGCAAGAAGCTGTAAAAAAATGGTTCCAACGACTGCAGGATGCGCAATTTTTTGGAGATAGAATCCGCAAACTGCTAACACGGTATCAGAAATGTGTTCAACTGGGTGGAGACTATGTCGAAAAGTAAGGTAAGACAATTCAAAGCCTGAAAGTTTATTTAACCAATTAACTGTGTTACAACCTTCTTTACGGTGAAAACATGTACTCGTCTGAGGAGCACCGCCACCACCACGCTCGAATATTTTGGACACGCAGTGACAAGAGATGGGCGCGGAAAAAATGACGTCACTCGCGAACCGGTGAACCAAATTTAAAAAACGAAGGCTTTTTGAAAAGCTGAGAGTATGGCGGTAAAAACAATTTTTACCGATTTAATTTACCTTCATTAGTTTCGGAGAAAATAAGGATATATACTTACTTTATGAATGCCTCTCGTATTTAGACTTGCCATGTTTGGTATGCTGCTCAAGTTTCTTTTTTGAAATGAGAAGCAGTTTCAGTTTAAATTAAATTTAACATAATTAAATTTACCCTTAAATTTTTGACCTAAATACCTTCCTATCCGTAAATCTATCTATTCATCTATCTATCCATCTATCTATCTTAGGGCCGTTTATGGTGTGGTATATTACATCAAATTTTGCTCAAGCTTTTCCTTAAACACTGATTTTTTTTTCTATTCAAATTAGAATACATTTTTGAAGTTTTGATAGACTTTTTAATTTTGATTTCCCTTTGTTCTAGTATTTACTGAGCATTTGAGTAAGATCTAATACATGATGTAATCTAAATAATTACCTGACATTGACCTTTCCAACAATATTTTGAAAAGCCTCTCGAATTGGAGATATTTTTACTTCCTTGTCTGATGCTACAACAATTTCCAGTTCATTTCCAGGCGCAAGTGCTGTCCAAGAACAGAAAAGGAAATTAAGGGGTTGAAAACAACACAATAAAAGATTTAAAGAAAAGCTACAAATGGCAAGAAGCTGTATCATCTACATCAGTATAAAAAATTTATATGAGCAAAAACATATTTTCTTCGACTGAGTAGCCTTGAATGGAATATTGCCGGATTTTGCAACCTATTTTCACACATGTTTTTTTTGTTTCTGTTCAAAATCCAACCTGGTTTCCTCAGACTTTACTACGGATGGATACTTCCCTATTGTTGTTGAGAAAGAAAGTTATCTTCAGTGTTTATCACAAAATTCTGTAACAAAAGTTCTTTAAAATCTGTAAAGATTTTTACTTTGCAAAAAAATCCTGAGCTAATTTCTTTCCGACCTAAATAAGAGTGTACACAGGGGCCAAAGAGGAGTGAGGAGAGATTTCATTTGACCGCAGGATAAAATTCTGCCTGTGCTGTATAAATATAATGAGGGAAAAATATTTTGTAAGACACATTGACTGCGAAACTGCAAGAACGTATACCTCTGTTTGGAACATTACAGATTTCCTGTCATACTTTATTTTTGAGATTGATAAATACTCAATGCCATTTCCTAGAAACTATGCTAATTTTTATCATCAATACGAAGAACATTTTGAGACAATTTTCAGCAATAGTGTTTGTTCTCTTATGAAAAAATAAAACTAGAGTGGAGATTTTGAGATACTACAAGTGAGATACGCATTCCTGCAGTTTCACTATCGACAAGCTCCATGACCTGTAAAACTACAATACGATGGCTGTAGTAAAAAAAAAGCATGAGCATCTCAGATTGCAAGGTTGTAAGCCCTACTCACTTTTTTTTTAAGAAAAAAAGATTATTAACCAAGAGTTTCTGTTAAAATTTTCTCCGAATTTCCTTCACTTAATATAAAAACCATTCTGAAAATTGTGAGAAAAAATTTAAATTAGTTATCCTCAACGAAAATACATCATGATTGGATATTGGACGAATTGAGGAACTTTTTCACATATTTTTTTCACAGTGTATTTTTCACATTTAGCCATCAATTACTGGACGTCTGGTTAGCGGGTTAAAATTTAATCATAAAACCTTACTTCGACTCTTTCCTTGTAAAAAATATTTGGATGAAAATTTACCTATTAACGACAAATACTTCCCCTTATCTCCACTGACCGCAGGCAATCATCAGAGACAAAAGGCGAGCCATGATTGGTGCTCAGGAAAATGCATACAAACTCAGACCTTGACTGTAGGACCCATCGTCTCTTCATTAAACTTAAGAATACTCACACAAGAATTCTTTCATTTGAGGATCAAGAGTTGTTATGACCGAATCGACAGAAGTTTTGGCCTTCTCTGCAACTTTGGACAGTAAAGTTCCTCCTTTACTGCTTACGGTATCTTTCATCCAACCAAAAAGATTTGATGCATTTGTTGAGAAGTTATCAGCTGAATTGGCATCTTCATCAACATTAGGACCTTCTTGGGCTACTGGACTTCCTTCAGTTTTACTCGGTGGGAACACAGGACTGGAAAAAAGGATGAACATTTGAATTTTACAAATTGAGTTTGAAATTTTGGAGGGGTAGGTACGGGTCAAAAACAGTGCCAATTGCCATGTTGAATACTTACAGAGACCATGGAATTGACTTCTTTAAAGGTGATTCGTCAAGCTCAAGTGACGTGGTCCAACTGGCATGCGATATGTCGCATCAATTCGGTCAAAAATCTCAGCAACTTTTGTATTTTTAGCAAAAAAAAGGACGATAGCCCCTGCGCGTGAGCCTAAAGAATCGATCTAAACCCAAAAATCGGCAAAATTCAGAGAAATGAAAGCAGAATAGTGTTAGGAAAAACTCTTGCATTCAATTCAGCTATCGATGTCTGTATCAAATACAAGGTTTTTTTCCTAACACTATTCTGCTTTCATTTCTCTGATTTTGCCGATTTTTGGGTTTACAATGATTTCATAGGCTTATGCGCAGGGGCTATCGTCCTTTTTTTTGCTAAAAATTCAAAATCTGCTGAGATTTTTGACCTAATTTATGCGATATAGCGCATGCCAGTTCGACCATGTCCTTTGAGCTTGACAAATCACCTTAAGGTGACTAATTTACTTCAAATTTTTGTTCTATCATCATCTCTAAACTGTATATAGTATTCAAAATATTTCAGAAAAAACACAATGCATGATGGTGAACTTACTTGAAACTTGATTGATGAAACATCTGCGGTTGAGAAACGACTGGGGCAACCGGGACAAAACTGGGCAAGGCTGATGGAGGAGGAACATTCGACAATAATGGACTTTTGGACACATTCGGTGTATTGCTGGGTTTACCTGGACAACCAAAAAGTAAAATTTTGCAATTGGAGTGTTTTCTTTAAAAGAAGACGCAGGAGAAAAGACAAAATTGAGAGTCCCATATTTTTACTCCACTGAAGGTATTCTGAAGGGTGATTTTACAGGGTGTCTAGTTTTTTTCCATTTCAGGAAATCCTGATTTTTCCTAATTTTTGACTGCTAAATCCTGATTTCATGATCTTTCCAAATCCTGATTTTTTGCAGAGAAAACTTAAAAAGCAGAACTCAAGAAGAAAAAGCTTGATAAAGAAATCAGATTGGACGACCGACTTTCCTTAAATCCTGATTTTACGACTGATTTTTCCTCAAATCCTGATGAAATCGGGGTTAAATCTTAATTGACCTTAAATCCTGATAGAATCGGGAAAATCCTAATGCTAGATACCCTGTTTTATCTTTACAGAGTCCTTGCCAGATGAGTTTATGTACTTTTAGACTGCAACAGAAGATCTGTCTTCTTGGTTCTTGCATTTACTTTCAATGCTAAACTCATGTCACATAATCTTCTGTCACGGTCTAAAAGTGCATAAACTTGTTTCGCGTCGACTCTGACAGCTGTCAGCCTCCTGTGGTGTAGTGGTTGTAGCGCTGGCTCTATAATTAGGAGGTCCCGGGTTCGATTCTCGGCTAGGCAACCCGAGTTTGATGGTCTCAAATAACGGTTGCCTTGGGCTGGTACATGATAGGGATGGAGGGGGCAGGGCTCTAAGTGGAAGCACAGGATTACCACTTGTGTGATATTTAAAGCAGTAAAAATAAAAAAAAGAATTCTAAAACCATCTTCTGTGATGTTCTTCCTTCTGTGGAGTCTCTTCACGGATAATTAGAAGTCTTTAAAATTATTACTGTCAGGTTATGATACTGCAAAGAGTTTACATGAGTAGCTACTATGTTACACATTTCCTGGCGATGAAAATTTCTACGTCTCATGCTTTGCGATTGCTAATGCACATCCCGAAGTGCTGAGAACTGAAAATTTGTGTGCTCCTTTCAGCTAGAGCACACCTACTTAAATTCCTGTATTGATCGTCATTCAGTTAAAAGTTCTTGAATCAACATACTCCAAATTCATATTCATTACAGGTAAAGTGAAGTGCAAAATAATTATAATCACCAGGACTACCAGGAGCTGACTTGTCAATAAACTCAAAACCAGCCTCACCACTTGATGATTCCTCTTGCATGATGACAACACTTGAAACTGCACAACGAGGAAGCTAAATTAAATTATTGTATTTTCTGGAAAACTGGTGAACTAGATGATTAAAACACTTTCAAATTGAAGGAGTACATGGCCAAATTCCGAGGAAAATTTTACATTTTGGGAGCGTAACAGTTTCTCACACGAAATTACGAACAGCTGTGCGTAGAACTGGGGAGATGAGGGAGATGAAGTGTGAAGTGTCAAAATAACCACGACAAAATTATCACAGAATTCTGTAATCAGCAACAATCAAAATGGCTGAGTATAACGAATTGTTAGACGACAATAGTATTGAAATTAAAACTCAAAGTATTGAAAGAACTTTACTTCCTTTGGTGAAACAAGTAAGTGCAATGTTTTGATTAGATTTCTGAGATAGAAAATGAGTTTTAGTGATAAAAGGTTTCCCAATCGTGATAAGAAATTGAGCAACAAGAGGCTTCCCCAGACACTCCCATTCGTATTTTTAGCATGATTTGCCTCACCTCCATTGGGATTTTAGGAAATACAGATTTCAACGAAATTTGCTAAAAAGTTATGGGAAGCAACTGAATTTTAATATAATGTCCTTTTTACGTAATTCATTTGCTGTTATCATGTTGTTTGTTATGATGATGACGAGTGAGGTTAGGACGTTTATTTTTGTTTCGGCATCGAAAATCGACTTATTCGATATATTGCAATATTCGACTTTCGATCCTATCGTGATTCGATACCAGAATGGTGCGCATTTCAAAATATTTATATTGATTGATAAGTGCGCACGCTTGCGTGCAAGAAGAGGATTTCCTATCACTGTCCAGTCGGTAGTCCCTAAGATCCCATATTTTTAAGTCTTCCTCCTATAATACTAGTGTCCGTTTTGTATGATTTTTATTCTCTTCAACAATCTCACTCGTGCTTAGAACAATTAGTCACGGCAATCAATGGCAATCATGTTATCAGAAAGATACAATAATGTAAGTATATGCACAGCGCAACCTAAGATGTACCCTCAGCTTTTGCTCAATGTCTCCATTTTTGAAAAATATCTAATCAACCTATTCAAATTATCAAATGTCAGGCTTTAGTCTTTCTCAATCCCATCGCTGTCCTTTTTTTGCGTCATTTTTCAATCCTCTTTTTGTGGGCTGTTGCCTGTAGGATACCTCATTACATGCTCTTGTTCCTGAATCCCTACCTCAAATTCAAAACTCATACCAATATTTCATGCAGAACTGTCGCATAAATTACTTCAAATAAAATACTACTGAATACCGAGCTTCATCAAGTTTGCGGATGAACAATCCCTTCACTAGAATGATAATCTGTAGGTTTAGACAAAGTCGATTTTTGCAAATCATTTTTTTTTCTGTGCCATTACTGTTATGAGTTTAGTACCATGAATGTACTCTTGCTTTTTTTAAGAAGCATCAAGAAAACTATTTACGGTCCATTTGCCTCTTTTGTCCAATTGAAGCAACACTGAAAAAAAAGGGGAAAAAAGAAAGAAAGAAAGAAAAATAAGCTTTGCACCCCAGGTAACTTGCATGCATTTTCAGAACTTTGTCTACAATAATTTGGATGCAACTTTTTTTCCAGATTTCAACACTAATCAATCATCGAGAGCGCGGCTATTGCTCTGAACGATCAATTCGAGCAGTAGCGCGAGTAGGACAAGCTGTGAATTTAGCTGTTGAAAGATTTGTGACTGTAGGAGAAACTATCGCAGATGATAATCCGGAGATCAAGACTGATATGTACCAAGCCTGCAAAGAAGCAAGAGCTGCAGGTATGATTTTGTTTCTGCATAAAGGATGTTTATAATTCAAAATCAGTGTTTGACTTCAAGTGAATCCAGGGTAAATAGTCCCTTGTATTGCTATTACTTTATAACTTACACTTTGGTATGATGAATTGAATCAGGTTTTTTTGAAAAATCAAATGGGCGACTCGACAAGGTTTGAACGCGAAGAAAATGTCACATGTTTCCTCTTTCAAATCTTACGTATCTAGAGTTTGATCGACGCAACCTAATTCTGAATGTGATATTCCTAAGTATTTTCAACACTGATCAAATGGAAGTTGGATCATACAGACAGTGTCATTTATATTTCTGCTATTTGACCAATGTTAATTGTAAATAGCTATATCTTGTTCAGGAGTTGATTTTCAGACTCCCTGTTGTGTGCTTCGTTTTCTGCGTGGAATTCCACAAAAGAAACATGCAGTGGGTGACCTCCTCTAGTGGCGCACTGACAAAATCAAAATCAAAGTCTCAAAAGTACAAACCAAGACAGAAAATATCTCTATAAGGAGCATCAATAAAGAAAAATTATAGGATTGTTGAAATGGTACAATTGTTCAAATTATTTATGCATTCCTCTTGTGAAGTATATGTCGCAGGCGTTTAGTCAGATCAGGCATTTTATCAAATGCTTAGGGAGATAGTCAAATTGTGTGAATTGAGCTCTTTAGTTTTCACTATTTTGGGAAAAATAATTCATATCAAATATTCAAACTCTTCTTGTTTCTTCCCCTTTAAATGCTTCTCATGTTTTTAAATGTCAAAGTTGTAAAAATTCTGCACTTCATGACTTGCTGAAGATTTCAAGATAAACGTTTGTTCAGGAGCTGAAAATTATTTGAAATACCATTGTATGATGCACATTTTTACAAATAATTCTTTCTCACAGGAGCAATGATAATGATTTTGCCTGAAATTAGGGAAAGGATCAGTATTCTGATATAAGTAAAAATATTTGACTATTTGCTTAAGCATTAGACAAAATGTCTGATCGTACTATTTTCTTGCAACATACATAAGTATCTTTTAATGCATAGAGGAAAAAAGGAGGTGTTTGCATCTTGAGGTTTGTTTACCCTGTGACGTAGGTCGGTACAACCTGACCAGCGAAATCCGGAATTCGAAGTGTGAAAAATGGACCATAAAGTCCGATTTTTTTGCTTAAATCAACTCATGATATAATTTCAAGCACTTTTTATAGTATGACTTTTTTCCATAAATTACACAATTTCCAAGAAAATCGATGATAAACTTGTTGTACCGACCTAGGTCATCCAAGATGCCCGAAATGCAAACACCTCCTTTTTTTTCTCTGTTCTCTTAATGGAGAGGTTCAAACTGAATAAGGTTGATTAATTTCTCGAATTTTTCTTTCCTGATTCACAGGTTCAACGATTGAAAAATTGTGTGAGGCATCAATTGATGACTCAGTAGCAGACCGAGGAGCTGTTGTTCGAGCAGCCCGTTGTCTCCTTAGTGCTGTCACCAGAGTGCTCTTATTAGCTGATATTGTTGTTGTCAAACAACTTCTATTAGCCAAAGATAAGGTAAAAAATTATGCTGTATCTCCTATTTGGTATCCCTAGACTCACAAATATTTGAGTCCATGAGGCTAAGGATTCATACAGGAACAATAACCAAATATAAGTATTTTGTTCGGAGACAACACATGCAACATGTTGAGAAAACAAGCAACAATTGCATTTTGTTCAAAGTTGTTTTGTGTGCTGTAAGCTGGGCTTATTTTCGCTCGCCAACTTCCGGAATCCTTGAAACAACATTGTTGTACAACAACTGCAACATAATGATTCATCCAGGCTTTGATCCTACCGTTGACAACTAGTTATTCCTAGTATCTCCCTATTTCAACCAATCCTGAAGCAATTTGCTACATCTCAAATATGTTCTAAGTAAATCATGTCTGTAGAGTATTTTGATGGTTTTTTCCTTAAAGCATAATGGTCTTAAATATGAATGGTTGTTACTAGTGTTGCACCAAATAGCGTATATCTTTGAGGGAAAATTGTGCTTGTGTGTGAGCTTTTTCCCTCTGTATTGAAATTTTCAGCTTTATGCTGAATTTTAATATAATCAAAATAATAAAATTTTTAATATAATCATTTTTCAATATAATCTATTTAATAATTGTTAATAAGTTTATTAATAGACGAAACAAGTTTTCTACTTTTGAGTGTGGAATAGATTTAATAACTTCTTTGCGGCTTCCCTTTTCATTACACTTTTATTTTTTACACGCCTGATGGCTAAAAACTCCAACATACTGTCTTAAAATATAATGGTTTGAAGACAATGGCTGATTCGTTTATCTACACTGAACTGTGAATTACAAAAAAAAAAACCCTATGGAACATTGACAGTGTAAAGTTAAATCTGGAAAATAGATGGTTATACTGTCCGATTTTGCATCATTACTTTCTGCCATAATTTAAGTTAATGCAGAGCAACCAATAGCTTAAAAAGTTTTCAATAATCTGAATATATTAAACTGAAATTTCATATAGAAATATCAGGCACTTTTTCTCTGAAAAAATAAAGAATGAGTACAATTTCAGAAACACCACCAACAACATGCGTGTTTTCTAGTTTTACCATAGATATAGTCGCTCTGTTGGAAGGCCTAACACAATTTACGCACTGAGTGTAGACGCTACAAGAGGACCCAGTAGCTTCTAGTATGAGTTATCAAATGCCTATTTCATGTGAAGAATGTATAAAAGTTTTACAGGTAGAGCCTGATATATGTCTCAACATTGTTTTATAGTCTGTCGATGATCAATCTATTTCTTTTAAGTCTAAATTAAAAATTCTGTATAAAGTTGTTCAGAAAAAACTACACGCCTAGAAAAATTATTTTAATGTGTCTCCATACCCAAAGTATCTCCAAATTTGTATGACTTATTAGTAGCAAATACTAAAAGGTATCCTTTTTCAGTCAAGGTGGGGTCTGGAGAGAGATCCTGTGAAACATGAGCGAGTTCCTCTCTCTGATCTGTCCTATCTGAATGAGCAGGTAGCAATAGTCTCAGTTTCACTGTCGTTTTTCTAAATTGCCACTGTTTGGAGAAACAAGCATACCTGGTTTAGTATGGGCCCTTGTTTTAGAACCCCTCCTCAATTGTTTTTGAATAATTCATCGTTTTTCTTTTCTTTTTTTTCTTCAGTTACATACTATATTTCTTTAGGAGTAGAGTAATTTTTGAAATTGAAGGGTGTCTGGGCCCTCAATATTATGAATAAGTTATATTCATTCATATTCTGATCATTCACTGTATTTGTAACATTGATCACAGGTTCAACACAGTCTAGGCAGGCTGGAAAACGTAACAAATTTCACTGAATTTGTGAAAGCTTTCAGTCAGTTTGGAAACGAAATGGTGGAATTAGCACATGTCACTGGAGATCGACAAAATGACATGAAAGATGAACGAAGGAGGGCCCAGATGGCAGCTGCTCGCCAAGTCTTAGAAAGATCAACGCTTTTATTATTAACATCATCTAAGGTACAACTCCTCACTGTATTTTTGTATTTTGCATTTCAAGGTTTTGTCTCCACAAGATGTTTTAGCAGAGTTGAATGCTGAAACAAATTGCTCAAAAAATCTTTCAAAACAATTATTTTGTAGAAAAAAGTAAATCAAATTGATGATAAAACAAGATTAAAGACTTCACAGACTTACAACTGTGTCAATTAGTTATAGCAATCAATTTTGAGGAATCAACTTAATTGCTGATTTGTCATTATAGTAAACCATTGCCCAAAAATGCCAGTGGAGATAAATGAAAATCATTGTTCAAGTAGTATTTTACAGCAATCATTGCTTTGCTATAGCATTCATTACTCTGTTACAGTTTTCTTTTGTACAAAAATACATTAAGAGAGATAATGGGTCTGTTGAACACAAGAGACACATGAGATACATACAAGAGAACACAATTGTAAAAAGTGCATATATATATACTTTTTACAATTAAAATCGCACAAAAATCATGTTGAGGACGTCAAAAAAGTCTGCAATCCATTCCTTAGTGCGGGTTAGTACCTTAACCTGGACTGTATCACCTTAACTTGTGCATTTAATGTTTCAAAATAAACATAACTGCATCATGATTCCCTGTCCTCTTGATGTTTCAGACTTATTTACGGCATCCGGATAGTGATTCGTCTCGACAGAACAGAGACACCGTGTTCTGCCAGATGCGGAGAGCTATGGATTTAATACACTACGTGGTAAAAGATGGTATCTGGGAAGGTGGAGGGTCTTTTACAGATCAAGAAAATGAAGGACAGACATTAGCTGCAACGTTGCGACATTTAGATACCCTAATAGAGATGACAAGTCTTACTCTAGCCTTAGGAGAAAAAGAAAGTCTCAATCATGCGCTTGATACAATAGTCGAACGCACTCAAGACTTCACGGACAGTGCGTACACATCCCATAATCATCGTGAGAATATCATTGTTCTTTGTGAACGAGTGAAAACACAACTGGAACAACTAATACGTGTGGGGCTTGTCTATGTAAGTCTTGTTTGATTTTATCTTGTTTCAGCAATGGACCACTGAAGTGGGTGAGTAGGTTACCTAAGGTAACACCGGAATGAGCAGACTTGTTTTGCTTTTTTAAAAATTCCAAAATCAACTTTAATGGAGAAATTAGTGTCTATAATTTACATTCAATTCAGTATCAAATCAAATTTCCAAAGAAAACAAACCGATTTGTCTGGCAAAAACGAGAGATAGGTCTCACCAAAATCTCCTGAATCGTTTGTAACATATTTCTAAAATCACCGAATGATAATCAGCATTTTAAAATAAATATTTAATCGCAAAGCATACTGAATTCAATGTAGTGACCCATTTGACTGAAGTAAACTTAGGTTTTTTTTTTTCACATGCTGGAAGTTTGACTCCTCAGTCTAGCCCTGGAGGTACAGGGCACCAGTGTGGCATTAATGTTCCAGACTAATGACTCCAGACTATACCCAATCTAGGTACTGTAAAAATAAGCGAGATATGGTGATTGATTTTTATAAAAAAAATACATAAATAAATAAAAAAATAAAATAAAAACGAAATGTGAATCCCTGTTACTACAAAACTGGAAACCGAATATAGATGATAACTTTATATTTATACCTATGATAAGTTAACTATATTGATTACAAATTTTACTATTTCAGGAAAATGGTGAAGACCTTGCGTCCAATCATGAATTAAACATAGCCATTGCAAATTGCTTGGACGCTACAAGAGAATTAAGGCAAGAACTGTGGGAAACGGCAGAAGAACAAACAAGTGAACTAGCAAGTGTTATTAAGTTAGGTAACGAACTAGTGGCCCTAATCAGAAATACAGCCACAGCAGCTGACCAGCCACGACTTGAAGAGTACGCTGAGAAATTTCAAGAAACAGTAGAACATATCCTAGAGGTGAGCCTTGTATTTCAATAAATGAAAATTGCTGAGCAATAAAAGCAAGTCTCCCTAAAAGCATCATTCCCGTTTCAAACTGTTGAATTCTACTCTCAAAGAAATCACTCAGCTCCTTTATGATGTTACAAAATGAATACTACTATATTTACTCCTCTAGCAAAGTAAATAGTTGTGAAACATGGAGGAAGAAAAAAGAATTAAGAGCTCCAGGATTTAACCATGCATAATTCATGGTGAAATTCGGAAATCACATCTTGCAATCAGAGGACGTAGTCAAAAGCAATAGAATGAAATAAGTTTTAGTGACACTAAATTGTCCTCGGTTTGAAATCAGCTTCGGGCTGAATGGGTTAGTAACCTGACTTTCTCATCCCTGCATAATTACATTTTTGTTTTCATTTATAGACCTGTAAGATTATGCAACATATGGCGGTGACAGAATCTTTGCAAGTTTCATCGCGACATGTTGAAATCAATCTCAGGATTTATGCTCCACAAGTTGTTACGGCGGCGCTAACTCTTGCTCAACATCCTACCTCAAAAATTGCAAAGGAAAATCTAGAAGGTTAGCTGGTTGTGGTTGTTTTTTTAATAGGCTGCTTGCGTCATACATACTCAATCTGGACCGTGTTCCAACTGCAGAGTAAAATTTCAGGAGCTATATTCGTTGGCAAGCCTAATTTTCAGGGGCCATCTACAATATTTTAGGGGTCTAAATGATCCATTGCATACGCATTCCCCATCATAGTACAGGAAACTTTGAGAGGGGTGCTAATTGCTAGTTGAAATGTGTAATGTTGTTTAGAGATTGATCCGCAGATTGTGTCTGACTTTTTTAGGTGCCTTGGTTGGCCAGTGCTCATTTTGCACATGGGCGTAGTACACACGGAACATGGCACTCTTTGTGGCAGTGAACATGTTAACTTGTTTGTCCCAAGTCAAAATCTGTTTAACTGGCTTGCAATATTTTGTATCAATCAGATGAAAAATCTGGGGACGTGTCAAGTTTTAAGCAAAAAATATGGCAAATGTTCCCACACATGAGTCTAAAATAGGTATATATCCTAACAAAAAAATTTGCAAAATTTGAACAAATAACAGAATTTTTACGGATCGTCAATTTTTAAATTTTTTTTAAATGCTGGCCTCTCACAGTATTTATCTGTAAGAACTTTAAACAGGTGGATAATGAGGTGTGTTTTTTCTTTAAATATTCCTTTTTATCTTTTTCAGTTTTTACAAATATGTGGCAATCATTAACAACGGACATATCTAGTATATGTAGTGAAATAATGGAAAAACAGAAAATTCCAGAAAAGCACACTTACATGTCTCTACCACGACCAGGAGTAAGTATTTCCTAGCTTTCTGCAGAGAAAAAATGAAATGATTTCTTCAGCGCTCATTCGGAATTTCAATTCAAACAATTGAGAAAAGATTTTTTTTCCGTTACTCTAAAATGTCTTTTATTACTTCTGTACATTAGCAAGGTTAAAAAATAAAGAAATTTGGAAAGTCATCCTCCACAGCAAAAGATGTGGAGGACAATCCTATTTCTTCTAGTCCAAAGAGGTGTCAAAAAATGTTAGGATTCTTGGAGAAACCTAAAAATTTCTAATGAAGCCTTAGTGTTTGCAGGCAAAAGAATGTCTACTTGGAAACACATCTTGATTTGCGACGCTGCAGACTGCTTGTCATTCTTTGCTTTTTCACTTGAGAAATATTTAATGTGATGTCCCTTTAAACAAGGTAGGAATTAAAGCACCACGCAACTGAAATTGCTTTCTCTTCAAAATTTCAGGAGAAAATGAATCTAACAATGAGAAGTCTGAAAATCAACTCCTGAACAAGACATGAGTGTTTACGAGTAACATCGGCTAAATGAAAAAAATACAAATGATGTCATACGTATAATCCATTTGATCTGTGTTGAAAATAATTTTTAAAATCCCGTTCTTGAGCTGATTTTGAAAGTTTCCATTACGTGATTTGTTTTCTGCGAGAGATTATGAAGAGAAAACATGCAATGGTTTTTTCTAGTTCAAATTTTCTCTAGTGCTCCTTTTCTGTACTATTTTTTCAAAGTGTTCTCTGTTTGAAAAAAATTCTGTAAAAATTTCAAGCAACAAAGTTGTCTAGTTTTCTTTGGAAAAACAAACCAGAGGGGTAAATTTTGAAAATCAGCAGTTAAGGTAAATGATTTTGTAGTCAAGCCGTCAAAAAATTACATGTTTTAATCGAGGCCTTTCGGTGAAATTTCACATTTTACCCATTGTAAAGCCCATGGTAGTACTCTACCACAATAAAATGTGTGTGTTAACAAAGAAACTGATCTTTGAGGGGGTATCATGATGCAGCTGGCCATGCTGTGCTGCGCTTACAAGTGCCAGCGATGATGTAACCCATATTTTTTTTTAGTTTCCCAAAAAGGATAGAAAGTGGAAGCTACTCTAAGGCTTAGTATATGCGCGTTAAATACAATAGCTTAATGAGTCTTTTTTTAAATGATCATACTCCCTTGCACGGCATAAAAATCCTATTGTATTGCAATGCATATTTTCCGACACATATCAAGAAGTATTCCCTTCTTTTTTGCAGAAACATGGTACAACTAACAAACCTCTCAAAGCAGTAAGATTGGACTTAGAAGTAAGTTGATAATTTATCATCTCTTCAACCAAAATCAGTTGTCATTTCTTGATTATTTTAAAATATGAATATTTTATTCCAATAATGAGTTCAATGGTAGAATTCTTGGAAAGACTTTTCATTTTAACCAGTTCTCGTGGACTTTTCACAACAACAACTTTCACACAATCTGACAGGAGCAATCATCAGAATACTATTTTTTCAACTAGTTACGAACCATTTTTTAAAACACAATATGTAGTTTTCTGAACTTTTATGAACCTAAATATTTATTCGATACTGATGTTTTGCAAATCTAGTGACGCTATTTTCATGCATCCTCAAAAATCATCTTTTTTACTCTTCCTCATTACCTTTAAGAAGATTATAATACTTTGTAGGAATGCAGATATCTGTTTCGGTGGTGGTTTTTTTTTTTTTAATTTTTTGTTTAAATAATTTAGGAACAAGAAAAAATAGCCAAAACCGGACTAGAAATGAAATTAGCAACGAATGAAATGGAAGCTGAAACCGAGCGATGGCAGGATTGCGAAGAAAACAACGACATTGTCAAACGAGCGAAGAATATGAGTAGCATGGCGTTCAGCATGTATCAGTTTACTCAAGGCAAAGGCACGCTCAGAACTACTCAGGACCTTTTTACACAAGCTGAATACTTCGCTGAAGAGGCAAACAGACTTTACAAAGTTGTTAGACAATTTTCCTATCAGGTTTGTTACGCACCTCTCGCTTGCTTTTCAGTATCTTCAGTTTGAAGGTGATTCCAATTGTAAGTGATCTAGGAGTAAGATCTGCCATTACGTTGCGCTGCCACATGGTTTGTGTCTTTGAGAAGCAATAATTATCGTAATGTACCAGTCAATGCCAGGAGCTGATCCGTAACGTTTAGCAGCATTAATTTTGTGAGGGCTCATGAAAAATGGATATCAGAAACTACCACAACGAATGTCACCCATCAATTCTTTGTGTAATCGAAAGATACTATAATGCCAGAACCCAATGAGATACTCCTGCCTTTTTGCATTTGCATGTTTTCTTGCAGCTCTATCTTACCAATGCTACAGAAAGTATACCCATCACTCGACTTGTTCTGCACATCGGGTGATTGTCGTTTAACTATTTAACCCAAAATTCCCAGATAATCAAAGTTTGGATAATCAAGCTTTTACTGTACGAGGAGAAAAGTGAAAAAATCGTCATGACTCAAGATCAGTTTAATATTCACCAAATGATTCAAAAATTCCCTTGAAGGCCGAAAGCGCTCTGAGCTCATTACCCATCAGTTTTGCTTCCCTAGCGATGCAAAAACGATAACTATTGTAACGTCTTATTCATTTATTGGTTTTTAGGTTCCTATTGGATCTCACAAAAAAGAGCTTCTAGAACAACTAGACAAAGTGCCTACATATGTTCAACAGCTACAATTCTCAGTTAAAAATCCTACCGTTGGCAAAGCGGCCACTTTCAACAAAGTCGATAGTGTCATCATTGAGACCAAGAATCTCATGACCACCATCTCTAAAGTCGTCACAACGTGCTTCGCATGCGCACAAAAGGTAACCACTACCAACCACTTCTTTGTCACCCTCTGTTTCCTTGCATTTGAAGTCTTAATGTTTGGCGTCAGATTATCGCCAGCCATATATATATTTTCTAGCTCCGATCTTATGTGCTATTCTCAGTGTTCTCTATTTTTTTTTTTTCTTGCCATTTGTTTGGAAATTTTATCACTCTAGCACCAAACTAAGCAGTCGGTATGTTAATGGGACTTCCTTTTAGAATTAGGAACTACAAATTCTGGCTCATCCATAAAAACATTTATGTGAATAGGGAAACTACTAGTCCATATGTTGTTTGTAAATCGAGCCGTCTCATGAAGTCTCATTATCGGACCACTAGGCAGGGTTTGAACTAGAAATGGACTACATTTTTCAAGTAGGAACTGCAAATTCTGGCTCAGTTTAGAAACAATTTATGAACTATTAGTTTCCCTATTGACATATGTGTTTTTACAGATGAGCGAGAAATCGTAGTTCCTAATTGCAAAATGCAGTCCAAATTACTGTCACATGAATTCTCCTCAAAATCTTACGTAGGAAGCAAATCATACTACAGGACTTTCAAATAACAACTCCTGAATGAGGTATTAGCAAACATTTTGATCCCAGATCATATGGAAGTTAGATTATACAAATGACGTCACTTGTATTTTTACCTATGTTAATTGTAAACACTTGTATCTTAATCAGGAGTTGATTCATTCTGGTCGTGAAATTTTGAAGAGAGAACATCTTGCACGGTGGTTTAATTCATAATTTGTCTAGAGGCCCATTCTGACATTGTTTAGTGTTTCCATATCACCTGTTTTTAACACCACTTCATTTCATAATTGTTTATAGATTATGTAGTGTAATTTTCTAACTAAGATTGCACTATTGTCGTCATTTTTTTTCTGTTTTTTATTTTCGGCCTAGTCACGGCCTAATTTTGTTGCTCTCATTTCTTTTTTTTGAGTTCTTGTATTGTTTCATTCTGGTTATTTTAGTTCCTAAAAATATTTTCTCATGATTTTCAGTTTTCTCTATCCATGCCCATCAGAATGGCCTGGAGTGCCACGATTAATAACCCAAGACACATCCGAGCCCGCACTTTACCTCGATAGTATTATGTATTTTCTTTTCATGGTATTCTTTTTTTCATTTTAGTTTTTAGTTTTTTCGTTCAATTTTTCTCTGTCATTCTAAACTTTGAATTTTAGTTTAATAGGTCTCTGCTTTTGTTTAGTTCTTTATTTTCCCTAATGACAGCCAAATTAAGTCCCAAAAATATCAGAATGCCCTTCGGAATTTTTACATCTGTAAAAACATGATCGATCACTTTTTATAAATATTCCTCAATTAGTCGCTGAGGACAAGAGCTGTAAGATGGAGCCAAAGGCGGAGCTTTTTTTGGTGTTAGTATTACAATTCCTTTTGTTTTAATTTCGTTTTTTGGAATCTTAGCGTTTTCCCTCATTGACGAAGGTTACCTTTGCAAATGAAAATAAAAATTTGACAGTTTTAAGTCAAGTGAATTTCATGAAATTTCAGTGTCCTCTTACTCGTATATTTTATCATGCTCCATACTGCCTGAAGTCACCAGAATGTTTCCTTTGTATTTTTTAATCCTGGATTTGGGAAAAATGCTCCAAATATTTCATCGCGTTTAAACTTTCTGCAAACTCCTAGTTTCTCATAAGAATAGTTTTTTCTAGAAAAAGGTTGATTTTTTCAAGCACTGGTGGTTCTTTGTCTTTTATAACAGTCGCTTAGTTGTAAAGTCTAATGAATTTTTTATTTTTTAACAAACATGTTATTTTAGGCAATTACAATCACCATCAACGGTGAAACTATTAGACCACGCACTTTGTTTGCGAGGTTTAAGAAACTCCCCCCACCTTTTTTTTTTTTTTTTTTTTTTTTTTTTTTTTTTTTTGTTATGAGGAAAACGAAAGAATCTCATTCCTTGAAGTTTTCACAGAGTTTTCTTTGCGCAGAGCAGAAAAATCATGGAAGTGTACATGAATCAATGTCAAGTAGTTTTCCATTTAAAAAGTAAAGTATGTCAGGTAGTCTGCAACGTTGCAAACTTAGATCTGATAGTTTCACCGTCACTTTGTAGTTTATTTCTTTCCATCTTCTAATATGTATGTGTATTTTTTTTTAACAGTATAACCTAGATTTTAGTGGCCTGTCTGCTCGGGGAGGCTCTGAGCGAGGGTACAGAGACGGAGAAGAAGGTAGTGGTTCAGGCACGGGTGGAGACTCCGGCAAGATGGGCTCTGGTTCAGGATCGGAAGGGAGCATGTGACAGTATGGGATGGCCCGGAGGGGCAGAGGAGACGGTCGGCGAACGCGTGTCTCTTTTCTTCTCTTCTGAGCCATCCAGGTGCGCAGTTATTTTTTTCAATATTTCAAAGTTTGTTCTAAGTTACATAAACTTGTTATTTTGTACTGTCTACCCTCAGCTGCTCAAGTGAAATTTTTATCTGTCAGGGTTCTTGCAGCCTCAAATCGAGGGCTTCCAACGTCTCAAGAACCCTTGAGGGACTTGGCGAGATTCTTGCAAAAATAACGCTTTGGACGAATTAAATTATATTCACTAAATCTATGCCACACAGCAATGAAGTAGGGGTGTTATTTTAAGGTAGAATTCTTTGCTCCTTTTTGTTGGTACGATACTGTACTTCTTTCATTCTATTCGCTTATTCTTAAAGAAATAAGCATCAGCTCAATTGTACAAAAGTTTTAAAACTTTTCAAACTATTTGTGTGAGCTTCATTGTTGAATTACGTTTTATATTTCTACCCAATTATAATGGGCTGCAAGAACCCTATCTGTCAAGCTGGCAGTCGGATGACAACAACGGCTGGTGGCAATTTGCCGTTGCTCATGCAAGAAATCAGAATTTTCTGAATCTTATAAAGTGATAAAGCTTTTTCTTGAAAGCTCTTCCAGAATCATTAAACAAATCAATTGCGGCACAATGTAACGCTTTTCTCTTTTTATCTCTCAATTCTGAGGAGCCCCTCAAATTGATGGGTTTTTTTTTTTTAAAAAAAAAAATCTTCTCATTTGTGTATTGTATTATTACCATAAAAATGAGGTAAGTAACTATTCGAATTTCAAATATATTAATCAAAAGATGACTCAAAAAATGTGGGTTGGCAAGTGATCAGTGTGACCTGCGGCCAAGCTGCTTCTAAGATTCTGTAGCCGGTCTTGGATATAATGAGGGCTTAAAATTGCCGGATAGTTCGATAAAATGCAGATATTTTACATGGATTTAAATAGGGATAAGTGCCGATTTTTTCAGCACTGTCTGGCAACTGTGGACTTGTAAATCATGTCTTCATCATTCCTGTAATCTGATGATGATGACTGGAGTCTCTCATTTTTACATAATTCTCACAAAAATTTGTTAAGTAACGTATTTTCTTGTGTACCGTGTGTTCATATTTAACGATGATGATTCTGCAGAAATTCTGTTAACATCTAGAAAAACTCTTTTAAATTCCAAGCAACTGATCTAAGTTGTTACGACCTTGTGTATGAGGTAGTTAATTCGAGGTTGCTTGTTGCCAAGAAAATATGTGAATTTAAAGAATCTGACAGCTTTAGAACAATTTAAAATTAGAAGACTGAAAATGGCTGTTTCCAGGAAAAACTCAACTTTTCCTGATGTTCATCCCTCCATCTTTCTTTTCTTTTTTTTTTGGTCGTCGAAAAATCCACCGAATATGCAGTATAACAACGAAATTTCGATCTATAGCTGGATTGCAGACTTTTTTACAAAAAACTAACTATGTGACATTGCACACAAGGAAATACTGTTTTTCAATTTTGTTCCTCTGATTCCTTCTTCATTTCCTTGTCTAATAATGATGTAATTATTGCTGATAATAGTTTAATTTTTTTATTTTCAAGTAATGTTTCAAAGTGTTCTTCCGTACTAAGTCAATCAAATTTAATTTGTCAGTCAGCCTTTAAAATAACTCTTTAAGTTTGTCTCATTGTTTCAAGACAATTGAATTTTACGGAGCCCAAAGCCTTATCCTAGTCATAAGTTAATTGATAATTATTCAAAAAATCCCCCTCCCCCCCTCCTACCTCTTTTGAAAAGAAACAATACCATGTTTGGATTGTTATTTTACATATACCTATGCATGTATTTATCTTGGTGATTGAGAGCAGTGAAATTTCATGATTAGATCTGTCTACAAAAATTATCCATTGTTAGTCCTGAAACAAAAGGTAAACCATTCACCTATTACATTCATCATTTTTTTTTTTCATTTTTTCTATTTCATTAAAATGGAAAACCAAAGTACTTTGTCATGAGCTTATCATGAGTTTCTATTAGAACTTATTTTTTTTTAGAGAAGGATCATTCCTCAAATTAAAGGTATTTTCACTTGCCCTGTATTTAAAGAGTCACATCTTGGCATTTTCTAAATTATTATGTTTAAATTTTAGAATTGCTTGAAGCGACCGTTTAACGTTCAAAAACTTAGACTGGCACCCTGAATGAATGCATTTAGTATCAAGAACTCAAAAAAAAATTGTGTACCTTACAACATATCAAAACACTGTTTAAGTTATTCTTGGAACCTTATACATTTAGAAACAACACCTCCTCACATCAAAGAAGTTCAGGCTTTGTAGAAAATTTTCAAAAAAATTGTATTAATTATCTCTTTTTACCGGTCAACGTTACCAAATACTCATGTAAAGCCACTGACTTATTTTTTTTTGGAGGAAAGGCAAATGATCTTGTTGAAACTTGAAAGAGTTCTCTTTCAAATTATTTTAAGCTCCCTAACAATCATATAGGACAATCCATGTCATGTGTTTTATGCGTGCATTCAGCTTCGCTGACCTAGTCAACTTTTAATCATCATAATTTGGGCACCTTTCCCAGATTTGATCCTTGCCTTTGATGTTTCCAATAGCCTGCCATGGTCATAGGACTGTGATTTTAACCGATTTCTTCATTGTTTGAATCCATCTTAAGAGATGCTGATCTTTGAAACTAATTCAAGAATGAGTCTATGGCGAAATTGAGCTGGTAAGAGGTCAAACTCAGTCACTTAAATTTTGTGCTCTATCATTTTTTAATTGCATCTGTTGAAGGTAGAAAACTTCTTAAGGTAGATCTTCAACTTTTGCGCAATGTATTCCAGGTACAATTGATATATTTCTAATTTAAATCTTTAAATGAGTTATTTTGGGAAAATCTAAATTTCAGTCTGTAGATCAATCATTGAGGAATTTTTGTGCAGAAAATCATCTTCCAAAGTCTTTAAACAAATTCAAAGCTCTGTTTCCAAGTTACCATCGGTATCAATACCTTGAAATTGGTCGCAAAATGATTACAGTATTTTTCACTTTATTTCAAGATTTTGGAAGAAGATTTTCTGCATGAGCATTCCTTAATGATTAGTCTATAGACCGAAATTTCGATTTTCCATAAACACTCAACCAAATGGTTAAAATTTGAAATATATCGAGTGTACCCAGGATGCATTGTGCAAAAGCTGAAGATCCATCATGACACCTACTCAAGTTCTAAAATGTTCCACTGGGAAAAGGTTCTAAAAAATGTGACCAGAAAGTCTCCTTGAAATTTTTGAATGGTGATTTTGGAGTTTTCCAAAATTTCGGTCCTCAAATTAGTTATTAAAATGTTTAGAATTTACATTTTCCCTTTACTAACACTGACTTTTGACTCAAGCAGTAGTTGAATTGAAAATGTAGCAAATCGGATTTGGTTGGTTTTCATCACTTGTTTTTGCCATTGATACACTTTAAGTCCTAAGTTCAGCCCTATCATGGAGATTAAAAAAGTCTGCACTTCCTTAAATAAGGAATTATTCTTAATGATTATCAGTCAATCATCATTAGCCTGTAGCTTGAACCAACTTCAATCATTTTGTATCAGCTTAAATTGTTGGAACAGACAATCGCACATTTTACTACACCTTTTTGATTTAGAAACTTTACTTTATCCTGTTAAATTTTAGATTTTCTGTAGGATAATACCTACATTTTTTTTTTAAAAGTTACGAACATGTCTCGAGTCTTACATTTATGCTCCCTATGTGCTCGGTATGAGCTCTCCTAATTGAAGCTCTAATACCTAGTTGCAATGAAATAATAGGTTAGACACACATTTGTCAGATGGTATGCCTACTATGACCTTAAAAATGAATCTTGCAATATTTTATTTTAGATGTAGAATGTTTTGTGTTTTGTGTAATGACAAGGGTTGGCCATTTTATCTGGCAAATTAACTCCAGACAATAGTGCTATCCGGGTTGGTTGGAGTGAGTTAATGTCAGAATTAATATTATTATTACTCTTTTTTTTTCTCAAAATTATGCCGCTGACTTGTGTGAAAACCTTTCCTGTTCATTGGTTTTTTACAGAATTTAAATTTGAAGTTTTTTCGTCTTACTCATGATAACTGCTACCAACTGACCAAAGTTTCAACATTATGAAGCTTTGAAAATGATCCATCGACTTGCAGTAAGTCACCGAAATAAATTCTAAAGCAATTTATTGAGCATTATACATTTTCGCACAAAATGATACATTTGCAAAAAAAATTACAAGCTTGATGCACCCAACTCCCAAAATTTGCAATCAAATCATTTTGCAACATTCTGCAGGGAAAGAGGGAAACAGAACTTTGTTCGGGAGGTTATTCTTTTAGGACAGCAAAGTGGGTTAAAGTTGTGTTATTTTCGTTTTTGATGGAAAACTCTCTTCTGTATCTCTCTGTATCTACAAATTAAGAGCTGAGTAGCTTATATTCCTGTTCACAAATGCATTTTAATTGGACTCAAGACTCAGCTGATTTTGAAATTTGGTTTGATAAAATTTATATGTTACTTCAAGAAAATTCAGTTTTCAAACTTGAAATCATTGTAACTCGGCCTTTTACATCTTGGAAATTTTGTACTAAACTTGACCGAAGAGTAGTCTTAATCCAGTGATTTTAAAATTTTTGTGTGGATTACTAAAAATGAAAGTTTATTTTCTCATGTTAAGTCATGATTTGTCTGAAAAAAAAGTCTTCTCAAAGACAGATATCTTAGAGACACTGCTCTTTAACCTCTCGCGACTATGTTTAACCATCATGTAGAAATTGGCCTCCTTTTTTTTCTCTCTTCTTTTATTATTGACAGTATTTATTTTTAAATACATGTATTGGGATGGACGGAGTGGTACAAATGTCTCTCCGTAACTATTAAATGTTCACAAAATGTTCATCTTTACTTGCTAACAATTATCCTCTGATAATAGATCTGGATAAAGTAACCAGAAGTTTCCTCAATGCTCCCGATACATGTTGTTTCACAAGCAATAATATTGCATATTATTGTTATCATGTGGATCTGTTCATTTTAAGTGTCAGGTTTATAATGTCAGCTAGTTCATCTCATCTATCAAAATATTTCTCAAAAATGTTTTTCTTTACCTTACTTTTATAGTTTTATAGAGAAAGATTCTCTCATAACATGCAAAAAAAACCGAAAAAACCAATGCCTCAAAATTTAAAAAAATCAAACGTATCTAACTATCCCCTTGAGCTCCATAGGTATTGACACACAAAACAAGGTACATTCAATTTATTTTTATTAGCTGATCCTCTAAATTTGAATCTAGTCTTGCAAATGCAAAATGAAAATCAAACTAAGAAGTTAAAGTATCACAGGATCTTGGGGGCGTACTCTGTCACTCTCTGATCGCTATGGTAATGAGTCTAATCCACGAAGAACAATCTATTGCTTGTACGATCAAGGCATACACTGTGCCTACCTAGAATTAGAGTGACTTTTGTTTAATTTTTACTTTCATTATAGTTAAGAGCTGTACATAAGTATATGTTTTTTATATTTATCAGTCTCTTTGATTTCTCATTATTCGTGTATTATAAATTTCTGTAAAATTTGGTTTTCTATCTAGTATTCTCTTTTTCACTATCAGTATTTTGATTTTATTTGTGTGACCTTGTATTTTCTTTTTTCATTATTTTTCCACGTCATCTTCAGTTTTTTTCCTGGATATTTCCTCACAGTCTCTGTTCATTAGATTATATTTTTTAAACATAAGTTAACGTAAACTCAGTTTGTAATATCATTGTTTTTTTTTTCTTATTTTAAAGTGACAAGTGTAGTTTTTGATCATGTATTCTTTTTGTCTTCCTTGCTGCGTGGTGCATTTCTTAATATCTTGTTGACTCTACCAACTGTATTCCAATCCTGAATGTTCTATTTCATTGAGCTGAAGTTAAAAAATCCTCATTTAAAATGATAATTTTGAAAATGCTCAACAGCAGAGTCAAAAAAGGAAATTTTGAATTCAGTTTTTTCCTAAATCGTCTCTTGGAGTCAACCAAAAGAACTTGAATTATACAAAAAAATAATGTACTTTCACACACGTTTGAAATTAGCCAGTACGGTGAGAAACCTCGTCTGTTTTATGGATGAAAATACAAAAGATATCACACTTGAACCTGAGATTAAGTCTTGCATTGTTTTTCATTTTTTTTTATTCTTTTGTGCAACTTGCTGATTGCACAGTTGTATGGCTGTAATAGAAAATAATATTTTATCATTTTGCTGTTTAAGCAACATAAAAATTATTTTTTGTTCCGGGTCAAAATTATGACTCCGCGGTTCGATCTTTGTAATTGTTAAATTTGCCAAAATGTAGATCTAAGAACACAAATGAAAGTAACAGTTTAAGATAAATGTCATTATTTTAATTTTTAATCGACTTTTATCAACTCAAAATTAAGTTTGAAATTTGAAATTGATGCATATCAGCATTTTTGCCAGTGTATTAAAACGTATGGCATGACCTGTAATTTTGAAACTGTGTAACGAAATGAGGAGTAAATTAATTAATCCACCTTATTTTTTGAAGGGTCACATTTTCAATAGCTTTTATCGGCAGTTGAATTAACACTGGTTCAAGCACTAAATATGTTACGTTCTCTGCTGCCTCTGAAGGTGGAAAATTTGTACAATTTTTTAACTGGAAAAAAGGGGGAATCCCCCTCCATAGGTTAGACTTAATTTCCTTGATGTCATACATTTGTTGATTTTTTTTATTTTCTTTATTGTTACATTTGTTGTGCTGTAAGAAAATGTTGGTACTTCATCTCCTCGAAGGTCACACCAAAATTCAAAACTTAGATTTATGTGCTCCTAATGGAAAAGCCATAACTATAGCCTAAAAAGCACCAGGTGAGTCAGAGGCTATGTGGAAATGCTGCCATAAATATAAAGCAGAGAGCACCATATAAATACCTCCATGTCAAATATAGACAGCTGGATTGTATTATAGTTCATTTTCCCAATTTTCATCTCAGACTGATCATAATTTATAAGTATTGGATTTTCAGGGTTCATTCTACTTGTTACAGCCTATTCTTTTTGGTAATATTAAAATGCCTCTGGGGTGAGTCACTCGAGTAGTTGGATCGTAACAGGATTTCTGTGTACGTTAAAAAATAATAGCCAAAGAGAAAAACTTGCCCTAGTTTTTGCACAATTTTTGGTTGACGATCCTGACAATTTAAATAATAACTCGGCTGAAAGTTTTCGTCAAGAAAGCAGAGGTCATTAAATGTAGAAAAGGCAGAATAGGACTTCTTCTTGTACAAGAGCTCGCACATCATATTTCCACTGAGACTATGAAAAGAAGAACAGGCCAGATATTCACTCTGTTCGAGTCTTAATAAACACTTTCAGAATTCGAGCACATAATATGGAAGATTATCCATTTTTGCCAACAAATTAAAGTTTTAATAATTTGACTCAAAATTTGGCACATTCAATTTTCCTTATCTTGAAGTACAAGAAGGACACCTGCAAATATCAATCACTTGAAAGAGAAATTGATCAGCTTCATCTCATCAATAGCCTACATGGGAAGGCTGTTGCTGTTATGTGAAGTATGTCTTTATTAAATTAGGTAAAAAAAGAGGTGATGTAAAAAATATGTAGGACTTGCTTGCACCTTCCAGTTCTCAATCTGCGAAGATGTATGAACATCCTGCCCCTATAATCCTGGGCCGAGGTGTTCTGTCGCACTAGAGGATTGAGAACCAAATGGCTCAGTTAAGTCACATAGCATGATTTTATAATGTACAAACTTGATCGGTAGAAGGAAAACTCAATGCACGAAATTTGTTCTGCAGATTCCTTTCGATAAGCCTGAAGTATTCAATATTTTTTCATGGAAAGATTAGCAATTTGTAAAAACTAGATTTTGTTCTTTCAATGTGCTCTCTGTTTTTGGAAATCTGATATTTTTCTCGTGCAAGTTTCAGTATTTTTGATGTGCATTTACGTATTAACGATGCTTGTAGATTATTAAACATATTAATGAGTTAGAGAGTACGACTATTTCATGACGTCATAGGTTTTTGAACTGTAATAAAAAGTAGAAAAAGATTTTTACGAGCTTGGTTTGGAAAGATTTGTAGTTATCAGATTTTTAAATTTGTTGGTGAATTTTATATGTATAGTCTAGTTTTTGAACATATTTATTGTTTGTCATTAGAGATTAAGTGAATGTTAATGCAACATATCTGTTAATTTTTTAATTCATTTGGAAATTTATTTATTATATTGCACGAAGTTGTCATCGCAAAAAGAATTAAAGTTTAAATTTTGTTCGAAAATGATTTACTCATTGTTATTTATTAAAGTTAAACATGAAGTTCCTCCCCATTTTTCTATTTCCTACTCATAAGTGTGTAAAACTTTGTTTTGCTTACTTCCAGACAAATCTTCAATAGTAGGAATTTACGGCTGTTTTCAAGTTACATTGTTTTTTTTTCTTCTCTTTTTTTTGTGAATTACAATCATCAAATTAAAAAGTTTGTCGATGTAAATCCATTTTTTGTATTTTTTTCCCTTTCCTATCCTTGGTTTATTCTTCCTGATCAGATTTTGCAGATGTTTCCTATGCCTGAGAAGACATATTTTGTTTCGTGTAACAGTTGGAAAAAATAAATAAAAAATTGAATCTTGTATTACTTCTTCATGACCAATAAGAGAGCAGTCTAGAAAAGTGAGCTTAAAACCCTCTGCAAATTTCAGTTACATTCCCAGAGCAGGCTCTGCTCTGGGCCCTGTTTTAATTGTAACGCCACAAAATGTTTTGAAAATCTTGCAACGGTATGCAAAAATATTAACTTTGGTAAGTCTGCTTGCTAACATCCGATTATTTCACACAAAATAGAAATGTCACTCCCTGTCTCTCAATCCCAAGTAGCAGTGATCACGATAAATGGCGATTATATTGGTGGCAATATTTCGAGATATTATCACATTAAAAATTGCGATATATGGCGATTAAATCGCTACACATCGCAATTTTTGGTTCGATAAAATCGTGATCAATTTTCGTTGATAAAATTGAGATTAAATCGCCATTTATCGCAATTTTTATTTCAAAAATATCGCGATAAATACGGTGATAAAAGCGCGATTTTATCGTGATAAGATCGAGGATAATCGCTCAGATGTTGATGATCCTGGCGAATTTACCGCCGATAAAATCGCAATAAATAACGATTTTTCCGCTGAGAAATGCTAATTGGGATAGTCCCCACTGTTACTCCAAACAGAGTTTGACAAGATTTTTTTTAAAATAGACAGGCACCTATGTGAGAAAATCGAAGCCTGCTCCCATATCTCCTGTAATTGGACTACATTTTGCAATTTGAAACTACAATTTCTGGCTCGGTGCAGAGACAACGTATGTACCGATACTTTCCCTTTGTACAAAATTTTTTTTACAAATAAGCCAAAAATTGTAGTTCCTAATTGCAAAATGAAGGCCAATTGGTCTATGGACTAAGAATCGAGGTTTGCTGAGTCTGCAATTATTGTAATAGACGTACATACATTCATTATCAGTGAAAGTGACGATCTAAACTCTTTTTCTGATCTAGAGAGATAAAAGTAAAAATACACTAAAAATTAACTTGACATTTCTGCCATGTAATTTTGATAAAAATATTGAAAACGGTGTTTTCCAAACAAAGGTACTGTTGATAAGTATGGTATCATTTAAAATAAAACGAGCTAATAGATGCTGAACCTCAAACTCACCACTACAAATAGAAGAAAATAAAAATATTGTTGAGCAACAAATAATGAGTTTATTAAAAATTATCGACACCAAACAAGACCAGAGAGTACATATTTCTCTGGTTCCAATTATAATTTACAGATAAATTTAACGTCACTCTGGAAGTGCTCAACAAATAAATTAAGTTTTAAAAAAATAAACTGACAAAACTTAACATTTTTCCTTTGATTTCTTTCCTATTTGCTAGAAAAGGAATGCTTGACTAGATACTGTTTCGAAAAAAATTGACTAGATCGTTTTTACATTGTATCGCTACATGAGACTCAAGATGAGTGGTCTCACTCGATACTCGAATGACCAAAGTTTGCATGCATGTAACAAAATCCACAGCTTAAAATACTGAATTTTGTGCTAGAAATGGATATTGACATCATTAGTGAAATCATCGACGCTGAAAGCTGATAACTGATCGTTTAGTGTTTCATCTATTATTGCCTCATTCTTCAGGAGAATTCGGCTCATTAGTAGCTTTTTCAAGTACAAAAGAATGACATAAATATTACATACTTCCTTCGTAAGAGCAAGAAACTACTGATAGTTTGATTCTAAGATATTGGCACTTGAATTCAAAATTCACATGGGACACCCTTCTCATGCAACGCCGAGCTTCTTCTTCAGCGATTCGGGCATTTCTGGTGGGGGTGGTCTTGGAAGTCCAAGCCAAACTTTCACAGCATCATAGATGAACCACTGGGCAGCCGTTAAGGTACCAATCATGACAATCCTAGGCAAAAGTCCTTGCCACATGCCTGAAAATAGAAAAAAAATTGATAAAAGAGCTGCAGGGTATGAGCAAAATTTGGTTACTGAGACAGATAAGTGGATTCACTGATGTAGAGACAAATGCTGCCGTGCTAAGGAAGAACGCCATATAAACCTTCGAGAGTTGCAAAATTTCCTTCGATAAAATGTCAATTTTTGAGAAAAGTCATGAATATCTTTCCTTGAAAATTTCAGGAACTTAAGGTGAAATTACGAACAAAATTATCTGAAAAACTGGAAGAAAAATATCCATAAATTTACCAGGGGATTCTTGTTTTTTAAAGAAATATTTTAAGAAATTTAAAAAGTACCAGATTAGGTCAACAGTTAAAATGAAATAAAATTCAAAACTCACTAGTCAGCGAAAATCACGAAACAATCCGACGCGCATTTCATTTTATTTCATTTTATTAAAGGAAATTTGGCAACGCCTGGAGGTTCATACAGCGTTCTTTCTTAGCACGGCAGAATGGTGAGAGTAACAATACAAAAATAAATTTTCGTCATGAAATAAGATTTATTCAAGAATGCGGCCATTCGTTTATGTATGATAACGTTTTCACCATCTTACACTGTAATAGAGAATCAAGTCTGATAATGCAAGGAATCCTTGAGCCAAACATTGATGGTGAAACTGCAGAAATGGGTATTTCAGTTGGTGACGTTGCAGACTTTCTGTCATAATTTATTGTCTGCATGGAAAACTACTAAAAGTCATTCTCTTAAAATATCTGTGATTTTTTTTCTCTGCATAAGGAATATTCTGTAAGAATTTCAAGTCACAATATTTGTTCAGTCTTCTTTTAAAAAATAAAATGAAATTTAAATTTAGAAACAACGCAACCAAAATACGTATTTTTGGAGTTTTATTACCGATAAATTTATCTCAATCCTCTTCATCATTATAGCCATTCCTTTGCATGAACAAAGAATGTGTCACTGGATGGGAATTCACCACTAGGACCAAGAATTATGGACAACTCATGTGGAATGTTCACCCATGTCTTAATGTTCTCGGTCAATAAATGGCCTCAGTTTCGGTACAAAGTGGACTGATGAGTAACTTTTGGAAACGAGGCTTGGAATTTTACAAATATGATGTGGAGAAAAAACAATGCTCTCATTTCTGTTTTGTAAGGGTTTGGTTGAGTATTTTCACAAAGGACCCTACCACACATCCTCTCCAGTCTGAAAGAAAGTATCTTGCGTGCGCTGTTTTCTTATTTCTACTAACATTTTATTTTTTGTGCAAATGGGTCTGGAAGTTTTAAAGTCTTTTTTTCAGGGGGGTAGAGTAAAATCACTAATAATTTCAGGAAAAGTCATGTGTCCTTTGATACAACTCTTCATGCAGGAGCCGACTATATTTGATAAGTCAAGCAAAATATTCATTTCAGCCCAGCACCTAAAATTTTTCGGACTAAAACGAGAGTGACCCATGCTAAACCTTTCCATTTGTTCATTTAGGAGAACACTTACCCATGAAGCCAAGCTTTTTCGCGACATCCATAGCTGATGCGCCCTTGTATTGATTCAATTTTGACACAACAGTATCGGCAGGGTGGGAGACAATAGCACAGAACACACCAGCAATGTAACCAGCTGCGAACGTGACGATCAACTGCTCACCTTTCGTACATTCTGCTCGGGGCTTGGGAACAACAAATCTACAAAAAAAATCAAGGAAGTAAGAACATGAATCGTAATTATAATCAAATATTTTTAATATCATTTAAAAATCCATATTGAATACATTACAAGAGGAATGTGCTGTTGGAACTCACGGGTACTTCACGTTTAAAATTATGGGGAAAATACGCCAGCAACAAACTCCATCCTTCCCCAACAGACTGGTGTGTGTGCTGGAGAGAATAACCTACAATTGAGGCACTGGATGCGAAAAGGGCACTTCTCGATTGCAGTGTTTCAGAATCTCTAATTATTATAATAATAACGCTAAACCTAGGTCATAATAATAATCTAAATTAATAATAGTTGCTAATTAATCCCTTGGAGAAGACTTTAATGGGTGATTTTGCCAGAATTCTTTCCATAAAAAATTGTAGAATCATAAGGAATACTCAGTGAAATTTTTAGTGAAATGGATGCATTCACTTTCCTTAAAATGACTGAAATATTAGAGGAGACTCTGAAACACTGCAACCGAGAAGTGCCCTTTTCGCATCCAGTGCCTCAATTTGGGGTAAACGTCGTGGTGTTTTCACGATTCAAAAATATGTAAGCTTGCTGACAAGGCAATAAATTGCTCCCTAAGAAATGTGGACGCCTCTCCTGAATTCAAAATAAAAAGCAGAAGAACAACAAATCATCAAATAAATTCGGTAATGTTCTCTTGAGAGATTTCCACTACAGGAAATAAGTTGTCTATTTCAATGCTCAAAGAGCATTACTGTTGTGAAGGTGCATACGCTGAAAATGTCTCTCAAGCAGTGCTTTTGAAGGAAGTATTCCTCTCATTCAGCCACCTAGGTCAGCAACAAATGTTCGACAGAAGGAAAATACATGTAATGGAGTCTACAGAGAGACTCTGAAAAATCTGAACGAAAATTCCTGACAGCTATTCAGTTTTTATTATAATTCATATTGTTTTCTCTTTACTGAGCTTTTGTCCTTGAATTATACAAAAAATATGAGGAATTTTCAGAGTTACTCTCAGGAAAATGCAATGTCTGAGCAGCAGGCAAGTCAAAAAATAAACATTTCTTTACCATTAAAAAGCTGTGAGTATAGACTTAGGTATTTGAATTTTTATTAAATTCACTAATTTTAGAAGACATAACGTGGAGGGTTTGATTTTAAAGTTTCTTAATAACATCACGCTATATATTTCATGAGACTTACTTGTACAACAGTTCGATAGTCTTTTCAAAACAAGCGAATTTCATCATAGTGTAAGGAATTTGTCTCATCCACAGTGGTACCAAACTCTTGTAGAAACCATTCATGCCATCATTCTTGTAGATTAAGGGAAGAGCCTCTCTTAGAGTACCAACGAAGCCTGGTTGAGTTTGAATACGGACCTGCAGGAGACAAAAAGAAAACTTTTTGAGTGACTGAAAAATAGGATGCCTATAAAAATTTTATACCGCAGTTTGCACCGGAACTAAATTTCTTTTGCACCGAAAAGGGAAATAATCGACAGTAAGCTGGTAATTCTTGAGTTTTTTTCGGTCTACTAACATATGAGAAGAGCGTTATAGGATGTGGCTGCCTCCCTTTGCTTGTCTACTGTACATTTGCTCACACTGATAAACGGAACCTGCATTTTTGGCTGTCTCAAATTCCTCATACGTCTTACGCCTACCAGGATCTGACTGTAGCAAACTTAGAAGACAGACTTGGAGGGTTTCCTCATCTAGGGCTGCCTCCAAAGTGAAAGCATTTGCGAGATGCTACTATGCAACTCTAATTTTTCTACAATTTTAATTGCAACCAAAAAAAATTGAGAAATCATACTACTGACTTTTCAAAAAACCTTTTACGTTTTATCAAAAGAGAGGTGGTGTATCGATGATGAAACTGCACAAATTCTTAACTTGGTTTGCGGCATTGCAGACTTCCTGACATACTTTATTTTATACATGGAAAACCAGTGAGCGTCATGTTTTGAAAATTTCAGTGATTTTTCTTCTGTTTATAAAGAATATTTTGAGAAACTTTCAAGCCATGATGTTGAATCGGTCTCCTTTTAAAAAATAAACAGTAGCAGAGATTTCGAAACACTGCGACTAAGATACGCATTTTTGCAGTTTCACCATCGATGTGTGTTTCTTGCCATGACGACTTCAAAGATTGAAAGTATAGGTCAAAATTAGGCTGAATCCTCTACAACCATTATAATGGACAACATCTTTTCCCATGAGCCTTTTAGCAAAAGTCATCTATCTATCTACAAACAGAAGTTTTTTAATACCGTCCATTGCAAGGCTTTGGAAAAACTTTTTCAAAACTAAATTTGTACATTATTCCGATCGACATAATGACCTCTAATTCTCATACACAAACTTTGCCTGCAACTCCACCTGCTCAAACAAATTATGATTTCTAGATCGAAAATTATGCTATGATGATTGAAAGAAAAGAGGTGCATTGTGCCTACCTTTGCAGATTCCATAGGGCTGAGAAGAATGTCAGCAAAGAACTCAGCAGATGCAGACGCTGAAAGGTACAACAATGAACGGTACAGGTAAGCGTTCTCCTCTCCGATCAGATTGGAGTAGTGTACTTTGAATACTTCATACAGTCCAAATTTGCACAGACCCTATTGGCAGAAAAGATTTTAAGTCACAACCAAGGTCGATGAACCGATGAGTTTTATAATGCATTAAAGGCTATTAGGATCGCAGCATGAAATAGTTGATGGACGCAACTACAATTGTGCATCTTACTGCCTACTCTAAGCAGGGTAACTGACATCTGTTTGAACAAATTGAGTACTTTTAAAGTGCTTTTGGCACTTTTCTTGCTGATGAAAAATTTGTATTCCCTGCTCTTTGGAAAATGTTAGGTACTTTTATATCATGATTTGCATTATTTTGTTTTTTTTTTTTAATTCCAATAAATTTGTATCCTTTCATATAGGCAACAAGTTCACTTGAATTAAACTGGTGCTGAATTTGCAAGGTTATGGGAGAAATACAATTCTGATTTTCAACTGACTTTATAGGGATTTTGGTAGAAATATTCTCCTTTGAAGAAACACAGCTATAGTGCAAAGTTGAAGCTCTGCCCACGGAGCATAAGGCTTACCTAAATGGCTGATAAAAGAATATATAGGATTAGATTTAAAATTTCATAACTTTTCCCTGACTTTCCATGATTGAGTATTTTCTGACTTTCCCAGGTCATGACTGACTCTTAAAGAACTCAATACCCTGTTCAAATACTAACTCAGAGGCCCATCTTAAATGATAAGTGTTTGGTCCCAATTTTTCAGTTTGGTAGACACCCTCTCCTGTATGAGAAACACTAAAAATTTCTCATTGAAAAATTGAATGAGGTAAGGTAATCAAACGTGACAAAATATTTATTATGATTAAAAGTTGAATGGTTGGGATTTTTGCTGTACAAAAATTTACAAAAAGATGTATAATTTTAGGGATCTTAATGGCCTCGTTCAAGGAGATCAGAGACTATTTTCACAAGTTGGCAACAATGGATTCGTTTCATCTACGACCATAAAAAACAATTGATATTTATTTGGGCAGGTATGCCTCACCTAGAGTTGATTATTTACAATAGATTTGAATCGAAGGAAACCAATGTTACCAACTTGCGAGAATTGCCACTGACGGAAACAGGCATGAAACCTCTTTAAAATGATATTTAACATGCCTAAACTGGAGTGTAAAATAAAAAATGCATTGTAACTGACTACCTACATAGTTCGTGTGAACTGATAAGATCTCAGTTTAAAAAAAAACTCACATTAGGAGTGGCAACATGATAGAGCCTGCTGGCCCTGAACTTGGCCTTGAGGCTATACACCAAAGTCATTATCTATTTTTTTTCATTCATCTCTTCTTTTTTTACTGCCTTAAGTTCTTTTTTCCTAAATCTCTTACACATTTTTTCTAGGCTGATTCATTACAAATTAGATAACACACCTAGTATTTCAACCAAATTCAACCGCCCGCAGATGTAAAAAACAATTTCTCACTAAAGTTCATCTTGGGAATCTTTCAAAGAGTAGCTATAGCTAGTTACCTGTAAAGAATAACCAAAGAAAGTTGGTGCCCATCCTCTGGCAAGACCTTTGGCTCCATCTTCTGCCAAAGTGACCTGAAAAACAAAGAAGAAAATTAGAAACTGGAGTGAAAGTAATTTCTATAAAAATTTATCTGCCTTTAAGAAAGAGACCAATTTCAAAGCATTTACAATTTTCTAATGACCAGATTTTTGTCTACTGGAGACCNGGGGGGGGGGGGGGGGGGATAATTTCATCACTGGTCAACTATTTTGGTCACTAAGCGGGGGTTCAAAGGAGGATCTGCAAGGCTCAATAAAGTCCTCAAATTTAAACCATTTCTTCAAATTAGAGTTCAGAGACAGAAACATGCTAATACAAGCTATATCTAGGTAATTAACAAGTTTGGGTGGATATTCAAAAACTTTGGAGCATTGAAGTAAAAACACTCTTTTACAAAAAAACAAAAAAACTCACCTTGAAACCATTGAAGACATTCTTGTACTTGGCTTGATCTACTTGCAAACGGCATTTCACCAAATCTAAGGGGGTGACGAGCGTGTGGGTAATACCGCAAGACAAAACTCCTCCCAATCCGCAGAGTGCAAAGTATTTGTTTGATCCAAACTCACAACTATCTGAGAAAATCAAAATAAATTAAGATTAAATATTTAATGAAGGGATTTAAAGTTTGTGCTGCTTTGAAAATTCACTAATTATTTTCGATCTTCTGTCCATTCACCAGTAAAATGAGGACGAAAGTAAGAAGTATTAGTAGGATTGTTTATACAAAAACCCGTAATTCATCCCTAATCATCTAATTCCATCCCCAGTGGGTGAGTTCACATAACAAATCTGGGTAACCAATGAGCTACAGCACCTTAAGGAGAATTCTCCAAGAAAGGTCAATAAACTAAAAAATAGGACTTGAAAAGAATTTGCTTAGAATGAATAGCTGTAATTCTTAATCTTAAAAGTTGAATCAAGCGTCAAAATAAATCCTTATCACTGAGGGGTTTCTAGAAAAGGATGCCCCCCCCCCCAAATACTCTCCCTGAGGAAATTTTTAGGAAAGAAAGAAGTTTTTATTAGTTTTATTGAAATGTTGAGTGGTCAAAAATATTTCCATTTCATTCCTTGGAGTCAAATTAAACTGTAAAAGTCTCAGTCTCAACATATGTCAATATTGTACTGAAATAAATACTGATGGTGACACTATCAAACAACATATTTTGTTAATGGTGCTTTTACTTTAGTCTCTGCTCTCATTTTATTTTCCGAAAAAAGATGAATCATTGTCATTTTTTGAAGTTTTCGCAGAATTTTCTTTGCTCAGAGAAAAGAAAACCACAGAAGTTTTGAAGAGTTAATGTTGAATAGTATTCCATTAAAAGTTTCCCATAAAGAGTTGCCTAACTTGTACATATTAAATTTTTTTTTTTTTATGTTTTCCTTTAAGGGTTAAATTTAACAGTGTTTTTAAGGAAGTTCATTCAGAACGAGAGAAGAAATAAGAGAAAATTATTTGTATTGACAGGAACCGAACTGGAAGGCAAGGCCTTACAAAAAATGACTTCGGTACATACATACATGTGATTATTAAAAGAAAAATAATCAGAACATGATGTGTATCGGCATGAATTGAATGGAGAGAACTTGGCCAAGGTAGAGGAGAGGCTTGAATAATCCAATAGTACTGGCTCAGTTTCAAGAAACTTAAAATATTCTAAACTGTGGTCTGCTCCCCCGGTTGCCAGCAGAGTTATTTATAGATGGAGTTCCAATGTAAAAAAGACTCTAGTGCTATTTCTGTTCATAGCTGATAATTGACAATAATTGTTTTGCTGACCTAGCTTAAGCCTAAACAGATTCTTTATGATTTGAAAAAAAATTCCCTCAAAATTAAATATAAATGGACTGGTTTTTATAAAAAAATATAAGTGTAGAATGTTCCTATTTGAAAATGTTTGAGCTTAAAATTTGGATAAAATACCTACTGCATTTTAAGTCTACCCACGCAATGCCAGCCCATGAGCTAAAACGGGGGGAGGGGATTTGGAAAAATGAGATGAAGAGGGAGGGTGTCTATGGGGTTTTCTCCAGCCAATGGAATTACTGGAACCCTCCCCCTCAGAAATTTTGAAAATTACGCTCTCCTAAGGCAAAATTTGTGGTTGTTTTCATGGTAGTTCTTGGCAGTCTTCATCCATTAACTTATCTTGATCGAAAGAAAAGCATAACGTAAGAAAAACATTACCTACCTCCATCCCTCCTCCCTATATTATTAAGAGAGTAAAATGAGTAGATGTCCGAAATATTAATTTTGCTACTTGTCTTTTCAGAGTAGTTTCACATTAAGAGAGGGTGACAATAATTAAAATTTGACAATAGGTGATGCGAGCTTATTATTTTATGTTTTTCTTTATCAAGCCTGATTAGACTGAAGCGTTAATTATAAATTTTGACATATCAAGGACTTACCACCAGGAGCTGCTGCCGCGATGATCTCTCTGTTTGGAACTACTGTCTTGAAATCATTGCTTTCACAGCTGGCAACTGATAGAGGATTGATGAAGGGATTCTTGAAGGCAGATATCAGCGAATTATCTGCCATTTTCGATGGACAACCTGCAGAAAAAGAAAAGTGCATGATAGTTAAAACCTTAATTTTTAAATGTAGTGGTTAAATGATAGACAACTTCCTAATTTACCAACTATCCTCTGATCTCTTGGTAGCAAACGTCTGATCGTTAACTAGACCAAAATGATTATTCCAAAATATCTATCATCTCCAGGTCAAACTCTTTGGGCATCATCAAAGTGTTCTGTGAATGACAATTGCCAGGTTTTGATGGTGCATCTGCTTAAAGTAATTAGCAAGCTACACACAGGAGACTGATTGCTTGAACATTATTTTTATAATTGGAAATACAACTCGAGTCATTCAATGGATAAAGCATTGAGCCCATCGAATAAATAATTGACTGCCCGCGTAAGGGATATCTCATTTGACTTATCAAGACAAGAGGTGACGGAGCAGAGCTTTCCCTAATGAGTGTTGCTGTGACTACGTACATAACGGCTCTTGCATCAATTCTGAGAGATTTTGACCGCGACAAGCTTATGATGTATAAGTTGCGAGTTCACACATGATGTTGCTTCAAATCTTCATTAAGCTACGAAGAGAAGACAAGAGCAGCAATTTGAATTGCGGGCCAGGTGGCACCCCCACCTTTTACAAGTTGTATCTGATTGACTGATCTGCCTAATGCCCACCTTCTGGGGCCCTTCTGGAAAATTACACTGGACTCATTTTCCATCGAAAATATCTCAAAAACAAGGAAAAGTTTATGCGTCAGAGATTTCAAAAATCGACTCTCCAGATTTTTCGGAAGAGATTGATGGGTAATCCATGACATTTTTTTTCTCAAATGCACCAAACAGTTCAACCTGGAATTTCCTTTTTTCAACTTGAAAAAAGACACATGGTGTCGTGAAAAAACAAAATTTTAGGGTCCAACTGCACGGAATGTTACATAAAAGTGTCATGTATTACCCATCAATCTCTTCCAAAAAGCAGGAGAATTGATCGCTGAAATCTCCGACATATAAATTTTTCCTTGTTTCCAAGATATTTTCAATGGAAAATGAGCTCTGAGTTACTTTCCATCAGGATCCCAGAAGGTGGGTACCAGGCAGATCAGCCGATCAGAGAGGACTCCTAAAAGTAGGGGGTGCCACTCAGTCTGCAATTCAAATTGCTGTTCTTGTTTTCTCTGTATTAAGCGAAGTTTTTCCCCTTGTGTTGTGCACCCCCTCCCCCTCCCTTGCAGGTCAGCAAAATGATGTGAAGCCTTGCAAGGCCCTGTCTATTAACGCGAAAAATAAGATATCACTTCATCATTAGAATTGGTTTTTCAAAAAATTAGAATTCCTCATCAATAAGTTTACCAAAATTTCAGAGAAACATTAAGGAAATTTGTGGCAGCTTTGGTGCCATGTCATGCAAAATTGAGCGCACCTCCTCTCTGGTGTAGAGGACCACAACCCCCCTCCCCTCTGTAACACAATGTAAATAATCAAGTAAATAATGGACAAACCTCCACACTTGTGCTTCACCTAATCTTAATTTAAATTCCCGCTCAGAAAAGAAAGAGTGAAAAAGTACATTGCCCAGTGCAGTAAAGCTCTCAGTTGGCATTGTCATTTATGAAAGGGTTTAATATTGAAGTTCTTCCCAAAGAGAACGGCTGTCTGGGGATCTTCCGGTAAATGTTAAAGGAGTACGATTTCTGGGTGAAGCCAATTAATAAACCAAAAACTCGATGGTAGATTTATTTGGCCTTAAATGAAAAAAAAATATTGGAAAGGAAGAATGGACAACGGACTGTGAAAGGACGTTGGACGTAATCACTGACGTCATGGATCATGACAGACGATGGAAGCACACTCCAGGAGTGTTGTAGAAAAATGCAAATGTATGTTTGAAACTATCATTGAGTTCATTGAATATGAAATGGCAGTTTTTCAATTGATACTTACCTAAAGCACTACAAGCAGGAAATGTTTGACAAAAGTAAAAAAATAACGTACCTCACACTATGATGATTCTGCAGACAGAAGAAATCAGAAGGAAGAACTAAGAAGTGTCAGTTAAAAAAGAGGCTGGGGACAGGGAATTTGACTTTGACTTTTACCTGAAATCCCCCCCGTATCCCTCCGGACAAATTGCACGCAGACGCATGCATAACAATTTATTTTTATCACAATTTTCACTGCTATCCATCCATGCCGCTCCAAAAGTTGTTTACATAGGGACGGTTTTTAATTCGGTCTCCTCTTACTCCTGCAGCCACCAATCACGACGCATCATCCTACAAGACTCAACCTATGAGATTCATCATGAAAAATTTAAAGTTGCTAAAACCTCCCTAAATCTCTTATCATTTTTGATATTTGGATTATGAGACATTCCTATCAAATTTAAAATTTAAAATTATAATAGATCATCGACAAAATCGATTGAAATCATTTGTATTTTGTATATTTACGCGCGCGACAAATTGACCAATCAGAGAAGAGCCAGGTAAGGAGAAAGCTAGAGAAAGCCTTTGATTGGTTTGAAATGAAATTTATTTACAAATTGAGTTGAGGTTATGTTTTTTGCAGGACAGGATTGTAAAATTTTTTGTCCTCATCCACATTGCATTACCACCTCGCAGTCACTTTCCTACTTCCCCATGGCGCCGAACTTCAATCAGTTAGTGATTAGCTATGTTTATTTTTCTCATTAATTTGATTAAGTGTTTGTTCTCCAGGTTAGTAATCTATTTACCGTCGTATCTTCAAATCAGTGACAGCGCAGAGATGGAACTTGACCAACCCAACAACTCGCAATCAGAAATCGCAAAGCATGGTTGTACTCACTACCAAAGGAAATCTAAGTTTGTGGTTAGTTTTCATTTCATCAGTACTTCATTACATTTGTCAGATTTTTCTATATTTCTCTGCGAAACATGATTTCAAGAACTTGACAGTTGTAAAGCAACCAATCACAATTTTGAAGCCGCCAAACTGTCGTAAAGTCTCATAGACCTGTTTTTAACCAGACCACAGTAGAGCTCATGAATCATAGTTTTTTACCCTGGTCTCATGTGCAGTCCAAAATGTTTCAGTGGAGCACAGTTTCTTGCTGAACTGCACCTTGAGGGTGCTTGTTTTCTGCGGTGTAATACCCTCCACTGCGGGGCGCTTATTGAAATGATATCGACTGTATGTCGTCGCATTGTAGTGTCGCNAGTGGCACTCAGTCGATTGCGCGACACAATAAAGCGGCTACATACAGTCGATATCATTTCAATAATCGCCTCGCCGTCGTCTTTTTACTTTGTCTGTGGAGATGACAATTAACCATGAGTCAGAGGCATGTTAATTTATTTTTATATAAGACCCACCTGGTTTTTTCTTTTCAATTGAATAATCCACCTTTGGAAATTCATCACAATTCCATGGACCAGTTCATTGCCATCTTTCATGCAGCCAGTATCGTACGATGAAAATAGTACCAATTCTTTAATCTTTTAGCCAGTTCTGCCTGAAATTCCTTGAAAATTTAAAGATTTGATCTATAATGTGTTCCCATCACATGGGTTACCTTCAAATATCATTGGGCCGACAATCTTTGAGAGGTTATCAGTCAACAATACCATCAATGAGCCTTTCTAAGAGCTCAACTTTGATTGTGTGATACGGGTTTTCCACTTACTTGGTCTCATATCAGTTTTTAAAAAAGCAAGTTTAGTTTTCCATTGTTTAGCCCTATTGACCATTTTTTTTGCACAGAAATAAACTATTGCTTTAAGCTCTTTTATTCTTTCTTTTTTTATACGTAATTTGTGTTTATTGATTGTTCATTACATATTTGTACAAAACATTTACTTAATAAGGAGCTGCATGAATTATATCCTTAAATCATAACTTTTAATGCTTTCTCTCTTTTCAGACTCCATGTTGTGACAAAGTATATCCATGCAGAGTCTGTCATGATGACAATGAGTCCCATACGCTGAATCGGAAAGAAGTTTCCGAGCTCATATGTTGTGAATGTGAAACACGTCAAAAGGTTCAAGCAACTTGTGAAAATTGCTCAATTGATTTTGGAAAAGTAAGTTGGTGTCTTCTTGAGATCATCGAAGAAACTCTCCCAAGTACTCTGGAGGTATTTCGCAACATGAGAAGTCATCCATCCTCAATTTCAAAAAGACAGTTGGTTGAGTGTTGAAGTAATTTACCCCAGCACACTTTCCAATTTTGTTTTTCAATTTCTTTTCAATGTCCCTACAGACCTCTGGAGATTGTTATCTGCCAGCTGAAGAGGTTAGGCTATCTCATGTTAGATGTTGATGACGCAAATGCAAAATCTTGTATCTTTTATCAAAATTTCTGCTAATAGGTATTTCATTTTTTCAAAGAGAAAAATCCAACTGTAAAGCTTGAAATTTGTACAGAGTATTCTGCTGACAGAGAGGAAAAATCAGGGAAGTTTTCAAGAAATTAAATTAACTAGCTCTCCGAAGAAAATATAAAGTTTGACAAGAAATCTGTAAATGGAGCCACATGATTTCGCAGTTTGGCCACCGATATGCTGGGCTACTACTCTGCCGTGCTAAGGATTGCTAATTGTATGAACGTTCGAGAGTTGCCTAATTCCACCTGATGAAACATGTACTTTTAGGAAAAATATGCTTATTTTTCTTTGAAATTTTCAGGTATTTTAGATTAAACCGCAAACAAAATTTCTGCAAAATTTGAAGAATAATATTCACAATTTTCCCTTTAAATTTGCTCATTATTGAAGGAAATGTTGCAATTTCTGAAAGCTCATACAGCGTTCTTCCTTAGCACAGCATTACTCGCTAAATAATTTAAATAAGTGTAACCAACATTAACTACTTGGCGTCGTGCATTTCTGTTTCAAAACCATCCCAAATAGTTTACTTTGACCATGCACCCGACCATGTGAAGCTTGATTTAAAAAAGTTATAAAAAGCAGTTAAGAAAATATTTGTAGAATACGAGATGTTTATAATAACATTGCACATCTGATAGTAAATTTCAACCTTCAAATCCACAAGTTGAAAGTTATTTGCAGGGAGAAAATACTGAAAAGTCTTGTTCCTGTCTCTAGCTAGAAGCTCTAATTTCAAGGTGAAAGAAAAAACATAATTTCCTCTCTCGCACTGGGAAAATATATATTTGGATATAGTGTCACTTTTGTCAAATTCCTTTTCTATTTTTGTGAACAAATATTCTCAGTTTCTAATTCTTTCAATGTGAACGTTTTGGTAAAAAATCAATGTTTATTTTTACAGTACACCTGTCTAGAATGTCGATTGTTTGATGATGTGGATAAGAAGCAGTATCATTGTGAAGGTTGTGGGATTTGCCGCGTCGGAGGTAGAGACAATTTTTTCCACTGTTTCAAATGCAATTTATGTCTACCAAATAGTATCAAAGACTCTCATAAGGTAAGTTATAAGTATGAGAGAGGCTTAGAATAGTACTGTGCTGTGACTTGGGATTTTCTAAATGATATTCCCAGCTTTCTTTGCATCTTCGTAACTGGTTACTTTGAAGCAATTCAAAATAATCCCTCACTAAATTTTATCAGTGACAAAATATTCTTAACTAGCGGTCTAAAGCATATTGTATGGTATTTTTACAAAGCTCAATGTATAAAAGTAGAGAAAGATAGACTTTGTGCATCAAGGGCACATGAAACATGATAAAGCAAGGGTAAAATTTGAATTTGAAAAATGCAGGATTTTTTGGTATTTCACAGCACCAGGATCAGCTGCCAAAAAAAGCATGAAATAAAACATGAAAAATCAGAGGTCTCGTGAGACATTAATTTTGAACAATAAAGTCGGTATCTAATATCAGTTTTTTGGCCCGTAAGAATTACGTCTGCTTTATTGAATTGATCGGTCAATTCACCTTTTCTTGGAGTCTTGAAGTAATACTATTAGAGAGCTATTGTGTCTCAAAAACTTGAAGATATGCTGTAAAAGTTGATTTTTCCTAAAATGAAAAAGGTGCCAAGAGGATACCACTACTTGTGATAAAATTGAAAACACTAGGTAGGTACAAAACATGGTACCTCATAAAATATTCATGGGAAAATTTCAAAAATCAATATCAGTATGAATAAGGAATTGTTGTTTACAGTTTGCATAAGAATCTGACTTCAAATTTCCTGCTTACAAAAAAAACTATAGTCAACATGAGTCAGATAAGCCTCTGAAAACTTATGAGTGTTCGACTTTGCTTCAACATATATTTTTTCTCTCTTTTGGCATGCGGTACTTTTGCACTTTTGATTGAACATCAAAACCAGAAAAAAATTATTTCATCAAACAGCACTCTTAGAGTAATGTAGTGACCAATTCATTTCGAAACTTTTGGTTTTTGGGCCAGTAGAACTTTTGAATTAGGTACTGAAAACAAAAATACTGAAATCTCAATAGCCTGGAAAGTCTCAATATGTGCCCACCAAATGTCCTTTCATTGAATAACACCACAATTGACAAACTGTAAATTTTTAGAAAGGTAAAATCATAAAAATTTAGAATAGTGTTCCTCTCCAAAAATTGTGTATGCCATCACAAGCCTCCTCTCTGAGAAGTGTCTCAAATGTGAAGTAATCGTAGGACACTTTTTTTTCACAAGTTAAACTTAAAAAAGGTAATATAAACGATGATTTAAAGCTTATAATGTAAATGTATTACAGTGTATTGAGAATGTCTCTCGTGGAGATTGCCCTGTCTGCATGGAAGATCTTCATACATCTCGGCAAGGTCTTCTTGTTCCCTCTTGTGGTCACATTATCCACAAGAAATGTCAGAAGGACATGTTTGAAGCAGGATTCTACAACTGTCCACTATGTCTAATTACTATACCAGACATGTCACAGGTAATCATAGAATTTACTATTTTTAAAATTCATCGCAATCTATATGATTGAGTTTCTATGCCTAGATTTTGAAACGTTAATGTAATGGAAATGAAGTGTCTGAACTTCACAATTTGAATTTTCTCAGTAATTTCTCTCTGGTCTAGAAGAAGTTTCAAAAGTAGTCCAAAGTGACACAAGTTTTAATCTGCTTACTCTCTATCAGCCAAAACGGAAACAAATCAGAACATTCTCCCTCATGTTTTTCCTCAATATTTGATTTCAAAGGTCCTGGATTCCTGCGTTTTTACTGGAATGTGCCACCTTTTATCTGAATGAAAGCTGTGTTTTACAAAAGAGCAGCAACACTGCATTAACCTTGCTTATTTAAAGTAAAGGAAAAAGAGTGATAAGTGGACAGTCAGTCCCTTCTACCAGGTAACTATTCAAAAAGTTGAGACTTTGGATCTGCGCTTCTAAAAAGAAGTTTAACTAGGTTTAATTTTTTGTAAATCAGGGTAAATTCCTCATTTCTCATGAATTCTAATCTCTCATATCTTTTCAGTACTGGGCGGAACTTGATGCGAGAATTGCAGAGGCTCCTATGCCTAAAAAGTACAAGGATAAGAAAGTGGACATTCTGTGCAGAGACTGTCATAAGGTGAGCGCTCTCATCGTACCTCTGCGGTCATTAAACACACATACTTCTCAACAGATAAGGACTCAGAAAAAGGAGGAGTATCGTTTCGGGCCTTTTCCGGCCCCACCTGGATTCTGCTGAATGTTTCATATTTTCAAAGTACTAGTCTTAGGTAGACTCTGTGCCAAATATTTTACCGAACCGAGCTCGTGCAAAGGTGCAGCAGCGCCTCAAACCCAAAATCCTGGCATCGAAAAATCGATATTTTCGACTGTTTTCACTCCTTCAGCAGATGATTCCCATGCATTTTTTGCGTACTTTCCATTTCTGGCTTTTGAAAAGGCTGCCGATGAATTTTAAGGGGCCTTAAGGTCCATTGTTGCCATTTTTAGGGGTTTTTTCAATATTACACTTGTAGAACTCAATTTAAACTAAGAACGATGTACGTTTTTGAAAAGAACGCAAAAAAATAAAAAAAAGTATTCACTAAAACTTTTTTCTAGGTTGCCAAATTTTCGAGAAAAATCTCCTAAGAGCCAAAAATGGCAAAAACTCAATAAATTGCCACGCCTAAGGTTCAAGAAAGTGGGGTACAACTTTTATATTGACATACGTAACAGCTTTTACCCATGTATACAAAATATCAAAAAATTATAGTTGTACCTGGATTCCCATGTTGTGAAAATTGACTGGGATGTCAATTTTAGCGACCTTTTTTACTTGAAGGTAGCTCTTTTGATTGTTTTTCGACCTTTGTCACCCTCCATAGGTGAGTAGCATATTTATTTCTCTACGTACTTTTCATATCTGGCCATAAAAATGGACTCCTGAGAATTTTATAAGGCCTAACGGTCCATTGTTGCTAATTTTTAGGGGTTTTTTCAAGTTTACATGCGTAAAAATTAATTTAATCTAAAAATTGTGAACATTCTCGGAAAGAACTTAAAAATATACATGCATAATGTTCTTTGAGTTTTCTTCTCAACCAGTAGAATATTCCGTTAAAATTTCAATCTATAAAGTTGGCTTGTTTTTCCTCAAAAAAATAAAACAGAAGAGAAAATTTTGAAACTCCGTAATGGAGATGAGCAGTTTTTCACTTTAGCCATCGATATGTAAAACCGACACTTACCCGTTTTTTCTTTTTTTCAGAACTCCACTGCTCCATTCCATGTCTATGGACTAAAATGTTCTCATTGTGGATCTTACAACACATGCTGAAGATCATGAACTCATGATGTTAAGGATGCAAGCTGTTTTTTCTGTCTGTCCTCATCTGGAAGTGCATATGGACCGAAAACTACAAAAACATATATCTCGATTGTGGTTTCTCTTAATTTGTAAAAATTAAGATAAAAACAGCATCATTCCTAGAAGTTTTCATAGAATTTTTTCTGCGCAGAGAAGAAATATCTCAAAACCTCTTGGGAATTTACATTAAATAGTTTTTCATTTAAAGAATAAAGTCTGACAGAAACTCTGCAATATTGCAAACCGAGATACATGGTTTTAGAGTTTCACTATGGAAATACTTGCTCGAATACTTAGTTTGAATACACCCAAAGAAATGTCCTTATGTAATCTGCTTTCAATAACTTTTCAATTCCCTCCCATCAATGAAGGCAGTAAAGTTAGTCAAATATTAAACTGGAAAGTTCAAGGGAATCCTCTCCATTCTGTGATTAAAGTGTGATACCTTGTTTAGTCAGTTTTCCTGTCTTAAAAGATGCTAGTAAATTCCCCATCAATCTCGTTAATCAATGCCTAATATTTTATTGTTCTTTTTCTATCATTTTTCAATCGTTGTTTTCAATTTTTCTGGTTCTATCATTTTTATCAGATTGTTTGATTTCCTGCGGTGTCGCTTGAAGAGTTTTGAATTCCGCCAGCTGACTACTCAGCAATAATATAACGAGCTGCAGGGAAATAAATCAAACAGCTGTCCAAATAGGATAGGCAGTGTGTCTCAATAGTTAATGATACAGCCAGAGGTCAGTTCTCTCTATTAAACAGCTTATGGACAGAGTTCAACAGAAATTTACCAAGTCGCATCAAGTTTGAACCGAAAAGAAAATATTTGAAGTTTAATTCAGCCGCAAGACTCATCCTTAAGAACGAAATAGAACAGCTTTTTTCAAGTTCAAAATATATTTTTCTCAACCTTGAAATTTTAAGTGAAGATTTACGACACATTGAATTTAAAACAGCCACAACCAACTTTTTCTTTCAAGTGCAACACTGTGCATTTCTGTTCAACGCAGTCCATATAATCATTGGATATTTAAATGCTGGCATTAGAGGTTTGATATTTTTGTTCTTTAATGAGCTAAAGTTAACCTGCAAATATGAAGTCATTTAATTCTTATTGAAAGCTCTAACTAATATCTCTAATGTTGAAAATGGTTTAACGGTGCTATTGTCTTGCATCTATTTGCTCTGCAAAGTTCTGTGAAAAAATATCTCCGCTCCAACACTACAGAGCAGCCGAGCATTTGAATGTTGCCAAATTTCTTCCAATAAAAAGAATTTTTTAGTGAAGTTGTGAATATATTTGTACTTTTAATTCTCAGACACTTTAGATTAGATTGCGAATAAAGTTTCTGAAAAATATTTGCACGTTTTACTGCAAATTCATGTTTTATCAAAGATTTGGTAACGACTGAAGGCTTACAAGGCATTTCTCCCTAGCACAGCTGAAGACAGCAGTACAATTTCTTTCGTTATTAATGTAGACAAAATTCATCACTCTTTACAATCAACTTTTATCAATTTGTCTTGCAATTTTTACGATACCTCCAATCATCGCTTTTTTTCTTATTACTTTATTTGTACTGTCTCCTCTGTAGAAAATGTTCAAATTTCTATAGTTTGAGTTTTGTCATCCTTCATCACATCATATTCCATGTGTTATGTGCATTTCCTATTCAAATGAAAAATAATCTTCACAATAACATTTCTCCTATTGATTATTTCTCCATAAAAAAAAAAAAATGATCTATCGTGTATTGAAATCTTTACGACTCGTTTAATCATTGTATTTTTCCTGGCTATTATTTCTGCATTAAAAAAAAAAAAAAAAAAAAAAAAAAAAAAAAAAAAAAAAAAAATATTAATCAGGTAATGTAATCTTTACGATTCATTCAATCATTGTTTTACTTTATTTTTATTGTCTTCGTAGAAGAACTTCAGGTTTGTGTTATATCCTTAACACAAACATTTTGTGTTCATTACACCTTATTCATCGTGCTATTTTTTTCATTTTCCATTCAATAAATAATATTCTACATAAATAACTTCTATCCTATTCATTCATTTTTTCCCCATTCAAGAAAACCTTAGTTTCTCTTCAGCAAAACAGAAGTATTGAGGTGGATCCTCAACTTTAGCTCAATGCATTCTGGGTATGATCAATGTAATTAAAATTTTAATCATTTGGTGGATTATTTGAGGAAAATCGAAATTTCGTTCTATAGATCAATCATTAAAGAATGTTTATCCTGAAAATCATCTTCCAAAATCTTAAAATAAATTTATAAGTACTGTTTCCTTTGCAACTAATTCCAATGTATCGATAGCGACAGTTAGTTGGAAACAGTACTTTTGATTTTGTTTTAAGACTTCGGAAGATTATTCTTGACAAGAATATTTTCCAATGATTTATTTACAGACTAAATTTTCGATTTTTCCAAGATAATTCACCTGAAGATTAGAATTTGAACTATAATGATCGTACCCAGAGCGCATTGCACAAAAGCTGGATCCAACTTAATTTAATTTGTTTCCATATTGAATTCCATTTTTTATCTGGTCTTTTCATCATCATGGCATTTTTAGTATTGTCAGCTGGTATCTCAGGCATAGGGTGTCTCTAACAAGAGCAACTTGATTTTGCAATATCTAAGTTTGTGGAACACTCGTCAATTTGAAATTTTTTGGAAGGCAGATTTCAATTCTAGAGGAAGAGAGGGAGATGGAAACACCAAGAAGTGAACTCTCAATTCGAGGGTCTTGGAGAACAAGATGCATAAGTTCGGTTATTGCTATTTCGAGAAATACATGTTCTAAGTTTCGAAATTACATGAATCGTTATTGCAGAAACAAAGTTAAAAGTGACCTTTAGATGCTAAGAGATTGGAATTTGGGAGCGAATTTTTCACAGAGTATGCATTAAGACCAGTTTCACTTGAAATCATGAATGTCTCAATTCTTCAAAAACCGCTTTTATGCGCCTTGTCCTTCAAACCCCTCAATTGAATAAGGTTATGTATCATCAAAATACAAGCTAGAATTGAATTTTGCTTTGAAATTAACGTTAGTCCCTCAAATTGAAGGAATAAATATATATCTTTCAGGTGACTTATTAATGTTACGATCAATAATGACAATCCGGTTGATTTCTGGAAAGGAAATACTGAAGTGGTGGTAAGGCAAAGCGGAAAAATGAAACATCCCAGTGAAGATACATATTTCCACACTTTGACCATCGATATTGATATGAGATCGGATTTGCGAAAAGGGACTTTATCTTAAGCCGAAAGAAAATTTTCCTGAACTTTTCGCAAGCACACAAACCAAATTTTTCCACAACCCAGGAATTTTTGTCCTACGATTAGAGCTTCTCGAAAATACTTCTTTCAATTTTTTAGATTTTAGGGTCCAACCTGAACCAGTTTCAAGATTTTCTTCCTCTATATGTATTTGCAAAATGTTTAGGAAAATTTTCCTCTGGAAGATGAGGTCCCTTTTCACAAAACCAGTCTCATGTATTACTTAAAATTATTCCCAAAATATTTTCAAAATGAAAGGTTAAGTGTCAAATGAACTTCTTTTAATAGCGAAAAGAGTATAATTTTGAATAGACCTAGTAACTTTTGTCAAAGAGCTAGTCTAAAGGTTATTTACTTTTTGCTTAGTCTGGCAATTTGTTCATGAATGATTAGAATTAAAAAGCATTTTTTTTTAAAAGGAATAATTATCTTATTCCCCTACCTGCATCAACTGTAAACTAGGGATGAAAGAAAAAGAAAAGAAGAAAATATTGTCAGGTTAACAAAAATATTTATAGACTGTATTTGTAGTTTATTACACAGTTTACCTTCTTTCTGTTTTACCGATTCCTCTTTTGCCGGCCAAAAGATGTCTGGGATTCTTCGTTCCAATAAACCGGTCAGCCTCTCCCTTGAGTCCCATCTTACCAACCTTCTTCTTCAGCGCCTTCTTTGCGATCTTCTTCAGCTTCAGTTTCAACTCCGGATCATCCACACCAGCTTCGTCTCTCGCTGGTTTTGATCTGCTTCTTGATCTAGACCTGACTTCCGATTCAAATCTGACCTTCTTGGCCGGTGCCGCTGATAATGATCTTGATCTACTCCTCTTGTTGGCTTTAGATTCATCTGCAGAAACACTGTCTACCTCTACACCTATTCTCTTCATTTCACCTTTGAACCTTTCCAGGCTACGCCCTCTCGCCTGAACTGGGGTGGGTCTTGGATGGCTTCTATTGTTGTTTAACTGAGCTTCTTGCCGCATGATAGCTTTTCTTTCTCTGATTTGTTCCGCCAGTTTCCTAATTTCTTCCCTCATCTCATCCCTCTCAATTTTAGGAACTGCGTAGTAACCAGCTTCTTCTCTTAACCGCTCCTCTCTTTCCAATGCTTCCAATTTCTGGAACATTTCAGGATCTATGTAGTCAGCGATGTTATGCCAATCCCAGATTTCAGGAATGATATCAGTTCTATATTCAGGATTAATGTCGTAGTGCTCAGTCAAGTCTATCGTGCGATAGTGATAGGTGTCACTTTCCTCTTCCTCTACTCTCTTCATAATCATTTCGTTGATCCTCTCTCGAGCTGTTTTCTTGGGTTCTGTTCTTTCGGTGACCATTGGAACAAATGCAGGTCTCTCCTTTGAGTCTCTCTTGGCTGGCTCTGCAAGATGCAGTCTATTTAGAATAGAATCAACTTTTCGACCGCTAACTTTGCCCTCTACTCTATGTGCAAGCAGCCGTTCACAGGCTGCTTCTTTAACTTCCATTACACCTTGTCCGCTGATTGTTGACATGTACAAAATAGGAATTCCCCTATCTTCAATACCTTTCAATAACTCTTTTGCTTCAGGGTTCAAATCTTCTGGCTTCACAAGATCTATTTTATTGCATACAACAAAGAGTGGCTTATTGGTGAATAAGGGTTTGATGTTATCCAGCAATGAGATCTGTTCTTTAATAGAGTAACCACACATTTCAGTTATATCAATGAAGTAAAGGATGGCTGCTCGTAAATGGGCTAAAGCCGTGATGGCTTGCATTTCAATTAAGTTCCTTTCTTCCAGAGGCCGATCTAAGACTCCAGGTGTATCGATCACTTGCCAACGGAGATACTTGTAGTCCATATGACCTACATACAGAGCGCGAGTTGTGAAAGAGTAAGATTGAACATCAACATCTGCTCTCGTTACTTTGGTCATGAAACTTGATTTACCAACATTAGGGTAGCCACAGATAATTATCGCTCGGGAGAGAGGGTCAATAATAGGTAGACGTCCCATGTGTTGCCGCACCTCCTCGAGATACTGTAAGTTTGGTTTCTGCCGTTTGATTACTTTGACCATCCTACCCAAGGCTGCGATTTTTAGTCTTTTACAACGGAACAGAGAGTCGCCAAACTTAAGCATTCGAACGTAGTCTTTGGCAATATTATCTATTAGACCCCGAGCTATGTTTATCTGACCTAAGGCAACTTTGTAGTGATCTTTGTCATACAACACATTGAAAAGATCAGCATAAAATGGATGGATAGTGTCGAGTTTGGGGAATTCTGTTATGATCTGAGTCAGCCTTTCATTCATTCTGGTCTGACAGTGTTTTACCTTACGCATGTAGAAAGCACGAATCCGAGAAATTTTGAAGTGTCTCCTAATAACAGTTGGTGTTTGCCGCTGAGTTTTGGACAGCATGATGTTGTAAAACTCCTTGGCCGAAGGAACCTTCGTGATATTCTTGAAGCTATAGAAGCTCGCCATTTTGGATCTGCTTGAAAAGAAAGAAAAACATTGATGTTAAATCCGCTTAAAGAATAGTCAAAAAAACACATGGGGAGATTAACACCTCCCATACTTTTCCCAATTAACGCCCCTGCAAAACCAGCAAAGCTCATTTCCACACATCCTCACAGACTCTTATCTTTCAGCTTGGTGGTGATGTCAATTAATCAGCCACAATCAACCTCAGTAGAGGTACCGGGACCAAATCAAGGTGTGGGAGATCATGACTTCTCTGCAGCTCTAAAACTCATGAGGGTCTAGGTTCTTACCTCTTTTGGAAAAAGAGGTAGCAGGGCAAAATAGACCATAATGTGAGAAACCAAAAATGAGATATCTGAACCACAGCTTAGAAATATTAATTCAGCATTGATCAGCGTAAAGAGTAACCCAGAATTTGAAACTTACGCGGCAATTCCAACTTCCGGGACAAAAAATGGGGACATAAAGAAAGCCGCTGATAAAAATTTTTAGCGCTGTTGTTAGACTTACGAATGATGCTCTTGGCTCTAGCTTTTGGGTTACTTATCTTCATTTGAGGCAAGAGAGAAGTGCTACCCTCCATTGATCATAGGGGGTTCCAGGCGTGCAAAATTTGTTTGGCTTGAGAGCGTAATGCATTTCTACTTTACATGTACGAGCATAAGTTGGTGATTTCATTCACAACAGTCATCACAGGGCTTTCAGAATGACATGTAAACCCATGAAATTTCTAAAATCCCCGAAAATTTTCTGAAACTGGCTAGGTTAGGGTACCTTCACAATGGGGCACACTGAAAATGAAAGGAAAATAATACCTGTTTGTTGAAGAGATGAGTACGAAACTGGTTCAAAACCTAGGACTTGTATTAGCTTTCTTAATTTTGGAAAGAATGAACTAAACAGTTGGCCATAGAGTTAAATCAAGTTGGATGGACAAGATGGACATTGTGTAGTTTACGTCTACAGCACGTGCAAGAAGGAAAGGAAAAACATTGTGCACAGACAATGTGCTAGAGGAAGAGGTGGCAGGTGGCAGAGCACTGGTGGAGTGACTGATGGCGAAACAGCCATTGTCGTGATATAATAGGTACACATATTGGCGCGCTATTCAAATAAAAGTATAATAATTTGAGATGAGCACAACGCAAGCAAATTTTTACAAAATTTTAAGTCTGGAAGCGTTTCAGATTGCAAACACAAACCATTCTTGAGTAAAATTAACGCGCAACCACCCCTACGTAGAGTCCCTTTATACCCCTACGTCGAGCGTCATACTCATACGTCATACGGTTCTTTATGTATGTCAGGCTGTATCAAATAAGCTGAAGGCGTGTCTTTTCTTTACCCTGCCTCAACCCTCTATCCTCTGCAACCAAAAGTCGAGCCTCCTCTAGAATGGTTTTATGTCTATAATAGAAGAAGGATTTATTTTCCATGCTTACATGTGCGTCCTGATGTGAATTGCGACCTTAATTTCAATAGATTTTCAGCTCCATTCCACTCAATTGATCTTCTCAAAATGTCAAATTCCAGTCCCTTGAAAATTCCCGATAACATCAAGCCCAGCAGTCAGAGTGCGTCTCCGAATGGAAGTCCAAATCCAAGACTACATCTGCCGAGTCCTATTATCACCAGGAGAACTCGCACTGAGTCAACGTACGTATTTAATCTCGCCCTGAATTTTAAAACATTCCTGATCACATAACAAGTTACCCTCTTTAATATACAATGACCTTCATTCTTTATCCGTGGTCTTGTACAACCCTGCGGAGGCCACCCTTTGGCTTAGCAGTTGTGCATTGTGTCGGCAAGGACCTTGCATGGGAAACTAAGTGAATTCAGCGCTGACTAAATTTCGTTACTATTTGATAAGATGTACTTCACCACCTTTTGAAAGCGCTGAACTTTCCAAATCAAAGTGTACATTTGTGTCATCGTCAAGATGAGAAGGGCTAATGGGTGAATCTTTTCAGTCCAAGCAATTTTCTACAGAGGTTTGCGAGCCTGCCGTTGTTTTTTGAAACTGTACTGCTTGCCGAAATTACTCTGAGGATTTTTGATTTTGCCAGTCTTAACATGAAGGAAGAGCTTCTCTGGATCACCTACCTATAGGAGTGTCCTATTGGTTCACAGTGATCAAACAAAACAATTCCAAGTAACAGTAGTAATGACAGGAATACTTATTGATAGCTGTTGCAATTTTGAGAGCTGGTGAAAATTGACCGCTGTCATACATATCAGTCATTCAAGCCAAGTGCCCCAATGGACAGAGCCATGAAAGTTAACAATTATCTGACTTGGAGCTCGTTTAGTTTGAATAAAACCGCCTATCTACGGGATGATTGGTCTTACAGGGGTGTATTGTTATTTCAAAACAAGCAGTACCTAAGTATAGCTTAAGGGCCAGATACACCTGTGCGCTAAACGCGCGTCTTGACTCGAAAAGTAGGATCCAATCCTACTTTGAGTGAGCTACAAGTGGCCAGTTGCAACCTGATTGGCTATGAAGATAGGCAAACACGGCCGAAGGCCTACTCGATGCTCAAGGTGCGCGTCTAGCTCGCAAGTGTATCTGCCTCTTTATGAACAAGAATTTTTTTTGAACTCCCCATCAAACATCGCATTATTTCATCAGATATTTGGCTTAAAAACGCTGATTGAATCACCACCTGTGTGCGCTAATGTTCCTAGGTCAATCTTTGGTTGCTTTTCAAACGTGAAAAGCAGCCATCTCTAAGCGAGAGGTGAACAACTGACTAACTTAGCTAACAAGAGCTGTATATGAATTCAGAGAAAGAATTGTCAGTCACAGAAACCAAAATACTGGCTATGGGTCCTCGGTCTGCAGTTTAAGGGCTGGTTCTAATAACTTTAAACATTTTTTGACTCTTAGTCCCCACCGTAGATCCTGAACAACAACTTAAATTCGAGGAAAATAAAGTTTTAAATGTTCATAACCATTGCTTGCCATCATGACTCACTAGACCACATTATATTCAAGATAAATTCAAAAACATCGCCGTCAAAAGTTGAGTTTTCCTTAGATTTAGCACTTTTTGTAGGGTCTACGGTATGTAATTAAATGTTTTTGTCCTTCCCGTAGACCATGCAAAAAGTGCTAAATCTAGGGGGAACTCATCTTTTGGCAGCGATGTCCTTTAAATTTATCATGAATATAATGTGGTCTAGTGAGCTATGATTGCAACAAATGGTTATGAACATTTAAAACTTTATTTTCCTTGAATTTAAGTTGTCGTTAAGGGTCGTCGGTAGAGACAAAAAGTCTAACAAACGTTAAAAATTATTTGAACCAACCTCTAAAAACTTTGCTCCCCCCTCCTTCCTCAAAAAAATAAAATAGCCTGTTCCAGCAATAGGAAACCATATGCCTAGCATAAGTAATGCTTGGCAAATCTTCCTGGAACATGAAAGCTTATGTAAGATAGCAGAGAGGGTAATGAACAAAATGATTGATAAGTTTGAACATAAGCATAGATCATAATAATCAAACTTGGTCTTAATACTAATTATACGCTTAATAATAAAAAAAACGCAATAAAATACCTACCAAGATCTCCTTCATTTGATATATACTGCTTTTCACAATGAATTTTTGTAAGATCATTTTGTTTTAAATTTTTGGGCAATAATCAAATCACTTATGTATAAATTTCTCTGTCCGTAGGTCTGCTAGAGCATTATTAAATCCCCAGGAAACTGGTAAGGTCAAATACTTTTGCCGTGCCAAAGGTCATGGATTCATAACTCCTGCCTCAGGAGGAGAAGATATTTTTGTCCATATTTCAGAGTAAGTCAAATTACCTCTCCAATTTCGTTTTTGTGGGCCCTCACTTTGAGTATCGTATTATTTGCTATCTGCATCAGTGCATTACTCATATCTTGCACTTCAAGTTTTCCTTCATTCAGATGCTAGGTGCTGTCCTACTGACAATAGTGTCATCTTGACCCACTATGACTTTTCCCCTCTCCTGGTGCAAGAGAGAAAAGTGGAAAAGATGGACAGTGTGTGTGCACTATTGCAACGCATCAGAAGTAGAGCACATAACCGGCTTTGCGGGCAGCGTTTCTTACATTGTCAAGTGGTAGGTACATCGGCGGAAGCACTGGTGTGCAGTAGAGTACCTGTATAGCGAGAGTGTAGACAGCTATGAAACTCCAAAAATCCATCAGACCTTCACCAATGCCTCCGCCAATAAAGTTAGGGCCCAAAAGGGCAGCCGACCTATGAATTCCAATTACCCAAAGTCGCGTGCCTACAGTATTGCATTCCTAAAACTTGTTGAGCAAAGAGAAAATGATATCATACATCGCGGTCTTTTCGTGAGTTTTTATCTAGTTACAATGATATGATTAACAAGGAGGAAATTGGTTCTTATTCATTATTTTCCATTTTGCAAGTTTCCAATCTGGATGTGAAGGTTGGCAGCGACTCGGGTTCAGATAACTCGAGGAAAAGTTGGCTAAATTTTTGGGCCTTTAGCCCTCCATGAAGCGAGCTGTCCATACTCTCACTATACAGGTACTCTAGTGCGCAGCACACTGTAGCTTTGAACCTCACTCAATTTTTTGACAGCCAGACATTTCTTTGTTTATGGTGACGGTGAAGAAATGACTTGTAGATCAATAAGCATAATAGTCCAAATTGGCTCATCACACCTCTGAGCATGTATTTTATATGTATTGTTCCATAGGGTATTCATCCTCCAAAGTCTATGAATGCACCCACTCAAGTTTATTTTGTAACAAAATGTTAAAGTCTGTCATTAAGTATTCTTGAATTTCGGGAAACTGCTCTGATGTACCGCAAAGTTTTCAATTTTAAACCATCAAGTTCGAGAGGCTAGTCCTGTTTTCTTTTGCCATGAACTGTTCTAAAGTATCAGACAGAGTTATTTTCACTTTTCAGTGATTTCTCACAATGTAGGTAGGTATGAAAAAAAATGTATACATAGGAAGAGAAAATGAGCCTTTTTAAGGCCTTGATTCTTTTGCTTTTTTTCTGCGTATCCTTGAAATTTTGTGAGAATTTTAGCTGTCTCTGAAAAAGCCTTGATTTTACCAATCAAAATTCCTTGAAGAACCCTGAAAAGTTGAAAGTCCTTGTTTTTAGTTTTGAAGAACTGTCAGAAATCGCCAGAAAAACAATGTCAGAAAAACAAGTTTTGTGTGTGTCTTTCTTACTGAATGTCTTAATGTTATTTTCAGCATCGAAGGAGAATATATTCCTCTGCCTGGTGATGAAGTTACGTACAGATTATGTCCAATCCCTCCAAAGATGGAAAAATGTCAAGCTGTGCATGTAGATATTGTCCATTTCACTCCGGAAAAGCACCTGCGATGGGATTCACCTGATCTTGACTCCTCTGTTGATAGCATTCACTAATTATTATGTATGTATAAATTAATTCAGGGGAATTTTCAGAATAACTCTATTTCATCATGCTACAAGTCAGTGCTACACTCTTTAATTGGTGAAACTAAAATAGGTTAATTAATGTCAATGATGTACATATTGTGAGAAGGGAGATCTAAAAGAGGCTTGCTTCTGATCCATTTTGTTAGCCTCTAGTACCCCTTAAGTAATGCTGTACACTGCTCATCTGAAAGTATCGGGTTTTATTCAGCGGAGAACTTGCCCACTATTCTCAGGGTTTCCAGCACTAAACTTTTTTTACAGTAATATCCTTCAGGGATAGGAAACACGGAAATTGTCTTCTATTAGGGATAAAGTACCAGGGGAGAAAAATTGCACAGATAGAGTAGCCTTTTTTATTGCCCGTGTACTTCAGGCCATGATTGTTGTACTGTCTCTGAATTATTTTACCATTTTATTTGTATACATAATCGTTGTAAATAAAGGCACGAAGAATGTAGCCTAGTTTTTAAGGAGGACCTTCTTTATGATCAATGCGTTAGTGTTTCCACCAAATGCAAGGAGAAGAACTACAGACCAACCCTCTGATACCACTTTTTCAATTGCGTGACACCCTGTTCCATAATTTTGCATTCAAGGTATTTTTTGACAGAAAAACAACAGATTTGAAGGAGTACGTTACCAGGTTGATTCTTGCAGAAAGTTAGGCAATCATTTGAAAGCTGTGCCAATGGGTATATAGATTGATTATTGATTTACGGATACGTGCAGAGATGAAATACCTAGAGTTATGAGGAAATAAGGGAAGATGCAGTCTAGCCTTGCGGAGTAAATTCCAAGGGTCTGTGTGCGCTGGTCATTGGGTAATTTCTTCATATATACAATGGCGACAAAGAGTAGTTGAAGAATCAATAGTCAAATCGCAAATTCCTCACACATGCAACATCTCCATTGAAAGTACATTAAAATGATTATGTGTATTGAATATCTATCGGGCTTGGCAAAGGAGCCTCTTATTCTCACAGCTTTTAGTGGCTTTGAAGTAACATCAACTTTCTCATTTCTTTTATAATTCAGTGTGTGGGGAATTAGTAGCTGATTCACAAACTCTAATAAATATACTCCTGTTGACCATTAAATTGTTATTTTTATGTTGGTTGGTCTTTGCTTCCATCAGTATCAAGACAATTTTTTTTTTTTTTTTTTTTTTTTTTTTTTTTTTTTTTTTTTTTTTTTTTTTTTTTTGTGATTCTTTGTAGCGTAACATTTCTATCGCTAAAATGATAATCAATGAATTGATGATTGCATGTATAACTTAAGTTTGCTCTCGTCAAAATTAGGATAAGAAATTAGTCTCATGGATTTTTCCAATCGGCTTCCGAAAAAATTCAATATTCACTTTAATGTGACATGAACTGCTTTTCTCACCACACATGTGTTGTAATACTTCATAGTTCATGTTCATTAAAAATCTTTGTAAATCAATTTAAAGAAGTATTTAGTTTTTTTGTAATGAGATTTTTTTTAACTTTGAAGCGCACGGAAGAATTTTATCTCAGCATTTAAGAAAAGTATATTAAATTGTTTTTAAATCCAAAATTTTTACTGTTGGCAAAATCGGAAAAAGGCAAATGAATGCACCCGGAGTCGCAACACTGCATTTACTCATAATTTTTGACTTCGCTTGGAGCTTGAAGGACTTGAAAGAAAGGAGATTTATTCGTTGTTAGAAATTGGATTATATTAAACATTTAATTTTAGGATATTTTAAAGTGATTTCATCGATTAAACACAACATTTTGTAAGCTGAAACTTGAAAATATAACTTTTACCATGAAAAAGCTACAAAATGAAGGAAGCAAAGTGCCATTTTTCTCCTCCTCTTAAAGGATAGAAAATGAACTTACTCTAGTACGCACCTTTGTCTTGTTACAATTTCCATTCAAAATTCGATTAAATTTTTCAAATGCATAAACTCTCGGCAGAAAGCCTTACCCCCTCATTAAAAATGTGTTTATCAAATGAGTTAAAAAGTTTGTAGCTCGAAGTAAAAGGCTCTCTCTATTCACCAACTTGCTTTCCTTCTTAGTACCTTTCCATTCCTTTTTCAAAGTTATAAGCTCAAATTTTTTTATTAGGAGCCATAATTTTACGAAGTTTGTGGACCCATGTGTTGTTGTTAGAGTATGTTCAATTCGAGAGAATTCATCTTCCTCCATTTTGCTGTTTTCTATTTATTATTTTGTTTGCATTGTTTCGTGTTAATAAGTAATTGGCTCAGCAGCACATCATGTACATTAATTTGGGCTGTCGGAAATACTTTCTCAGGCGTTTTGTCTAATGTTTCAATCAATCATTCCGGGAAAAAGAAGGAGCTGAGCTGGGGATTTGAATAGTTTTAAGGTTCAAGGAATGATGCATTAGAATATTCAGGAGACTGCTCTTTTTAAGGGAAGGGTGCATCTGTCGCACAAGCAGTACAAAAATATAATGGGGAAAAATGCACTTCTGGCTCACTGTAAAATCTGCAATCGAGCTGTTTGTGTCTTGATCATTTCGTGACATCCGTTAACTTCTTTCAGATCAAAAGTTGATTGCAGGTTTGAGGAGTGCATTATTTTATTCTTAAAAGTTAAGACCTAAAAATTAATAAACCAACTGCGGTGTGAAAAACTAATCATATAAACAGAATGTCTGTAATTTCGCCAACGTCCGCTCAATATTCAGTCTAAAACTGATTGGTCGAAAATAGTGTTGCACCAAACAGCTTAATACCCTTGAAAGAAAATTTGGTGCTGGGGTGGGATTTTTCTCTCTATAATGAAACATTAGTTTTAGACTGAAATTTGAATGGACGTTGGGGAAATCATCAACACTCTTCAAAAAATTAAATCCTGAAATTCACCCACATGTTTAGGATATTTTATCCACTGAATTTATAACACATTTCCAATCATAAAAAGCCTAGTGCTCGGAATGACATTGCTGGGGGACAAGCAGTGTCTTATCTGGGGTTTTACCTGTCCTCTACTTATGAAAAATGGATAACAAATCTCATTTCTCAGCCATATTTTTTAATTTCTTTTGTCAACTTCCATCCAATCATGCCTCATGGAATTGAGTATTCACTCAAAGTGCACCCTCACCTTAATTCATTCAGTCTTAGACTGAATTATGGCTGAAGTCAATTATTCCCTAAAATGTTCCAACAAGGCACCTCAATGATGTCAGGTAATTACTAACAATTTTTGTGTAAATTATGAATACTTCTACTGATGCAACCCTTTTTTTGTCACACAAATTGGTTGTTTTTCCAGTATTCTTATGCATAACAAAACTTACAAACACCTTAAATCAGCTTTTTATTTTTTGGTCGTTTCTCTTCTTACATTGTCAGCAAAGAAGTAGGGTCCGAAATGTTTTTGCTTCATCTGAAGTTGCCACAAAATTCTTGGCCCTTTGGTAATTCAAACAAAAGATACAAAAGATAAATCGCTCATTCAAGTCCGCTTACTTTATGAATTTTGAATTAAATAAACCATAAATTGAAAAGTACAGCATTTATTTTTGCTCTTGCTGAACGAATATGAATTATACATTAATATTTCTTTTCGATTTTAGCATATACAGTTGTCTCAATTACTTCATCCGGCTCCTCAAAGGAAATACTTGTTAGTACCTGTGCTTTTAATCTCAAAGTGAAATGTTTGTACTTTTTATTTTAATTTTTAGGAACATGTTTTCATACATTACTCCGATTTCCAGGATTCTTCCCTTTATTTTATTTTTATAGTATTTTGTAAGCTTGTTAAGGATTCCAAAAATTTAAATGACTGTACGTTTTTAAAATTACAGACGAATATTATCAATTTGCCAATTGTCATTCTTTAAAACTCATCATACATACCTAAGGACGTAATGTTTTTTCTCTCTTTCGAAAAGTATTTTTATTTTGAACCTGAGATCTGAGTCAGTTTTTCTACAAGGTTGTAATTTTGAGCCAATACACTGATTCTTGACTGGAAAACTGACAAGTAATGAATAAAGCCTGGTTTTATTCTAGTTTAGGAGACACCTGATTTTTTCTTCTCAGCTAATAATTTATTCATGAAGGTACTTTCCTCAAGAAAAATCATCAGTATTATCTGCTGCTAACATCTTTCTTGCCTTTCAATGAAAAATCAATCCATGGATAATATGGAAATAATTCCAGCGAAAATATAATTTCTATTTCTCTCCTATGAGCAAAATTTCAAACACAAGTACTTACTCCTTTGCAATGTATTTTGAATGCAAATTTTTCATTATTTGACTGCTCTTTTGTCCATTTAATTCTTCGGATAGTTTTAAGATTTTGGAGAGGTGTGCTCTGTGAGGAGTGGAAAAAATGGAGAGAATTTTTGCCCAGAACTGCAAAAATATTAATATGCAGAAATTTCTGTTTTGAGCTTTGCACCAAAAATAAAAAAGTCATCAGATATTATAATATATCATTATTCATTTGCATAATACAGTGCTCTCTCTTTCTGTAACAAATTGGCAATAGACAGAACCATTTTTCATTTTAGAGACATTTTTGTTACAGCAGGTGTTGTATAAAGAGTGCACTGAATGAGGTAAGCTTTTCCCTCTCTCCTAAAAAAATAATTTTAAAAAATCCAATGCAAGAATTCTGCCTAGCTCCTTTTCCAAGAAATATGACACATACCAGTTTAATAAAAACATGAAAGAATTTTAAATTGAAATTGCGGGTGACCTACATTTTCATGTCATACTTAAATGGTATTAATTTTTCTTCCATAGCTTGATTTCACTGTTGCAAGCTTTAAAAAGACATTGAACCACATTTTGGAATAAGGAACCACTATTTCTGGGTCACTTTTGAAACAGCAAATATGCCATCAGTTTCCCCCTGCAGAAAGGGGCTTTTATGGAAGAGCCAGAGATATGTAGTAGTTCTTTATTTCAAAATGTAACCCATTTTTCACTCTGTGTTTTTCCACATAAGAACATTTACCAACCCGTTTTTTTTTCTTTTTTTTTTTCATCTTGTAGAATTTTAGCACGAAAGGTAGGAACACCTAAGGAGCACAATGCAATGAAAATATTGAAGCAACTTTACAGCTCAATGAGGAAAAACTAAATTCCATTATTTTTTATGCAAGTCCAAAATTGCCTATCTTAAATTATCTAAAAAAGACTCTCATGTGTGAGTAAGGTAGGTGCATCGCCAAGAAGTAGCATCTGTTTTTTTTTTTTTTTTTTTTTTTTTTTTTTTTTTTTTTTTTTTGTTAATTGCCATAAATTTCAATATGAGGAGCCCCTTCAATTAGTGAGCAAGCACCATACTCAACTGACTCAACACTCCGATACAATAGGTACCAATAATTTTAGCATTCAACCCGTGATATTTTGGCATTTCAAATGCGGCGCGAGTCTTCTTTTTTTTCAGACGCTGCCAAAATAATGCACCCGAGAAGGATGTGATGTGTCTTGGGCAGTTATCTACCCTGGGGCGGAATTTAATTGCGCTAAATGAAAGCGTGTATGAACAATTGCAGCAGAATGCGGCGTCACAAAATGGAGGGTGGATAGGCAACCCGCAATGTTATTAAGCCACAGCTGATAAGCTGATAATGCCCGTTGACTGCTGAGCTCCGTTGATACTGCGCTCCGTGAACTTTGTTTGGAAAATATGGCGTCGAGCGAAAAAATGTCAAGTTTGTGTGTCGAAAATGTTAATGTAAATAAGGATTTAATCACGAAGCCAAGCACTAAAATTTCTGTAACTTTCCCACCATTACAGGTAAGTTTTAAGCTTTGTCGTTTACCATCTCGGACGCTGTACCGAGTATTCGCAAACCCTCGGGACCGTAGGCCTGTTTGTTTGTATGAACGGGATTCAATCCGCCATGCCAAAAGCCTATTGTAATTTGTTTTCTTAATTTCCTTCATTTTCGACCAGCAAATTATTCATCTTCACTCTATTTTCACTATCATAGCTCTGATTGATTGAATATTGACGGAAATGCCACAGATTTGGGGGGTGGTCTGTTATCACAATGGAAGGTCTATGCTTGTGAGCTGTGTTGTTTATTAGACCACTGAATTCCATGCTCTTCTCAAATTTTCCCAAGAATTGGAATATCTTGACTGTATCATCGGTTAATCCTCTTGTTACCTGATAATTAAATGTTATTACAAAATTTTCCATGAATGGAACCATTGCATTTCATCTCCGTATTCATTTTTCGTGTAGGAATTTCTTGTCATCGGTCGTTAACACGATGTGCGATTGAGACAGTAGTTGTTTATTATGAGCCATTTCGAGTGGTCGGATGAAAGTTCTAGTACAATGGTTCATCGCTTTCATTCAGCACAATGAATTTTTGGTTTACGGTGAGTTAGTTATTTGCTAAAGCTGTAGTCATGTTATTTCTTGAATGGATGTAAACAATAGCTGATTGTTCCGTGTTACGTTCACACAATGTCTGCATGACTGGTCAAACTATTTTGATTCCTTCTGTTATGATTTTCGTTATATTTTTGCTTGCTATAGATATGCCCCCTTTACTCTTCACTGCTGGTTTTTTTTTCAATTCAAATCATTTGATCTGGGCTGTAAACTGAGTTATAACCCTGAGTATTCCTGTAGGTAGCCATTTTTTGATATTGCTTTAACTGCTTTTCCAAATTCGCAATCTGATGAAATAGTCAGTTTTATTTTTATCTGGAGGTCATAGTTTCTCTGTGTGATTTTCTTTCCTTTTATTACATTATTTCGGAAGTGCAGGATGTCCGAGAATGCCTAATGTCTTTACTTTTGTCAACCTTGACTTCCTTTGACGGGATTGTCCACCTTCGAGTTGATTGAATTTAAACTTACCTGCCGAATATCTTTTTGTTTTTATAATTGCTTAATGTACCTTGTTGGCTTGAATTTATCAAATTGTGTTAAATATTGTCATTCGATGTGCGTCCTGGGTATCTAATGACCCGCTGAATTGGCCTTTGTTCATCTTAATTAGTTTTTCTTCTCTACGGCCACTGTTTAGGGATACAGGAAGTTTGTAAGTACTGAAGGAAAACATTTCATGTAATCAAGAACTCACTCTTTCAATATTTGCCTGAGATTTTAGGGAAGGCTAACCTATACTCCATGAAACGAAAGTTCTTACACCACTTAACCTCTTTTGCTTCATGAGATCTACGGTTCCTTCATTCTATGCTATCCTGCATATTCTATAAAACTAATAAGAGAAGTCATCGTGGGGTCCGACTGTGATTGACCAGGTGTTGAACACATCTCGCCGTTCAGGTGTTAAATTTGGGCAAACTTGGAGCTTCACCTAAAGTTGAAGAAGTCTGTCAGCTCTGCGCTTAGTTCAAAAAATCATTTGCTTTGTGAAACTTGAAATTTCTTTAAGTATGAATCGGATTGTCTACACATATGTATCGTATTTGATACATGAAATGTTTACTGGCACCAATATTGAACATTTTTATACTTATTTTGCTGACTTTGTTTTTATTTCTTTGCCTTGTAAATTTATGTGTGTTATGAATGAATATCCAGACCATTGTAAAGGTGTTAGCGTATATTTTTTGCTCAACAATTTCTGCTAGATTTTTTACCTGAGCAACAATGTGTATCAAATGTCATCTTCATTGCAACTGATCAGCCAGATGAATGACCTTAAATAATTCAAGTAATTTTATTGCGTTTCCTACTTGCTTAGATAGCCATTCCAAAAATGTCCTCACATATCATGTGTTCTCAAGATGGCATTAATCTGTCAATGTTTTTTGCACCCCTCAGCACATAAAGTGATCAGCTCAGCTCATTTTATGAAGTATTTTGAATTTCAAAGCATACTCTAATATTTACTGCACCCCTTTCTGACGGAACAAGTATACCCTCAACTCTCTGATCCCAATTTTTTCTTCTTCTCTTCTTCGGTGCAAGTATGTGTGTTTCTTTATTTTCTTTCAATTTTAAGTCACCGTCTATTGAGAACAAAATTGAGTGACTGAGTGTCACAACATCTTGGCCCATTATTATCAATCGGAATTTTATTTATTGGCATAGGTTCTGTTTCTTGGGGTCATGCTGACGTTTATGTAATTTTAAAATGATCGACTCATATCGCACCTTCAATGGTTTCTGCCAGGAAATAGTGGTTTCATCCTAAGAAGGATTAATGTTAGGAACAACCATCTAAAGTCTGCTGATAAATTACATCATGCTGAAATTTAACATTTTCTGCATCCCTCTGACCTTCCCCCCCCCTCCTTCTACATTTCGTAACAAAACCTCTCCCCTGCATCAAATGAAGAAAAAAAAACAATCTAGTTAATTGAGACTGGATTATCAACAAATCTGTATGTCTTTTGATACCTTTCAAAGGTTTTTCTGTCAAATCGATTTTGACAGGTATCAATCAATAATGTAACCAATTGAAAATCTTGAAGATATCTTGAATTGGTCGAACAGAATTAAAGCTATTCCGTGCTCTTACTTTTTTTGCGTTGTAATGTATCATGTGTTATTTGTAGTTCAGCTTCGTCATCTGCACTAAGCAGTTAGTCAGATTTCAATAAACGTGCCTACCAACATTTATCTCTTTTCTAACTCGTTTCATCTTAATTTGTGAGATTCTCAATGGTTAGAATCATCTAGTTTTAAACATGAGTCCAGAAAATGCTGGGGTGCGCTCCTGCGCCTTTAATGTGAAAGTAGTCAAGAACCCAAAATTTTTCTGAAAGGTGTTGAAAGATGTTTTTCTCCCCTTCTTTCTGGCTGCGTTATGTAGAAGGTCACATAGTTTGCTCATTTAGTTTTAGGAGAAAAATTGAAAACTTTTTTGTGCATTGGTCTCAGTAAAATTGTTTAGCACGCTTTTTGAGCGGCACTGAACCGAGAGTAACTTAGCCCTCCAATATAAAAAGTCTTTCATGTGTAGGCAAAGAACTTTCTGGACCTTTGGTTTCAAGAATTTAAGTTTGTGCATGAAATTATTTATTTTGGCAAATTTTACGTTGGTAGTCATTATGTCTCTGCTTTTTGTGTATACTATAAGATAAGCGTGATAGCAATGATTTATGTGACAAAATTTCCCCAAATTACTTAAAATTTCCCAGGAAAACCAACAGTTAAAAATCTTCAGACCTTGTTTCTTTCTGTAGTCCTAATGTCGCTGATTTCTTTGATTTAATCTGAAAAGGAGTGAGGTGTTTGATGAATATGAAAAGGGCATTTAAGTTTATAAGGTTGATCTTCCAGCAAAGAAAGGGCAAAATTTGATGGAAGAGGAATTAAGCTAAACTTCATTTATCGTTGGATTTTTTCATGTCTGGATTTGCCGTATTTTCAATATAAAAATAATACTAGCCCAAAGGACGGGAAATGAAAGATGTCAATTTGATTCTTGCTTCTAGTTAAACTTGAGTGGATCAAAATCCATGCGATTTCTAGAGGAATCTCTAATTAAAATTATTGCTACAAGAAGAATCACTGCAATAGTTGAGATGCAGGATACCAAATTCTCCGCGATGAAAGTTTCTATTTCTATTTCTATTTCTAATCTTCTGTTTCAGAGTCTTGAAGTCACTCTCAAAGATAACAGAAAGAAATATGCAGACAAAGTTCAAGCTCTCCTATGGGCTTGGGAGCAAGTTACCAACTGCATGAATAAAGATTTCTCTCTGGCGGTTTTTGAATTTATGCATGGGTAAGTCTTTATTCTCACATAAATATTTTTATAGGGTAACTTTGAAACAAGAAAAAAAACTGACCGGTCCCAGGGAAAGGAGCCTAAAGGCTCCTGCTGTGTTTCGTAAGAGAGCCGTAACTGCACTTCTGTATCAGCCATGGTTAGGACATGCTATTGTCTCAAGGTTCATTCCGGACTGCACTTATAGCTCTCTCCCGAAACACGGCAGATTTGGAAGGAGTTGTAAGCTGCTATATGGCAGAGGGTTGGTCAGCAAGGAAGAAAAAAGAACGAAGGGATAGCTGCAAGTTTGATGGTACCTTTGTTTTCAGCGAAGAGAGCCATACACCAAACATAAAGATATCGGAAAAAACTGAAAGAACTTGGGCAGAATCAATTAGACAGATCACCGATCTGGCCCAGATTCAGATCAGATCTGGTCAACAGCCAGCTGACAGGAGGAATATCGACGGTGTAAGTCAGCAATCACATAACTCGTTTTCAGTGTCTGAAAATCTCCGACTCGATGTTATTTTTTTAAAGGAGAACAAATTAACATCATTCCTTGAAGTTTTTGCAGAATTTTCTTTGCACAGAAAATAAAAATCAAAGTAGTTTAAAGAATTGCTGTTAAGTAGTTTTCCGTTTAAAGAGTGAAGTATGACAGGAAGTCTTCGACGTTGCAAACCGAGTTATGTGATTGCTGACTTACACCGTCAATATGCTTGAGTTGCCAGAAATGGCAGACAGTCAACTGGTCAAAAACCAAACTCGTGATAAGGTAGTACACATGCGTCAACCAGCCATATTCCTGCCAGAATATGAGGGATTGAGGCACCGACTGCTACAACTTCCTCCTCTGTAGTGTACTTCTAATGTGGAGCTCCAGTACAGTTACCAGACAACAGTTTTTGCAGCAACTAATGAAGTCAAAAAAACGACCATCATACCGTTAAATTGATGATATAGCTTTCAACTAGGTGTGGAATAATAAAGTTTACTGGACGGAAAGAAGATTTCTTGGGAAAGCTAAGTTAAAATATGCTTTGGAAGTGTATCCGCCAAAATGCAGTTGAGCAATATTTTACCATTTCAGTAGCCTATAATCAGGGTTGTTGGCCGTCTGGAAAACCCAGAAGGTAAGGGAAACTCAGGGAATTTACGGGGACGAGGAAAAGTCAGGGAATTTTGCAAGGTGTGTTTAATGGAAGTGAGTGTAATTGGCTGGCTTCCAGATTGGAAGAAGGGAATACATACCTTTAATCCAATGTAAAGTAAGGTCAACTAATTGGACGCATTTATGCAAAATGGAACTATATGGAAGTAGAAAGATGGGGTGTGCTTGTTAGTGCTCGGACCATAAGAGCGAATGGGACTTTAAAATAGCCAGTGACGTCAGCGGCAATGTATGAGGAGGCAGGACGGGGAGATGGGTGGCGGGACTCTTTAACTCATAAGCCCTGTCCACAAGGCTCTTGTCACATGCCCACGGCTCACGAGTTAGCGCTCAGTTCCTTTTGATCTAATGTCAAATCTCGCTTTTCAATTTTCTCAAAAGGAACTATATCCACTGACCACATTGTTTCTTATCAAGCTTCTACGAGCACACCCCATCTTTCCACTTCCACATAGTTCCTGTTAGCATGAATACGTCCACTTTAAATAGGAAAATCTTTTGAGTTCTTTTCTCTGAGTGATTGCACGACATTGTGTTTTACTTTCAGGCAAACTTTGTACCTTGTCCTGCGCGGAGACTGGCCGCGACTCGCTCCAGTCATTCAGACTCATCTTCTCGTCCTCCTCCAGAAGTGTCTGAAATACTTGAAGGCCAAACATGCCGACTCTAGTTCTATATCTCGTTGTAGCTCTCTCATGAACCTTGTGTCTGATCCTTGGGGTCATGATACTCTGTCCAAATTAATTCATGGAGAAGAAACCACAGACAAGGAAGGTGAGTTACTTGCGCATTATTTTAATTATTCTTCTAGTTTTTTACTCCATTTTATTTTTTGAACAGCTAAAAAAAGAAAAAAAAGAGATTTATGGTTGATGTTGAAAAGAGTGTAACTTTACATGTTTCCAAATTACCTCACATTATTCGTTTTTTTCACCCAAACACATATCAACATTTCCCCCTGAGAGTTATTTTCTTAGTATCTTATTTCCCATACTAAAGAAAATGATAAAATAATTTCAAGAAAAAATATAGAGCAGTATTTCTTTGAAAAAATGAAATATAAACAGAAAGATGCAATGTTATGACCGGAGGTTTGCATTTTTCGACTTTAGCCATCGAATTAAAATGAAACAAATGATAATTTACCTTGAATTGTAAGTTACAATACACAAATTTTTAAATATCTGATAGCATCACTTCCTGTACCGCTCCTGGAAAATTAAAATTCCAATTTCATACATCAAGAGAACTCTAACTTTTTAAATCTCACAATGAAAGAGTTGTTCTCTGCATTTATGTTCTTTCCAAGCACTCAAAAAATTAACTCTGAGAGAATTAGGAAGTTAATATGTAATTGTCAAGGAAAGGAATTTTAAAGTTCAAAACTCCGAAATTAAGCTGTCTGTGCAAAATAAAAGGCTTACTTTCATGCCTAATTTAAATGACTCAACAAGTCTTTGCATCCGATACTTTTTTCTCATTTATACATCCTAATTTTCTTTGATTTTTCCTAAAAACGGAAATTGGCTACGATTGGCATGTGACTAAAATGGAAGCTTGGTTATTTTGAGGTCGATATTTGGTTTCTGGCAGGAATCAAAAGTTAACTGCCTGTGTTCAGTTCTTGTGCCCTGCATTTTTTGTACAAGTATATATGATATTTTTTCAGTAATGGAATACTGCCAGGCAGAGAAAGGAGATCTCATCATGATCAGGCTAGAACTTCTGATCGTTTCCAAGTGCGAAGACATGGCACTTAATTTAGCTGGAGCTGCTGTGAGGTGGATGCGGGTCCCCAATTCAGGCTGTGAAACAAATTCAACAAATGATCAAAGGAACTTTTTCCTCGACGTATACCTAACAACTTTGTGTCGCTTCAAAAAAAATCAAGAAATTATTTTAGAGGTCAGTTTTTTTTACAAGTTTTTAAAAAGATATATTTTTGTGCCATCTAAAGAAATGAACGATTCCCAGACGTTCAAGTGTTGGCTAGGCAAATAGACTTTTTATATGGAAATGTTGGCAAGGATGAATTAACGTCAGAGATGCACTCAGGAGGTCTCAAAATTTACCATAGGGGCATCTGGTCACAACAAGATCTCGCACGGTGGAGACATATTTTTGAAAAAACAGTTGGTTTCTGTTAAGGGCAGGTGCAGTAACACTCATTTGCCGTAGCAAATATTCATCACAGAGGGCAGGAATTTCAGTCGAAAGCAGTTTTCTTCCATGAGCAGGTCCTGCCATGACAAGGTTTCACTGTAATTAATTTTATTTTAGTTGCATGTCACCGAAGAAGGCAGTAGATACCATGTGTAAAGCACCTCTCATTGGCATTTAATTGTTCCAAAATATTTCTCATTCTGTTGTTTGTGTTCATCAAAAGATCAAATAATTAAATGAAGTGTGAAAAAATGTTTCTGATGCTGAAATAACTCCTCAATAAATGAAATTGAATTCCTCGATGGAATAAATCGTCAATACCGGTGCTGAAACTACACAACCACTTTTTTCAACTGGCGCTGTTGTAGATTTCCTCTCATTTTTTACTTTTTTGGAAATAAAAAAAGGAACCATTTTTACTGCACAAAAATTTTTGTACTTTTTTTGGTGAAGAGTCGGTGATTTTGCCAATGTGCGTTAGTCCAAAACTGATGTCCCAATATATAAAGAGACAAAAGCTCATTTGAGCGTAGTCTTATCTTGAGAGAGAGAGAGTTATGCTGTTTGGTGCCACCCTTAGATACTACCAATCAGTTTCTTTTGCTTCAAGAATATTTTCTTCATTATTCTTCACTATTAATTTTAAGTAATATTGCCTTAAGAAAATGAGGTAGAAGCAGATAGTTAAAAACATTATAATCAACATTAATGTTTCTGTAGTTTCACAATCAATATCCTCCAAACTTGATGCAATCTAATATTTAGCAGAATCAAGGATTTCATGTTGTGCGATGGGAAAAGTTCCTGCAGCTCTTTTTTTTACCCTCTCCATCTTAACTTTTCATGAGAGTCTTGTATTTTTACAGTTAAAAAGCTTAGATCTGGAACAAGGTTTGGAACTGATTCGAAGGTATGCCTCACCCAGTTGGCCAAGTAGCTATAATAGCTCTCTCTCAAGCAGCACCAGCTCGGCAAGGATTTGGCGGCACGGTAACCGAGTAGCCGAAATTGCGGTTAATACATTCCTGGCTTCCGCCATGGTTCAACCCCCTAGTCTTCATCTTGCCGACTTAGTTTTAGAATGGGCTATCATTCATGGCCCGATGATGAAATCTTCTCCTCAAACTTTTTTTGATATGATCAAAAAGTTTCTCATGACTGCGCTCTCGGAGGAACATGTCTACATCTTCTCTGAAGTTCTCGTAAAGCAGGTGAGTCCCTACTATTTTCAATAATCAGTAAACTGATCGTCCAACAAAAAAAGGACCATGGTGTTCAAGGACCCTGCGCTGGAAGCCGCAGAATTTGACCCCCACTAGATTTATGATGCTCTTGAAAACTTTAAGAGCACAATGAACTTTTAAAATTGAATATTCTCCATGTTAATGTACATAAAAGCGAAGCTGAATAGTTAATTCTGGCATTCTTACCAACTTTTTCCTGTAGAGATGCGACACTGTTGCCATGTGTATGCGGTCGCTGCGCAGAAGTTTTTGTACTGCCATGCTAAGGATAAACTCCAAGTGAATATTAGAAAGTTGCCAATATTCCTCCGATAAAATTTTTATTTTTTTGGAGTGTTATCAATATTTTTTAGTGAAAATTTCAAATAATTTAGATCTGATTGCTACTAAAATTCTCTGATAAATTGAAGGTAAATATTAGCAGGTTTCCTGGAAAATTCAATTTTATCAAAGAGGATTTGGCAATGTTTGAAGGCTAACTCAGCTTTCTGCCCTAGCATGGGCAGTACAGGTCTGGAAAACGAAGAATGGTCAGGGAATTTTACTTGGTGAGGAAAAAGCCAGGAAATTTTATGAAAGCAACTATGAAAAATCCTGAAACTTAAAATAGGAGAAAATATTAGCGCTATCTACTTAATCAAACTTAGTTTCAGGCTGGTTCAGGGTCCAGTGGTCTAAGTCACGCTTTAAATAGAGAATATAGAGAAATCATTTTCAATGAGCAGTACCTGAAGAATTTGTTAAAATACCATTTACAGAGAAATCAATGCCATCGATTTTTCATTATCAGTTCTTCACGAGCAGTTTGTGGACTCAAGAAGTCTGAGAACTCTGATCATTTTGGTTAGGAAAAACTCAAAAAAGTTGAAGTTTTTTCTTGCCGCGTCTGTAGACACCCTGAGTTTGATTTCCCAAGCTTATTCTGGCAAGGTGGTCATGGAAGGCACAATTTCAAATAACATCGAAATTAACCATGACCAGATTCCTTGGTTTTTGTTGAGGCTCCTTTTCGGCCAAGTAACTTTTGTCCACATGGGTGGATTAAGCAGAATTTGAATTTTGAAAGGAAAACTTTCTTTAGTCCCTGATAGAAAAGTTTTTAAAGAGTTTCAGTACATTTTTGTACCAATGAAGGGTGCAAAGTTATGGTGCCTTACATAATTAAGTCACTTTCCTTCCAGCAGATTTAACCTTTAACCAGCTTTTTCTGAAAACTATTTTCTCAGTACTCCAAATTTCCCAAGATAACTCTGCAGGGGTGCAATTTGTTCAAGGCCTCTGCAATTTTTTGCAATTCGCTGGGTTTTCGCGAAAAGACGCAATTAAAGAATAATTGGCACCTCTATGACTATAGTTTAGTTTTCCATTTTTCTACCTCTGTAAACTTCCATTTGTAAAACTATCCTCCTCACAGGCTAAAATATCGCATTGTGAAGTTATTTAATTGTGACAGCTTTGTTAATTTCACTCAAACACGATTAAATTGCAATAGTCGCAGAATTTTGTTTTGATAAGTAAGTTCCTCACTGTGGAGAAAAATCGGTCAACCAAAATTCTGCCTGAGTTTCACAAATTTGGGAAAAAAGCCTAACTATTTTATGAATGAAAATTTCAAATAAGCGGGCCTTGGAGGTCTCCATGAGTGTAGTGTATTGAGCTCTGTTACTGGGATGAAAACCTATGCTGACTGTTCAATGTTGCACTCTTTACACCATGACGTAGAAATGGTGAATTTCAGAGATTTGTTGCAATAATTTGTTCTAAAACTAAAAGTTTATGGAATGAAAGTCACAGTATAATCAATTTAGCTTGCAGTTATGACCAATTGTAACTTCATGGGATCAATTTTAGTCTCATAACAGGCAAAAATAGGTTTGCAGTTTTTTCATATCAACTAAGCTAAAAATAAAAATGCAGAAAAAGACAATAGAGATGCATCAAAATACATGAAGTGTCACTACTCCTTGAAGTTTCCTCAATCTTGCATTAATTCGAACATCAGGATAGCACACCTAACTTCTCTGTGGTTTAAAGTGTGTAAGTTTTATAACATAGTAAGATAATGAAAGTATTTTTGTTTTATTTTTAATTTACAGTCATACCTCGTTGTAACGTTTCTCAAAGTAACATTTTCTTGGAGACAACATTCATAGTTTCAAATCCATGCTGTCCATTTTTCGTTTCAGTGTTGCTCAAACTTATATTTTTCTTGAAACAATGGTCTACGTTTGAATCCCTTCCAAAACGTCACAACGAGATACTACTGTGTTCCGTTGTTTTTTTTTTTTTTTTTTTTGGCCAATAATCATTTGTTCTGTTTCAGTTTGGAGACATCGTGAAGCCAATTTGTATTGAGTTCTGTATCCGCTTTCTAAGTGCCGAAATGAATGATCTGCTTCAGCTGAAGGTGAAACCGGATGAAGAGAAACAGAGAGAGATAGAAATCAAGCTGTCCTCTGGGTTCTTGAAACTAGCAAATTTGGTCGGGAGCAGCTACACAGACATCTACCGTGAGTGTGTTCTAACTGGTTTCTCGTTAAATCCAACGAGTAATACTTTGGATATCATCAAGTCTCTCGGTGGAAAGAACGAAATACCTCCATTAGATAAGACTGAACAAATTGTCACTGAGAGTGAATGCAATCTCGATAAACCAAGTAAACCAGACCAAACGGATGACAACATTGAACCAGAAAAAGACGGGACAAATCAAATGGATATGGAATTAGTAGGTAAATCAAAAGATATTGGTATTGCTGATGAGATCAGTGAAACCTCTCAAGTCAGTCAGTTAGATACTCACCATGAGCATGAATCCAGTCATGTAGATTCAAACGCAAACGACCCTAGTAATCGGCTTTCGCCTGAAGGTACGAGCACATCAAATTTTGAAAAGGAAGGCAATGCTCTGGGCTTAACAAGGCATCTAATGGACGATTTATCAATTGTTATCAGAGGATCTCGATACCAAGCATTGAATTGGGACAATGACTGGACAGAGCTTAAATGCCTGTGTGAGGATTATTTGATAGATTTTAGGAAATTTCGTGAAACCAACAAAGAGTTAAAGTACTTGAAGATTGATTATGACCAATTTAAGGATTGGCCCGTGGATAAAGAAAAAGACAAGCACAACGGCATTGAAAAAGGCTATGAAAAGTGGATCGAAGGGACTGACGACTCAGATGAGTCCTTATCGGAAAGTGCATCTTGCTCTCAAAGCATAGATGACTCGGATTTTGGATCGTGCGATTCATTCATCCTTAAAAAGGGTTTAAAAAGGAAGGAGGTGAGTAAACGGAGGTCCGACTCAGACTCGGAGTTTGAAATAGGGAAATACAGAAGTAAGAAAAAAAGAAAAAAATGCAAGAAGAAAGTGAAAATAATTTCTGACTCTGATAATGGCACTCTAGACAGTGTAAAGAGCATTTGCAGTGCCTCAAGGAAAAATGCTTCAAAGAAGAAGAAAACCAAAAATGCTAAGGATAATCGAAAGGAAACTTCACGTCCGAGAAAAGTAGGGAGGCCTCCGAAGAGAATCCCATCTCCAGCTGATGATTCCATAAGCAATGAATTTAAGTTTAGTGACAATGAAAATGACAACAATAACTCCAGGTTTAAGAAAATTCTTGTTTCCGAATCTTTTGACGAAAACGAGAGCTTTCATTCCAACTTACTCAAGAATGAAAGCAAAAAACCTGTGTCTAGAACTCATGTTTTGAAAACGCTAAGAACTTTTAGGAAAACGAAACCAGATCTCAGGCAGTCATCAAAATTAGGCTTCAGGTATTTCAGCGATGTACCAGAAGAAGAATACTCACTTTTGCAAGACAGTCCTACAAGAACTTTCGCACCTAACTCTATAGCTAGTACAATAAATTTTAACAATCCTAGTCTTTCAAGTAAAATGGAATTAAGTGACGGGTATGATGATGACGAGCTCTCTGATAATTGTAAGTACACGTTCACCGAAGACGAGCCATTAAACAGCAGCACCAAGCTAAAGCCTTTTACCAAAATAGATAAGAATAGCAAAATTAAATTGGATGGTTTTGATTTCCCAAGGAGAAATAAAAGTTCAATTGAGAATACTGTCTCTGAACTCAGCTCCATTTCTAACTTAGTTCCCTCCGAGGTTAGAGCAACAGTGCAGGTTGTGCAGGTTACAAATCATACTTCCGGCACAGCAAATCCTACATTGCTCTCCCGTCAGCAATCATCTTCCGATAAACCTCCACAGACATCTTCCACCTCAGCTCAAAACTCAGCTGCTCAATCGAATACGTACTCTAGCCCAGTCATCTCTCAAACTAGCACAATTAGTGCCACCAAAATTCATGACCCATCGACATCAAACACAGAGTCGCAACCAACCCTCCAATTATTCAACTCTATTCCGAATAACATAAGCGCATTGATCGAGTGCTCAGAAACGCAGAATACATCAGAAACAATCACTTTGCAGCGAGCAGAGCCTGTTACCATGTCGCCAATCTTGAGAGTCCCTGTGCAAACACCAAATGCCCTTATTATTCAAAGCCAGGCGGTTGATCAGTCAAACAAACCAGCAACAAGCTCCAACACAGTGGCCAGTGTTGTTAAACCGGCAAGAAGCAGTGCATTTGTTTTCGTGGCCAGCAGTGATTCTACCAGCTCAATAGCTCGAACGAGCGCCGTTTCCCAGCAACAAGTTCAACAGACCCTTATAAGTTTAGCGAATTCCTCTTTTGTCGGAACGAACAATGACAATAATACAGCAACGTTATTCAAAGCAGATGACGGGAGGAAAAACGAAAATGTTGTTCAGCTGACTGTTTCCAGAGACTCGCGACTCCTGTGGGCGCAGCAAATAGGTAATATTAAAAGGAGTGAATCTGCAGGTCAGACAGTCAACGTTGTTATCAGTCAGTCAGGCAACTTCGCCAATCCTAGAGTGGTGGAAACTAAAGATGCCAATCTTGAAGCACAAAAAGCCAGCTCAAGTCAGCCAGCAGTCTTAAGACTGGAGTCAGCTCCGAATATCATTAAAACAAGATCTCCCATCACGCAAAGCACTCAGAATGCCAGTTTGCCAAAATTTCAACAAGCTTTTGGCAAAACTATGTATCAAAGTGTACCATGTCCTGTTGTTGGAGGGAATATCTCAGAAAGCAAAGTTGTGAATGTTTTAGAACTGAATCAGGCGCAAATCCAACGGGATAATCTTCTTGCTTGCCCGGTGGTTTCCAAAGGTGTTCAAACAAGCAAAGATCCCAACTCATCATTGCAGAAGGCAGAGTCGTCTGATGTTGCTCAGGTGGTAGTCAAAGGAGAGAATTCAAACAGTCATCAAGTCTCAACACTTATTCCTCAAACAAGCATACAGGTCAAAACTCCGCAAGTCAAGACCTCAGCTATACAAACGTCGCCTGGTGTGATAGTAGCATGTAAGCGAGTAGCTCTGCTAAAAGAACCAGAGGCATCGGTTGATACGGCACCAGCAGCCAAGAAACTGGAAACTAAACCAGTCAAAGAACAGTTAAGGCTGAACGACTTGTTGACAGCAGCTATTCAATCCCCAGTTCAAGCAACAACTTCAGGACCTAATGTCATTAATATCATCAACCCTTTGAATCAAACCATACAGATTTCAAACAGTACGGATGACGCTGTCAAAAGCAAAAATACTGCAACCACCTCTACAGCAAGGCTAACACTTCCATCCATAATCCAAAAAACAGTTGGACGTCAAACTGTACTACAACCATCCGCTTATAAATTCAAACCATTTCAATTGCCGTTATCAGTGCGGTCGGCATTTTTATCCACTATAACGAACATCAATCAGCCAGCCAACACCGTAACTACTCCTGTACCCAATCAGAATCAGAGTAGACTTGTATCCAGGGAGTCACCGGTAATTCGAAACCGGATTGAGGCCACTGTAGGTGCCTCATCAATGGAGAGTTCAACGACAGCAGAACAGCTGACAGCAAGAGGGTTGAGAGAGTTTGAATCTGTGCTTGAAAAAGTAACAAAAACATCCCAGATGAAAGAAAGAATTAATGTCCAGCTGCATGCACCCTTGGACTCCTCAACTTCATCAAATGAATCGAGTTCAGCTGGGTTAGCTGCTGCAACATCGGGTCCACCTAACTCTTCTGCGCCCACCTTAACGCCCAGTAGCTCAACAATGGAGCCGCAAGATAGAGTGGTATCTTTCGTTACTCAAACTAGTTCCTGTGGCAGCTTAACAGTTGGCACCAAGTTAAATACTACACCTGTTGTCGTTGTACAGAGCTATCGGCGACAAGCATCTTCGCCCGCTTTGAGCATTGCCTCTCAAAATTCATCTAGTCCAATCCCAAGTTCCTCAAATAAAACTCAAAAACCAGCAACTAAATCATCAAAAGCAAAAATAGTCAAAACGTCCCCGGTAACATCCCCTTTGAAGGTGACTCCTTCAATACCGAAACCTCAACAGAAACCTCAAGAAGACGAGCAAACCACACAGAGGATTTATGCCATTTTAGATAAATATGCTGAGCAGCTTCGAAATTCACCTGAGTTAAAAAATAAACCTGCCCCTCGTCGAAGATCGAATCCACCGACAAACCCAACTCAGTCATCCAAGCGGAAGAAGAGTTCGCAGTCTCGAAGTAGGTCCAATTCTCAACAAGCCTCCTGCTCTCTAGGGCTTGACATGAGTCCATCTTCTGAAGATGTTAGAACTTTAGGCAGTGAGGATAGCTCCAATGGCGTTAGTCAGTTATCGCAAATGACAAGCTCTCCATCAAGCAGGTTGGATGAAACTCCAGCCACACCCTCATCTGAAACTTCAGAATCTCTTGATGCCAGAGATACTAGGATCCAGATCCAAGCTCAACCGCAGACTCAAACTCAACCGGTGACAACCAATCGTGCATTAATTGTCCAAGATTCTACGTTATCAAGTGCGGATGCTGCAAAAATATTCGGTACCCAGTCGAGACAACAAACTGTCGTGTCGAGTAGTGCTGGTGTTCCATTACCTCCTGGCACAGTAAGATTACTTGTTACCAAAGCACCGAAAATGTATAAAATACAACAAATGGTTCCAATGGTTCTTAGGCCTGGTTTAGCTAAAATTGCTGGAGGGCTCACAGCTCAGAACATCGGAGGTCAACAAGCTGTAGTTTTGCCCACAGGCACTAGATCTTTTACATTCACCGAAGGAACTGGTGAACAGCAGACGGTGAACCTGGATAGCTCAGTCATCCCAACAAGTATAAATTTGCTTCAACTTCATGGTACTAATTCCACTAGTACCAATATCTCAGCCATAACGACTGTTGCCTCAGCTAATCTGCCCAAGTTTAGTGCTGCAGTCCCTGAAAGTAGTACCTTATCTGATACCACTAGTTCACCGAATGTCTCTCAATTTTCATTGAGTCAGAGTAGCAGTAGTGCTCCTAGCCAAATCGTTCTTGATACAAGCAATAAAGAAAGAAGTATCTGGTCTGACTTTAGCTCTGTTGATAATAAGCCGTTGTTTCTGGAACTTCGAAAGTCTACCAAGAGCGTGAAAACTGAAGCAGCCTTATTTTCGTGCCAAAATGAGTTGAAAGATGACATCAGAAACTCTTCATCACCAAATCAATTGAAGCAAGATTCCAGAATTGAAAGCACCTTAGGTAACAGTATACGCTTTTTTTTCTCCTTTTTTCTTTTCTCTGTGCACCCTGCCTCTTTGGTCTGTTAATACAATATTATTGATAGTCCTTGTATGCAAGTATCAATAATTTGATCTGTAAATTCATGATCAGTTCAGCGCTAGATGGAGCGTTTGTGAGATTTCCTGTTCTGTTCCCACATGTTTTCATACATTTCTCAAAAAGACGAGCCCAAAATCACAAAACTTCAGACACCTTTTAAAAGGCATAAGGCTTGAATCATTGCGACCTCCTAATTATATCTATGTGTTCTTCAATGGGACATTCTTTTGGTAAAAAAGCATATCGACTGTGAAACTACTAGATTACGTATCTCGGTTGCGGCGTTTGAAAATCTCCGCTCCCAATTTATTTTTTAAAGGAAAACAAATTAGTATCATTCCTATAAGTTTTCACAGTTTTGAGTTTTCTTTGCACAAAGGAGAAAAATCACAGAATTTCTAAGAAATTGACATCGAGTGGTTTTCTATTTAAAAAGTAAAGTATGAAAGGAAGTCTGCAACGCTGCAGATAGAGATACATGATCTGATAGTTTCACTGTCAATATACTTGATCACACCTTTTTGTTAGAGCTGCATTTTCCAAACCCAAGCAAGCAAGTGAAATGGAGCCCTCAGTTTTAGAGAAGATCTATGATGAAAACTGGAATAGGCTGCTGTTAGATTTTTTTATCAACAAATTTTTTGTCCATGTATTTACCATTTTCACTCATTAGATACCTGTCTCTTTTTATCAAATCATGTTACAATATTAATCTCAAGAAATAGCAGATTCAAATGTTGAATGGTGTTTGACACCATAAAGACTTCAATAAAGCTCAAGAAGTCCGTTAGTCAGAATCAGTTGAGCCTGAAAAATCGGCCGAAGCTGTCAACCGCTCAATAATTTTGGATGTGCTAAGCTTCCAAAGGAAAAAATTTGCCACTAGTTCGATAGTTTCAACAGGGAAATTGCGCCATGCTTCTAAAATTTTGTAAACTTCATTTCCGCCATTGCTGTGTCTCACCAAGTGGAAAAAGACAATTATAAATGAGGAAAAATATTCCAGAGGGTTTTACGAAAGTTTTCTCAAATTAAGCCGATTCTCAGTTTTTTTCGTATCACAATTTCTCAAAACCAAGGATCTAAAATCATGTCAACTACGAAAGAAGTCAATAGAAGGTTCTTTCATGATGGGAATTGAAGTTAGTAAGAGATGGTTTCCAAATAATTTTGTATAAAATTGTATCTTACTTAAAAGACCATGACAAGCCAAAAGGATTTTAGTAAATACCATTTTCTGAAATTCCCAAAAATCTCATTTATTCATGTTTCACTGAATGTGTCTTTTTTGTATTTTTTAGATGATGCAGACAGTAAAGAGGATGTGAAACCTCAAGCAACGGAGAACTTGCTCCTAGAAACGAGTGAAATCAAGAAAGAAATCAAGGAGGAAGAGGATAATCAGGTTAGTACGTGTGATGATACAGTGCACTGGCAGCAGTATCTTTCCAAAGAAGATGCCTCTCAAGGTGAAAAATCGCCAACAATGAATCAGACTGTTTCAGACATTGATCCGTGCAATACTACCAATGCTACTTTAACTCTCACTCATGCAAAACGAAAAGGGGGCTCTTTGCACAGTACATTATTCCAGAGTAATTATCGTAGATCCGATAGACTTCAGACTGGCAAGAGGAGTGATGGGCTGCAAAAGAAAGCAGAATTAAAAAGCTTGTCCGAAGAGTGCAAGGACTTGGGTGTCGACAAACCAAGCGCAAGTGACCTTTTTCCAGAGGCAGAACTTTTGTTAGATCTGGACCCGTCTAGTCAAGAAGCTGAAATTCAATTGATAATGAATCCGGAGTCGAATTACAATAACAAAGACTCAGGGTTAAACTTTTCGCAAGGCGATGGCGTAAGTAATCTCAAGACTTACGCCAGGTCCAACTTGAAAAGTAAACTAAAACTCTGCTCGTCTCCGAGTAGTATCTTAAAGATGTGCTCGGACTCTGACAGTCCAATTTTGGGACAATCTGAGCTGTACTGTTCCCCGGATGAGAAGACTCACCTCAAAACAGGGGTGTCCTCTAGTTCAAGCAGTCAGGGTGGTTGTTCCTCGCACCAAGAATCGAGTTTCGGATCTCAACCAAAGCTGCATTCCCAGCGTGATGGTCCCAAGTCTAGTCATAGCTCAAATGAAGGAGCCTCTTGTTTTAAATCCAAGAAACGCTCTCTCTCAAAATCTCGCTCTCCGATGAGTTGTAGGTCAGATAAACAAAGCTCCAATTCGGAGCCTCCTTTGCCTCTGGATAGTTCAGTTAACGGTGCTCTGGATCTTGACTCGGACTCTGTTGACTTCAAGAAAAGTCTTGGCAGTTTGATCGACGATGACGGAAAGTTGCCTGAAAGTTCTCCGGATCACAACTACCCATCGCCAACGACGCCACATTCCTCATCAGATGCCATCTTTTCCTCTGATCCGCAGTTGAATATGTTAGATAGCACAAATAACCCTTTTATCTGTAGTAGCTCCCAAAATAATTTTCGATCGCGAAGTCGACTGAAACCGAGTCACGATAACCAAGAATCTGATTCATTCTGGTCATTGCTAAAGAAATCTGACCATGGCGAAGATGTCGATTCCGACGTGGACAAAATAGCAACTTCAGATGCAGAAGACGCTGTGTCGGAAGGGGAATTGACATTATCTTCCAACGGACTCGGAAAAAGGCGCTCCAGTTCGTCTCTTAAGACTGCCAAGTCGAAAGTATCCAAGATTGCTAAAGAAGACTTGGATGTGACAAGCAGTGCCAGCTCTCCTGAGATAATTGAAGGTGAAAAACCGAGGGTTCCGCGGCGGTTATCCTCTCGGGGCCTAGTCAAGAAACCTTGTCCTTGCTGCAATGGATCCCCAGAGCAACCTAAACGCAAGAACCATCCTCATATCTCATCGTCTTCCTGCAGTTCTGCCTCGAAAAAAGGTCATAATAGCAAAAGTCAAAGTTTATTAAAATCAGCTCTCAAAAGAAGATAGTGTGATTATCTTACGTTTGTTTTTGCAAGCAGCCAACATAAATGCAATAAATTGGAATCAATTTTCCTTTTTATTTTCTCTCTTTTCTACGTGTTTATTTACTTTCTTCTCTCAGTGTAAGTCTGTTTGTTTGTTTGTTCGTTTTTTGTTTCTTTTTATAGTTTTATCAAACTGTACTGTATATAGGTATCATCTTTCTGCTTAACTTAGTTAATACACAGCTGAGGAAAGAAATTCCTGATTCAGGTGTAAAATTATTGAATGAACAATTGTAGAGAATTATTTACCAAAGATTACCTATTTGAGACTGTTGGTCTTATTGTATTACCTTAGGTGTATTGATTGTGTTCTGAAGCTTGTACGTATACAAATTAGATAATGTATCATGTATAAACCATTAGGTAAATTCATCCCCTTTTGTCCTTATTTTTTTTACTTTTGACATTTTCCGTCAGTTCTAGTAAAGTTAGGTTATGCAGTATTAAAAATAAGTAAACCTCACATGAATTCATGAAGTCTTTGATTTGCGCTGAAAGTTTACGCTGTTTTTGTGTGCTACAACAATAGCAAGTATGTAATACAGTATAATGGCAATTTTTACTCCTCACTCAATCATTAAGCGCTTTGAACTCTCTCAATAAGGACTAGCTCATTCAGAATTTAGCCGTTGAAAGCTTCTAGTTAGGCCCCCATATCTTAATACTATGTTTTTTTGTTTATCTTATTTTTTCCTTCCAATCCCCAGTCACAGGAGCTACCAGATCGGTTGAGTTTGTCTAGATTTCTTCTTCTTTTTTTTAATATTTTTGAAAAAAGGAGGACTCGTTTAAATCAGGGAAAAATATAAAATCGAAGATGAAAGATAAATCGTAAATTTGTGTTTGTCTCTCAAGTTTATATTCAAATTTTTTATTTTCCTTTTTTTATGTAAATGAGAGCATATAAATGCACATAAAAGTCTTTAACCATTCGAAGTTCATCTGTTCAATGAAGGGTGTAATTTCAGGAACTTCTTGAATTAATTTGATTTCATTTATCTGCTTCCTCAGAAAAGTCCCAGAGCCCAAAATAAGTTGTTCAATTTGATACAATTAAAATGAGAAGAGATTATTGATTTTTTAATGCATTTTCCTCACCTGCTGCAATCCATCTTCAGTTTTCTTCATTAATTAAGTGCTCTAATATATCAATGATGCTTAGTTAATTTCCAATTTGTTTCCTTGCAATAAAGCAAAGTCAGTGTTAAATAATTCACCTGCAAACCGCCAACAATTCTAACCTCAGTTGTAAAAGTAAAAGGTGAATAAAACGCCAGAAACATTTTTAAAATCCCTTATTGTTACAATAGTCCTTTAATTATTGTCACATAACTCTTTCTTAAATTAACAGCGATAGAATGGAACTGAGAATCTTCGTCTGAACTATTATTGATGTAGCCGGGAAACTCTTTTCCGGAGCAGCAGAAGTGTTTGCTCATTTATTTAGGTTGTCCTCTCTAGTTTTTCAGACCCTTTTTATCCCTGTTAGATTACATCAGTTCTGTTTACGAAGAGTAGGGGAAAATGAAATTGACTTTTACTTTTTCTTTGGAGTGACATGATCTCAAATTTAAGAGAAGTAATTAGGAAGATCATTTTTAGAAATATGTATTTATTTTGTTTTTAAAATGAGGTAAAGATTTTTAGTTATTTTAAAAAATTATCAGTGATCTGATGAATTTTCTCTTGGAAAATGTCCCCCAGTGAAGAATAGGGAGTTTGCCCCATCTGAATTCATGTATTTACCAGACTTATGCTGTAAAACTTAGTTTCAATATTGATTAGGTGGCTTTTTAAAAAGCTATTGCATCTTCTTTTGTGCATTTAATTTTTCTAGGAACCACTCATTCCTAAAAATATTGTAAAACTAAAAGAAAATGAAGAATTAAACCCAATCATGCAATATGCATGAAGCGTAAATTTGTGTAGGCGCCCAATTATAAGCGTAAACTCTGCATTATACATACCAAGATTTGCCTTCTCTCTCAATCAGTGCTCTCAAAATTCATTCTGACCTTCCTTCAAAATGGAAATCATTACAGAGTAAAACGTTAAAGCAAGCTTCCGAACTTGAACACAAAGTTTTAGTCGAGTAAAGAAAACCCCTATGTTTTCTTTCCGTATTATTTTTTAGTCATTGTGCAATGATCATTATCCTTGAAGAATCACTAAGACTCAGGATTTTAAATGTAGGTTATTATTTTAGTGAACTTGGTTCCTCGTGCATTTTTCGCAAGTGACAGGTAGCGGCAACGGAAGAAAACTTGTGATAGGTCAGTTGAGAAGTTTACAGATTTCTGCAGCTCCTTATTTCCTGTAACTATCTCTGATGGAATATCACCTAAAGTGGAGAACACTAAATTGTGTCTCTTAGTTTTTCGATAACTGTGAACGTCTCATCGACTCATCAACCATAATTTACTCGTTGACCCGTGGCTTTTCATCACTTGAGTTATCTGCATCAGAGCCAAAATGACTCAGTTCAATAATACGACTGATAAATAAATCCTCATAATGTATGTACGCAAATCTTTAATAAGTACCAAGACTCAAGTTTTCATTTTTTCTAATGTGTGAAAAGATGAAAACGGGAGGGAGTGAGAGATTTAAGTCAACCTCTCAGTGCCATCCAGTTATGAGAACGCAGGCACCACCCATTCAAATTCAACAACTGGCCAGAACTAGAATAAGAATCTTACCTTCACCATGTGATGGCAAGCTTGCTGCAGAATGTGTTGATTTGTCGCCTGCAGCTGATGTGGGATGTCTACAAAGCCAGAAAGTAGGCCTCTCTTCACATAAATGTTGAGAAAATGTATCAAATTTCATAATGATTAAGCAGCTAAGAGTTGCATGAGTGTCATACCTGTGAGTGCTCTTTATATTTGCGGACATATCTTGTGTTTCATGTTATCCAAATCGGAGGCATTCATGAAAACAAAGTCTTTTTGCCACAAGAGTCTAGTGGGCACCAACTTTTTTCCATGAATGTGTCCTGTTGTTCAATTTAACTAGGTAACGCCTCTGTTTTTATTGATAAGATTGGGCTCTAAGTCATGTACAGTTTGTAAGAGTTGAATCAATGCTGTATTCGGTAAAAGCTTCGGGAAGTAAACTGCATCTACCTGACTTTTCCCGAACGACACCTCTAGTTTGATTCAATTGCCATATGCTGTGTGTATTCTGCTTAATTTTAATACATTGTACGATAGATCATGTTTCCCCACCCTAAATAGAATATTCAGATCGATCGGATAAAACAGGCTTCCATTGAATCTGAATGTTTTCCAGAAATGCCAAAAATCAAACGAGTTTTTGATTAATTTTATGCAGTCCTAAAGGCATAAGATCCCATAGTGTAAATGTCAAACGGATCAAATCCGTATTTCGGGTGTAGTGTTGTATCAAAGTAATTGAGTAATATGGAACTACATTCACATTAAGAAAAAATTGTATAGTATTATTTTAATTGAACTTGTACATGTGCATAAAATATTTAATATTTAAAATTGTATAATTTGTAATTTGAATCAGTGTCATTTTTTTACCTTATATTCGGGTAACGTTTCCTCTAATTTATGCTTTCATAATGTTTGTATTTATTCTTGAGTTCATTCCACTCTTCCGTTGTTTAACGTTAGGTAGCAATTTGATATTTCCCATGGAAATTATCTGTTCTTGATTTGAATTTTGAAAAGGCTTCATTTTTTCTTTTTTTCTTTCCTATTTGTTCAAATGAGATTGATGTTCTTATAGCTATAAAATCTTGGTATCATTTGTACTTATTACATGCGTCATGTTTGTGGTTTTCTTCTCTTTTGGTATTATTTACTTACTTAGGCAGTACTTTCTTTTTGATTCAACGATTTGGTGCATTGTAGCAAGTTCTAGGTCGTTTCTCATCAAAAAGGGTTAGCATTTTTTTTTTCAATTTTCAGATTATTTTTTTGTTTAAAATTTAAATGGTGATGTTTAATGTTCTTAGGCCTTGTGCAGTAAAAGAAAAAAAGACAATGTAAAGTAAGTAAGCAGAGAACTTGCAACTTACCCACTAGAAACATCTTCAGTTACTGATGAATGAATAGGTTCAATCATGTTCAGTCCCAGATTATATTGAGTTGCCGTATGCCAGAAATTGAAAAAACTGATTTTTCCAAAGAACGATAAAGCTGCTGAACAGCATGTGAAGAAAAGTGCATATAATCCTACTTCATCGAGTCTGTTTGCTAAGGTTCTTTTAGACAATCCAGTAATTCCAATACAACTTTTATTTTTTCAAGAAATATAGGTCTTAAGGAAAAGTTTGACAAGGCCAAAAGTATCTTTTGATTAATTGGTGTTGATGATTAACACGAGTTTGTTACCAGTAAAAATGATCAAAGCTTTACAGCCTCAAACGCATGAGGTGGCTTTAAAAAAATGTCAAATTTTCCAAGAATCAAATCTTTCATTTCAGTCAAATATGTATTCATGCAATTTAGATCTGCCTGAGACATGATTGTCCTGCTACATATATTATCTAACTGGTATCCTTTATTTCTTTGATAGAATCATTCTGTCTTCATCTGGCTATCTTTCTACCCTAATTCCACCATTGTAAATATGTGCAAATCTGACTAAATGCTATCATTTGTATTTACGTAATGTCATTAATTTTTATCAGAATTCAAGAGAAGAATAACTGGACCATATTTTGCACTTTGGAACTACAATTTCTGGCTCTGGTTGAAAACCACGTATGTAACGTTAGTTTCCTTATGCACATAATTGTTTTTACCAATGTGCTAAAAATTTTAGTTCTTTGTGGCAAAACGAAGTCCCAACTCATGATATGCCCTTTCACTCTATTTTAGTACCCACATGAGAACCATAAGCCCAATAGCGCTTTGTTTTTCACTTCTATTCATGCTTCTGTAAAAGTGTCTACCCACTTGAAATGAGTTATTACCTCGGATAGTTTTTGAATCAAAGTAGACTATTGAAATGGATTGGCCGTTACTTAATTTGTAGGAATGTGTTTTCCTACACTATCTGACTTTTACGGATTTCTTTCCCGTGGAATGAAGCAAGCAACTACGTCATTGTCACTACGTCAACATACGAAGTCATTGATCATTCTAACTAGGAAAAAATTTATTTTCCCTGCCATTCTTAAGTAGAAACCCTTGAATTGTTTTGTATTTGTAAATTAATGATTTGTGAAGCCAAACTAAATCTGTTAAAATATAACGTTCAAATTAAATTACACTCTTTTCTTTACCTTCTCCTTTCTCGATATGTAGCTCTACTTCGAAATTTTAGTGCTACTCGATTTTTTCAATGCTATGATAATGGATTCATCTTCGCAACATAAAATTGCAAATATCTCCTAAACCGTTGGTCATAGAGCAAAATGAAGCCGATTTTCCAGCCTCCCTCAAAACTTGGCTGAGTCTACCTGTTAACCCCCCTCCCCCAGGCCCATCGGGTCAGTGGCCTCAATTTAAATTTTTTAAATTTTATTGCTACTCGATTTTTTCAATGCCATGAAAACGGCATGTTAAAAGGAAATTTAAAGTACGATTTGTCAACTTGAATCTGCTTGGTTGCCAGTTCTCCGGTTTTTTTTAGGTTCTAAAATTTGGCAAACTCACAAATAACAAAATATTCAATGGTTAAATCGTGAAAAAAATGTGTTGTATTAATGTTACTCTATAATTCTGTATCCAAAGATATACTACAGCTCACATGGAACAGATCGCGATATATGTGATTTTTTTTAAACGCACTTTGCGGCACCTTTACTACTTGCCCATCATCCTCTTGCAAGTTATGCCAGGAGAAGTTGTTACTTAATAATGATAAATAACTAAATTGCACTTTCTTAGGAAGGGAGAAAAGAAAAATTACGCAATAGTGGCAAGAGTACCAATTCATTTTTCATTTATTTATACTTATTTACACAGAAAATTCGATACAGAAAGTTTTATCAATTTTTATCTTCTTGCTTTTTTCTAAGCAGATACCAGCAGAGAAAAATAAAAAAATTATAATTGTATTAAAATACGGGGATAACTTAACCCTTTGAGACCAACATCCACTAATTAAAAGAGGAAAAGGAAAAAAACGTAAATTCACTAAAAACAACAATATTTTGCATGAGAAACCCATGCCCAGCTGACAGCTAAAAACTTATTAAGATTAACAAAGAACGGATTTTGGAAGAGATTTAAGTCTCAATGGGTCAGGATTTCAACTCAGACTTTCTATCTTAAATTAATTAAAATGAACACAAAATAAAAAATGATACATGATTTTAATACTGTATACACTAGTGTAAATAGAATGAAGCATAGCAATGAATTAGAAAATAGAAGAAATGTTCATTTAGGTCAATTTCTCAGCAGACAAGTCCTTTCTGTTCGGTTCAAATCTACTTTGGCAACAGGAGGCCCCGAATGATTTCTGCTACTTCCATCTCCGCATGCAGAGCGACATTCCAAGTCCCACAATAAACTCGAATATGACTCATATTGGTGAAAGCTACTCTTAAAATCGGTGATCTTAACTTCCTTTTAAAACTCATCGGGTTCAAGGTAGAGAGCCAAAATCAACGCTGTGTTAAACAACAGCTCAAGGCCCCAAAAATACACCTTCCCCCACAAGGAAGAAAGGTATCTTAGATTGATCTTGTTATAAACCTATCATGATTTTATTTCCTTTTAACTAAACATTATAACCTATTGATCAAGAGCTGTTAAAATTAAAAGTTAACATCGGCCGCGAAACTCATTCAACTTTTATTTTTCTAATAAGTATTGTGCACAACAAAAAAATGAAAACATAGGTGTATCCACATAGATCGATATGGTCAGACTCGTTTCCCGAAATTTTGAAAAATTCGGATTCACTTGCCTTAAACTGATTTATGGAAAATCATAGAGCCCTCATAGTTTGCTATGCAGGTGCTTCCAAGTATAAATGGAGCCACGATAGAGCTCTTCGTTAAAAATAATTAGGTCTTTCTTCTGGAGATGATTCAATGGCACTTTTAGTAAAAATCAGAAATGCCGGGGATTAGATGGCCCCAAAGACTATCTTTGAAGCATGTTGCATAGGTAACTATGAGCCAGGGTGTAAGAAGGTGAGCTTTTCCTTCGCAAGACCTATATCATATTATTATGAGAGTATAAACCCTCTTTCATTTTGAACAGATACGTTGATGTTAAGAGCTCCATTCATGTAAAATTGTAGAAAACAAAAAAAGAAAGAAAGAAGATGAATAAAGAGAAATGAACATCGATGGCTGGCTATTTCGATGTGAAAGCGCCAACCGATTTGTTTGAGAACAACTTTCTAAAAATTACTGGGGCCCCTCGATCATGTTGACCAGGTTGAATTAATTGCTGTGAGGTGCATACAGATGGTAGTAATTCCTTCCTAAAAACTTGATTATCCAATCAGTTCAAGGATTTCAATGACAAAAAGATTGATACTTCATCTTGTGAGTTTTACAAATCGGATAGCTGTGAAATTAAATTCAATAAAGTTTATACAATAAAAAATACAAGTACTTCTGCATTCCTTTCAACGAGAAAAGTGAAAATGAATAAATGAAGAGCCTACCGGAGAATATGCATACATCATTATTTCAATTCGTCATTTGTAGCTGAACTTGCTTGGTCCAAAAAAGCTATTCGTTTGGTCACCATTTTCTTCTGGGACACTCAATGATACAAAAAATTTTGATTTATTATTACAAGAAAAAAGATGGCCTTTTAAAGCCAAACGATTATTTTTAAACAGAGGAAAATTAGGATTGGAGCATTTCAGGTAATTTAAAGGCAATTTCATCAAAAAAATTTCATTCAAAGAAACATCGATGTCTGAGATACGATTGTCGACATCAGGGAAGACCCCATTTGAAAGGTACATTAGTCATTTGTAATGAAGCATCCGATAGATAATGTATATTTATTCTTCCGGAGCTTATGATTTAAGTCATAGAAACAAAAATTTTAAGTATTTCAGCACCCACAAAAAAAAGAAAACCTTGTAAACAGCATTCTGAACATTTAGTAGGTTTGTGCAATGAATTTTCTTTCCAATTCAGATTTAAACAAACGGTAAATCAAATCTATTATGAAATTTCTCATACAAATATGGGAGCTTCTAGAAAATGTTCGTAAAAAGCATAAAAAATTTTAAACTTGACAAATAAAAATAAACTTGTTTAGATATTAGAATTTTCTGACTGTCATTTGGGGGGAATAAAAATTGACTGCAAGTTAGCATATACTCGGTGCTAATGTCATTTATGCCACTATTATTCAACAGCCGATAGATAGAGGAACTTTTTTTTCAAACTTAAAACATGCATCCAGTGAGTTTAATTCAGAGCATTATAGTTTGAAAAAATTTGCATTTTATATCAAAAGCCAAAACAAATAAAATGAGACAGCTTATTGGAGGAAATACCTGGGCATTGGATATGACACCTACGCTCTTTCTCAATCAGGTTGATTGATACAGCTTTTTGACGCAAACAAAACAACCAGAAATTATACGGGGAATTTCTACTACATTATAATGTAAAGAAAATATTGCCTATACATACGTATACTAAACAGTTAGATTTCCACCAGGGCTGGATTTAGGCATGCGAAAAGCGACCAATAGTGCACAATAGTCAAGGGCTGTGTATATTTTAGGATATCAAACTTTCAAACTCAAAAAAAAGGGCCCAACTTAGCTGGTATAAATGCATCCCACAGTGGATTCACTTGAAATTGCATATTTGACAACAGCGCATTTACTCATAGACAAATCTTTAAAATTGAAAAACGTTAAATGTTTGTTATTCAAAATGCTACTTTTCATGGGTGAAGAGAGAGAGAGTAGCTAAAACTGAAAACTGACTGATCCGATAAAGCCACCCCCACATGTGCGAAAAAAACAAACAACTAATTTAAATTCAATAATTATGATTATTATTGGTAAAATCATAATGATTTAGCCTCTGGATTTAGCTCTCGTCTGACGGATTTCTTCCAAGGTTCCAGAGGAAATTGTGGCCGTAAATTGATCCAGCCCTGGTTTTCCTTTGAGAATTGAAGAAAAATAAATCTATGAGATAAAGACCGTGCAACAAACTTTTGTTTCACCTGATAATCTAGTATTCAAAAGAATCAGTAATTAAACTTCAACAATTTTCTTTTACTTTTCTTAAAATACTTCTTAAATTCATTCCAAGGAGAAAGCGCCATATTTCACTGCAGACAGGGAATTTTATTAACTTAAAATGTCAGTAAAAAAGTAAAAGTATTGAATTCGTTAGTATGAATGAGAAGATATCGACTGTCTGAAAAATAGACCAATTACACAAGGTCAACTTAAGCATGAACCTATAATTTTGTTTTACATTAAGTCGACTTGCACTTGCAAAGGGTTAATCAATAATATGACCTCAGTCTCACTAAATTACACTTTCATAGGCATTACATACTCTTTAACAAAGTAAATATGCAAAGAGGATCTTCTTAGTGAGAATATGAAGAGATGGTAATAATGGTGCTAGTGACCACAGCATATAAAATAAGTAGATCGAAGTGCTTTTTATTAAAATGAACTATCTGTACGGTATAAATCTATGAATTTTTTTGTTAAATATTCATGGCAGCATTGAAACAAGACATGGCGAGAATTGACAAAACACAACTTTGAAGCGCTTCATACTTCATGGTCTTCACTTTCAAATGAGTGCGCATGGACTTGATAAAAGGAAAAGACTGAAACAACTAAGTTGTGTGCACGGTCGAAAATTAAAAGTTCTTCAATTTCAAAATTATGATTTCACTTCAACAACGGCCTAATTCGAATGGAGGTCTTAATGTAGAAAAAATGTACAGCTTCGTGTTTCCTTTCAGGAAGTAACAGAATAGGAAGAGAAACATTACTCACTCTAAATGAAAACAGAAGGGCAAAATACAATTGCGGAACTTCAACACCAGTCATAGCATAGAAATAACTAGGTATATATGATTTAAAAATCTGATTACTTTGATCGCTGTAAGTACAAACCAAACTTGGTGATGAGAGGAAGGGGTATGGTTGATTAAGAATGTATGTGCACAAAAAAAAATTATCTAGGAGAAATAAGAACCAATAAGTAAGAAATGTCAGCAAAAATGATGAAGAGAGGAGAGGGGGGGGGAGAGAAAGGAAAAACCTCTGTGAGACAACTTTGCCCAGGTGCTAGAGTGCAAAGCTCATGAAGACAGCAGTTGAGGGCCTTTGTTGTGCATGTAAAAAGAATGGCAAGACAACATTGCCGGTCTTCTCATCGCAATTTTCTTCGATGAATCTTCTAAACAATATCAATGCAATCAGGCTCTCTCTTGATGATTGGAATATCGTTTTCACCTTCTCTGAGACTGAGCAAAGCATTGGCTAGCCTCAATTTTTCATTCCCTTCAAGATCAGGATTCTCTCTTCCTAACTACATGGGGGAAAAAGCAAAAAGGAAATCAAGATTAGCGTACAATTTGTTAAGGTTCCGACCAATCCGACACCCGATGCCCAATCTGAGGAAAGGTGTGTCTACATGAGAGGCATATTTTCATTGCTGTGCATTGGAAATTGAAATCTCAAGAGGATAGGTATTAATAGGGGCCGTTTATGGGCCCACCCTAGCTCAATTTCTTCAACTCCACAAATTTTGCGTGTTGAAACGGTCTTTTTTTTTCTTTCTTCTTTCCCCTGTAATTTAGGTTTTTGATTTGTTAAAAAATCCCGCAACCTTGAGATGTTATTGAATTGGGTTACGGTAGGGGAATCGTAAAAGAATGGAATTTAAGAGGGGCATCTCTCACACTCACTGATGCTCATCAATTATTTAACTTCCTAAAAACCAAAAAAAGAAATTAGTCATGGAAAAAAACTAAAACCCATGAGCCAGGATAAGGGTAAAGATAAAATAAAATGAGTTGAGTTAGTTAGAAATTACTGTCATCATATCAGTTGGTTAAGGGGTACAGGCGAGTATGAGATAGAGATCAGGGTTTGGCGAGTGGAAAAGATTGTGAATTAAAGGTGTATGTTATATTGTTCAAGGAAATTAAACAAAAGTATTTGGTAAATTTCAATTGAATATAATTTTAGGAGTGAGGTGAGAGTTGTTAGGAGTTGAACATCAAGGAATTTCAGGAAATGCTCTGTATTTGACAGGATGCATCATGATTTGGTCATTTTTGCTCTCTTTTCAGGTCTAATATTGGCCTAAACATGGATCTGAAGGCCAACTTTGGTGAAAAATGCGCGTTTTGAAAATTTGCAGTCAAACGCTAAAAAATCCCTATTCTTCTTCTAAAATTGGCCCTCAAACTTATTTACACCAGTGCGAGACCCGGAAAAAGAGGAGAAATGAGCAAATCATGATGCAATCAAGAACTTCAATGCCAAACAACTGGATGGTTGAGGAAATTCTGCTAAGGTGGGCCGAGATACAACCCTTGTTAACACCCCTCCTTCAACATTATCTTGTGCACTGAAGTAGGATTGACCCAATGCAAGATAAGAACCTGAGATAACTTGGTTATAAAATAATGCAGCCACGGAAAATTGTGAAAGACCACTAAAGTATGGTAAAACCACTGTGCAGTTATTTAACGGCTCCATTTGACTGAAATATGAATTACAGATTTGATTACTTAATCAGCAACAAAAATACACCTCTAGTTTTATTTACAACAGTTTATTGTGTCTGGTTGAGTTATTATAGACAAACGCTTTCTGGAGGAGGGGAAACACCTTCAGGAAACGATGGATTAGAACACTCGGTATTTCTAATTTAGACCGTTCAGATCTGGTTGCAGTTTCTATGAAGTCTTTGACAAAGAAGCTGTACAAATAAAAAAGTAGGCGAAGAGAAGAGAATGTGAGTTCGAAAGAATGTTACCTTATGGATTTTCCTTTCGTTAGCATGTCAAGGAATAAAAACAGCATTAAAATTTACTTGCTCCCAAGAATTTGAAGTAAAAGCGATTGAGCGTAGAATATTTTAAGCGGTGCTGGGAATAGAGGTAAATGCAATTACTCAGGTATGAAGTTCCTACAATGAAGAAAACTTGGTCAGTCACAAATTTGAGTTTCCTCTTGAAAGTCATGACAGCCATGGCATAACATCTAAAGTTGATCATACCCTCCTCTGATTTGTCATGGCCCCGATCTTTTTTGGTCTATTAATTTTTGGCATTGATTTTTCTTTAAATGACCAGAAAAATTGAACTGACCTCACCAACTTAAATTCAATCAATCCACCATCTCGGCGTTATGTCTAAAGTCAGTTTCACTTGATAATGCTGTCACTACTTCATACTAGGGGACACGTCAAGACAGTCCAAAAATTAAGGTGATGTTGGAAACTCATCCCAACTACTTACATTCACTGAGCTAGAGCCACCATGTCTTTCTTTGTGACATTTATCGCAATAGAAATCTACATCATTTTCGAACTCTTCCGGGTTGACACCCATACAAGCCATATGGAACCACTGCCGACAGTTGCCATCACACTGCACCCAGTTGATGTTTTCATCTGTAAAGACAGAGAATTTTTTTGAATTTTAGACCATAATGTTTCATTGAAAAAAGTTATCAAGAAACACAAAAAAAAAAAGAGAAAAATGATAATTAGATGCTTCTATTTTGTACAGTCCCTTTCACTAATAGACCTCCAACTTCAACTGCAGTTTAAATAAATTAATCAGTTAATTGTTTTTAATAATTAGGCTTGAGGAATTAGTTTTAAGGAACAACATAGCTTCTTTACGTAGTTTAACTAAATATTAAGAATTTTTTCCTGAAAAAGTTGGCAAATTCAGGCAAGAAAGCTGAAAAATTCCTAACATTCAGTTAAACCTTTTAAAGAAGCTATGGTGTTCCTTAAAATAATTTCTCAAGCCTTAAGATAATTAATTCAAACTGCAGTTGAAGTTGAGGCATACTAGTCGAAGGGTCTGTACAAAATAGAAGTATCTGATTGACATGTCTCTTGTATTTGTGTTTCTTGCAAAGAAAGTTGGCTGTGTCAAAGAATGATGTCTGCAAGAACACAGAATCTGTAGAGAGTGAGCTGTATATATGGATCCCATTTATCAGAGGGGAACCAACGCTAACAAAATTGTTAAAATCTTACATCTTCATCTCCACTTAAAAATATGCCTTCGATAACAATTAGATTTATTTTTTGACTAAAAACTTGTAACTTTTACTACAGAGCAATTGTGTACAGTTAATTACTGGACATATATTCAGTATATTTTTACAGCAAAGAAGAAAATTTCTAAAACACTGCGATCAGTTTGGTTCCTTTCTGCTAGATGCAATTCAAATTACTATTACAAGAAACTAGATTAGTCACAAAATTCCTGAAGGAAAAAAAATGAAACAAAAATATGCACAAGTTTAAAAAAATTTCGAGTTTAGAACTTGTTAAACCACTGCTCCTACCAGAATCAGTGTCCAGCTTAACCGCATACAAGAAAATACATTTAGTTTGATAAACAAATAATCATATTTGTGAGCTCTAAAGTTTGGATCAACGATGGTAAAAGATCTCAAGAGAAATGCAAAAAACTTGAGCATACCGGTTGGATGACAGCAATCAGCTCCGGCCGAACATTCATCTTCTTCATCTGTATCGACTTCATCATTGTCTTCGTTAGTATTTGTAGAGTTTTGCAATTTGGCGGATCGACCTCTGGGTTTTGATTTTGGTTGCTGTGGCTGAGCCTGTTGGAACAGAAGGAAATTATTGGTAAAAGCTACAGGGTTATTGCCAAAAAAAAAAAAAAAAAAAAAAAAAAAAAAAAAAAAAAAAAAAAAAAAAAAAAATTGAAGAGTTCTCAGTCTTCCTGTCAACTTTTATTTTAAATTTGCTGTTTTAGGTTTGATCTTTTGCTGAGAGGAACTGGGTATACAAGTTTAGGAGGCCTTCATTGATTGAAGATGAATATATTATCCTTAGCTGGGTGTCTCACATGCTATCCTTTTTTCATAAAGCCTTCAAGGAGCCTTGTGAGTCTGAATTATGAATCCTGTAACGCTTAATGCACAGGATAGCTACCTGTTCAAAATTTCCCAACTTTTCCTCATTGCTAGAGCTCTTGTCTGCGAGTCTCTTCCACCAGAGCTACAAATGAAAATTATCAACACAAATTGTTAAAGAATTCACTTCAACGCCTTGTTAATTTTCTGGAATACATAGCAGGAAAGTCTCGAATCTTTTGCCTTCTCTCAGTTTTCCGAAAAATTCCTCTACTTGTTAGGTCTTGTAAAATTTCTGAAATTCTTTGGTATTCCAAGAGGCTGGAGAGACTGTCACGAGTTCGTACCTCATTTTTCTTTTTGGACGGTTTTGGAGTTCTTGTGTTTTTCTTAATATTTGATGCTTGCTGCTCTGACTGGACTTTATTATTACTCTTTCGACTAGCTGCTACTGGTTGATCTGACTGCTGCGACTGGAAAAAAAACCAAAAAAATCAACACATCAACGGGAGAATTGACAAGTGATGCTACAGGAGAAGAAACTATAAAGAAGCAAATTCATAAAATGGCTGGAACAGGGATGAGGCTGTGATGTCATTCTTCAGATGTCACACTAAGGAACGAACTACCGCAAATAAAAAAATTAACGCTGTTTACCTGAGGTGTGACATGGCGATTTTCTTCTTCCTCCCCTGTCCTGGTTTCATGATACACTCTCCACAACTTGTCCATTTCAGGGGCCGTGATCTCCATCAGATCTCCTTCTAGTATCAGATCTATTAGTTTTTGCCGCATTTTATCACTGATCATATTGCCTCTATGATCCAAACTCTTCCTAACAGGCTTTTTAGAGACGGCAGAATATGTGTGTTCGCTCCTTGTGCTTGTATTGTTGAACGGCTCACTTGAATCATTCTGAAAAAATAGGCCTTGTTTAGTAATACATAAAATGACTGAGAAATACTAGTTGCCTAGAAAATCTGATTTCTCTTGGCATTCGAGATTTCAGAGGAATTTTTGATCGAGTCTTGCTCTTCATAAACTTTTACATAAATGGACCACAAGACGAGGTACAGATGTTAACATTCTGTTATACTTTTCCTCTCCAAAATTTTATGTAGAACACGTTTCCTGCGACGAAAATAACATGCATTGACTCCCAACCAAAATATTTACATTTTTATTTAACATCGGTTACGCAAAATTTGAATTTCCCCCTCACAAGGAGAGTATGAGTTTATTTGAATCAAATTGCGCACTACAATGGTTTTGGCAGGCTCCTCAATAAAAAAGTGTTCTTTTCCCAACTTGTATTGTTCAAAATGTAAACATGTAACAGCTAAGCTGAAGTGCCAAGATTGAGGTTGGCATACTTCCCTACCACAGAGACTATCACAATAATCTTTAGTGTACGACTTAATTCAAGTACATTATTGTTTTTTCTAAGAGCGGGAGGTTTGAATTTATGCATCAAAAAACGCTAGTATCTTGATTCGGAGTGAATTCAGTAATTTTTATTGCACTGATTGTGTTCAAGGTGAATTTTAATGAGAAAACACGTATCATAATGGTTCAAATAGCACCTTGTCTACTGGTCTGGTAGGCATGATGATTGAAAAATTAAATTAGATCACTTTACTCTTGTGAGTGGTTAACACAGAGATTTTAAGATAACAGTTGCGAGCGTGATTTTATTTTCGATGCAGCAAAGAGGATGTTTCCTCACCGTTAATTTTGAAGTAGCGGTACCATCATCAGGCCTCAGATCCATATTAGAGCTTATATCATCTACAATATCAGCTATTTCTGGCGTATCCAGCAGTAGGGATGCTTTTTGCTGTAACAGAAGAAAAATTGCGGGATATTATGAGAAAATATATGCACACGCTCATTAGGTGTGCAAATAGCAAAAATGCAAGGGTGCAGAGAGTCTTTTGCCGTCACGTTGCCATCTGCGTGAGACTACTTTCCCTTCATATATTTTGCGGGAGCCTTCGCTTTGATGTTCGCATAGAAATAGGCACTTGACTATTTCTTTTGTGTGAAAGAGTGGGTTACACCGTATCCTTTCCAAAAAGTAATGGATTTGGGAGTTTCTTTCCCAAAAATAATGCACTTAGCTGGTTTTCTTCACAAAAAATAGCGCGTTTAATTCGACTTAAATAGAGAAAATACTGAAAATTAAAAAAATAAAAATTCTAAATGCCTTCTGCCTTCACTTTTTCCCCCCGTTTCAGGTTTCTTTACGTTCCTCCCGTAATCGGCCGTAAATCATAATTGAGTACTTTCTGCATACCTACAAAAATATTTCACTATATACGCTTCACGACTGTGTAACTTACAGAACTGAAACATAGTTTTATCCCTGGGGTATCAAAAAAACAGCAAGGAATAGGAAGGCTTTGACTGATTGTGCAGCGCTGGGAAAAACAAATCCATCAAATTTTTTGGATGCTTGAACTTGGTGAAAGGAGCAAAGTTTATTGGGAAAGCTATTTTTATCGAGTTGGATAGAAAAATCAGAATTTGAGTTATGGACTGAAAGCAATGATATACAGAAGAATTAGGGGCAAATGGTTCAGCACATATTTCAGCCAATAACAGCATGATGTTGCTTGATAGTCGGACAATTTGAGCTCAACACTGCAGAGATTTAAGTATATTCTCAAAAATGCAATTTTTTAACTTCGAACTCCAAAGTAACATACTTATGATTTGATTTGGCATTAAACGACACCAAAATGTTAATAAAACTCTTTCAAAAAGAAATAGCGGGCGGTCCAATTTTGAATTTCTCGTCACTTAAGCCCCTTTGAACAGGCACAAAAAACATGTTGGAAGGGGGGGACTTACCTGCCAATGGTAAGAGCGCCTCAATAAGCAGTAGAGAATCTCAGCTTCAAGACACCTGAGACCTGAGTTCTGCAGGTGCGTTACTTTGGCCAGTGCATCGTCCGAATCTGGCCTCTTTGATCTCTTGCAACACGGACAAAGATATTTGTCTTTGTCAACCTGCCAGGTGATCGCTTCATCTGGTAATGTACATTTTCTACGACTAGAGCCAGTTATACACTTATCTGTAGGAGAACAAACAAATACCATTAGTTGAATTTCGTTCTTGGTTCCACCTATATAAACTAAAGACAAAATGTTGGCGATTTTGCTGATGTACTTTCAAATTTAGCCTAAGACTGATGTCTCATTAGAGAAAGAAAAGGCTTGTCAAAGCGCGATATTCCCTCAAAAGATGTGTTATTTGGTGCAAAATTAGTTATGATCGATCAGGAAGGCTATTCTGAGCTTTTTCTCTCAATAATGAGACATCAGTTTCAGTTTTTTGAAACATACAGACAAAATCACCAACACTCTGCCTGAGTGACTATTGCATCGAACTGCAATCTATTTGTTTCTACACTAAGGCATTCACTGCAGCAGTGCATTGGGCGTATAACTCTTCCAACTTTGTGAAACAAGTGAAAAAACATGCCTTTCCCTACAGCAGCATATAAGGATGAAAAATTTGATTGAGCAATCGCTACATCCTTTATTATACAAAATACTGTACTATTAAAACTTAAATAAGCAAAATCTGGCGCACTAAGCAAACCACAGCTGACACAGAGAGATTGATTGTGCAGGAAGATTTGTTAAAAGAAAAGAAATAAAAATATTTTTAAGGGTTTCAACATTCTAAGAAATGAGATTTCGTCACCTTCCAACCGAAGTAAATGTATCACAATTGCCATGCGACGTTTCAAAATTTTGGCTGCTATTTTATTTTTTACTGAGAAATTATTGGTTGAATCTGTTTGAATTTTTCACTGAATTTGATCATGAGCACAAAGAAAATTCAGTGAAATTTTTGGACGGCTTCATTGAACAATTTCTCTGTAAAAAAATATAATGGCGGCGGATTTTGAAATGTCATATGGCGCTTATGATATATAAATATCAAGCCGCTACTTCAGCCGCTAGAGAGCTCTGCGACTCCAAAGCGCCATCGGAAACGATCCTCCCACAAACCATCGGGCAGATTACACCACCTGATTTGCCCTTCCACTCCCTCTCGCCAACCTTCTTCCGGGAGGAACGTGCGTGGGGGGGGTCGGATCACTTGTGATACTTTGGCCAAAAGGTGACGATTTCTTCTCCTGACTGCTTTCATCTTCAACAGTAGCTTAATTTTAAACAATTCTCAATAATTTTCATTCAGCTTTAAGCTGAAATTTTTACGCACGATGGCTAAAAAACTCCATCATTGTCTTTATTCTCAATAAGTACTAACACTTTACGGATGTATAAGCATTATTTTGAAAATACAGTCATCTCCTACATGAGGAAACGTATCTAGATTTTGCTGTTTCAGTATTTCTTATTTGTTTAGGAAAACCATCACAAGAATTTTTCTGAAACTTCTCGTAAGTTTTCTTTCCCTTGTGAGAATAGACTCTAAAATTTTCAAATTAATTCTTGTGACAGTTTTCTCTTGAAAAATTAAAATGATCAGAAAAGTAAAACAGCCCAGACAAGACACATTCCTTCGTATGGGCAGCGACAAGAAGACTTGGCTATTGAGATATCGAGAAACTGTAGAGACTAGGAGGCTCTAAAAGTTGGGGAAAGAGTAGCAAGCACTGAAATTTCATATTTCAAACCTGCGTTTCTTAAATTCATCCAATGTTAGGCTTTCTTTAAATAATATCCGTCAAACCGCACAAAAAATGTGTGTTACTGAATGTAACAGGTTAAAATGTGGAGGCACTGTTGAGAGTTTGCATCCGTTTAGTTTTTATCTGAAGATTAGCTTTGACATGCACATGGTAATAAGTCAGCATGAAAAAGACACAAAGACTCGATTACCAAAAAATAGCGCAGAGGGAAACTTACTATGGAACCAATTCAGACAGAGGAAACACTGCTTCATCACTCCTTTGGCAGGCTCATGACAGAAGCAGAATTTGGTAGAGGATGTGTTATTTAAAAATTTGTGTTTATTCTCTTCTCGAATTTTGTTTATCATGACGATTTCCTCGTTTTGCAAATGCTGAAAAAGAGAACAAAAAAATATTAAGATTTTAAACAATGTGGAAACAATATATATAATAATATGTTAATGATGATTTGCTATTTTAAAATCTTTGTTTGAAGCTGCATAGTACTTTATCATTCTCATACTGAGCGAGTAGGATTGTTTTCATTAGAAGCTAATGTGCTATCTATTAGTTGCAACCACCTTATTATTAGTGCAAAAAAAAAAATGATATAAAATAAAAACAAAAATAAAAATTAAAGTGTTCTGCAAGCAAAACGAAAGAAACAGAAAAATAAAAATGACAGAAAGAATAATAGAGGAGACAAGGTGGGAATTTTAGCATTACAATATGTTTTCTCATTAAAATTTCTCGTGGAGTGCGATTTATTCAAGAATAATTAATGATTATTGAAAGTAACTCCATACCAAGTTATTAACATTTTTCAATGCATAAATTAAAAATTCCTGCTCATAAAAAAACATTAATCTACATAAGTTAAAACGCAGAGTAAACGTTCCCGTAACGGTATCTGCAGTATGAACATGGCAATAACTTTCTCAGCGCTTTAGCTCAGGTGTTGCATACTGTTTACCTTTTCAACAATACAGGACAGAAGAGAGATACTCCTGGATTAAGAGGTCTGCCAAAACCGTTGTGGTTCACAATTTGATTCATGTAGTAGGACATTCAAATTTTTCATAGAAAGTGCAAAATAAAAACATTACTATCTTGGTCAGGAGTTAATGTCAATAATTTTCATCGCCCGCATAATTTTTTATGTAAAACATTGAAATAGGAACAAATATCAGAAAACTTCAATTTATACCTAATATGGAGGTCCATTGTTTTTATTTGCCATTTACTAGAAACATTCTCCCTGCTTAGTAAGATAAAAAAAAAAGGCACTGGATAGGGAGGGAAGCTGTTCTAAAATTTTGTGCTTCCTTTGAAAAAAAACTCACATCAGAGTATGTTTCGGATGATATCCATTAAAGGGCCATTTACATAAAGGTGCTTTTCCTGAATTTTGGATCTCTAAGAATGCTGACCTGACTGAAGTATGAATTCAATTACTTACTTGGTAGGCTTCAATAATTTTATCCCTCGAAACATCCTTTTGAATAAGTACATTGTGAAAGAGGAATGGGTAAGACACATCCTCTGCCGGTTCAGTATCTTGACAGAATTCTACATAACTTTCCTTGTTTCTAGGAGCAAAAATCTGCAAAAAAACGTCAGTTAGAAAAAATAGTGGTTTGGACCTCAAGAAACACTCAATCAAGGAAAATTGAACATTAAAAAGTGATAAAATGGAAAAAACCACAGGCACAAACTTAACAAATGATGCAGAAACCTGAATAATGCCTGAATTTCACCATCTTCCACTATTAACCAGAAAGTGAGGACAATCAAAAAATTGTCCGAAATGTTTCTGGCGACTTCTTCTAGACTGCTATCCTATGAAAAAATATGCTTTATAAGCCTTGAGATGTTGCCAAATTTCCCTTCAAGGAAGGATTTTTAAGGAAACGTTTATAGTTTGTCTTCCAATTTTTCAGAGAATTTTATGCTTAGCGCTAAAAAATAGTTTAAAACCGTTTTTTTAAATTAGAAAAAATTTCATTGGATTGAAAAAGAACTTTTTTGCTTAGATTTTTAATTGAAACAGTTTTCTTAAAATCAAGATATTTTCTTCTTAGTTAAAAAATTTTGACCATTTTTCCAGAAATTTAATTTAAAATATCTGAAAATTGCAAAGAAAAACATTTACACCACTTCTTCAAATTTAATTTTTTACCAGGAAAAATTTGACAACATCCAAAAGTTCATACAGCATTTTTTCTTAGGCATAGCCGTAAACTAGTCATATTTTAATAATTCAGGTTAATTTTCTTGATTACAAAACATTTGAAAAGATACTTATGAAACAAAGACACATAAAAATAATAAAAACAAATAAAAAAATTAAAAAGCTGTACAGAAAGGATGATTTTCACCATTTTTTTTTTTCAATTTTGATGCATTGTGAAAATTGTGTAAAAATGACTACTTAGGACTATACTACTACTATTAACTTTACGATACATAGTTAAAAGATCAGTGAGAACTTTTATTGATTCTTGAAGATTAAAACTGGAAATTGCTGAAATCTCAAATAAAATTTTTTTACCATCCTGACAGTTAATTTTCTGTAGGATGTTGAAAAAAAGTTTCATTTTTCAGGAAAGTTGTGAACAAATATCGGCAGAAATACTTACATCCATGAGTGAAAATTGTGAATTTTGCATTAGAAATGCACATTCCATTTCACGCTTCCACATGTTAGTTTGGGCGACTTTGGTTTTGATTGTACTAAGAGGTTCTAAGTTAACAGGAATATCTTTCGCATCGTCAATTAATTTAATTAATTCTTCCAAGAATGGTGACAGCACTGTGCAATCCTGTAAATATAAAGAGAATATTAGTACTCTTGCGACTTAACTACCATCATAAATTTCAGATAATGCATGGTAATAGTAGCTGCGCATTAAAAAATTGGGCATCAGCAAATACTGTTTTTTCTTTTTTTGGTAAAATGTTAAAAATTGTTTAAAAACAAATTATGAAACCATTTTTTGCAGCAAATTGAATTTTACATACTGGTGTAACAGGATGGTAGACTAGTGCTGGGCCCACAAGTTTCAGGAATCTCATAATTTATGGTGCTCATGTGATTGCTGTATTGTTTTCATCAGAATTCACTATTCAGAGACTTGTTTCTAAAATTATGCTTCTTAAGCTTGTGATTTTGTACTTTAGATGAAATAGAACAAAATTAAATAGATATATAGTGTAAAATAAAACAAAGGATGTGTACTCACAACAGCTTCATTGTATTTTTCTAACCATTCCTGAGCAGTTTCCAAGGTTTCTTTGAGCTGTTCGCGTGTTTGGGCACAACCAGGAACAGACTTACCCTCTTTCCATAAATCTTGCAAGTACTCAACATTATTCCTGAAAACAAGATAAAGATAGATGTATAAGATGATTAAATATACATGTAAATAAAGTCTTGTACTTCCATAAAATGATTTTTACTTGACTGCATAGAGTTTTGTAAGAGTCTTTCACCAGAGCAGGGCAAATGAAGTACATAATAATGCTTTGTAAATGAAAAATACATATCAAAATAATCAAAATATATACAGTTAGGAGCATGGAATCAGACATATTACTTGAAGTAAAAAATAATGATAAAATTACTGGCATTTTTCAATTTTTGATGAGGCTCCTCCAAAACACTGGTCAAATGCGGGTTAAAAAGTTAGCAGCAGACTCCTGGTAGATTTTCAGAGTGGATTAAAAGATAACCATCGTTGTTTTCAGTCGTTTCAGTTTCCCTTGAAAAAATCAGGATCTCCTTCACAAATCAAGCTTTTCTGGGCGGACATTCAATTTTTTATAAAATCTATGTAAGATGGGGGAAAACCAGGATAATTTTCCAATTCAACAACCAAACATACATAGATATGCATAAATTGGAGAATAAAGACAAATGGCTTGTGTCACACTATCAAAACTAGCCATCAAAATATCAAGGTCAGGTGTTGTGATTGGCTTATTCGATGACTTGGACCGATCACAGCACTTGACCTTGACATTTTGATGGAGTATTTTGATAGTGTGACACAGGCTAATGCATTCATGGTACTCACTTAGATTTGAGAGCTTTATCTACTTTGTTCACCCATGATAGCATATTCTTGTAGTGTTTATCTAGAACAGCCAAGGCTAATTCAACTTCTGGTGCTACCATCAGTTTCATACACTCTCGTAGCAAACTCTCTACAGCCTCTAGAGTCATTTTCTGCGGGTTTTTCATCATTTCACTATACTTGTCCAGCCAACAACATTGCTCATACAACTAAAGAACAAGCAGAGAAGAGGTCAAAAATTAGTGTGATTTTAAACATTAAAACAAGTAATAAACTGAAATCATTGTACATCAACAAAAATTAAAACAAAATACAAAATACAACCGTGTTGGTACAAAATAAAACTGAGAAAGACTGATTAAATAAACTATGAAGACAATAAAGCACAAATGAAAAGGAAATTGGAAATTATTGACTCAAACTCACATTTTCTAGTGAGTTAGAATTTGAATGAATGACTTCCGGTTCGTTTAATAATACCTCATGGTAGCGTTATGCTAAAACTTAGCATCAAATGATAAAACTTCGGCAAGGTTTTGAGATTAACGTTTTTACTATCAACCTCGCTTAATTTGAGTGTGTCCGACTAAGAAAATAAGAATCCACACAGTTTATTGATGGCTATTAAAACGTCGCCAAAAAGAAATTTGACGACAACTTATAGACGAAACTTACTGATTTTAGCTTCGGCATTTCTTCGAAATTCAATCCTATTTCATAGCCTTTACAGATTAATTCTTGCACCAATTTGGGGTTTAAGCTGGAGACATTCTTCTTCAGCGTTGCATTCGCCACACGCCGGAAACTTTTCCCTTTGGCTATCATGTTGTCAATGATACTGATTTCAGGAATTACGCATGGAACTGATGCGATCTCTTCATGTAGCTCACAAAGGCCATCAACATCATACTTAAATTGCACTTCATCAGTCCCGTTTGTTCTGAAAAATACATAAATCAGGATATCAATGCGTTTGAATATTAAAGTTTTCAAGGATTAAAAAGATGCTATTATTTCTTAAGAAAATTTTGGGGAGGGGGAGGATTATCTGTGGGAAAAGGGGCCTGGAAGCATCAGGCAATTGTGGCATAAAACTGATTTTCATCAAGAAGGGTAAAAAAAAGTTGAAATTTTAGTTCTCAACTGAACACTCTTTCAAATATCTCAATGAATAAGATTCAAGAGGCTTAGTTCATTTTCGGGCTAAAAGAGAGCAAAAATTTGCATTACAGTTGAATAATCTGATAAATGAAAAGAAGAGTATACAAATTAAATTAAATCAAAAAAGGACCACGCAGATAAGATTTGCATGCATCAAAGTTCCATTGAATTTAATTTTACGTGCTAAGTTCTTTAAAGCATAAAAACTGCTGATTTTAAGCCTAAAACATGGTTAACTGGAACCTAAATCAGCTATCACGCAATACTAATGTTTAGGAGCTGCAAAGTTTGTTCAATCATAAGTCTGGTTTGGTTTGTTGTTTTTGAGGGTTTTTTATGTTCACAAGGACGTTCATAAAATATATTGCCGGTGTAAGTTCACGACTATGTATCTCGTTTGCGGTGTTTGGAAATCTCCGCTCCTATTTTATTTTTTAAAGAGAGAACACATCAACATTGTTCCTTGAAGTTTTCACAGAATCTTCTCACGAAGAAGAAATATCATGGCAGTTTGGCTTTTCATTAAAAAACTTTCGTGGGACAGGAGGTCTGCAAAGTCGTAAAGCGAGAAACATGGTTGCAGAAAACTTACACCGTCAACATGTGTCTATGCAATTACAAAATCTTAATTTTGAATTTTCTCACAAAATTTTTTCACCAAAGACGGTGAAAAAAAATACAATCAAGATTGATAAGAAAAAATAATACGTACAATTTTTTTCAGTATATACGTAGAAAATGTTTTCACAAAGAAATGAAAGAAATAACAAATTCTAGTGCTTACTTAGCTGCTTTGATTTCTTCTCTAAGTTGAGCTATCCTCTTGACTTTACTTCGCGCTGCTGACACTGTTTTTGACAGAAGTCGGTAAACATCCCCGAAGGTATAATTTTTGGCAATAGCTTCTTTTTTAAGTGTAATTAAAGTTTTCAAAGCTAGAATCAAACCAAGAGATGTACATTAAATTTAGTTCAGCCCAGTAGTCCTCTGACAACAGATTACTTAAATTCATTTTTGGCCTTAAGTTTCAATACATTATTGGGTTAAAAGCCTGATAAATGGGATAAATCATGCCTGCAAAAGTAATTCGGCCTTAACAACCGAAATTTTTGTAATGCTATACACTTCCTTTTTTAATGAAAAATCACTAGAAAAAACTCTCCATCAATTAAAAGGACATGTATTTCTATTCATTGACAGCAGTCTTGAGACTGCTTCCGTTTGAACGAATACTTACTACTCATGGTATTGAAATAGAGTAATCAATTTCACACATTGCGCGGAGTAAATCGTAAGAAAAGTAATATAAATAAATTAATATTGCAAAAAATCTACAAATCTGAAGTTTCTTTTCAATATATATTAAGAAAGACTGACTACAAAAAGAAAAAAAATCTTACTATATTTTGGCGGTTTTTCTTTCAGCCCTTGGACTACGGTCTTCTTCCAACTGTCAAATTCTCTGATAGTTGTTTGTAATTTTGAGTAGATTTCGAACAGCTCATCGACAGAATACTGGTATCTGGAAGAAAAAAAACAAAAAACAGACTGTTCTAAACAAGATTCTAAGTTATGGCAAGAAACTTTACCCAGCAAGTAACGTTCACTAGTTCAGAATTTGTTTTATTTATTCTGCTCCTTCCACTGGTTTTGATATCTCATCAGTTGAAATCACGTTCATTTGATTTTGAATCAGCAAAATGCGTTTGGAGCATGATAAACTTGTTCGAGATAAATCAGTATGAAAAAATTATTTATCTCTGATATTGAGTTGGAAGGAGAAATAAAACTTCAAACCTCTTTCTCTCATCGTGAAGAAGTTGTAATGCTAAATTGGGAAACAGAGCGAGGAACACATACCTTAGCGTCCATTTACTAACAGGACAGTCATTGCATAGATCATTAATGTGCCTTAAGCATCCTAATTTACACTGACAGCTAATGGCAGACAGATAGACCGTCGTTTTGCAATGGGCACACAATCGATGATCATCAGAGAGAGCTTCATGGTTTACTTTCACCCATTTAGTTATTCCCTGTAAAAATAAAATGAGGAATTCGAAATGAAGGAACAGAAAAATTCTGTAGGAATCTTTAAGGGAATTTAGGAACCAGACGGTTACAATTGGAATTTGGTTGTTTTTTCAAAGTGCAGTAAAATTCATGCAAATATTGAATGATATATGATGTAATGGTCGGAGATTGAAGATTTTGAGAAACTTGTTCCTTGGAAAATTGATGGAAATTTATGCTAATAAAGAGAAATTTGGAGTATTTATCAGGCACATACCTACTTTTCAGACTCTACTTAAATCAATCTACATATAGTTAGATTTAAGAATTTCATGATTTCCAGGATAAAAGGAGGGGAGGAATTCAAACAAGAACAAAAGAACTTAATGGTTCCACAGATAATATCAGAATCAACAAATTTTACTCAAATTCTATGATGCTTTTCCAGATTTTCCTAAATACCTAAAAAATGCCAGGATAAATTCTGGTATTTCAGATAGCTGAAAGCCCTGGTTTGGCATTATTAGTATCAGCAGATATAACTAAATAAAAAATAGAAAATTTTACATTACCTTCTTGGTGACTTTCTCTAAATAACTTTTTTCAGATTCGATCATTCTCTTGAGATCTTCAAAAGTTGCTGCTCTCACCCCAGGAGGCAAGGAGTTTGCTATTAACGCTAATTTGACCGTGAGCTCATCATGAGAGAATACATTCGTTCGTCTCATACTTGAATAATGACTGATACAATCTCGGCCCATTGTGATCTGAAAGAAAAAGAGAAGTGAAGCATTAAGAACCATTTTTTCTTGACAAGTGGTCGATATGAAAATTTAAAAGCCCAGGATTTGGAGAAATAATAATAATAAAAAATGCTAGGGTTGAGTGCAACAACGTTTATAATGTTCAAATAAGTTGCTCAGATTAGCAGATACACTCGCAAGCATTCTTTTGACGCTTCAAAATATCAACACTTTCTTTTTGGCAATTTCAGTGAAGTTTTGAAATTTTGAAAAATTTCGTTTTTTTTCGAAACTTATAGTAGACTAATGCAGCTTAAGAATGAAAATGTTCGGTAGGCTTGTTGCACGCAAAAGATACAACCGTGTGAGGCTTTTGAAGGGTAAAATGGCACGAAAATTACGATGGTCACAATGGAAAAGTCTAAAATTCACTCCTTGGTGCACCACTTGCTTCCTTTGGATCATACCATTTCAAATTTTCCTCGTCTGAAGGCAGTTTTACAAACACCAGAAATGAGCAAACAGCAACTTCAGGCTGCCTCGGTAGTTACCAGTAGTTGCCAAATTCATTATTGTTGTATATTTGTTTTGTTTACATACAAACCATGATAGTGATACATGTCCATACACACCAGCTCTCTCTTTCAATGATCCGTAGGTTATGTTAGAAATGTCACTTTTTATAAACCGCAAGTTGTCAGAGTTGCCGTTGCTTGTTCAAACTATGCAAATTGCACTTTCAGGTGTAGATTCAAGACTTTTTAAATGTTATCATTGTGATTTTTGTTCAATTTTACCCCTTTAAGATATATTTACATGCAACTCTTTTACTCTTTGCATGCAACGGACCCATTAAGAGTCACTTCAAACTAACTGTAAAACATTTCCAACTAGGGGCTACCTGAGCTTTTTTTAGACAGTAAGTTCCAAATTAGTCTATGCCAAATGTTTTGTTTTCCATTGAGACAGAACAAATCAACTCAACCGTTGAGCTTATAATCATTGGATTGTTATGCAGTACACAATGCTACAAATCTAAAAGCAAAATAAAAACGGATTTCATTTTGCAATTAGGAACTTTAATTTCTGGCGCATCCGTAAAAACACTTATGTGCTTAGGAAAACTAATGGTACATACAATGTTTCTAGACAGAGATAGAAATTGCTGTTCCCAAGCGCAAAATTTAGTCCTTACAGAGAGTCCCTGTTTGCCAAACAACTGTTGGTTTTGGTTTTATGATAAAAAAAAATATTACTAAGACTCACCCAATCAGCAGGAGCAAAATTCACAGCTTCAGCGAAATTGAATCCTTGATTAAAGCCAGCATGATACGCTCTAGGGAAAGTGATAACAAACTCTCCTGGACCCTGATCAACTCTAAAAATTGGAACTCCTGGGTAACAAAAAAATAAATAAAAATAAATAAATAAATGAAAAATCAGAATTTGAAAAAATGAAATATGTCAAGTTCAACACAAAAAAACATTATGGAGCTAACAGACACCGATTGCAAGTTGCGATTGATACTTTTCCTATTATTTGCATGAATTAGAGTTCTCAAGAGCTCATTGGCAAAAGAGGTTGTTCCAAAAACGCCCATTTTGGCCCCCCCCCTGGATTTGGCCCAAACTTTGCTCAGATGTTGTACTAAGTGTCCCCGATGCTTAGGAAAAATTTCAGCCCCCTGGGATAATTAGGGGGGAGGGGGCAGGGGGGCAAAGTTGCAATTTTTTTAAAACTTTAAAAATCGATATCTCGCGAACAATTTGAGTGTAAGTGTTGCGGTTTGCGCTAAAAAACGTCAAAAAATATTCTCTACAAGAATATTAATGCTGTTTGCAAGGTTGCGTAATTTATCGCGGTCATAAATCGATTTTTTCGATTTTGAAGGTTCGACTTTTTTTCGTTTTTCGTCTCTCTTCTCTTTGGAATCGTTGCTACGTGAATAAAAACCTGTTGAGGTGATTCTCCATGAAATTCTGCATCTACCACACTTTGTTTGATCTTGGGGAAACGATTCGTTCGTGAGTTATAGCGATTTTTCTGCGCGTTATCGGTTACGCGCGGGCGGCTTATCGGCGGCGCTCCATCCCGCGCGGGCAAGGCAGAGGTTGTTTCACCCCTAGGGCCTTATATTCATGCTGTAGGCTGTAATTATCGATATTTTCTCCTCCCCCCACCCTTCCCCTGCAATAAATATTTGTTTCATACTTCGTTATACAGGATATCCCAGACCACCCGTAACAGGTCTTTTTCTCGGTTGGTTTAGGTAGTAAGAAATGGGGGGCCGCGGAATTGAATAGGGAATTGGCCCCAAGGAATCCGAATTTCACGGTCCCGAAACCCCCCATGCCTCCCTCGTGAGGTGAAGAGGGGGTCTCGATCCCCAAAGTCGGGAGACATTGTGCCTCCCCCTTTTACCCCCCGAGGGTGGCTAGGGGGGCATCGGGACCGTGAAATTCGGATTCCTTGGGGCCAATTCCCTATTCAATTCCGCGGCCCCCCATTTCTTACTACCTAAACCAACCGAGAAAAAGACCTGTTACGGGTGGTCTGGGATATCCTGTATAACGAAGTATGAAACAAATATTTATTGCAGGGGAAGGGTGGGGGGAGGAGAAAATATCGATAATTACAGCCTACAGCATGAATATAAGGCCCTAGGGGTGAAACAACCTCTGCCTTGCCCGCGCGGGATGGAGCGCCGCCGATAAGCCGCCCGCGCGTAACCGATAACGCGCAGAAAAATCGCTATAACTCACGAACGAATCGTTTCCCCAAGATCAAACAAAGTGTGGTAGATGCAGAATTTCATGGAGAATCACCTCAACAGGTTTTTATTCACGTAGCAACGATTCCAAAGAGAAGAGAGACGAAAAACGAAAAAAAGTCGAACCTTCAAAATCGAAAAAATCGATTTATGACCGCGATAAATTACGCAACCTTGCAAACAGCATTAATATTCTTGTAGAGAATATTTTTTGACGTTTTTTAGCGCAAACCGCAACACTTACACTCAAATTGTTCGCGAGATATCGATTTTTAAAGTTTTAAAAAAATTGCAACTTTGCCCCCCTGCCCCCTCCCCCCTAATTATCCCAGGGGGCTGAAATTTTTCCTGAGCATCGGGGACACTTAGTACAACATCTGAGCAAAGTTTGGGCCAAATCCAGGGGGGGGCCAAAATCGGCGTTTTTGGAACAACCTCTTTCTACATCTCTTGTATGATTGAGCAATGAGCATTTACATGAATTTTACACTTGTTTCAGGTTATTTTCCATAGGATAGTCTTTCTTTTGCGGTGAAAATTTTTCGAAAAGTTCATTAACGAGGGGAAATTTTTTCTCACCTCTTTCCATGAGATCGTTTGGATTAACAATGGTAACCAACTGGTGCAGCAAATCGGGCTGAGCATGAAACAGTTCTGGTGCGATTTCTTGAATTGCGGCTTCAAATTCATCAGCATGACTTCCAGGAACTCCGTACCAAGTTTTGTAATCACCCCTGAAAGATTAAACAGAACATTTAGTACAAAGGAGGACTTAACAGTGGCAGTATTTGAGGCAAAAAAAAGTTAAGTTTCTCATGTGGGTCACATAATGATGAACTCTGACCATTAGACTACCCAAGGCCGATTCAAAGAAATATGAGATCAGGATAACGATTCAAAAATATGAAGAAAGCGGCTTATCTAGGGATTAACAGAGGCTTGAAAGGAAATAAGGCTCAGTAAATCTGAAACATAACTAAGACAAGAATGAGATTTGGACTACATTTTGAAATTCGGAACTACAAAGTCTGGCTCATGCGTAAAAACACTTGTGTGTGTGGGGAAACTAATATTACATACATTGTTTCTAAACTGAACCAGAAATTCTAGTTCCTATTTGTAAAATGTAATCCATTTAAGGAATCAGAGAACTCAGTGCAACGATTCATCACTGGATAGACAAGAGATGGCAACAAATGTACATGGAAAAAAAAAAAAACCTTAAGTAACGTACCAGATGTTAAAAATCTCCATGACACCTCTTGAATGTTGTTGTGGACACTCCGGCTGTTAAAGTAACATCCTAGCTATGCTGAATTAACAACCGTAGCGTTTGAATCAAGATTCAAGAGTTGTCGCAAAAATTTTGAACATCCGGGATGTTGGTTCAGCAACTTTTTTTGGTTCCGTGTAGAGATTCAACAGGATAAGAATATTACAGCCTTAGAAGTCAAAAATTTGATTTTTTTACTACCACAAATCAGGTCATAAATTATTTCCAGAAAAAAATTACTAGAAATTAAGATTGCTCGAAAAATGAATTTGGAAAACAAGGTAGATAGCCCTTAATTCTCTAATACAAAAACAAATAATTTAAAATTGTACTGATATTTTTCAGGAATTATCAATCTTATTTATCCTGTCAGGAGGATAAGAGAAGAATTAAACATGAACTTGCAACTACATACCAATGCAGATAATTGATAGAATAACTCCAATGATCTTCATTGTGCCAACAGAAGGTGGAGAAACACATCCCGACATACGACCAAGGAACCTTCATACCAGAAATATTTGCACTAATGTGTTTCAAAACAGAACCTTCCAGCACCGGCATATTGTTCAAGTTCCAGTTTGAATTTGTATACTTGTCAAGAAGTTTACGCTGAAACAAAAACGTTAAAACCCGTTACACATCCCTCCATAATTATAAAAACCTTTCAGATATTTATATGAAAATCGGATGAAAGAATTTTTAAAAATTATGACAGTTACCCTACCTTTATTCATTTCTTCATGTTGTTCAACAAGCTACAAAATCTTCAATTCCACATCGAAACAAACAGTGATTGGTCAATGGTATTAAAAAGCAGTTTTTTAGAAATGACACAATACATTGACTTCAAGTTCAAACCAAATACAAAAGTTTTCATGGTTTTGCAGGAAATTTTTCAACATTTTGAAACATTTTGCAGCCATAAATTTTCCAGCAGCCAGGCTTGCTATCTTTTCAGATTTTTTTTATATTATATAACTGGGCTTGCCCCTTGAGTTTTAGGACACGAATAAACAGAATTTCCTTTTTTTAAACGTTCAAGCATTGAGCTACAAATGATTGAAACACTTTAAAAAATTTAGCAGAGTACTTCACCCATGCCAAAAATTACAACAATCAGAACTTACCGCTTTTTCTTCTGGTACCCTTTCTAAAAGCTTGTGTGTTGGAAAACCAGAACCGTGTTCATGCGTTTGCAAGTCAGCACCATATTCGACTGAAATTGGCTCCTCTAAACAGGATAATATCCTCCAGTATTCTCGCTCAATTTCTTTACTTGATAGGAACTGCAAAAAAGTGAGAAAATAAAATAAATTAAATTGATTTTCATTTGCTACTGGCTAGTGTCTGATAAACTTATAGAAAATCTTATTTAAAAAGTCTACAAGGAAATTTAAAAACATTTCGGCATCTGAGGTTAAAAGAAGCTTGCAGTACAAGTGAAAATTTATCAGGAACATACTTTTATCAATTGGGTCATAAAATCGAAACATATTTTAGTTTCAGACTGAGGACACTCTCTAAATCCCGAAAGAATAAATCCAAGCAGTTTAGTGCATCTTTGCGCTAATGCAGAACACAAAAAAGCACTTTAATCTCAGGCTGAATTCCACTGCATTAATTGATTTGGTTGTTTTTCTCCTAACTTGGCAGGCTAAAAATTTATATAACCTCATCTTAAAATTATGTTTTTGAGTTACCAGGTTGAAAAGATTAACAGTCTCGCTTTGATTGGAGAACTATAGGCATTTCAGAGCCAAAATATTTTTCTACACACTGGTACCAATACCTTAATTTTATAATTTTCTGTCTCTCCAAAACACTTCAGCATCGCAAAAATTTCAAAACATAAGACAAGGACAAACACGGACTGTGGAAGTCAGGTATCATTAGTTACTTGCAGCTTGGGTAAAATTTTAACTGAGCTACTTTAAAATAAATTGAACTGAAAAAAAAAAAAAAAAACTTCTTACTTGGAACGGTTTTCGGAAATAATGCCGTTTGAAGTCCTCTGCCATGGAACCGAAAGTCTGCAATGTGTAAGCTGTTCTCGTGTCTTCAAACCCATAAGCATCTGGGGTTGCTGCCAGTTCCTTTGCGATACACTTGGGACAAAACCATGACTCTAGAACAAATCCAGCGTAAAGAATCATCAGTGTTAAGTCCTAGCTAAGAGAGTAAAAAGATGGGCAGTGTATTTCTCTCAGCGGATGCTGTTTCCTTACGAAATACATTACAGCTACGGAAAACTTATTTTTTGCCTTTGGGAAAATTTTTGAGTACAGCATTACCTCTTTGCAGTAGATCACAAGGGACTAGAAAATTCATCCAGTACAAAAAGAGATTTGGCAGACAGAAAATACATGTATTTATCATAGGAAAGGACCGATGGATTTATCCCTTGCAAAGAGTTTTCTTAAAGCTTTAGGAAGGTGGCTTTGCACATTTTGGCTTTTAATTCTTCATAGGAGCATCAGATCAACATAAAACATGACTGTATATTCTCAGACGCGCTGATGCTGTACAACTGAGTTTCAAAATGAAGATCAATTTTACAATACGCCCTCTTGTGGGCGAACTCTTCAATTGAAGTTTATGTGTGAAATGACCATAATACTCACTTTCTGGCATTTTTGGAAGAGGATAAGCAAGGCACATTATGTGCGTTGAAACTGCACATGTTTGACAAGTCAAAATCAGTTCTTGCATGTCTGTACGGTAACAGTTTGAGCATGTGTAGATCTGAAAGGAAAACGGAATTAATTAATGATATGTTTAATTTTTACTGACATTTTTTCTCCTTTTGATTTACTCTTTATCATTTTTCTGGCTGACTTCCAACTATAAGTTCCTGTTACTGACAAGGTTTCCTAGCGCTTAATTTTGAAAATCCGGCAAAGCTAATAATTTTATGATCAGAAAATTTAGAAAAAATAAATCCAAGCCCAAAAAAAGGATTGGTTTGAGTAACTAGTACACAGGATTATTTAACTGATTACATTTCAAAAATGGTAACCTTTCCAGGGTTTTAATAATTTTTTTACTTTCCAATTCCCTGACAATCACACTCTTCTTTCACTCCAAAATTTCCGATTTTCCTAACTTTCCTTTGATGTTCCCAGACTTTGAGACCATTTCCACTTCTAGAGATTTAAATTATGGAAAGAGGAGCTTGAAAACTGTGAAAAAAGGCGCTAGATAGCCGCTCCAGCAGAAGTTTCTAAGTTAACACATTACAGTAAAAGCTCGTTAAGACGAAATACGGTTAAGACAAAAATCCGCTTAAGACGAAATTTTTTTCGGTCCCTTGACACTTCCATAAGAGTCAATGTAAAAAAAATACGGATAAGACGAGATTTTGAAATTTTGACCCATAACTAAAGCCGGTTCAGGCGAAGAAAAATTTCCGATTTTCTCCCCTGAAATTGGGTAAAAACGACAAAAAAAGCCAATTCTTAGGGAAAATAGACTTAGTTTTGCGTATCTTGACATAAAAAGAGTAGGTTGAGAGTAGATTGTGGGTATCCTCTGTTTTGCTGGATGACTGAGATGCAATTGACAGTTGACGATAAACCGATTTGCGTATTTTAAAAAAAATTCAAAATTTGAATTTCGTATTATATAAAATTTAAAAATTTAAAACTAATAGATAATAATCTTTCAAAAAGTCATTCACTTAAAATAGCGGATACCAGCGCAACTTTCAAGCGCAGTTGCTGCTTATGCCGAAAAATTTCGTCTTAAGCAGAGAACGGTTAAGACGAAAAGCCGCTTATGACGAAATTTTTTTTGGTCCCTTCATTTTTCGTCTTAACGAGCTCTTACTGTACTTGCAAAATTCCCTGACTTTTCCAGGTTATCTAAATCGCTGAAAACCCTAGTTTCTTAACAATTTGAAAGGGTAAAGTGGGACAAATTAGGGATAAATGATACATGTAGTCTTACCAGAACGCCTTCTTTTGCTTCTGTGGGCTCAACAGTAGCTGATTCGTCTAAATCGAGCATTTTCGGTCCAGGCCCTTTAAACTTCAGCCTTTCCAACTCTTTCTGTGTCTAAAAAGAAAAGGTAAAAAAAATGAGAAAATACTGTCAGAATGCGACTTAAAACTGACACTTTTCAGGACACTAAGTTCAGAAGTTGGCCAATTTTGTACTTGAAAGAATTGGAGAAACTCAGAAATAGGTTAGAGAACAAGAGAAGATCTGGTAACTTTCATTTATTTTAGAATCAATTTACGAAGAATTTTGAGGAGTTGAGTACGCAACCCTCCACAAACAATCAAGAATTTATTGAGAAAATTCAGAGGATTAACTCAAGATAATTTTTTTTTTTTTTTTTTTGTTGAGTTTTTACATCTGCAAACCGTTTTCTAGTCTCTTAAGTCAATAGCAAGGTGTTCCAAAAAATTTCATAAAAGTTCACAGTGTAATGTCACTTCATGAAATCTCAAGAAATTTTGCACTTGTAACCTTGACAAGCACGTGGCAAAACAATCCAACTTGGCAGCCAGAGCTTATTAAAGATGCCAGCACTATTCAAAAATGTGCCTCATTCTTGAAATGATACCTTTCTTGAAATGATGTCTATTAATTTCCTGCCTCTATAAACTTAGAATAGAAGAACTCCTTACCGATGACTTTTTCTTCCCACTGTCGTTTGGTGAAGATTCTGAACTATGATCTGTGCTATCTCGTTTCTTCGGGGAATCATCATCAGACCGAAAGCTGATATCTCCATCATCTGATTCTTTTTTCGAGTCAGTTTCACCATTTTCACTATGCTCCAGGGCATTTTTGTGCAGTACAGCATTCATCTAGAAAATACATTGTAAATAAAATTAAATTTGACGGCATTAAGATACAGAGGCTGATAATCATCATCATCACTCTGCGATTGAATTCCACATGAAGAGTGGCACTCCATTGCCAGTTCCACATGAAGCTTCTGTAAATTCATTCTTTTAACCCCTCACGTAAAACATTAACAATTCACAAATTAAAAAAATGAAAATGGATATAAAAATGAAAATAGAAAAAAAAAGGTTTAAAATGTCAATCAGGACTTCAGAGGTTTTCTCATTTTTCTGTGTGAGGGATTAAAATACTGTTCAGTTTATACTGAAAAAAAAATTAAAAATTTTTGGTGAATTATTGCAAGTTTCTGGCGGTTCAAAATTTTTGAAAATGCAATTTCATTTTCGCAGACTTTTACCTGTACGCTATATGCGATGCTAATTACACATAAAAATTCGGCTCAAATTTTTCAATGGTACATAAGAAACTTAATTTCATGCTAGCTTGTAATAATTACAGGAACTCGAGAACCTTTATGTACGGTTGAACAGAGACCATTCTGTATAAGTTCTCCTGTCCTAAAGTTTTCACTGTTCTCTTCAAAATTTCGAAATCAATAAATCAACAATGCAAGACAGAAATAAAATAAATACAAACCTTCATGACGGCCAATCTTTTGTCTGATCGTCCTTTGGAGGCTCGAGTCAAAACACGAGGCTTAGAAAAGGGAAAATAATTACAATATTAATCATCAGTTTTAATCAAGACAATTTAAAAACCCTAATGGTGAATCTTCAAAGAAGTAAAAGCATTGAATCACTTATCTTATGAAATAAGCTATAAAGCTTCCACTTTTTTTTGTCGATAAAATGACATTCATCATTTTTGCTTAAGACTAGGTCACTGGAGTTACAGAAATTTTCTTTACAAAATAACAGCAGATTCAGGTCAACATGTTAAAAGACGAATGATTAAAATATATGATTTGGGAACGCTCTGCCCTTCTTTCTTCTTCTTTTTTAAAAAAATTAAATTACAGAGATAATTAAAACCGTTGAGGATCTTTCATTTTACGCATAAAAAATTAAACACAAAACTATCAAATTTTTGGAGTATCCTGAAATTACACCCACTTTGTATAAAATAACATGAGTTTCTTATAAAAGTGAAATACTTCATGTATTGGACCTGGCAACTGATTTAAATCAGGAAATAAGAAACTATTACACTTACCTCTGGGGTGCTGTTCAAGTTCAAAGAGATGATGGATTTCTTTTTTTTGCCACTCATCAAACCTAAGTCTTTCAACGTATCTAAATTGATCTAGAGAAACACAACATATAGAGGAATATTACATTGTGGATTATAATGAGGTTAGAGTTAGGTTATAGGTATATATTAGGGCAAAATTTTACTCCCAAGATTTAAGGGTCTCCAAGGCTATTCAAATTTTCATAATTGTCATGGATTACCTTCCATCAATTGTGAAAACAACACAAAATCTATAGAAAAACCTTTTGATTTAAATACTTCCACTTTTTGGGGGGATAAAATTCACTGAGAAAATTATGAGTAAATTTCATGGGCTGAATGTAGTTTTTTTTCAAGACATTAAAAAAGTTGCATGATTGTTGAAATTAGAAATCTTTCATAGCACAAAAAGCTAAGCATTTCTCGAGTCAAACTCCCGTCATTTTAAACGTTAACGATTCTACCTAAATCAGCATAGAGGGAGTCCCAAGGTTAAATTGACAACTGATGATTACTTAGTGATTCCAACAAGTTGAAGAAACTCTCATACAAATATTTAGGAAAAAGTTCTGTGCTAAATTCACTTGGTCTGCAGTTTTATCATTCTTCTATTCCAATTCAAAATCCTTCGCATAGCAATTGGTCACTCGAAATTGAAATTTTGTCCAACCAACTATTTAAGGTGTCCTTTAAATATATACGTCGGTCAACTTCTTACATCTTTACTACTAGAATCCGAATCACTGAGGCTTTTCCTTCGTTTGACTGGTTCTGGAGATTTAATCACATCTTTGGCTTCATCATCGGAGATTACTTCTTGTTTTACGGCTCCGTTTGGGTTCAAATCCTGGTGGAATAAGTGAAACAAAACTTGTATGATCAACTTCATAGATGATACTCACACGACACTAATGCGGAAATTATAGGCAAAATACAAAGGTAAATCAAGACCAATAACCAATTGACTCTGCAATGAGCTTGCGGAAATATTAGACACATAACAAACCTGGAAAACGCTGTAATTTTTGTGATAAAATCATTGACTTAAAATTGCGGATCCAAAACCCAGGAAACTTCTTATGAGCAAAGATTAGAAGCAATCTTAACATCAAAATTTCCTCACTACGCTAAAATGCCTTCATACTATAGGAATTCATTCAGTGCACACCCTCTCATTGCCAAACTGCAGCTGATAGTTGAAATTCATAGACAAAGTTAAAGACAAGAAATAAATAGGGAGTATGGAGCAATCCTATTGGTTGAAATGGGTGGTTGTTATAGACTGAGGGGATAAATGATGGGCTAACTATAAGGTCTCTCGTCGGTTGCCGTTTGCTAGTTTATTACCTACCTCCTTGGTCCACTGCAACCACCTGCTTCCACCGATAGAATCGTTTCATATCCCTTTTGTCTTCTTTGCCTATCAATTTCAACTAACACACATTATCACTGATGTAAGTCACTGCTATTGCAATTGCCAATCTGTCATAATTTGTACAGCTCATACCATTTTTTTTTTGTACCACATACAAAGTTTTTGAGATCAAAATCTTAAAAATATTGATTTTGTAATTAAGTTGTAGAAATTAATAAGTGTAGCCATCATAATGTAGACTTACGTTTGAACTTGTGTCAGAGGAATCGTCTTTGGAATGTCTGCGTTTAGAGGTCCTTGTTCGCAGTTCTATAGCAGATTCTGAGGAAGAACGAGTCTGAAAAAATAACAGTTGATAGTAGTGAATGTGCTGAAGTAAAAAAGGAAAAAGGGTGAACAAGAACATTGAAATAAAAGAGGCGGCTGAAAAATAATTCCTCCAAGCTCATGACTTAGGAAAACAAGAGATTTTTGCAAAAACTGAAAAGATCCTTAATGTCGAAATTCTTAGCTTTCTAACGGCTTTCCAGACTTTTTGATAGAAATTTGGACAAAGTACTACAAAATATGTTGCAAGTGCAAAGCGTTGCATTGTTACGACTTACTAGTGTGGCATTTTCCTTCAACCTATCTGCAGAACATGGTGTTTGGCAAAATGTAACTTCATAAAATTGGAATTTTCAGTCTTCTAGACCATTCGACTATTCTAAGGATTTTTTTCAGTTTTTTCCAGTTATCATCTCTTTTTTTCAGGTGAAGAGCTATATGGAATTAATTTTTAGCCTTATAATACTGGCTTTACATATAATTTTCTGCTGAGAAACAGATAAATTATCAACAACCTAAGAAATTCAGGGCAAGAGGACCTCTCTTATAGCCTTGAAGAAGTACTTTGGCTCTTTTAAACCGTTCTAAAAATGGAGAAGTCAGAGGTTATGAACTTACAAGATGCACTTTTCGCATTGCACAGAAAATTCCAAGCCAATCTCCATAGACAGTCAACAAAAGTAGTAGTAGACAAAAAAAGAAGTCACGAAAAAATATGTATGATGGAAAGGAAACTTTTCCATCAGGGGGAATCATGATCAACCTGAGATCTGACACTGATAACAATACGCATAATTTTATGATTAGTCGAGGTTCGAACTTACATTTTTCTGTGGAATTTTTGCATCATCTGATGAAGAGTCTCCTTTGGCATCTTGCAAATTCTGAAAAAGAAAAGAGGGCACACGATATAAGACCAAAAAGTAACAGATCCAATATATTTTTTGTCTTAGTTTTTAATTATCATCAAATAAACACATTTGTGACAAAAATGAATTCCATTTTATCATCAGCTGTTAGGAGATTATTTCATTTTTAGTAGTCATATTTCTTCAAGTACAGTTCAAGTTCATTCATTTTTCTTTGTTGAAGTCAAGGGTTTAGAAAGTTCCAAGATACTGGCTGCTCACTCCAATCTGACACTTTGATTGACACTTACTTTCTTTTTCGCCCGATGAATTTTTCGGTTGTCACTCTTAAACTTAAACGATGGCCATTTCGACTTCTGTGGAAGTCATCATCAGGTAATTAATAACTAACAACAAAAATAAAAATAAAAGCCGAAGCTAAAAACTGACGTTAAAATGTCAAAACGTTAAAACCTGTTTACATTTAGCCAACTTTGGGGCTCCATGATAGCCGACCGATCAGAGAGCGGCACGCTTTTTCTGTAGTAAAAGGATTGAGATAGCAATACTCTCCCGTATACCGGTACTCTACAGTTCACTACCTAAATTCATGATAATCTATTAGGCATTCATTCAACGATACCAAATATTCGGTTGCATTTATCAAGTGTAAAATTAAATTAGTTTTGATAGCCATAGAGAACTCACCCTTTTCCTTCCTCTAGCTTTAGAAGCAAGAGATTCATTATCGCTATCGTCAAATGACTGATTCAGACGATCCTCCTAAACAAATTAAAAACAAGAAAATTAGATCATGCAAATTTATCCCTGAAGATATTTTTCTTGAATTGATAAGTTGTCAGTATATAATTTAGAAGGAGTGTAAAAATTAATCATTTTTCAATTCAAAAACCTCAGATCAACCTTAAAAATTGAAGTAATTTCTTCTGAAGAACTAATACTCAGAATTAAACATATTTTTTTATTTTTTTGGCCAATCTCACTCATCGACGGTGTAAGTCGGCAATCACATAACTCGGTTTGCGACGTCACAGACTTCCTGTCATACTTTATTTTTTAAACGGAAAACTACTCAATGGCAATTCTTGAAAACTGCCGTGATTTTTCTTCTCTGTGCGAAGAAAATTCTGCATAAATTTCAAGGAATGACGACAATTTGTTCTCCTTTAAAAAATAACAAAGAGGCAGAGATTTTCAGACACTGCAAACGTGATGAGTAAATGCGGCCTTATGCCATCGATATCTTCTTTGAAATAGGCTTTGTCCTGCTTCCTGCCCAGCTCACATTTCTGTTTCATTAAAAAGTAAGACAAAATAGGTGAGGATTGGACAGACGGGGTAATTGGAAATCAGCATTCATAAACAGTTTTTGTTCACTTACAGGACCAAAAGAAAAAATCAAGACAAACACATTATTTTACGCATTTTAATTGCTGTCAAAAGCAAGTTTTGAATGGTTATGAAATTTTTTTGAAATTACAGGCTTAAACAATTTACATTAACTAGGGGTTGGGTCTTCACAAAACAATGCGTAAATGGCAAGCATCAGTAATGACAGTTATAACTGCTGTTTTGTCAACTTACAGTTTTGTCTCCGTTGCTTAAACTTGTGTTACTTGAAATTTGCTTTTCCAAATTTTTATTTGCTGGTTTGATGATATCAGACAATCGGTAGTCAGACCTGATATCTGGGGCATATTCCTCCTGAAACACAAAATGAAAGTTAATTATACATGTGAAAAAGGGAGATGTTACTATTTTGATGAGATGTCTTACACACCTAGAATAAAAACTTCTGCTCAGAGTTAGCAATTAACAATTACTAAGAGCACAATATTTTGAGGTTTTTCCTGAAATTTCACAGGTAACAGCTATCAGCTGATTACATGCTATGCTGGCTTGACAGGACATAGAACTTGTGATGTTCAGAGGCTGTGATAAAATGACTAGGTATAGTAAAAACCGCATATAAAGAAACGCATCAGAATCGGCCGAATTTTCCGTTATAAGTAGGTTTCTGGCACAAGCGATTTTTGCGTAAATATTGAGTTTCGAGCAGCAACCGCGCGGCCCGCTAGGGTGGAGCATTTTCAGGAAATATTGTCCAATCGAGTTTGGACATATGACAATCGGTGCTCCTTTTGAATACAAATTGAAATATTCATTTTGAATTTTGACGAAAAATTTGATCTTTCGGAAGAAAATTGACCTAAAGGGCGGCAGTAAAAACTGTGATTCTTGAAAGATTTGAAAAAGCATTCTGGCTTAGAATTGAGGAGTTGTGACTCCATGGGCAACAATTCTGTCTGATTTGGCGTACTTTCAACTGTCGAAGTAGAAACAGCCTATTTGTGGTGCGCAAGAACTTATGGAGGTGCATGGCGGGCGCTGTTGCGCTACGCCTCGTTACAGAACAGCATGGTGTTGCTAAAAGCCGCTGTGAGTGCTTTCAGCGGCCACCCAAGGGTTACATGCAGTTTCTACTATACGTTGAAGAGGGCTTTTTTTGTATGCGGATCGCAGTGGAACGCGGTGGATCGCGATGAACATCGGTATTTTTTTATTCCGTTCCTCAGCGTGATCCAAGCGTTCCAGGTGGATCAGGGTGGAACGCTGGATCGCTCCTCCGAGGTGGGGCGAGCTCGCGATCCACTGTGATCTTAACCTAATGCGAGGAAGTTGCCGTCCCCAAAAAATCAAAACAATAACAAATCGAACCAAATTCCAAGTTTGGATTTTTTTATCACTTGGAACACTTGGATCGGTCCGGATCGCTCAGGATTCCGATCCAGTGCGTTCCACTGCAATCCACCCTGATCCGCGATAAAAAAAAAGCCCTAAGGTAACTACTAAAAATTAAACTTGCCAATCTGATTAGCACTTAATAAGCTTACCTAAAAAAAATGAATTAACATCAAGAGCAAAAAAGATGGAAAAATAAAGTCTGAAATGAAAAGGACAAACCTGAATTAGTTTCTTAACAATTGACTGCTTCTTTTGCACAGGAGGCATCCATTTATAGCTTTGACTAACTCCAGAGAACTGAAAAAAATAAAAAACTCATGTTCATGATACTGATATGCAACAATAAAACATTGTAGGTCCAATTTTACCTAATGATGAGCGTATAAAAATCAAGAAAGCCCTGAAATCTTTGAAAGAATAAAAGTTCTTTTCTTTCTCACAATGGCACTATACGTAAAACAACAGTTTTTAAAGAATCAAAGCAACTTTGTAAAAAAAATATTAGTAAGACCCTACATTCAGCATTGGTGATGCAGCTAAAGAGGTTTTCTATTTAATACAATTGAAATTTGATAAATGGTGCATTGAGGGAATTATTCTTGTTTTTAAATAAAAAATTCCATGCGTTTTGAAATCTTAAGACACAAACGAAAGTATGAGTTCCTGTCATTCATCAATTTAGAGGAAAACCATTGTTTAGTTATTTAATTACAAACTCATTGCTATGAAATTATAAATACCTTCAACTCAGTGAATTTCCTGAAGGGCTCCAGATTATCCCGATAAAATCCTTTCAGATAGTTGGCTGCTTGTTCAACATTGATATACCCAAGTTCTGTTGCGACAGCCTCCCAATTGTCATTTTCCGTCACGGCATCATACCCATTTCGACTTTCAACAACTTTGTACAAAGTGTACATGTCAACTTTGTACCTATTCCATGTCTTGAGGGACCGTCCATGCATTGCCCAAAATTTTGCAACCTTATTAGCAAAAATGCTGCGGACTCGGGCTGTAGCCTGTTGAGAAGAAATTTAGGATTCAAATTGATATGTTGTTAAGGCATGTTATTCAACAGCTTTTAGTTGTACAGAAGCACTGACAAGTGTCATTTCAAAAACTTTACCATTCAAAAAGTTAAGAATAAAAAACTAAGGATCAGTATTTCTTGATATTTTCCAGTAATGCTTTTGCCATGAGAAAAGTATTCATTTAAATTTTTTTAAACCAGTGTAAATTTTGTAGTAGCTATTAAGCATAGGTAGATGGAAATTTTGAGATGTCTCGGAGGTATGAAACAGCAGTACAGTTGAATCAATAACGATTTTTACACTTGTCAGTCACACTCATGTGGCTGCGCTCCCAATATAAATTGCAGCATCACATGGACCTTAAGGATTGTAAAAAGAGAAAACTGTAGAATTAGAAATGAAAAATACAATGTGGTTCCCCTAGGGTGTCGCAGTTTTGAAAGAGGTGAAGAAAAAATGCAGCTCATAGATGTTCCAAAAGCGAGGGGGTTTTCCCCCTTAGAAATCCTGATACTTCCTTTCCTGGAATTTTTAGGAAAAAAGTCTCCATTATTTTCATCCTGAAATTTCGGATATGTTGCAGACTTTTTTCTTAAAAATTTTGATTCATGAAGACTTCTGCTGATGACATTAGCTAAGTTGAATAAATACTCTTGATATCTCAGCATTTTCTTGATTTTAATGATAACCAAAATTCCTAGCGTTCTATTTGTTTTATACACTTTTTTTAATTGCTTACCACCTTGTAAACTGAGAGAAATGTATATTCCTACATCAGCTTACTTGGTTAGATTAGATTTCCTTAAAGCTGAAGTTACTGCTTGGTAATGAAAAAATATAAGCTTAAAAAATGATATGACTTGGAGCTGTCACAAATTTGTTCAACATCCAAGTTATTAAATAGTCCTCCTCAGGAAAGCACTTTCTAGCAAACTTGTGGCCATTAGTTAGATTTACATGTTTGCTTCTTCCTGACTAAAATTCAGTGATAAGTATTTCCACCATCATACTTACATCAAGTTCGTCCAATCTCTGACGCCTGGGAGTGAATTTGAATGATTTTGGTTGAACGCAAAATGGTGGCCACCAGTCCTGAAAATATCAGCCTTCCATTAATAAAACAGTATTGAACCAGACAAATCAGAGTTAATGAATCCGGAGACACACACATTTCAATGGAATTACTTGAATGTTTGCCTTAACTTTAATTCTTTTGTTTTAAAGAGGGCTTGTTAAGAAAATGCTTTGATGAAGGGGAAAAAAATTATGCGAAGTTCACAATTTGAGAGTAGATTAAAAATTGCTTTTCTGGCATTGAAATGAGAAGTTCAGTTCGCAGCCTGCCAAAATGAGATAGGTGTCATTTTGGTTTCCACCATTAATAGTAAGTTACCACTGCATAAGCACATAAAGCACAGAAAACATCCTCCTGAGTGTAAGATTTTAATTTTCAAGAACAAGATAATCTATTCTTTTCAGCGCAGGTATAAATAAAAATTATCCAGTTAGCTATCAAATGAATTAGGATTTTAACTTGATAAATATAGTTTCGGTGTAAGCAAACAAGAGACAGCATTTCCCGAGATCAGCACGTCATAGGTTTAGAGAATTCTTTGCTTTCACATCCATCAGCTAGCTTCACACACAAAGCCCTTCCAGGAGAACCTGGTGCGGGTCTAAAAACGTGCTTAACAGTTGTCTTCACAAATACTGATGTACTTGACAGTTCTTCATTCATTTTCTTCCAGTGAGAATTGAGAAAGAAATGAAAATCTATGTAGTTTTGATTCTATTTTGCCCTCACGAGAGGGAAAAAAAATTTGGTCACTTCACAAGAAAAATTTTGTCCCCAGCCCCTTTCACAACAAAGTGCAGGATAGCGATCCGGCATTTGCACCCTCGGTGCAGATAACCATTTGCCAAAAAAAAAGGGCCTCTATTATAAACCAGTGAGTAAGCTACTGAATCTTAAGACTGCTAGGATACAGAAATAAACAATGACACAGGATTGGCCTGATGAAAAATTCCACTTCCTTAAAATTTATTAGAAAACAAAGTGTTTTTTCAGAATAAAATTAAACTAGGGACTCCTTGATATTCTAAAATTTTCCATCAAGTCATCATACATGTGCTTCCAATGGCTCACTAATTTCAATTGAATATCTCATTGGTCCAACACTCCCATTATATTCAATCACAGTTCAGCCTTACACCAATAGATGAAGAATAGTACGTATATCAATGGAAGAATTAGGAAAGAAGGAAAATAATAAATTTGACAGACATTTTTCCTAGGCACACTTGTAATATTACAGGGGCTTATTTTTTTCATTCAATTGACTTCATAGCCTAAGGGAAGAATTTCCTTGCAGGCAGTGGGATTTCATCATACCCTCTCCCCTAATAGATTGTTTCTCATTACTTTCATGGAACATCCAGAATTAAAAAATCCATTTTCCTTCCTCAGAGATGAAATTAACAGTGTGATGGTTGAGGTTGGATGGCAGCTAAAAGGTGTGGTGTAAAAAGAGGTAGAAACTTGAGATGGAAAACCATGATGGCTTCTCCTCCTCAAGTAAAACAATCAGGAATTTTCACCAGGCCACTATCATAGGTGACTATGTGATAAAAAGAGCATTTTTAGCAGCCAAAATCCAGGAAATTTTTAAAAAACTGCTGGTGACTTTGATTTAGGAGGCATTAGGTACTGGAGTAGGTCCATAGAATTAATTCTGAGAAAAATCCATGATCATGAGGCTACAAAAAGGACATAGAACTAGGCTCAACACAGGGATGTCTAAAAAAACTTGAGCACCTTTCTCACAGTGAGGTTTTGAAAAAATGTGTATGACTCATGGAAGAATTTTCCATTACACAGAAAAAAAGTCTGAAAAAAGTGAGGATGTTGCAAGGAAATGTACCTACACCAGGAAGAGATTGACACAAACTAATCTATGAATATGTCAGACATGCTGACACAAATTATATCAAGCTGGAAGCTCGGTTTCTGAAAAAAACTGCAGGCAGTGATACGAAGTGGGAAATTTACTTAATGTGATGGGAAACGGTAAAACTTTTACAACTAAACTTTATATTCTCCTTCCTTGAAAGGCGGTAAAGTTACTTACAGAGGGTGGTTTGATTTTGACAATTCCATATTTTTCAGCTTCTTCTCGGATGGAACTTATGTATGCGAGAGGATCTTCGAAATCTTCGCCTGTTGGCTCGTATGTAGGAACAACCGGAGGAGGGTGAAAAGCAGGAAATCTCCGCTTCAACCCTAGTTCTTTTAGGTCGCTGGCATGGATATCTAAATCATCCTTCTTCGAGCTGAAGTTTTGCTTAGAATAATCACTGGAATGCAAACTCATTGTTGATTTTGGAAAGATAAATCACTGAGGAAGAGGTAAACATTAATTGCAGACTGTTTAGGATGAAATTGGACAATGTGAGTGGAGGTGAGATATGATATTTATCATTTTAGCACAATAAAACACTGTAACACTCGGAAAAAAAAGGTCTGAAATGCTGGAAGTAAGATAAGTAAGAGGATAACGGGAAAATCACGGGACAAGACTACATAACTAGTGTGAAATTGTTAAATATTCACAAAACTGCGGTCACCGAGACACACCGCGAGGGGGACAGACAGCAACAACAACAGATTTTTAACCAAACCATCAAGATGGCGACTTTACTTCATATGGAATATTATCAACAGGAACGATTACACGAAATTCTTTACAACATATTATTCTGTTAGTAATTTTTGTCTTCTCATTCAAAATTGTGACGCTAGGTGGCGTGACAGTAGCGGGACAGGTCTGACAGGTCAATGCAATGGCTCCCGAGAATTTCTGATTATTTAATTTTTGTGAAGAAAAATAAACTAAATTACATATCTGAGCTTGGCTCATAAATATTTTTTCATGAATGAAAAAAACTCATCGACCATTTCGGTAACATTTCCTCGGATTTTCCGGACTACTGCCCGTCGTCGTCATTTTATCAGGGTCTAACAGAGTCTGTGCGACTCCCCCCCCCCCCCCCNCAAGGATGCAGAGGAGGGCTTGGGGAATTTTCCTAGCTTTAAAAGGGGGCCTGAGAGGCACCTCCGGAAAATTTTCAAAAATTGAGTCGTCTCAGGAACAATAGAGGGTTCGGAGGGACGGGGCCCTGCGAAAAAAATTTTGAAAAATTGAAACAATATTTGTCTCGAGAAAAATTTTTAGCGGTATCAAAAACATTTGTTTGGCCCCCTCTCACCAAAAAGTTAAATTACTAACAATTTCAGAGATGAAAGTTATGTCACGCACTTACTTTGTGAAATTCATCCAATTATCTGGAAGGGGCTAAAATAAATTTCTGGGGGATCTAGGCCCCGTCCAGCTCTCCTGCTCCAGTTCGACCCATACATATAATTAGAGCTGTTATCACCGAATAATTGATCCCATTACCAAAATCCCTCACATTTCTTAGAGAGAAATAAATTNGGGGGGGGGGGGGGGGGGGCTAGTTCCTCCAATGGCTACTTAATTTCCTGAGAGAATCAGTAAATTTTCACAATAAAAATGAACAGCTCCGCCCTCCTCCTCGATTTATTTACAGCCGCTAATGCTCTTACTTGAGCGTAAAATTACGTTAACGCGCATGCAAGCAGTCAAATGAATGGACGCCTGCTGCGGACAAGCAGCGCTTCAGGTGTTCCATCCATTTACTAAAAATCCGGCCGTACGAAGAAAGAAGTGAAGTGGCCAGTCTTCAACACTGTGTTCTATGCTCTAAGCCATGCCTTTCAGCAGCATTGGCAACAGTCTTTTCACGGCCGGCTAAATTATCCTGGATCCAATTTTGTTTGTTCTAAGTAAATCAAAATCTGAGGCTGACCAAATCATAGAAAAATGAATTAAAACTGCTATGATTCTACTAGAAGGCAAGAAACTCCTTTTTTAGCCGACCAGGGGAATAAAAAGTCTGGCTCAACGAATTGTGCGGACGAACGCTCCAATATTTTGTTGGCACTGCTGTCAATAATCGCCCCACCGGCCCCACCACGCGGTCCCCTCATAAAACTTGTCTACGTGATTTTCTACACGCTCCCCATGGCCCACGCGTTTTGGTGTTGGGTAATAATTAAAGCGTATCCCCCCCCCCCCCNATTCATCCTACAAGCGTTGGTAGAAGTACCGATCCAAAGAAAAGACATAGTACAGGGACAAAAATCCTAAAAAAAAAACAAAAAAAAATCCATTCAATAACACAAAACAAAAAAAGCATATTGCAGAGAAAATATGAGTAACTTAATAACCCATCAACGATGTGCGCACTCAGTCAGTCTGAAGACTCAAGACTTGTAAACTAGAATTTATGGTAAAACACCAAACCACAGATCCCAGTTGCAGGTTTAAAAGTTTCTGCTCAAATTTTACCTTTTCAAAATCACTCTACAATATTCAGTAGAACAGGTCTTAAATTAGACAAAGCATACGCCAAAAAAAAAAAAAAAAAAAAAAAAAAAAAATTCTAATTGCACAAGACCAATTTGAACTTTTTTCATCTACGACCCCTTAGGTAACTTTCAACTTACAACCTGTTTCCTGAAAATCAAATGATGAAAATTATAGCACTTGCTCAAACTTCAATATGCTGGGGCCTTATTAATACTTAGAATTCGATCAAGAATCATTATTTTCAATTAGGGAGAATATTAAAAAAGAATGTACTACCTACTGACTAAATCACAAGTTGGACGGAGTTAAACAGAAAGGAACCAAGCCACATCGGGATCGAACCGAGAAAAAGAGGTTTAAAGTTTGGCTCCTGCATAAGACTCAATGTAAAACATAAACTTCAAGTTCAATTTTTGCAAAATTTGCTCCAACAAAAACTTTAAATTTTTGGCGATAGATAGTAGAGCAGTGGCTGAGTTCAAAACCACTCATAACTCATTTTTTTCCAAAATGTGGGTTGGTTCCTTTCTGCTTAACTCAGTCCAGTTGTTTTTCACTTTTATGGTAAGATGCAATTCATTTGATGATGAACCAGTGAGCTTCAATACTTAATTACAAAGGGAGTGATGATAAAGGTGTAAAACTAATACTTTGATTAGGTACAATGTTTCAAAATGAGATTCTTCTTTTTTCTTTTCTTTTTTTTTTTTGAGAATATTACCTATCATTTATGCAGGTTCGTGGGATATTGTCAAAAGCACACAGAAAAATATCACACAGATCATCATGTCTTGCACGAGGGCATGCATCTTGATTGCACTGTTTCAGCACATATATTTCTCCCTGAAATGCCAATTGTTTACAGAGGAACCATCATGGGAGCTCTCCTGAAATTTCTAGCGATTGTTTCTGACCAGTGTTTTTCAGAATAATTCGTGGAATGGTTTTTCCATTCAAAAAAAAGGTTTGTAGAAGTACTTACTGAAACAGCATAGTCGAGATATGTTCCCACGTGCGGGAGATAACTAATTTCATACAACAATGATGATCGCTCCTCCAAAAAAGTATGGTGCTTAAAAAACGAGGAGAATCTGCAGCGTTACAAAGCAGGATAGATGTTAAAATTGGATAATGTGTTATTTTTACCATCAATCAGTAGTATTAGATGGTCAAAAAAAGACTGACAGCATAACGACCAGACAACGCATCTCAGTTTGCGACACTGCAGACTTTGCTGTCATACTTTGTTTTTTAAATAGAAAACTACTCAACGTCAATTCTTGAAAACTTCCGAGATTTTTCTTCTTTGTGCAAAGAAAACTCTTTGAAAACTTCAAGGGATGATACTGATTTGTTCTCCTTCGGAAAAATAAAACGGGAGCGGAGATTTTTAAACACCGCAAATGAGATACGTTGCCTGATAGTTCCACCGTCAAGATACAGAATAGAAAAAAATCGAATGATATTTCTATTTAAAAATTGATGTCCTTTATTCAATTAAAATGTTTTGATTGACAGCGACTAGAATTAAAATTAATCTTACTCAATAAATCCATATAAGATACAATATTTTTTGTTTGTTTGTTCAAGATTAATATTCAACAGAAGTTAATATGTTTTTTTATGATTTATAATTAAACTATCATTACTTTTGAGCACAAGAACAAGTTTTTTTGTAGTTAAATTAAGTACCCGAGAAATCATCATAACGTTTGTATCATCCTCTTTTTCAGTATTCTCAAAGGCACAAATTGAGAACTCCTTTTGTGAGAGGGCGTACACAAGACTTGTAATGCAGCTAAGATTGTAAAATTTTCTATGGCATTTTTAGCGAATTACATTAATTTACAGTCACATTACTTCCATAGGAAGCTTATTATTTAGAAATTTTTTTTGACAACTTAGATAGTTTTAGAAAACTTATATTTGGAAAATTTCTCCTTAAATGGGCTAATTTCAGGTTAAGAGATAAGTTGTCCAATTTTAGCAACACTGAAAGGCTTGTACGCCTTTATACCAAAGTAGTCCTTGATTCCTCTTTGGTTTTATCATCAATTCTTTTAAATTTCAAATCATTGTAATTCCTGAGACTGCTCCGGAAAGAGCGAATACTTTGATCAAGTTGACACTCTGTTTCTCAGCAAAGACGCCTACACATTCAAAAGATCGTCAAAGTCAACCAAATATAAAACCAAAAATAGAGTAATTATGCTTCTTTCCTTCTACTTGTAAAGAGGATGATAGGGACATTGCATGTGTTTTATTTTACGTCAAAAAATATGAATTTGCATGGTATTTCTGGTATGCAAAAGTTGCTAAGTGCGGTAGAGTAAGTGATTGCTTCCTTTCCAGAAAAGATCTATAAGACATACTACACTTTAAATTTTCAACCTTCAAATTTGAAGTATTTAAAACAAATAGTATGAAATTATTAACCTGCTTCATTTTATTTGAACATTAGTTTTAGTTGCTGAATATTTCTTGGTGTGAATATTTATTTACACGTGGGTGTGATGCTGCTGCATTGGTGTTGATCATTCATCAGATCTCATTTGACTAAATTGAAATTGTTGACAGTACATAGATTTTTAACTGGTATTTTGCTGCTCTAAACAACTAGTATCAAAATTCGCTGTTTCCCGAATGAAGGAAAGTAACTTTATTCCAAAATTGCAAAATTTACTCCAACAATTCAATTTTTTACAGATACATGACTGTGAGATTTTTTCCCCAAAATGTTGCTGATCGTTGTGTGTCATCAGGAGAACAAATAGTGAGCTTTTTGGTTAGTTATGTTCAACACTTTCCGAGCAAAAACTCAATTTATGAGTATAAATTTTGCAGTGCTGCAAAGTAGTCATGTTTTGTCGTCTAGAAAGTGACAAATAAAGCCCAGCTTTCCTAGAAAAGGATCGACAAATTTAAAAATTCTGTTTAAGGTGAATATATTCTTTTCCTTTGAAATATGTATGAATCAAAGCAAATCTTCTAGTAAGTGCTTCAATATTTCTGCATCATCTTGCTCGATCCCTCGAAACCACTTGGAAAGCCATTGGTTGAGCTAGTTGAGCTTTTGAGCTAGATGAGCTTTTTTGGTCAGAAAAGGACTTTTCACTTGCTCCTATTTTTTCCAAAAACAAAAACGAACAAGTGAGTTCCTACTTTTAAAATATTCGGGGACAGAAAGCAGCAAATTTTGACTGATCAAAGAAACTAGCCTAAGAGGGTTATTGAAATAGACAGTGAAAATCCTGAACCATAGATCTCTTCTACAGTAGTCGAAAATCTCCGCTCCTTTTTCATTTTTTAAAGGGGAATGACTCAACATAATGGCTTAAAAGTTTCACAGAATGGTCTTCACGCAGAGAAGAAAAATCATCAACATTTTCAAGAATTGCCATTGAGAAGTTTTAAAGAATGAAGTATGTCAGGAAGTTTGTAATGTTGCAAACCAAGATAAGAGGTTTGGGATTTTCACTGTCAATATGTGCCCTTTATAAAGCTGCATCACACAGTAATTTGTAAAACTTAGAATTGAAATATTTAGCAGGATGGATGTACAAAATTTACCTAACATTTCAAAACAAAGAACTAAACACACTTCTCGTAAGCGCTGACCTGAGGGAGAATGGTCAGAGTGGACAGTTAATAATGGAGGCCTTTTCTGATGCTTCTATCCTACGTAAGTTGCTCACCGTAAGCGCTGAGCACTAACTTTTCTTCTTATCAAGTATCAATAATCTATAGTATCAATAATCAGTATTAATTTTTGAAAATGCAGCATACCTTGTCTGTCTGCATCTATTTTGTCTGAAAATGCGATGATCTTACAAACAGATGGCAAAGCAACACAAACTGATTTGATTTGCCTAAAATACCAATTTTTGTAGGAATGACACAGATACCTACATAACTTTGCCATTTCTCATTTCAACCATTTTTACTTTCGGTCTCAAGCTTACATGAAATGTGCGTATTTTGCTCACTAAGTGCAAGTAAAGTTAAAAAGAAATGGGCATTTTTGAGATCAAGAAAATTAACAGGATATCAAGGGCCCCCAAACAACCTTGCACTTGTTGACTTAAATGACAAACTTACATTAATATCTATTTTTTTAAAAAGAAAAAACATTTTATCAGATTCAATACTAATATTGTGAGAGTATAAAAGTAAAAAAATGGAAACTTATGTTAAATGCATTGTAGATTAAAGCATGTTTTACGAAAGATCTGTATACATTAACCAATTATTTAATTACAATAAAAAAGGAGAACTTTACAGTCATGACTTCTGAGGTTAGATTAATGGATACCTGTACATTTGAAGGAAATCTTATGTTAATGATAGAAATATTTGGCACTGAAGTTGCTTGACGTTTTTAAACGTGTGATGTTTTCAATGAATTGTTTAAAAACAATGTAGGAATAATTCTAAAGATTGTTCTTGTGCGCAAAAAACTTGAGTAAGCCCGGATGTTTATATACAGCCAAAACGTTCAGGTTTTTGGTTGAGGTAGCGCTACATTTGAGACGGGAAAATATCGCTCAACTCCTACGTTTAAGGGTCATGAGTGAACCACTAACTGTTCTATGCCAATTCAAGAGCAGGAAAGTTCCTGAAATAAATGTTCGGCAAATGACGTTTAAGACTGGGAATTTCATTGGTTTATGATGAATCAGAAGAAAGTCATGAGTATGTATCACAGAGAATGGTATGTTATGCAATTATTCCTGAATAAAAGCGATCCTAAAATGTTAACTGTACAAATTTAAAACTCGACAAAGCTACCAGACATACCAGATAGACTTTTTCAGTGGGTACAAAACTGAGCAAGAACGGATTCAAGCATCATTTCCATTCACCATGACTGTAAAAGGACTATATCCTCTACTAGATTCTGAAAAAGAATTGTAAAAAAAATGGCACCCAGAAAAAAATAACTGGAGCAGTACTGTTCCTTTTTTTGATCTACTTAAAATATGACCTACACAGGACATCTCTCTATTTCTGATTAAAAGTTGCGACAGAAAACTGATAACTTTTTGAAACACCTTTGTTGCATTAAGATTTTATCAAATAGCACACGCAGCTCATCGACAGTGAAATAGCAAAAATGCGTATCTAGGTTACGTCATTTTAAAATATCCGCTTTCACTTTATTTATCAAAAGGGGAGACCCATCCTACAGGATGGCTGTAAATTTTTGCAGAGAGAGGAGAAAAATCACCAAGTCTTCGAGAAATAATGTTGAATAGCTTTCCATGTAGTAAATAAAGTATGACGGGAGGTCTGCAACGTTGCAAAACCGAAATCAGCGTTTCTGCTGTTTCACCATCGTTAGGAGGATGAGAAACTGAAAATAGACGTTGCAGGATACAACCACAAAATTAAGACACTTCGAACAGTAGCTGACTAATGCAACGCACTAAGACCTCAAAAAGCCATGGTGGTAATGGGTAATGCTCTCAGTATTAGTTCCAATTTCATGCATTTACTCAAATAATTACAAATGAAGAAAAAGGTTCTAAAAATGCAGACTCAGACTTTTGTTAAGTTTACATTAAATACAGATTCCAATAGAAAATTTGTAAAAACGTACATTCGTATAAAAATTGTAAAATGCTTTTTTGTCGGCACATCATTTGGACATACTTTAATCAAAAGAAAGTATACCCGTTGTGACATGAACCCTGTCACTCAGGGCTCATGGCAAAATGGATACAGTTCCTTTTCATTTGAATATGTCCATTATACTTACTAATAGAGAAGAATAATTTAGAAACGGTGAGGTTATACTCCCAAAGTAAAACCAAATTGTGCCTTAAGACTTAAATTCCAATTACAAATAAACAGTATCCGTCCAAAGTAGTCAAAACATAATGAGAAATTATTGAAAACGGTAGTTGTAAAAAGCTCACAGAAAGACTACAATGCTAAGAGCTTGTTAACTTAAGCGTACATTTCACTGCATCCTTTGGAATGAACTGAATTCTTTTGTATGTTATCATTAGTTACAGAAATCAAAGAATCAAACGCTAAAAAAAACATAAGAATCATTAATTTTAACTAGCATTGACACCAACAATCTAGATGGTCATTTCGGAAAGCAGTAACAAGATTTCAGCTTAGAAGATATAAAATGCTGGAAAAGTCTTGGTTAAATGATTAAGAGAACAAGGAATGAGAGAAAAGAGGTGGTTCTGATGACTAATTATCTCCTTTCTTGGAGAAAACTGATTCTGATGACAGTTGGACAGTTTTTAAGCTACGAAAAAACATTAAAGAAAAATATGTTACACATGCGAATAATTGAAAAATAATAAATTCATAAAAAATAGGAAAGTTGCTTGATTGGCAAATGGAATTTGCCCGTTTCCCCTTCATGGGTGAAAATATCTTTGATAAACTCCCAAATACATTACAATATTTAATTAGAACATTTAGAGGAACAGTTAGTGGAATATGAGAAGAGACAATAGATAAAACGAAGAGAAAACGTTGTCAACTCACTTGCGACAAAACAAAAAAGAAGTATAAAAAGTATAAATAAAATGAACTGTGTGAAAGCAATGAATTACAAAAAAGGCAGTAAAAAATTAAAACTTGAGAACTTGAAATAAATAGAAATAAAATACTTAAGCATTAATACCTACATATTTACACAAAGATATTTAAAAAAGGAAAATAGCGATAATTTATCTTGTTCCAAGACAGTTAATAAGTGGAGAGGCAAAACGATGTAAATGCATTCCCTTCCCATACTAGTGACTTTTTTAAATATTCCTTGGAGACCTATTGACGAAAAGAGAAAAAACTCCACACCATCTTTCAGGCATTAATACATTATTGGTATTGATCGTCATTCTCTTCATCTATTCAAGTTTATAATTTTTTTCTAGTTAGTTGTATTCATATAGAGGGAAAAGAAAATTAATGGAAACATAAATAATATAATTTTACAAAGATACTCATTTGAGGGAAAACGGTTGTATTGAAGTTAATGCAAAAAGTGATAATGTGAATGAATAGATAAGATTTAAAAGAGAAAGGATTTTTCTTTAATGAGACAATCTGTTTTTCATCCTTGTCTGTCAATGTGCCAGAATGAAAATAAAGCAAAAATTAAGCGTCCTTTAAAGATTAATTGCAAAACTGTAAGAATTTATACAAATCTTATGTTTTATTAATTTTGTTAGTTTATTTTTAGCACCATTTTTAAAATATAAATAGTAGATTTGCTCACCTGACTGGAATCATGCAATGAAAATCGGAAGGGGATCAGATAAAATTAAAAACATTTTTGTGGTGAGTTGGGAAACGAGAAATCTCAGGTTTGATGTTTTAAGTCTAACAAACAAAAATGACTGGATTTAGAGGTTCATCCATGGTTAAAACTTAACACAATGATTCAGAGCATTCGAAATAAAAACTTTCATTCACCGAATGAAAGAGAGTAAAACAATTTGTTGTTGTGCCAAAAAAAAAAAAAAAAAAAATTCCAGAGACTATGATCTTCTAGATTTGGCAAGTTTTTCAAGTCATTGGTCATGAAAAAAAAAATGACTGAAGATGAAAAACAGACAATATTCTGCCCTTTGAAATGCATTTACACCATATTTGCGCACCATACCCTTAGCGAAAGAGTCCACAGAACAAGAAAGTCATTTTTGGTAACAAGCAACTTACACTTAATCAAGTTTTATGAGTGATAACAATTTCTCCACAACTCTGCAAAAAACTTTTCACATTGATTATTCATGAATAGTACAGTCTAAAAAATGTTTACAGTCTAATCGATTTTTAAAACGCTTATTTAAAAAATGACAAAAAGTTTGATCAAATTTAACCAAAAGATACCACCCACATTACTAGAGAAAAAAAATGAAGTTAAACAATTTAAGTAGATATAGGGCTGAAAGTTTGTTTCATTTACGGTGAAAAGTCACAGCTTAAATTTCAGCCTTACCAATTGGATTTAATATTAAATTGGGCTACATGTCTTCATGTTATTTTCAAACTTAAAAATTTAATGTTATCTTTGGGTTGGCTTCTTTCTGTTGGTTTGAATGTATCGACCTTAAAAAATCACTGGGCAACTGGATTCAAACTAAATTATAGCTTAACTTTAGTGTGACTGAGATGAGACGGGTGAGGTTTCGCACAGACGATGGAGATCGGCATAATTGACGATGGCACGATGTAAGAATTCATACTGAGCCTGAAAATTTAAAAGTAACACAGATTAATCAAATGAACATACAATGCAATAGAAATTAACTTTCTGAAAAAAAAAGTTTATACCGTAGAAAGTGTGAGATATGGACACACATGAATTCATTACAGGTTGAAATAGTCCATCATTAAAAATTGAAATGCAGTACCACAATTTTTTAGACAATTACACACATCAGGTATATTTTTAATTTAAAAAAATGCCTTATAATAAAGCCTTACTACTTGATTACTGAATTTTGAAGGAGCCAAAAGTAATTAATTTTGCAGTTAAAACATTTTTTAATCATTAACATTTTACAGTATGTAATTTTCAGTTATATTATTTTTTATGCAGATTAAGTTACTGATAAAATTATAGGCTGGGCATGTATCTTTAGCCTGCAAAAGCAGTGCCTGTTGTATATGTATACTCAAGTGGAATGAAAAAAAAACTACTTAGAATTTTTTTTTCTTTTGATTATGCTCTCTTTTGCTGAAGTTCAGACAATACTTCCACTTCTATGGATTTAATTTAAGGAAAAAGGCTGAAATTAATCACACTCTCTTGAAAATGGCACCGGCTACAGCCGCTTAGGCAATGCGCTACTTACAAAATTTCACGATTTTCTATGAATTCCTTGGCTTTTCTAAATTGTTGTGAATTCTCTGATTTTCCAAGTTTTTTGAACCATAGGAGACCCCGGTTTATAGTTATGCTAGCATTCTAGTTGAAAGTTCTCAATGTTGATATGACTTGTTCAATTGACAAAATTCCATGACTAAAAAATCAATGACCAAGTTATGGCTAGTCAATGCTGGGTTTAATTTTGCAACGCCGTCAAAAAAATCTAAAAAATCGATCAATCAACTTACAAAGGTGGTTATCATTGCTTGCCGCTGAGCTTTGAGCTTCCGGACAGTCTGCAGAATATCCACTCTCCCTTCTGTCCGCAACTGCTGGACTAATATGCTTAGAGCAACGAACATTGAGCTTCTGTCCGATCCACAATGACAATGAACGAGGATTGGGCCATTATCGTTGTTGTTGGTTTGATCAACCAGCTCAATTAAACCTCGAGTGACTTCTGGCACTTCCCCTTCAACCGTTGGCCAAGCATTGTATTGGTATTGCGTGACAGCAACACTGTCATCAGTCTAGAGTTAGAAACAATATCATTAGTTTTGATGATTACATGAAACAATGGAGTGGAAAAATGTTGTTACTATTGATACGTTTTAATATCATTGGTATCTCAAAAATTAACGTTAATTATAATGCATAGGAAAACTATATTCAATGAGAAAACGTGCATCATAATGCTTAAATTTTCACCTTGTCCATTGGTCTATTTGCAATCCATGTAGTGGCATCGCTGATTTACAGTAGGAAGGATAAGTATTTCTGATTAATTGAGTTGTAATTAATTAATTTTGGCGTTATAACTTTAAATATGATTATTTTAATAAATCTGGTTTCCCTCTGAACACTCAATAATGCACATTCCCAACGCAGACACTAAGACCTTGCGTTCAAAGGCTCAAAAGGCTAATTAAAAAAATTAATAGTCGAACAAGACGGACTTCGAATACATATATTAAACAAGTTGCTTACGTTTTGGGAACAGAATTCACTGAAATTGAAAATCGTTAGTTCCAGAACAGACAAACATTGGTGTGCAAAATGAAGAAACTTGGATTAAATACCTTGATATTGGTAACACACAGCTCCCTTCTAGTGAAATAAGGACAACTCTCACTTTGAATATACTTGACTTGGATATGATCGTGAAACACTTCATCATCAGGCCAGTACCGGAAACACTTTTTGGGACCATCTCCTAGCTGCAGGAAGAAAAAAAAATCAGCATCATTTTAAGTGTTGGTTTTAATTCAAGTCTCCTTTTTGTTTTAAAGCACCTGATGATGGCTAAAATAGCGGAAATGCTTATTATGTACTAAGTTTTGCGACAACTGGTAAAAACCATCGGACAAAAAAGAAAGCAAAAGGTAATTATCGAGATAGCTGATCAAAGCAACTAAATCATAAGAAAAGAAAAAATCGCTCAAATGTTAAAAGATCATAGAAATTCTTGTGGAAACTATCGACTAAGCAAAAGTTTTTACGAAATGGAGCTTAATAAAAACATATGAATAAATAAGTAAAAAGTTACAATCTTTATTTTCACTGTGCGTTTTTAGACCACTGATTGACACTGCTTCAAACCATATTTATTTGGGTACAAACTGCTGTTACCTCTATTTCCTCCAGAAAAAAACCTAGGTGCAGCTCACGTGCAAGGTTTCTTGGTTCAAGTTTTTCACAAACAATCATAAATCGGGGTGAGAAGTATCCTTCATTCAAGTTTATGGAAAAACATAGACATATGAGGTACAATGATTGAAATTTATAAATTGTCCACACCTTCAGGCACCTTATAAGACAAGTGAGAAAAGAAAAAAAAAAAACTTACATCTGATAACATGACTATAGTTGAGATGCTTTGCTCCGAAATCATCCTCCAAAAATCTGACACAGTTACATCTTGAATTGGATCCTGCGTTATTATGTAAGATTCTGAATTATCATAACCCTGAAAAAAATTATAAATAGTTGAACATTTAGTACACACCGTTTATGAAAATAAAATAAATGAATAAGAAAAATAGCCAATATGCAGCGCTCATTATTTTCCCACTCTCAAGGGTGAATGTCTTCAGCTTCGTTCGAAAGTGTTGAAATGTTACATAACAAATATTACACTTAACTTTTCAGAATTTTGACAAATAAACTAGAAAAAATATTGTCATTTTTTTCCTCCTTCTATAATGTGCGTAATGGCAGAAAAGTGAGTCAGATTTAAGACAAACATCAATGCTTTCAATGTAATAACCACTAGAGAAATATTACTGTCTGTTTTATTGATCTTAACCTTAGAATCACAACCATGCTGCTTATTGAAAAGAGCATTTAACTCTAACCAAAAAAAAAAAAAAGCATAAAAAACTAATGAGGATAGGATAAATTTGAGGTACATTGAATATGAACAGACAAGTGAAGGGTAACTCTACACTTCCTTTCCAGAAGTGAAAGGTACCTTTCACTTCTTGTTAATGAGATCTAATTTTAATAGTTATTTATTATTTCCAAGCAATAATACCTCAATGAATGAAGCGTTGATGTACGTTGAGACATCTCGTCCGGGAATTGGTGTTAAAATTACTCGATTACGGTCATACGGTATCACAGACTGATTGCGATTTCTTGATAGATTCTCTTCATTTGTACCAACATTTGGGCTAATTTTCTTATCTTCCGTTAAGCTACTTAATTTCTGGAGGGAAAAAAAAGTTTCATTAGAATGCCATACACATGAAAATACATATTGTAACTAAGGGAGAAACTCATCAGCATTCCCTTTTTCCGAATACATTGTACAATAAGAGACAATATCTGTTAGATGGGATTCTACTGTAATAATGAAACTGAATTTTCTTTCTTTCTCATAAAAACATTGCGATGCTTGTTGAAAAAGAACATAGAAGCACATTATGATGCAAACATGAATTAGGGCCACCCTGATACCACATGAGTTTGTCAGACGCAAGATTTAATTTTTGTCAATTTAGAGATAGCTATTGTCCAGAGTTGACAAGAATGCTTTCCAACTATGTCGAAAAGATTGTGGTCATAAAAAGCTAGAAAAATACCACTGAAACACAAAACAAAGAAAGACAAGTCATTTACAAAATGATCCTTGAATGATACTGAAAAAATGTGGCTAACTTGAAATAATCTTAAGTGCACTCTGAGATTTATTGTCACGGTGATGGAAATTTCTGGACAAGTACTTACATCAAATTCTAATTCCAACCCAGATTTTTCTCGGCCGTTCTCTATTTGTTTCAAATTGTCTACTGTTTTCTTCAAAGCGCATGCACTGATTTCTGTGTCGCCAAACAGTGACGCCTCTAACAAAGCTTTATAAATAAAAATATATTGTTTCTGAAAAAGAAAAGAACGCAAAATTAAACCTGAGAAAATAGGGTGCAAAAAAAAAAACACAAAGGTTAGTTCAATGGTCACAAAGGTCTTGACGTCAGGGCTTTCATATTCAAAATTCCCATTAAGTGCTTAAATACACTGACTCAATTGCTGATATGCATAAACTTGTAATGATGAGAAACGAGACAAAAATGGAGGAGAATAAATGTAAATAAAAAGACATTAATCAACTATTAGACTCCAAAGTGGACATGACAAAATCTTGGTTTTTCAGTATTAAGTTTGAAACTTATAAAATGGAGAAAATTTCAGGTTTTACAAAAATGCTCGCTGAAAATTTTAAGCTATTCTAATAGGCGACTAATGCCTCTTTTGGTTCTGGGCAAAGTTTGAAATAGCTTGAGTAGACTACCTTATTTCTGTGAAAAAAAATTAGAACAAAGAAGGCTCAAGCTATAGAATAATCTAGATTTCAGAGAGAATTTTAGCAGATGGGCCTCCTCAGGGCAAATTTTTAGAGTAAAGAGATGGCAGTAACATAACTCACCAGACTTTGGACGAGGAAATTCCTTTGATGTCTTAGGTCACATATCGTGTTGAAAATCGCGACTTGACCTTCATTTTCTAACTGCTGCACCAATGAATCAAGGGCAACTAGCGTCCCTGTTCGACCAACTCCAGCGCTGAAAAATCGAATTTTCAAATTTTAATGACAAATTTTTCATCGCATCACCTATAAATGCGAAATCAATGAGAATAATCACAAGAAGAGGTTAAATTAAATAAATGATTAAAGCCCTGATTTGAAAAAGAAATGCAATACGTAACTCAAAAATAAAAGATTGAGATTAAAACTGAGCCTCACCTGAGGGCCAACAGTTTTACACAACACTCAAGAACTCATTAAGTGAAGCACTTTAACTCTTAAATATGTGTACTCTGCTTTCAGGAAACTTCGGTCACCTCATCATGAGCAGAAAATTTTCTATAAGCTTACAGAAGTATTGAAAATATAAAATAATAATAAACCTGCTTCCTATAAAAAATCATAGTCAATGAAGTGAAATGAACTAAAAATGTTACATGCCAACATGTTTCTGCAAATTCGTTTTTACAGTGCTTGAAAAGCAGACAAAAACGGGAAAATTTTTGTGAAAAATGTGGACAAACTTAGTATCAGGGTCAGAAAACTTTAATAGCTCAAAGTCAGGATGAAGTACCTGGCCAGTTTGCCAAAGGAACGATTTGCTGTTAGGTCCGTCCACCCATCAAGGCGCGCAACAATTAGAAGTTGTGTGCTAAAGCAAGTCTTAAGAATTCTTAAAATACTTTTGTATTGTAAATATAATGTAAAAACACATTTCAATCGCTAAAAGGTGAATAAGAGGTACCTTCTTGATACATAGTTCAGCTATATTCGACAATTTTAATGCCAATCAAGGATTGAAATTGCTGTAATTAGCACTTCCCAGATCATAAGGGCTTGATGAGACAAAATCTCCTCACTCACCTACAATGCACCAGAATTGGGCCTTTGTCTAACGAATAAGCTTCGTTCATTCTTTTGATGAATTTCAGAATACCATAGGGGTGTTCTGGGGCTTGGAAATCCTTCCAAACTAAATAGTGGTACTGGAAAATACTCCTTTCTTCTGCTTCCTTGTTACCACCGCCGGGTCGAGTCATTTTCAATTCACGAACAATATAGTCTGGAACAAACAAGAAACATGAGATAAAACAATTTTAGACTCCAATAAAAGTCGTATTACACAGTAAGCATAATAAAAGGACATGAAAAGTACCTTGTAATCAACGGAGCGGCAACAAGGTACGGAAAGCTTAATGAATTGAGGATATAATTGGAAACATCTGTGACAATTCACAGGAGAAAAAACCTTTGAGAATGAAAATCAATTTCACAGAAGAGTAATTTTTGTTAAATTTTACTATACAATTTAAAATGAGTCTTCAATTAAACAAATTCTGCACAGTGCTCAGCCTCTGAAGAGTAAGTTTTAAGTGGTTGGGTTTGTTTTTGTAGCAAAAGAGGGTAAAAAATTAAGTTTGATTACAAAATTTTTTTGTTCTGAACAAGATAAAAAAAGCTTGAACTTGCTTTTCCTCAAAACGTGTTTTTCGAATGTACACTTTGGACGGTCATTACTCCAATTTGGTTAAGAATTTTGAAACAGCATGCCAAAACAACATTAAAATATTTTCTTGGCAGGGGTATAAAAAATTAATTTTTCAGTTTTCCAGCATGGAAACCCTACTTTCATCATTAATGATTTGGGTCACATCCAAATGTAGTGAACTGTTTCAAAAAAGTTATACACTTTTATTGACTTATTTCTAATGATTTCACAATATACTTATTGTTAGCTAGTAGATAAGCTACTCTACTTAGTGACTATGAGCAAAGTTCCATTCAGGTATGCTAAACTTGACACTTACCACAACTCAGAAATAGCTCTATAACTAGTACAAAATGCATCTTGGTTTGGCATTTGACTGTCATGAACTTTTAAGTTTGAAATATTTTTTTCGAAAAAACAAAAAAAAACATGCTGTGCTTCAAATTACCTGAGTAACGTTTTTCTTGTACATGTTGAATAGAAATATCGCCGAAATTTTTGGTACCGTCCGTTTTATCAGGCCAATATTTGGCACACTTAGATTTGTTGTACTCTTCCAAGTTGGTCAACATTAGAATCATCTCTAAGTGTTGCTCCCAAATCATCCGCCAAAAATCATTAACGGTGTTATCCATTGGACCTACAGGGAAACAATAAATTGATTATTTTCTACAAATTAAACAGCTGCAATAATAAACAGAATATCAATACAAATTGTGGTACTCAATCATAGTGCCTTAACATTCAAAACTTTCCTATGCGGGTTTGCACCAATTTTGCAATAGTTTCCCTCACTCAAAAGCACTAATTTTCCTCATTTGATGCGGCTTAGAATTACAGAATAGTAGCATTATTTTGGCGCTTTACTGGCACAAAAGAAAGATATACGGCAAGAATATTGCAATGCAGCCGTTTGGCTTATTTTCATGGAGAAAAGACACAAGAGCCTCTTTTATAAAAGTGAGGAATCTATAAAATAAAAAGTATACCTTGGGCACAGATGAATTTTTTCCTTTCTTTGTATCCAACTACAAAGTTTGCATTTATGTAATCTGAGCCGGTTATACTATCAAAATGATGTAATTTGACTCGTGTTTGATCGTAAGCTTTGATGTCTGGATACCTATTTTTGTAAAGATTTTCATGGGCTTCAGATGCTTTTGTTGTTCTATCAGGAAATCGGTCCGGTAGAAGCTAGAAAAAGAAATTTTAAAAGAACCAATTAGCAGAGAGGATGGAAATGATATTTAATTGAGCAAATTAAAAGATAGGAAAAAATGGTGGCTCTTACAAACCTTACTAAATCTAAGCCTGACTAGGGACAGAACATTTATCTTTCTTTCATTTCGTGACGTGACTCTGTGAATGGCAATATTGGGAACAGGTGAGATTTCTTACAAATTTTGGGTGTATAAAGAAACATTTTCAAAAATTCCTTTGTACAAACTACATCTTCCCTACAGATAGGGCAATTTTGAGTGTTAAAATTGTTTTAGATTTTACATCAGAGGAATTAATATAATGTTTTTTTTTTTTTTTTGCAAATCGAGAGACATTATGAAAATTAAATTGTTCATACAGTTCATCACAATAGAGGAAAACTTACCTCAAATTCATGCTGAAACCTGTAATCAGAATCTTTATGTCTATCAGCAACTGCGGCTGGTAGGTCAGATTTGGCGATCGGCATCATATTTGGAGGATTCGAAGAGACAGGAATGTGGCTGCCCCTGAGCGATCTACAAAAATGTCTGGAAAATGAAAAAATTGGCATTAATTTTTATTTTCTTTTTTTCCCTCCTTCCTTCTTTGCCCTGTGTGAGAAATATTCTGTGAAAAATTCAATCAATCATGCTGAGTCATTTTCCTCTTGAAACAAAATGGGAGCGGAGATTTAGAAACATCACAAACGAGATACAGGGTTTGGGAGTTTTGCCGTCAAGATGCAAAACCATGTTAGCAGGCATGTTTTAAAGAATTTATTTGACTTCAAAAATATGTTAGCTGAATTAATTCTTTAGCGCCTATGATACAATTGAACGTGCGTACAAGCACACACGAACAAAACAGTATGAGCTTAATTTAAAGTCAGTCAATATTTAATACGCCAATTAAGAATTTGTGTTCACTCAGATGAAATTTTTACCTGAAGGAATTCCGTAATGTCATTTCTACACCTTGAGCTTCTGCTACTTGCTTTGTATAGCGTTGCAGCATGCAGAGACCGATGATTAACGCAAGCATAATGAAGATGAAGACCAACAGCACCTACAGCACCATAAAAAAAGGAGGTACTTAATTCAAAATCATCTTTCTCCTAGTATTGCCAAATATTTGTTAGTATAGCAATAGTCAATAACATGCATTATCTCCTCCAAAAATTTTGGTTGAGAGATGAAACCAGAATGAGCGTGGATCATAGTTTCAAAATTGGTAAAGAATATCAGTTCAAATCTTGCAAAAAATATACCACTAGATATGGATAAAATTAAGAACAGAACAAGTTTTCAAATTATCTACAACATGTGCACCCGTCTAAAATTTCTGCGTTCAACTTGTAACTCGTAGAGGAAAAATCAGCATTCTTCAGGCTCATCTGATCCGCTTTTTGACTCACCAAAAAATCAATTCTACTTTGTTCAAACTCCATTCTTCATCAATGTCAGTGCTTTTCTAATGAAATATTGTTTTTGTTGTTGTGCTGAAGTTTTCTTGGTAATTTCAGGCTTCAACCCACTGAATGCTTATCTATAGGTCCAATGACTGATCTAAAATGACCGAATAGTACAGTATGGATGACATTTTTTTAAAACATAAAAATTATTTATTCTGACCTGGAACAAAAGTTTTATTGCGTAGGAGGAACGAGCTTGATAGACTTGAGGTCCTGGTTTGAGGGCTGCAAAATAACTGCTGTAGGCTGGGATGACAGAATTATCACCACTGTTCACTATTAACAGGAAATAAAAAGCATTTGTTAAAAACATAGAAAAATCGAGCCATCAAAATCCATTTTGAAATGAAGATATTTTCAACATTTATCGGAAAAATGTCTCTAAATTGTAAAAATTTTTCCAGGAAATAAACATGGACTTAAAGAAAACTGACTGTATGGTGGGCGCAGGCAATTCAAGATGGCTAAGTAGGCAGGCAATTCAAGACAGCTAAGTAGGCAGGCAATTCAAGACGGCTAAGTAGAAAGAGAGCCCTACATTTCTAGTTACCGACTTTGTAAGTGACTTCGATCAATCTGATTACAGATAAGATGGTGAATGTGTTGAGCTAATTTAATCTCTGATATAGACACACATAGAGGTGCCTTATTCTATCATTAATTCATGCCATTAGTGACAGCTCTTTGAGAGGGCAATAACAATGACACTTTTTTTCCATACACTACATAGTTGGACTACTTTTAGGGGGAAAAAATTGTAACTACGGTTCATGAATGGAAGAAATGTGTGTGCTGAAGATAGCCAGCTTTCCCATCTTTTACTTAAAAGATAACGTGTCATTTAAAGGTCGAAAATTTTCTGCACCCTTGTTAAAATGCAACGTGACGCTTTAGGGTGCGGCTTATTTCCGTCATGTGGGAAAATTGACAAGGTCCGGGTGGCAATCGGTTCTTTTTATGAAAATAATAGGCTGTATAAAATTTGAGTCAATTTGAAGCTATTTAGATGATCCTTAAAGGGATCAAAGCTCCAGGCAAAATTACATTGGTTTGAATAGGCAAAAAAACGCCTGATATGCGAAAATACGTTCTGTGGATCTAAAGTGCGCATAAATGAAGAAAACCTGACCAGCTCTTGGAGAGGCATCTAGGGGCCCATTCGAAACGAGGTAATCACATTTTTGACCCATGATTGGGGACAGGGAGGTCACAGCGTAGCCGGTTTTGAGGCGCCACACCCGCAGGTAAGTGATCGCTTTTGAGACTTTTTGATCGAACTCAAAATAAGTGTTCTGAGGTCAAAGAGACAAAAGTATCTCACATCTTAATGAGAAATAATGTATAATAGGTGTTTCAGCCTTGGAGAACTGTACTTGGCTCTTTACAAAGTTACCTCCCATACTATTTCTTGAGCCTGGAACGAAATTGGTGTATATATTTTATCATGCACTCCAGTGATCCCCCCTACCCTCACCCATGGGTCAAAAGTGTGATTTTCTCGTTTGGAATGAGCCCTTAGATGCCTCCTAAGAGCTGGTCAGGTTTTCTTCATTTAAGCACATTTCAGATCCAAAAAACGTATTTTTGCAGATCAGGCGTTTTTCCGCCCATTCAAACCAATGTAATTTTTCCTGTAGATCCCTTTGAACATCATCTAAAAAAGTTTCAAATGGGCTCAAATTTGATACAGCCTATTATTTTCATAGATAGCACCGATTGCCACCCAGACCTCATCCATTTTCCTACATGACAGAAATAGGCCGCACCCTATTGACAGAAAAAAATGAGCTAAACTGGTAGACCTCGTTTTGAAAAAGTTTACTTTATTCATCTGGTTGCAGAGATACTGTTACCTACACATGCAAATGAAAAGGGTAAACTTATTTGAAATGATGTATACCAACTTATTCTCAAGGATATTGGAGAGTGTTATCTGTAGAAAACTAAATTGAAAATTTTCTAACTCAATTTGGCGAAAATTGCTTTTCTGAAAAATTTGCCCCTAAAAACTGAGACCTCTTTTCTTATTGACAGTCACGTTCATCCACAGGTGAACTATTGACTAGACGATACTTACCCATAACTTCAATGAAGCCAGTATAGTTGCTGTTTGTATCCAGCAAACCATCGTAGATGACTAATGATGAGTTGGTTATGTTTTGTGGTGTTTCAGTAGGAGCTGCTACAATGTGCAAATCACCGGTCCTTTTTCTCCGAGCAGGTGACACAGTTGTCGTCATAAGAGACGGGATGATGGCTAACGGAGCCGTGTTGGCTGAAGTGGTAGTTGTGGGGGCAACAGTGCTGGTGGTTGTTAATCTTGATGGGAACATGTACTCCAGACCTAAACACTGACTGCACGTTGATTTGTTTGAGCTCGAGTTGATAGTTTCACCATCGCCCACGAACACATCACTATTCACAGAGTCGCTGGGGAGAAAAATATTTGAAAAACAATAAGTATTTCGGAAAACATTTGCTGGATAAAGAGAGGCAGTGAATAAGAAATGAATTTCAAGACTTAGACTTGTCACATTTTGGTGTCTGATATATCCTATCTCAATCTTTTTGTAGCAAGGTATGATCACTATGGTGATTGAGACAACACCAAATTTTCCCAATGTCTTGTTAAACTTTTTTACTTACAGACCTTAAAAGAGGTTTGCAGACAACTCGTGTTGTGACACTTTCTAAAATCTTGGTATTATCAGGTGGGAGGGATTTCTTATTATCTTACAATTCGGTTTCCTTACACACACCGATTCTGGAGTAATAATAAAATGAGTTTAAAGATATCAAACCGATAGAATTATAATTTTACCTGTCAAACATATCTGCCAGGTAAGCGCCGCCTCTTTTATTATGATGAACATCCTGATAGGATGAAATTGTTAAATCCTCGGGGGCATGGAGATCAGCAACATTTTGGTGTGGTTCTAATTTAACCACAAACAACCTGAAAAAACAAAAATAGGTTAGTAGAGATAACTCTGAATAATAGTGGAAATAACAAGGAATTCATCAAATTTTGATTGTCTTGCGCCATTTGCAAAGAAACAAAAAGGACCAAAAAAATTATTTCTTTCTCTTATTCTAACGCACAATCATAAAAGTTCTGACTCTACTCTTCAAATCTGCAGATAAATTCTAAAATCACTGGAAATTTAAAAAAAAAACCTCTCTCTCCCCATGGGATTTTCCAACCACTTAATTATACCAATCTTTTTTCAAGAAATCTCGTGTTTCTTCTTGGAGAGTTTTGTTGGAGTCTAAATTACCAGAACATTTTGAGAGACTCATGTCTCCAATAGATCTATCTAATTCAGAAGAAAACAAAAATTTACACTACACATCTGGGTTCCATTCCATTTACGTTCAAGTATACCATGAGAAAAACTGAAATTAGAGTAATTGATTACCTGTAGCAACAAATGGGTCCATTTCTTTCCGAGATTCTCGGAAGGAATAGTTTCAACAACCATTTCCCACGTTCCTCAACTTTACCCCAATCAAACCGCGATAGCTTTTCTTTGTCTGGAACTGTTGGTGGCATGTTACAATGAGTGACCGCTTCTTTGCCACCGCCTCTTGTTCTTGTTATTCCGTTTATCTTAATCCTTCAAAGGAAAAGAGAGTAGAAAACATAAATACTATGAAAAGCACTAAGAGGAGAGAGTAAAAAATGTGAGTGTACATGAAAAGGGGTTTTGATGGATAGAGGGAGATTTTCAGAAGTGGAACCAATATCATGGGTTAAATAATTAGAAATCGAGTTTCCACCGGAAAATGCTCTGAGATATGGTAGAGCATGAGTTCGGAATGACTCGCTTCACTTCGGTGCCAACAAAGGGAACAAAAGTGCATTTTGCTTCAGCAATAATGGAACTGGCGGGCAGAAAGTTCCGAAAGGCCGATTAGTTGCTGCCATCCATCTTTCTTGCTTCACGGCAAACTTCTGTTTTACCTCAGAGGCAATGATCTGATTACACATAAAAACGCCCTATTTTCCCATACAATGTGCGATTTGTCCCACTAGTTTAAAGTATTGAGCCAAAAAAAAAAAAANAAAAAAAAAAAAAAAAAAAAAAAAAAAAAAAAAAAAAAGTCACTCTGGCCTCTTAGCCCAAGATGTACCTTAAATTTGCCATGATCATAGGATCACAAGATTAGGATTTTTCTGCACCCCCGATTTTAAGCCCCAAAGATGGTTGATAATAACTGCAGAAATGGTGTTCTCCATTGCATCTTTGGGATTGTGAGCTTCACATTAGGGTCTCAGACATAAGATTTGATATTTTAAAGCTTCTTTTGTGATGAAATATTTGTAAAACACTCCTTAAAGCAGTGGAATCTATTTTTGAAGTGTATTGGAGAATTAGAGTGTTATACACTGAAAACTGAAAATCAATTTGCTCCACCCCGAATTTTTGTTTTCACTATACTGAAAAATTTGAGTTTCCACCTTAACGGAGTTTTTGGTTGGCTCTATCTTGTTTGATGGTCAAAACGTCTTTGTATCATAATTGGCAAAAGAGGGTAAATTCATTGAAGTTATCTGTCATTTTAATGTGTTCTTCTGGTTTTCCGAACATTAAAAGCACAAGAAAAGCTTCCGGAAAAAGATGAGAAAAAAACAACTTACGTATAGTTCGTGTTAGCAGGAACTCCGTCAAAACGAGCATTGTGAGCGGAGGCATCATCCACGCTCACGATTTTGGGACCCCATGTCATTGTTTCCCATTTGCCATGCTCATTGCGAAAGTTGGCACTGCCTTCAAGAACAACCTGAATATTGAGAATGACAATAAAAGATATTGAATTCAATATATTCTATCAAAGCAAAAGTTCAAAATTAATCACTTGCATAACAGGTGCAAATGACACTTACCTGATACACAAAACAAGAGCTAAACTTAACTATTGCTAGTACTAGCAAACGCAGACTACATGTTTTAGAAAGTAGTATAAATGTAATCTTCGACATGATTTTTAGAATACATGACGTACGTCAATTTTCTGGTTTTCAATTTTTTTGGAAGTCATCATTGTAGAAACTGATGTATCTATCACCTGCAGCAAAATATTTCAACTGAAATAGGTCAATATTCACACAATCTTTTTTTTCCAGCAATACTGATGGGCGTTTTTTTTTCACTTTCTTCTGAAGTTAGTAAAATATTATTAATTCTTATTTCATTTTTAACATGCTGGCAAGAGATGTGATATTTAGTGAACATAACCGTGGAGCCAGCCCACTGACAAGGGCTGGCAAATTATGATTCTACTCTTCTTTGAACTGGAGTTCGAAATCTTGAAATATTTTCAACCGGGATTAGAAAACATTCCTGAGACGTTAATTGGTAATTTGACGTCGTAACTTATGGATGCAAAGAATTATCATTTTATGGTCTTCGTCAACTTGTCAGGTGCCGGGATCTGACACCATTACAAAATAAAGAGGGCCGTCAGATGCCAGCGCCTGATGCTCTTGTCAACATGTTAAATATTCAATGCAGCTTTCCGCCAAAAATAGCTGGATGACCAAAGTTCTACAGCACTAGTGAAAAGATCTTAAGATAAAACCTACATTGTAGTGAACTATTCTTCCATTAGGCTGGGATGGTGGAACCCATGAAACATAAACAAAGTTTGAGCGGCTGACGTTGTCTATCTTGCAAACAAGAACTACTTTTTCTGGAGGTCCAGCGACTGAAAAAAAAAAGAAGAAATTGAAATAAGAGGTCATGGAGACTATGGAGACTTTGATGTAAAAATCACTGATAATTTAAAAGTATAATCTTACAGCCAAGTGGTAGAAAATTTTAGGTTCCTGTAGTATTCTACGGAATTATTTAATACCAGATTTGCATCAAATATGATCATTGAAGTAGGAATAGAACGAGTGCATACATCAGAGGCAGTATGTTAAAAAATTCAGCTCAAATTTTATTTTTCAACAGAATACCAGCAGTAATTAAAAGTAAAATATTTATAGATACAGCTTTGTGATGAAATAAAAAGATCATCAAAATTCAAAAAAATAATAATGACAGAATCAACGATTCCATACTTTTGGGAACATCTAAGTTATCCAATTTGTGACAGTACAAGCAAGTTGGAGTTTTGTCAATTTCAAGATTAATTATTATTTGCTGTGGGCAAAGGTGAATAGAGGAGTGACTGTTCTTAATCATGAATTCAGTTAAAATTTAGTTCCGAATGGAATTTTATGTTCAAGTTCAACTTTCAAAGTCATTAAAGCAAGGCATAAAATCCTGAGTTAAGGTGAATCCAGGCTTGGAACTTCGCGATTTGGCCACCGCGTCGCACTGCTCAGAATAGCCGTATATATTTGCCAAAATAATAAAAACCGTAATACTTATTCAAGATTGGGGACCCAGAGGATATAGCAACATACTTGAGGAATACTCAGTAAAAAAATCTTCCCTAAATTCCCAAAAATAAAGTCGTAACTACGGCGGAAGGTAATTCCGATTGCGGCAATGGGTGAGAGAGAGACAGAACATGAGGGATTCGGTTGCGCGCTCGGCCGCCGCGGCTGAGCTGAAAGTTTCAGCTGTACTTTCTCTGCGCTTGTAATTCTAATTGCCAATATTTTTGGCTCAAAAAATCAAGCAAAAAATAATCTATATCTTGTGGATCTGCTTTTTGTAATTTGAACAATATTATTTCCGTAATCGTTGAAGGAAAGTGAAATTCTTAGTGGTGACTGGTGGCGCTATCTCTTATCTTGAATTATCCCTAATCGAACCCTGGATTCACCTTAAAATATGAAACCACAACTCAAAATCCAAAACTGTCTTCCAGAATACAATTTACATTTTTCGACCACTTTCCTCTTTCGAGTTCACTTCATTAATTTGTAAAGGTTCCACTAGAACAAGGGCTCCCATAATAGTTAAACGCAAGTGCGGAAGGGTGGTGGAATAGCTTCTAACTTTAAAACTCTTTCATACCTCCATCCATAGTAGTGCCACTTAGCTCTTCCGACCAGTTTCCACATTGATGTGTGTACTCACTGCAAGCAGCAACCTGTGAAATTACAATTATCAAATATTACAATGAACAAAGCATCAAAAAATTTAATACATGGCAAAAGTTTTTGCAGATAAAAACTCTATAACTTTTCTCTGATTTTCTAATAGCTGCTTGATGAATTTTTCTAAAATTGAAAGGCTGATACCTCCACAGAAAGAAAAAGATTTCTCATCAAAATTTGTTAAGTATCATACTCAAAGAGAGGTAGAAAAAATAAGTAAAGGGTTGAAATTTTTTAATAAAAATCATAAAAATAAATTTTTATGATTTTTCCTCTGAGCCTCTACTTTCTTTTTCAGATTTTTCAAAAATTTTGGTAACCAGTGACTCTGAATACACAAATACGGTCACAAGGCTTACGAGCACTCAAAAAATAACTTGAATTACCTACAGCGAATGCAACTCAACTAGGATTTTTCCATTGTGATTCTCATTTACTGCTGCTGCTTCGCACTTGAAAATTCATCATTGCTCATTTAGAAAAGGAAACAAACAAAATCAAACAAATCAGATACTGATTGCCTCTAGAGTAGAGACCCCATTTTCTCGTGATTGATAATGACCCAAATTCTCGCTAAAAACTGCCAAATTCTTGCTAAAATTTTACCGCATATCTCGAATTCTTGCTGAAAAACTAAAAATTCTTGCAAAAAATCCTAAAATTCTCACTGAAAATCCAAAAATTCCCGCCGAAAATTCTAAATTCTCACTAGTAACTGCCAAATTCTTGCTAAAAATGTGTGTTTTCTTTTCATCTTTTATTTTAGATTTGATAAACGTGGTTGGCAGTGCCAGTGGTTTACTGCAAAATGAAGCACAAATTTACGATTGGTCGACGACAGAAACCGGAGTTTCGCAAAGTTTTCCGCGTCCCGCCGACTGGAATGATTGGCGGCTTCGAACCCGATGTGGATCATTTTTCCGCGAATTTTCTAGCAACATTACGTCGAAATTCGCGAATTCGTGGTGTTAATTGGCGAATTCCCACCAGAATTTGCGTCAAATGCCGAAATTCGCGGAATTCGCGCTAAATGCCGAAATTCGTGAAATTCTCGACTACACAATCGAAATCAACGGAACTCCATGATGCCTCTGAGCTTGGTGCAAGTGCTTAAAAATAACAATGCTTTTGGAAAATTCGTGCAAACGAATTTCTAGGGTCTCTACCCTAGAGCCATGCACATGAAAAAATAAAACTGAAATAGATTCTTGAGTAAAAGAAGGATACATTTTCGCAACTATGAAACTTTCAGACTGTTATTTAGCATACTTTAACATCTGAAGGGCCTTCATTGAAGGCTTCTCAACCAAGCAAACACTCTACCTTGAAAGTATAGGTTGTGGCAGAATGAAGATTTTGAAACATGAAACTGTTCAGTTGCTCTGCGGGTTGAATTGCTTCTTTCCGGGTTTCGTTATTGTATAGAACTAACTGATAATAGTGTACATGGTCTTTAACGTCCAGAGGGGGCAGAGACCACCCGACATTGATTGCATTGGGAGCAGTGCCTTTCAGTGAAATCTCTGGCACAAAATCAGGATCTGCAAAAATGAAAAAAAAAAAGTTGAAAGGACAGAAATGTTTTTACAACTTAGTTAATGGCTAAACAATACACACTGATTAAACTGAAATTAATGACATTTCTTGGTAATCAAGATGAGCATAATTTTTCTTTCTTACTTCTAGTTGAGTTCTTTCTAATTTCAGAATCTTACATTTTTCTGGTTTTTTAAAAAATTTTCAAGGGGCATTCATCAGCATTTGCCTTCATAACATAATACTTCTAGATTTTTTGATGTTTTCAAAAGCTTTAAAACCATTTCCTACCAATCGAAAGTTGTTTGAAGGAAGTATAGATCCATCAGGAATGTCTTACATTTGATTTTTCTCTTCTAACGGTCATAAACTATTATGTTCATTGTTATACGAAAGCTCATTTTTAATGACAAGAAAGACATTAACAGGAAAACAATGCACTAAATAGCCCAAAATTTTAGCGAACAGAAACACAAAAAAATGAGAAATCCAGACTAGAGTTAACAGTTACTAAATAGCATTATTAGAGAAATGTTTGCCGATCCACTGACTGGTACATCTACCCAGAAAAAATGGTACAGCCACTACACAACACAGCACACTGGTCAGTCAGTGCAAATTCCAAGTGCATTCTCTTACCTTTGGTTAAAGTTGTGACGGGATTTTCAAGAACATCTGTTTTACTGGTACCAATATCATTCCTGGCAGAAAGCTTCAACTGATAGGGTGTGTTTGGTTCAAGGTCTTTCAAGATATAGCTATTGTTTACGGGTTTGATTTTTTCTTTATTGTAATAAGACCAATCAGAAGAGCCAGATTTCATCTGAAACACACACACAAAAAGAAAAAATTGAGTAACTTTCAAAAAGTTGAAATGTAATTGCAAAGATGAATAAAATAAATCCTCCAACTTTCTACGCTTTTGCTGATAAGCAAATAAAAGTAGTCCCCCCTTGTTAACGAAATTTTCTCTGTTCGTAATCTCTCGGTTTCTATAAAAAAATTAGTTCCTCTAATATTCACAATAGGACAGCAAAGCTGGATATTTTAGCATATTTGTCTGTTAATCTTACATAAAAGAAATTCATAAGAATTTTTACAATCTACTTTTCGCCATTTTTTTTTTCTTACTTAAAATATGCTAGCTTCATAGTAGATAGTTTTGTTTAAAAAATCACACAGCATATTTTGATCATTGATGCAATTATGAAACAAGAATTATGCGTCTGACTAATTTTTCACAGTATAAAGACTTGATCTAGTAACTGGAGAGAACACAGAGGATCAAATAAAATTAGCAAGAGCCTTACTAAAATAAAATATTCTTTCACAGGTTCATTTCCATCATTGATAGTCCAGTTGACAAATATTTTTCGAGCTCCAACGACCTTCACCACATCAATTTTGACTTGCGGAACATCTGAAAATTTAAAAAAAACATTATAAGAAAGAGCCACTTGTGATTCAGCATAAATAAAGCGCAACTTCAATCAATTTTTAAAGAGAAGAGGGATATTCTTGGATCTCTCTGATAACTGAGGAGTGGCCTTTTATTAGAGATTTTTTCTCTAAAAGTTGCAAAAATGGAAGGGACCACATTTGCCCTTTTTAAGTAACGATATGTTTGTAAGGGAGTAATTGACAACACATTTCCTACATCTGGGTTAAAATTAACAAGCCCTATCCTTCATTCAATGATGATATTCTAAACAACTTTTCCAGACCCGAAATGATAAAATTACCTTCTGTGGGTGTAGATCTAGATATTTTCATCAATTTGTTAATTTTTTCTTCATGTTCTCCCCCCCCCCCCNAAATCATCAATCTTTGTTTAAAAGCCCAATAAGAGCAAAAACTAATAATTTCATCAAATAATTTAAATGTTAAATGAATACATGAGATCTATCTTTTTGTGTCAGCATGTGGTTATAGAGGTTCAACAGTGAACATTGTACACAAATTCTTGCTTCATGCACTGGGTTAATTCAATTCTTTCAAGTTGTTTTCATAGGTCTCAAAAAAATTATGGGGCTTAAAGGATAATTATAGTGGACCTTGTATATATCTAAAAATAAAAATAAAAAATTGGAGTATAAAGAGAGAAAACTCCAGCAATTTTTTTATTTTGGTATCTCATACATGGATTAATTGCAAAATAAGAGATAAGAGCAATACTTTATCTCTCGATGAAGAAAAAAAAATCTCTAAATCTCTCTACTGAGAGGTGAAGTTCAAACTTAAAAAAAGCTGGAAAGCCAAAGCAAAAAATGGAAATTCAGGAGATAATGAAGACGTGTTAGTGACATATGTCTTTCCTCTCAGGACGTTGGTTATCTGAGTTTGAAAAATTGAAGATAAAAATGCAAAAATAAATTGCTCTCATTAGGAAAAGTGCTGTTCTCTTCTTGTTTTTCTACCAGTGCTTTTACCTAAGCAAAGATATGTATCTACACGGAGAGGAAGCCGGCAATTATGTTTTCTTAACTGATTTGTTCTCCTCAGGTATGTTTCATAGACCTCGCATGGACCGATTTAAATGATTCCTCATGGAAAAAAAGTTAAGTCAAAGTCATGGAGACTAGACGTATTTAGTGGTAACATCACAGAACGACACTGTCGTCTCGATAACTTGAGAGTCAACAAACAAACATAAGCTCCAAAATAAAGAATTGACAAAAGAATGCTAAAACTAGCCTGAAACCAGACGATTAATCAATGGGACTTTTAAAGTTATGAAAGCTAGTCATTTACAAAAACGTTTGAGATCACAGTCACTAGAATTAATGGTATAATAAGCTCATAACATCATACGTAGTCATCAAGCGAATCCCCCCACCCTCCTGCCATCCCGAAGATTCTCCTACGTTCATTTGTTGGGGCACGTTTTGACTTTCGAGATATTGAAATTATATCAAGATGTGACGTCCAATAACAACGTCTATTAACACTGATGAAAGAACTATCAGTATGGTGTCTATAGCTTGGAAAATTAAATTTATCTTCTGGAAAGGCATGCCCTCATACTTGTACCTTTCATTAAATAGGTAAAGATTTTATTTATTTACTAATTCATTTTTTTTTCAATTGCCCTAATGTAGACAGCAGACTGATTTTCAAGTCAATTTCAAGACTGCAAAATTCAATGTTCCAACAAAAAACCAGTGTGTGCTAGGAGCAGTGTTCGAAACTCACCTTTGAGTTCTAGGAGTCAAGTAGCGCATCAAGACCGATTTTTAGGCGCCATTGAAGATTTTTCAGGGGCCAAATTGACTTTTTGCCTATATATTACAACGCATTTTGTGAAAAGTTAGACGAAAGATGTTTTCGTAACAGAACTAGTAAGTAGTTGTAACTTGGGGGAGGTAAAAGCAACGCCGCGCCGCGGCGAAATTGCGCGCTCAACATGGCGCAACTGCTCGCTTTTCGCAAGTTCAATCTGTGGGCGTCGAAATTTCGAATAATCACCTGATATGAAAATCCAGATTTTTAGGGGGCAATTTTTAGGGGCCACATTGGCGCAGAGCCTTCATTTTTTAGGCGCCATGGCTGATTTTTCAGGCGCATTTGGCGCGTTGGCGCCTGTGAGTTTCGAACACTGGCTAGGAGGAAATCGAACATCATTCTCAGATGTAGCAACCAAAAGTACCGAGAAATCCACTAATAGCATTTGTAAGAACTAAGAACTGGCCTCCAAAGAAGGCAATTTTTGAAAAATTCTATTTCTCAAAGAAAAGCTTCTAGCTTTCTCAACTACAGCAGTCAGAAGTACACGGGATTAGCCCTATCAGATACTTAAAAAAAAATTACCATCCCTTTTGGGTGCAAGACAATAGACTGATTTAGTGGTTACCTAATGGTTCAAAGGTAAACAAACACATGACCTTGTCTCCAATTTGTGCCCTTTGCACCCATGTGGTAAAATGCGTCTAAGCATTTAATGCGATCGAAATTTCCCGTATTTAATTAGTCCTTAAATAAATAATGACCTATCAATGACTAAATTGTAATGAAGATTAACTCTCTTAGAATTTGTACGTGAGGTCATGTTATTGTTTTGAGTTTGAACTACTGAGTTTTATATTATATCAAATGACACAGTCACTAAATTAGTCTATTAGATAAAATTTACAGTGGGTAAAAGGGCAGATTTTATTTTTGGACAGAGGATTTTTCTTGTCAGAATAAGTTCTTAGAATACCACAGAGGTTCTCAAGAGAATTTTTGGTTGATTATACCAAAAATTCTATCTGCCTTTACCTTAACATGCGCAGGTTTATGGCAGCGTTAGATTTTAACTGGAAAATCCTGCTGGGGAAAATGGGACATTAAACCTCTTCGTTACATGAAACATAGACTGCAAAAAATCTCTTGCATTCATGAGTATATTTCAATACTATCATCTTGAATCAGTTCAGTACCTCAAAGAACTAAAAAGGACTCAACTCAATATTAGCCATTTTAAGATATCACATAAAACCACGAGTGAGCCCCATGAATTCCTATAAAATCATAATTTATGGAAATCAGTATCGATTCGCGCCAAGGGCTTTTAAATTTTTGAAACACACTTGCAACCGTTTTTGTAGATCTTTCAACACAAAAGACTCAAATTCTAAAAATGTGACTTGGGTACCTTTCAGCTCGAAGGACCGATTTGATATAAAAAGATTCCGATATGCTATGCTGCTTTTGTCGAACAATAAGGTTACGATGAGAGTTCTACAGGGGTTACTTTCCATTTTATAATATTAGGCGTGGCCCAACCTAACTCGGCAAGGTTCAAAGGTTTAAGTAAGTGGACACAAAAGCACAGATTCTGAGCTCTGCAAAGACCAGGATCAATATATCTTGCAGAACATCAACAAAGATGGCAAAAAGGTAAAAATATTAAAACTTAAATAAAAACAAAAAATGAAAGAGCAATTACCTAAAACATACAAAGGAACTATTCCCACAACTTTATCTTTGAAACCGTTCGCTTGGCAAATATAGGTCCCATTATCATTCTGAGTCCGCACATGATGTAGATGGAGTGAAGTTTCAACATACGTTTCATTGATTGGGCGAACTTCACCATTTTCCCTAGATGAAGAAGAAAAGTGGAGGGTTACTGAAATTGATCGCCAAAACTAAAAAATTACTGATAACTTGCAATATTTTGCACTAGATTTGAAGAAAGTTCATAATTTTTTATTAATGGATAAAATTTTTCCGTACTGGTTTTACTATTTTGTTGATTTTGCTACTGATTTATGATAAAATTGGTGAGACAAAGTAGTATACTTGAACAAATAATTATATGCTAATAAAGTTAAACAACACTCTATTTAAATTCATGATATTAAGAGGTTGTGTAAGAATAAATGGTGCAGCAAAGACTTGGTAAAAAGAAAGTAAAGAACATCTACACTTCTCTTTCTCTTCTTAAGCCGAGAGAGTTGCGCTAGGTTGACAACTAGATAGAATAAGAGTGTAAGTATCGTTATAGTAAATATATCTTAAAATATTCATTTCTATAGACATCTTTATCAAGTAATCAGAGAAACTATGAATGATTCCTGACACTTACTCCGGATGGTCAACTACAGATGTGTCGTTAATTTTTGACCACTTGAAGTCACGCAAGTTTGAGCCAGTGAAGGTACAAGATAAGGTTGCATTGTCTCCCGCTTTGACACGAGGACCTTTGGAAGCTTTGACTTCATTTTTTACTGAAACAAAATTAAATTGCAAGATAAGGTAAATTCAAGATTGCAACAAATGGACCAATTTTTTTCATCTTTTAACTTTTTCATTGTATAGCAGGAGTAGTTTGAACCCACTGGAAATATCTTACAAAGAACGCGTGACAGTGGAAAAAGGTTGCATTTTGTTGATTGTACTGAAAAATCGTGAGTAGAGACATTGTAATTCATGTGACATTTGTTTATTTCTCTTTCAGTATTGTGTGTGAAAAAAACCAAGATGAAATTCAAAATTATAAGTGAATAATGGAGCACTGATTCTAGAAAAAGACAGTGAGATATTTTCCTTTCTTCCAATGAAAAGATGTATTTCGATTTAAAAGGTTTTTTTAATCCATTATTGAAAATTTTAAAAAAGGGTTTGATAATATCCATTACGAAACTCTTGAGCTTGTAGAGAGGAGGCTCTGTAATATCTTGTCCATACATACAAAGAATACAGGAGACATTCACCTACAATTACTATCTTACTAGATTGTTAAAATCACAGTGATAATGTTGAGTTTAAACAATGCAAGTTACTAACTTAACATCCCTGCCTCACTGCCTCTATGATAGATCGCGATTAATTTGTGATTTTTTTTTTTAATTGCTAAGCAATAAAGCAGCTGAGGTTTTCGAAAACTAGTTCCGATAAGATTATGGTATATGAACAGTAGAAAATTAAAGATGCATTATGGTTACTTACTGCCAACATCCAAAACCAATGTTCGAGAAGATTCTTCTTCACTATCAACATCAACTGCATTACAACTATAATTTCCGGCATCTTCAAAGCTTGCACACTTTATGAATAGAGTAGCAGAAGTAGTTGTCTCATCTTCACTCTTATTCAAAGATTGTGATATTCTGTGCAAAAAGGTAAAACATAATGTGATGAAAGCCAAAATACTCAAAACTACGTTTCAAAGTTTAAGGTATTAGAACAATTTAGAAAATTCTGTGTTTTTCTGACTTTTCCTATGTGTCCTGAAGAGAGAGAAAAAAATCTTAATTCAGCCTGAAAATCATAGACAGAAAAACTTCAAATTTTCCTCTTCTTTGAACAGCAGAGGCCAAATCGTCCTCTCTCTGTCTCCAGATTTTTTCCCCAGATTTAGATACTTGTTTTTCATAACTTTTCCATCCAAGTTAAATTTTGTTTCCTTGGTTACTAAAAGTACTGAGCTTACAATCAGATAAGAATTAAAACAAAACTATGGTGAAAAGAGAAACGTTTTTGATAATTATTTAAAGAGGCTGAGAGAATGAAAATAACTTGATGAGCTTGAATGTTAATAATTGAAAACAGCTGAATCCTGGACAAAACATGATCAAAAATCACTACGTTTTGGACCCATTACAATCTCTTTTTCAACAGGGTAAATGTAAGGCATCTTTGTATACCTACTCACTAAATGAGGAAAAATACAGATTTTAATTTTCTAAACTGAACAGAACCACTCAATAGGTACCACCCTACACTTTTACATCAACACTACAAGGCAAATAGGTGCATGGTTTCTACGTCTCACATGAGAACACAGTTAAATCCTCATGTGTGCTACAGAGATTGAAAGCTATGAGACTTACCTCCCATCAGCCGTGACGTTATCACCATTTGCAATCCACCAGATGTTGGCCGTAGGGGGCTTCCCTTTACATTCTAAAGTTACATTTTCACAGAGGGTCACAGCTACCGAAGAGGACACATTTAAAAATTCAAAACTCGAGGTACCTGCAAAGTAGAGAGAAGAGGGGTTAGTTGGAAAGTAAAAGATTTTTTTTGAAAAAAAAAATAGTACTTAAGTATGTTGACCATTTTTTCATTGCAAATTTCATTTGCGAACATCAATACTCTTTTTTTTTCTTTTGTTTTTGACTTTACATCAATTCTCTTTTTTTTTCTTTTGTTTTTGACTTTGACATGAGATTATAAACTTTGAAAATGTAATTTAACAAAAAATGAGTCGTATCAAAAACTCTAACTTTCAAATTACCTTGATTTTAAAAAATTTGTCCTTTTTGTTAAAATCAAGGTAATTTGAAAGTTAGAGTTTTTGATACGACTCATTTTTTGTTAATTAGCAGTGCTCTTGTTTACTTCTTGAGAGCTATGCAAAACGCTAGGAAGAAGATCCACTGCCTCTCTACATGGTGCTATGGTGACCAATACAGAAAATGCTTCTCCGATTAAAGTTCAATAGCATCTAGTGAAATGGTAATCGATGATATTTGGATGCTCTAAGGAGAGGGTGTAAGCATCATGACTAGGTTGAGTGGGATTAGAGATACTGAGATTACTATCTCATAGCCCTATTGCACGACTGTCCTCAGACAGATAATCTGATGAACAGTCAGATCCAACAAATGTTGTCTAGATGGATGAAGCCTGTAAAGATGATGCGAGACTTCGTACATTACCTCAATAAAAGTCCATACTTAACAACAAGAGCCCCTTTAAGATAAATTTTGCTTTTCGCCTGTGCGTCCCAAGTACCTGATTTCTAGTACCATATTCTGTGCATACAGCAAAGAGGAAAAGTTACCTGAATTGGGCTCTGACAAACAGACTGCTGATTTAATGAAGTATAAAAGGTATGTACCAAGAACAATGTGGTCTTAAATCCAACTTCAATAAATTCAAATGGGTCCAAGTTTCGTTGTTACCACATTTGGTAAGATTATAGGCAAATTATTATCGTGAGAATCAGAATTGAGAAATGAGGGGTGAGAGTCGTTTGAGGAGGACTAAGTCTGGCTTTACGTACTACTTCAACTAAAGCTTGGGAGGACAGAAGCATGAGATGAAAGAGACACAAATGGAAAAGAGATCATCATTTCAAGGCAGGACGATGATAGCAAATAACCCTTTCCCGGTATCATATTCTTGCAGATAATTAAAGCTTTCATACCAAGCTTGTGTAGGAACTTCAAGTTGCAAAGATGCCCAAACATAACCCCCAAATTGAGTGGACGAGATGCAGTTATCAAAACGCTCAGGCGAATAGTTTCATGGCATTCGTAATAGTAAAAGAAGCGAAAAAGTTGATAGCTTACGGTCGAATGAAAATACGGCGATTAAAACGAGTGAATTGTAAAAAATTAACAATTCTCGTGTTGACATGACTGAGTCCCGGTCAGGATACTATCATTGTTTGCTGTTGTCAAAAACACTCAAATGAGCACGATTCAGACGGTAGACGGTGGGAAAAGAGGATAAAGTTCTTCCAGAAATCACTAATGGTCATTCAGGTATCACGAAAAAGCGCTACGAAAAAATAAACGGATAAAAAGGCTCCAAAACTAGAGGAAAAGCAAAAGGTAGGGCGGGCAAAACGATGATATGAATGGCACATAAATAAAGGTTGGTAGGCAAATAGCATTACACACCACGATAAGAAAAAAAACACGGGAAAAAAATAAAAAAAAATGCAGAAGCTTCCGGAGATGAAATGACCAATCAGAAGCTACCATTCCTCTTTTTACAGGTACAACAACTTACTGCAGCATTTCTCACTAATTAATTCAAAATTATCAATGTTGGTTTATCCTGATCACATGATATGATGTTCCCTTTTCTATTTAAATTAATCGAAAATAAATCTAATTCATTTAAAAATTTACAGTCATACCAAAATTAATGTTCCTTCGTGTTGATACCTCGGTGACATCTGTTGCGGTTCCAAAGGTTGTAGCTTCAGTAAACTTGCTAGGCGGGAATTTCGAATACATGAAAAACCACAGTATCTAACAAAGGCACCACAATGTACGCAACGATGGGATCCCTTCCAGCTGAACATTCATAAAATTTCAGGGACAGCACATTTATAGGATAGGAAAATGCTAATTCTTGAAGAGAAAAGAAGAATGCTAAAATTCTGACTACCTGAAGGTAAAAGAATGAAAAATTTGCGTTTCCTATCACTGTCCTTGGTTAAAGTTTGCAGAATTTTTTCGTCTCTGGAAAAATTTGCATTAGATTGGCTTTTTTCTCACTCACATGAGAAACAGCTCTTCATGATAGCATGAGTATCAAAAAACCTTATGTGGACTTCGCCCTTCAGGTAGAGGCTTGGATAGTTTGATAAACCAAAACACTTAAAGATGATGCTTTTAAACCTAAAAAAGCTGTGAAAAACCCAAATATTAGTTCTTCAGGGCCACAATCTAGGATAAACTCATTGCGTACCTATCCTCTACAACGTATGGTAACCATGCATTTTGATCATATTTGGGGTAAAGCATAAATAGAGAAGGGTGCTGTCAAAGCATCAATAATCACAGACCTTATTCAGAACCGTCGAAGGAAACAAACATTAATTTGCCCGCTGATGTGATGAGAAATGTAATTCAAAAAGTCACTTATGATTTTTGAAAAATATATTTGTGAATTTGTGTACAAACTTAAAAACGAATGTACAAAACAATGTAACAGCAAGCAAGGTATCAAAACGTTTCTAGAGTTGAGGGTATTTCGTTTCTTGCCTCGTTATTGAGAGTTAAGAAACTTCTCTCTTTGTATTTTCTTCGTTTTGTTCTTGTTAAGTGAAGAAACAAACAAGCATTTTGAATCAAATTATTAAAGTTTGGAATGCACTGGTGAAATGTTAAATAAATTCATATTGTCAAACCACAGAGGTCCGCAGTACTGGGGAATGTTTCTGTGTTCAAATCTCAATTAGACAACATTTTGCAACTAGGAATTACAATTTTTGGCTTATCCGTAGAAACACTTATGTGCATAGAGAAAATAATGGTATATGCACGAGCTCTAAATCGAGCCAGTAATCGTAGTTTCTAATTGCAAAATGTAGTCCAATTCACAGCTAGAGGCTATTGGTTACAAAAGAATGGGACGGGGAATATCACAATGACACAGATTTAAAGTAAAATACACAGTTGAGGAAAAACTTTAGTGTTAAAGGCCACATGGCTTAGCTTGAACAGCTTGATGTGCGCGTTACAAATAGCTTTGCTACAGACACCTAAGGGAGAGCGAATGAAAAACAATGAGACTGTTTAAACGTGCGAATAAAAATCGCTGTGTGAACATTCAAATGCTGTCAAATTCAGTCTTAGAAAAGATTTGTGAGAAAAAATTTGAATTCATTTCATTAAAATTTGCAGTTCCTTCAGATCAAATTAAGAAGAAAATTCTCTGAAAATTTGGAAGAAAAACTTTACAAATTTCTCCAAAAATTCGTGATTTGTCAAGGAAGCTTGGCTTTCTTTCAAAAACTAAAACAATAGCAGAGAGAGTTCTGACTTTAATGGGAAAAATCTCCGCATGATTTCATGTTGATCATAAAACATTGCATATACTTTATGCAGTGACATCATAATACTGATTATTCATTTACAAGAGCTGCATCTGAGACTAAAGTTGTGCTGTACTTTTCTACATCTTGAACATTCTAATAAATATTTGGACCGTGTTTAACAGAAAGGAACCAAGTCACATCAGCTATTGCAAACTTTAACAAGGCAATTGCATTTTTTACAAAAGAACGTTTGTGTAGATTTCTTTGAGAACGTTGAGAAATTTGCTTCGACCTATGGAGAAAATCCACTGAAATTTGCACAAAAATCCGCACAACCGTTTTCATGTAAACCATTAAATTGCCAAATTAAAGTTGGCAATAGCTGATGTGGCTTGGTTCCTTTTTGTTTAACGCTGTCCATTTTATGATTCATGCGATCTTATTAGGCAACACAGTATTTGAAATTTCTTGAAACACACTGAAAATTGAAACACTCGCAACAGTCTTATCATTTCATGAATCACGACTCATAAGTGTCATGCAAAACTTATTCTGAAAAAAGTTTCTTCCATTAAAAGCATTTTTAAACCCACTCACAAAATTAATAAGTCCCCCCTAAAAAAATAAAATGCAAAGAAACAAATTAAACATTAAAATACTTAGACTTGAGAGTATTATTCGATAAAACCTAAAATTTATGAATACAGCTGACATTAAGATACATTTCAAGCCTTCGGAAAAGAAAAATTGCAATTACATATCGCACTCTAGAGCTTAAAACTACACTCGAGTATAAAAAATTTCTAATGTGATATTCGTGGAAACGGAGTAGTTAGAGAAACGTGATTCTATTGTTTTCTTCACATGATATTCTTGCTCACTCTTTCAGTACCTGATGGTCATAATTATAGCTGAGTAAGAATTTAATTGAGCTAAGTCAGTGGCATCCGTTTTTTTTAAAATTCATTTTCTGAAAGTACAGAGTGAACAGAAAGTATGGAAATTTAACTTCAGAAAAACTATGCTACAACCCTCCTGCAAAAACTCCTTACTACTGCCCCATTTATTCAATGGCAATTTTGCAAGTTGGCAAGAATGTTTTTCCTAAATTTAGATCCATTTAAAATATAGATTTTAGGAGAGGCGATCGCTACCTCTCCAAGAATCGATTGTTTAACATAAATTCAGACGGAGGAAAACCAGTATTGCCAACTTGTCAGAATTGCCACTGCATTCATTTGTTATTCTTTTACTGCGTTTCTTTTTTGGACCCAATAGGGAATAATTAGTAAGCAAATATGCGTAATGTCAGTCTAAAACAATTCTAATGAAATAAGCTTAAAGTAATACCTTTACCAATACCCTTCCCCAGAAATTGACTATTTTTAAAAATAAAAGTTAAGCAGAAAATGAAATTTTCAATGATTATTTAAATGCATTATGAAAGTTTGTATCATTTGTTTCCATAGAGGACTATTTTTCTGCTGGAAAGCTCTGACAGCTTTGAGGCATTACTGCGAAAATTAACAACAAAAAAATAACCTGCCTAAAAAGAGATCATAGGGATCGTAATACTTATTTTTGCACTCTAGAACCACTCACACAGGGGCTTAAAATAAGTTATTCTCCAACATATCGTTTGAAATGGATTGGCCAATTAAACAGGTTTCAAGTTAAATTTTGTGGGTTTATTATGCTCTACTATGGTTTTGATCATTGCAAAGGATTCACGCTATCGCCTCCTCTCATTCGTGCCTTTCGACAACCCTTTAATTATGCTTACTTTCAGCATTAATTTATTCCATGGTAAGTATGATGTTCTCAGAATGATAGATTTCAAACCCTCTTATCATGTGGGTAACACTATGTAATACAATATAAAAATAAAAATAACACGTTTGATCCTGATACAACTTTTTCTTGATAGTGTACATTTCTACACGTAAAAATTGGGCACATTATTCTCCATTCCTTTTGGGAGACGGTAACAGATAGGAAACACAAAGGAATTCAACTTAAAGATACAGTAAAGCACTGAAATTCAATAACAGGGCTTTACCACTGTTGAACTGAATAATATGATCAAGTGTTTTCAAAGACACCGATGATTATTAAGCTAAAATAAATGCTATAAAAAGGTACAAAACTTGATCATTAAAATTGAGCAATCTTGATTTTTCTTTAATTCCCATACATTTCAGTGGAAATTAATACAGCGGTACTTTGAGTATGATCTTAGTAAATCACCAGAGCCATTGAAGTGACCAGCACAATATTAATATTTACATTGGAAAGTTATTGCACGTAGAATTAAATCTAAAGAATAAAACAATTATTTCCTGGTAAGTCACAAAACAACGAGCGAGTACAAAAATTTCTTCGTTTGTTCTAAGATACTAAAAAAATCACTAAAATAATGGATGAAAACAAATGCTTTTGCCCAGTCAAGCATGGAATTAACTTGAATTAATCATTCAATCAGAATTGAATACGATTTTAATCGATTCACTTTGATACATTGGCTCAAATTAAACCGAAATGGATCTTCCATTATTAGCCATTACTAAATCTTGTTTACGTATTTTTTTAGGTAACTCACCATGTGGTCTTGTTGAAAGCTTTACAGAGTGATCTTCATACAACACGAGAAATCACAGAAATTTTTAAAAAATAAGATTGACTTTAAAAAAAAAAGTGAAAAGAAATAAGGAGATGGCTCATATTGTTGCCTCCCCCATGAAGGAAAGTATCTTGATCGCTGATTCAGTATTTCTTACCGGCATTTTATTTCTTCATCGAAAAGCTGTTGAATGAATTTGCTGACAATTTCCAGTGAATTTTTTTTTACACTTGTGAGAAAATACACAGTAATTTTCAGAAAATTTGAACAGTCATTCTCCCATGGAAAAATAAAATGTTCATAGAAATACTGAAGCTGGCGAGATACTTTCCTTCCGAGGGAGACGATTATATGGAATGATTATTCTTTTCACAAATCAGAAAATATTTCTTCTCTTGGCTGTCCTTTAAGATTAGCAATCAAGCCAAAAACAATGTGATGTAATTGAAAAAAAAGGCATTAAACATCACAACTTCTAGAGGAACTTCTAGAACATAGAATAATTTCTTTGAGAAATTATAAGATCACAACTCCTAAATGATTTCTGAATATACAGTAATTTATTTAATTTGCTGGACAGCACAGCGGTAAAATTACAAAAATAGAAACTTTCTAGGTATTTCCGGTTTCAGAACCTATTAACGACCGTCTACAAGGCATTTGCCTGACGCAAAGAGGCTACAACTTTTTTACTATCTTTCCGCAATTTTAAATATCATGACCATTCTCACAGCTAAAAAAAATAATTGACTGAGTGGTGTTGGGATGTAATACAACCCGCAGTAAAAACGACACGGAGGTGTTCACTAGAGAGCAAGGCAATGATATAGGCACGTTCATCTAACCGCAACTTTTTTGGCCTGCTTCAGAAACAGCATTCCTGTCACTCATTACTCAGTGCAAACAGGTACCGACATTGTCAAAACACTCGATTTCTTTTTTATAAATGCCATCTGTACTTGATGAGCTCAAGGAGATCATGATTGTTAGTTACTGCAAATGCCTTTGGGATGTCAACAATAAAACTACAAAAACGCCTTTACTTCAGGGTTGCAAAAAACCTGCAACTAGTCAATCTTTCATGAGAGTATTATTATTTGACATTTTATGCCAAATTTTCGGAGAATGTACTTGAAAAGGTATAAAAAAAAATCACATTAAATTCAAGCATTATAGATTATCTGTCATGCTGCAAAAAGGTAAATATGAGGATGAAATACGTATGATAGGAAACAGAGCTAAGTGATTTCGTAGTTTTACCATCAACGAGCTCTGGAGGTGAAATGAAAGTCCGACTTGAAAGATGAGCATAGAGGAAAAAGTTCCTTCCAACTCTTGGCTCGCCTTATGAGGTTAATTACTGCCTACTTTCAACCATAGTAACTGTGATATGAGCTATGATTCGTTAGTTATTATTTTGTTTTGGTAGTCTATGAACTATCCAAACTTTTAGATTATTCGCATCACCTCAGCCCCGATTAGCTTGGATAATAGGGAGTTTACTATATGAATATACTAAATTTTTGTTATCAATATGGCAGTGGATTCAAAATTATGATTTGAATTAGAAGAGTCCATGGTAAAAATTTATTATCTGGATTCAGATTTAGGTAAATTTAGGATTCAACCCATTGCTGAATAGGTTGCACCTGGGGACGATTCAGTTACCAGTGATTCTTTATCTTATTCTGTTAAATTATGTTGAAAGTTACAAAAAAGGGTTTCTTAATAAGCAGTTGTGACTGACCGCAGTGTTTTTCATGCGGTAAAAAAGAATTCAAGATTGTGTGAATGATGTAAAACCATAAAGGACCTTTCAATACTAAACAATTGCCATCAAAAAGAATACAAACACATCGGAGAGCTGAGAATTATTCGTGTGAATTCATTTCGCCTCCAGAGCTTTTTAAGGCAAATGTCTACTTGAGCCTTAATTTCTAAGTCGTTGGAAATTTTAAACATGACACATGAGTATTTTGAACTTATAAGCATGATAACTCATACCGCTCTCGAGACAAAGAAAAACAATTTAAAAACAAAAACAACGTCGCTTCCTGGCTTCGGATAAAGTCTGCTCTGCTCCACGATAGAACACTTGTAGCACCTGTCGGTGAGATCTACAAAAATTAAGAGAAAACATTACACGAGAGGGCACATTGGAAACATTTTTGCCGCAGAATAAACTTTTATTAAAAACTAAGCACTAATTTTGAGTGATAAGATTTTAGTACCCACTCTTTGGAAAAAATTGAGTAATTTTTTAGTTCCTTCCTATCCTGATTTGAAGTCAAATCTTTCCCAACAAATTAAACTATAAAATTGTGCAAAAAATTTGAGCCCAATCAAAAATTTGTTTGACATTTCTGTTTGGTTTACTGACACTCTAAGCTTGCCTTAAAAAATCATGTGTAACCTTTTTTCAGACTTTCTGGATCAGTGGACACCCTTTATCAATAAGAGCCTGTATAAAAGGGCACAATTTTATTTAATTTTTGAATCTGATTACCTTATTTCCTCCGACTTAAAGCAGAGAGGAGACTGAAAAAGAGACACATAGAATATTGAAAAAATATAATTTGTGAAGGATGAACTTACTGTATAAATACTGCTGGTTCTTCTAGCACTTCTCCGTCACAGTTCCAACTACTAACGTCACGACTTCTACACCTTTGAGGCAGTGTGACTAGTTTTAACTGAGATGTTCGATGCACGTCGACAAATGGTAAGTCATACTGAAAAAGCGAGAGATTTCACGAATCAAAATCATAATATTTTTTGAGGGCATGCACTATACGGAGAAAAGTTCTTGCTGAATCGAAAGAAATTCCAATTAGTAATTCCCAGACAAGATTTGAGCAGCTTGGAGGACAAGGCGCATAAGTGCAGTTTTGGAAAAAATTGATGTATTCATGATTTCAACTAGAACTGGTCTTAAAAAATATTCTGTGAAAAATTCACTCCCAAATTCCAATTTTTAAACATAAAAAAATTGAGTTTGAACTTTCTTTCTGCCATAAGGCTCCATGTGATTTTGAAACTTTATAAACGTATTTCTCAAAATAGCAAAAACTGCACTTTAACGCCTTAACTACCAAGTCCATCAAGTCTCGTTGAGCCAAGAGGAAATCTCCTTGTTTCAAACGGTACTTTTGTTATTTCAAAAAGATATCCTATCACTTTAAAGATATTTTCAGTTGACTCAGCAAAAATCCTTGACTGGGATTCTTTAGTGGAAAATTTTTCTTAAAGTAGACCAATGGAAAGGGTTAAAAATTGAGTACTCCACTTTACGCCCATAGTAAATATTTTGCGCATAAAACAAAAGACACACTGAAATCTCCAAATTTGAAAACCTTGCCAGTATTAATTTCACCTTGTTGAGCATGTGAGACAAGGGGGGAAAATTACAATACATACACGGGATAGCATATAGAGTGTATAAGCCTCTTGCCATGAGAGGATAAAAAAAATTAAGGGGGCTTCTGACTGTGTCAAGCCATAAAGTATCGTAATCTTAAAAATCTAGCTTCGAACTCTAGGTGAAATCCAGATGGGTACGATGAACAAGTAATACCAGAGAATTCTACTTACCACACTTTTCTTTTTTCCAGAAACAGTCAACAACATTCTGAGGTTGTTAAAGATGGATCCATGTTTGACCAAAACAAGATCAATAGATCCATCTCCCAGATGACAGTGCGGTGAAACACCGTTCGGTGAGCGAGGGCATGCACTTGATACATTTGTTGCAGCTATGTTCCAGTACTTCCCACGTACTTTCATCCACTCTTTAAAAAAAACCAATGACAAAAATTAAGAGGGAGAAAAGCATTGAAAAGTCTATTAGGAGTTAAAATGATGCATTCAGTAGCGATTTTCGAAAGGTACCTATATCGTTTTTAAGTCCGTTTAGATGCTTTAAAAATAAACAAACCTATGAGAGGTAGCCTGAATATTTCGTTCTTAAAACTATGCTTTTTGCATTGTGTTGTTGATTGTTGTTCAATTTATATGGTGATTCATACCTTCAGACATTTATTTCTCACTTTTTCACTATAGACTGATTTAGTGACTACATCATATATATATATGAGTCGCTTTTATAGCGCTCTTTGGCGCTGTGCGACGCCTAATCGCCACAAAGCTCGGTCTTCCCACAGGTCATCAGGGAGTTGACAATCTCTTATCTCATTTAACACCCCCTGTCGCCAACCTCTCACTGGGCGACACACACTACATCATTCGACATAATATCGAATTCTTGGTTCAAAGTAAAACAATCTAACATAACGTTATATGCGAATTCTTCATGAGTTTATTGTGTTAATTTATCAAAATTTAGTGACTGACCGGTCATAAATCAAGTAAGGCTTCATTAAACGCAAGAAATTTTGATTGTAAGAAGCACTTGGACGCTTTTTACCACCATGGTGCACAGAGCACGAATCAGCAACAAAGTTATAAGTATGTTCACATTTGAACCTCGACATACCCACTAAATCAGTCCATCTACCACACTATCTCTTATATCGTATTGTATTTTCTGGACACAATGCTCCTTGGAAAAGAGGGTTTGATGAGCATAATATTTTGATGCAAAGTTAAAACTGTGCACTTACTTTGAAGTTCAATCTGTTTTCGCATGTCTCTCTGAGGTAACTGACACCGTTTACAATCTCGTAAGCACTTGGAATCAGCAGCTGGTTGTATTGGTTGCTTGAGGAATGTAATTTCTACTTCGTAACCCTTATTTTGTATGAACTGAAAGAACCCTGAGGCAAAATTGAACAAAAAATTATTTAACAAGAATATGAAGCAACCGCTTTAATGAACTACGAGACAAGGTAAGAGTTAGACCTCTAAAAGACTCGTTTCCTCATTATTTTACACAGAAGATATTGTACGCATCAAAAATTTCTAAAATTAATTTATAAGTGAAAGACTGGCGTTTGTAATTCACATTATTTATTGATACTAAATTTAAACTTCCTTCTCGCGAAAAAACTATAATCAACATACATCAAATTAGCAATTGGGCCACAAACAGGGTGATGCACTACCTCTGTAACCAAGGTTCTTGCTCTTTTATAACGAGGTCCCTTTAAAATTTTGGGAGTTCCCAAAAGTTGTTTCCTTTGACCTGTGAACACCCACAAAATTTCAAGCCTCTACCTCCATTTGTTCAAAAGTTACAGGGAAGATGCCTGGTGTTGGTTGTGCAGGACACTCAGGATCACATTTTTGTCACCTTTTTCAAAAAATTTTTGTCCATGTATGAGCATTGTATCTAAGATTTGAGGAACAAAATTCTTATCAAATGGAAAACAAGGTAACTGAAAATCAAAGTAAAATCGAAAAAATAATCTGAACTTTTTACTTTGAATTATAAACAAGAGAAGAAGTGTGTGGATAAGCAGCTAAATGAAGGAAATGCATCAACAATTATTAGTTGATGAAAATAGACTGCATTGTTGTAAGTTAAATTACGGAGGATTTCAACAGAAGGTGAGTTTTCTTCACTCTTTGGAAGTAAGAGCAACTGCAGGTAAAAGCCAATACAAAAAGTAAAGACCATTGAAACAGATTTTACCAGCAAAGTCGTATCGTTTGGGGCCAAGCCATCTGAACCTTTCACTTTCTTTCAGTACATCTCCTAGGAAGCCATACGCCATGACAGTTACAAAAAATGAGCAAAAATTTACACCATTATGCACGCTGCTAATATCAAGACCAGTGCTATGACCTAGAGACAAAATAAAAGAAAGTTGATTAGAATGATGCATAGATGACAATGATTGGTACAAATACAGAGTTTAAATTCAAGGTCTGCTAAGAAAACACATACGAGCAGTGCAATTGGGTCCATTAAAAAAGTTTGACGGGACAGGATGCCCAGCACTTTTAAAAAAAATTAAATTCCCTGATAATTTCATAATTTCCATAACCAAAATGCAATTTATTTCCTGACTATCAACAATTTACAGGGGAAAAGATCTAGGGTCTTTTCATGATTTTCAGAGCGAAGCAGTAAAAAATTCCTCCATCTACCGTAGTTTTTGGCAGAAAGAAAACTTTGAAAATTTCATGATTTTTGAGCAGAGAAATAAAGGTTCTGTGATCATTGATTTGTTGGAAGTGATATGTTTGGAGGACACTTGCTTTGACTTCTATACATGGTAATAATCTTGAAAAAAGTTTATGATCAGTTTTCAGGATTTTTCTACCATGATTTATATGTAGAGATTCACAAAGAAGTATCAGAGGCTCGTGTTCCAGACGGATGGAGGCGCGTGCTAACAAACGGAATTTGTCCGATTTCTCGCTGAATTCCCAATTTTTTGGAACATGAAAGAGAAAACTTGACGGTTTCACAAAAAATATTACCGTATCAAAATTTTTTCATGCAAATTTCATTACGTTTGTCACGTTTCCCCCAAAAAATGTCCAAATAATTCATGGTTTTCCAGGTTGCTGGATAAACTACATGACAAACGAATTTTCAGGAGGACTGCAGAATTCCCTGACTTTTCCCAGTTAAGTAAAACATTCTATCCTAGGTAAATCACCAATCTACACAAATCTTGGAATGTTCAAAGATCATTATTTTCAGAATTAACCTATGCTAGATTCCGTTGAATTATTAAATGAAACTTTATTGAACATTAAGGCCTCACTTACCCGTAATAATATGAATCACAGCTGTTTGGATATCACAAGTGCCATGAAGAGAATAAGCTAGACTATCTGTACTCCCACCAGGAATGACACCGATTCTAACTAGGGAGGCAGGAATTTTGGTGTGAAGATTGTTGATATTCACGCCTTTTTCTTTTGCTGCAAGGAAGAGAACAGCATTCATTACTTCCGAAAAAGTTCCATCGCCACCGATGCACACGATGCCGTCAAAATCCTGAAGCCTTGATGAATTGATAGTGTCACGGGCATGGTGAGGTCTTTGAGTGATGGTTAAGTCTACTTCAATTTTGGCTACATCCAAAAGAGGCTTCACGACATTTTTGAAAATGGAGACACCTTGCTTTTTTCCTCCATAAGGGTTTACGAACATCATCAAACGCTTCGGTCTAGAGGTTAAGGCTGCAAAATATAAAAGAACAAAAATTTAAAAGAGAGTTCGAATCAAGGGAATCGTGCATACAAGGTTTGGTTTGGTTTTAAATCATCTTTGCATCATGCCTGCGGTGTATGATGGAGGTCAACGAGTCTCAGTCTGGGTAATGTAAGGCTCTCCAGTTTTTAGTGCTCAGCCTTTGTATCTTTGTAAACTGCAACAAGTAGCAACCATCTACTATTAGGAATAACCAAAATACAGTGCTAACAAGAGCATTATAAGTACTTTTAAAATCTTTGAGTGTCCTTAGTTTCAGTGATTACCTCATACAGTTTGGCAAATGAAGATTTTTTAATAACTATGTTGATGGCCAAGTGCAAAACCATGTATCTCCATTAGCAACGTTTCAGACTTCCTGTCATACTTCACTTTTTCATTGGGAAATTAGATAATTTAATTATTTGAAAACTTCCTTGACTTTCCTCCTCCGACTGCAGAATATTCTGTAAAAATTTCCAGCCATAAAGTCGAGTTTCACTTCGAAAAAATGAAATAGGAGCAAAGATTTTGGAACACCGTAATGAATATACGTGGTTTCACACTGTGGACATCCATGTATAGGAAGTACAAAGTTTTAATGGATCCTTATCAAGGGACTTCCGGTTTCCAGTGCCACTTTGCCTTATTTTGAGTAACGATGAACATATTTACTCATTCAATCATACAGGCGCAGTTAGGAACATGACTAACCTTCAATGAATGAATTTAAAGTGGAGATCCATCTTGAAACAAGATTTTGGTCCGAGTTTTGAAAAATAATGTCCTCACACTTCCATTTATTTTTCTTTTTTTTAGAGGCGTATGAGATTTTGAAACTGGTATGTTTCTCCGTGTGAGAGCAGCAAGAGACGCCATCTTTTGGCCAAGAGTCAACAGCTAGTATGTCTTGCACGGAAACTGTTGAGCGAGCTAAAAAAAAAAGAAGCAAAATTTTTAATTATTGCGTAACTGAAAACAATCATATGTTGAGCTCAAAAACAGAAATAATTCACTTTTTAATGCGGCAGATGTTAGAAAATCAAGAAGTAAAACAATATCACATACTTTGGAGCAGCTATAGAGATTACATCCTACAATGATATGATAATGTAATAAATAGTGATAACCCCTTTGAGTCAAGTAAGTACTTAATTTATCTAAAAGACAAAAAATGGTTTGGAGGGTTCGGTTGCTCAAGGTGAATGAATAATTAGGCATACTTATGCTAAAAGGAGCAAAGTTACACGCACAACCTGACCCGTGCACATAAATCCTTCCAGCAAAAATAAATCCATTTGTCATTCAATTGGTTGTAAAAACCTTAATAAGCATGATTTTTCAAGTGATGTGCTTGGAGATTTACGATACTTTGAGGCTGTGAAGGTTTTACATTAGTGACAGAGGAACCTTGGTCCTTAAACCTTGAGCAGCACATCAGAAAAATACCGGGTTCTCATATTCATGAGCCCAATCTTATGAAAAGTTACGAACTGATTGCAGTAGATGCACCAGTCGTTTAGACCGAGCAAGTTGGAAATGTAGTCAACGCTGTACAAGCCAAGATGTAGCTCTGTATTAAGATTTTCAGTTTACTGAATTGTGACCCACATTGGCTACATTCCCAACTTTCTGTCTACATCAAAAAGTTCGGTAAATATTACTGAAACTTTTAATTATGAATGAGTTTGACTTGAGAGTTTGTTAACTATCTGGACAATGTGCATCAAGATCAATAAAAAAAAAACATACGCTATCAGCAGAGCTTTCTCAAAAGGAATGGAGGGTGATTGAAAAGAAACAAATGCAGCATTAAGTAAATAATGATTTGCTTTTAACTCAATTTCTTCCTTAGAACTGATGCCTGAAAGTAATTCTAGCCATCTGGAACCTTTCAGAAAAACTTTTTGGCAGAAGCAGTGCCCAACTCTATTGTACCAGTAACATCCTTTGCACCTCTTATGATAGGGTTCATTGTGATTTAAAAACTGTAGAAACAAGGTATAAGTTGTTGAGACACCTCCGTCAGAGGAGTAGGAGATTTAAATTGAACGGACTGATACACCTTCCCAAAAAGTAGGTGGACCGAAAACATCAAGGTTAAGTATAGAATGCGCAATAAAACTAATCCTTCACTATCCAAGGTAGCGATACATTTTGCATTGAGTATATTATCAATGGTTTGGAGCAGATAAACTAAACAAATAACTATACTGCTCATAGAAAGATACATGATGTAGAGCTCAAAAGATGCAGTTGGATAAGAGAAGGGTTTACTCACTGTAAGGGTTAGTATCTAACTCCCATAGCAAAATGCCTTTGTTGAGATAAACTTTATGCCTTTTCTTTTTCACAAAAAAACTATTTAGTAGTACGACCTCATCAAGATCACTGCAGATGTCAGTGATAATAGTCATGTTTTAAATGCATTCACGCGTTTGCACACATTCTGATAAAAAAAACTACTTATCTATCTAGATAAGTTTATTTATTTACAAATCGGTAGTATCACATTTTCCCTGAAGGAAGCAGCAGCGTACACGAGGAGCTGATTTAGCGGGTAATTCAAAATGCAGTATTAGAGAGGAGGGGAGAGACATAACGACGGTGTAAGTCGGCAATCACATAACTCGGTTTGCGACGCGACGTCGCAGACTTCCTGTCATACTTTATTTTTTAAATGGAAAACTACTCAGGGCCGGATTTAGGGGGTGGCCACATGGGCCGCGGCCCATGCATGGCGGCAAATTTAGAGGTCGGCATATCTTGCAATTTTTTTAAATGTTTGTACAAAATAAATTTGATTCAGAAAAAAAATTACCAACGAGAAAAGGCGACAGAATCTCTCATTTCCTGAAAGTTAAAGTGTAGTAATTTCTAATTTGTTCGTCTTTCGGTGATACAAGAGACAAGGCCTATCATTCGTCAGGTTGAGAGAGAAGTTCTCTCTCAGCTAGTATCGACCACAACAAGATGAGCCCTGCTCCCCGTTTACGGCCGTTCTTTCCCGGGCTCACACTCGGAAAACACTTGGGTGCTTTTGCCGGCAACGGAATTCCCCAGCGCACTACCACCGCGGACCAAATTACGAGGCCCAGCCTGTATTTTTGCGAGTGTGTGTGTGCGCCAGGTGTCCCTTTGACGAGCCGCGGAATGTTGCATCTGATCAATGAGTGCGAGAGAGATGGACGATACAAGGGCGGCTCGGCAAAGCCGAGTGGTCTCCCTTGACGTGCCGCATCTACGCAATGAGTGCGAGAGAGAGAGACGACAAAACAGCGTATCGACCAATCCAAGATGAGCCCTGCACCCCGTTTACGGCCGTTCTTTCCCGGGCTCACGCTCGGAAACCACTTGGGTGCTTTTGCCGGCAACGGAATTCCCCCGCGAACTACCACCGCGGACCAAATTACGAGGCCCAGCCTGTATTTTTGCGAGTGTGTGTGTGCGCCAGGTGTCCCTTTGACGAGCCGCGGAATGTTGCATCTGATCAATGAGTGCGAGAGAGATGGACGATACAAGGGCGGCTTGGCAAAGCCGAGTTGTCTCCCTTGTTGTGCCGCATCTAAGCAATGAGTGCGAGAGAGAGAGACGACAAAACAACGTATCCACCAATCCAAGATGAGCCCTACACCCCGTTTACGGCCGTTCTTTCCCGGGCTCACGCTCGGGAAGCACTCGGGTGCTTTTGCCGCCAACGGAATCCCCCAACGCACTACCACCGCGGACCAAATTACGAGGCCCACCCTGTATTTTTGCGAGTGTGTGTGTGCGCCAGATGTCCCTTTGACGAGCCGCGGAATGTTGTATCTGATCAATGAGTGCGAGAGAGATGGACGATACAAGGGCGGCATGGCAAAGCCGAGTGCTCTCCTTTGACGTGCCGCATCTACGGAATGAGTGCGAGAGAGAGAGACGACAAAACAGCGTATCCACCAATCCAAGATGAGCCCTGCTACCCGTTTACGGCCGTTCTTTCCCGGGCTCACGCTTGGAAAACACTTGAGTGCTTTTGCCGGCAACCGAATTCCCCAGCGCACTACCACCGCGGACAAAATTACGAGGCCCAGCCTGTATTTTTGCGAGTGTGTGTGTGCGCCAGGTGTCCCTTTGACGAGCCGCGGAATGTTGTATGTGATCAATGAGTGCGAGAGAGATGGACGATACAAGGGCGGCTTGGCAAAGCCGAGTGCTCTCCTTTGAAGTGCCGCATCTACGCAATGAGTGCGAGACAGAGACGACAAAACAGCGTATCCACCAATCCAAGATGAGCCCTGCTCCCCGTTTACGGCCGTTCTTTAGCGGGCTCACGCTCGGAAAGCACTTGGGTGCTTTTGCCGGCAACCGAATTCCTCCGCGCACTACCACCGCGGACCAAATTACGAGGCCCTGCCTGTATTTTTGCGAGTGTGTGTGTGCGCCAGGTGTCCCTTTGACGAGCCGCGGAATGTTGTATGTGATCAATGAGTGCGAGAGAGATGGACGATACAAGGGCGGCTTGGCAAAGCCGAGTGCTGTCCTTTGAAGTGCCGCATTTACGCAATGAGTGCGAGAGAGAGAGACGACAAAACAGCGTATCCACCAATCCAAGATGAGCCCTGCTCCCCGTTTACGGCCGTTCTTTCCCGGGCTCACACTCGGAAAACACTTGGGTGCTTTTGCCGGCAACGGAATTCCCCAGCGCACTACCACCGCGGACCAAATTACGAGGCCCAGCCTGTATTTTTGCGAGTGTGTGTGTGCGCCAGGTGTCCCTTTGACGAGCCGCGGAATGTTGCATCTGATCAATGAGTGCGAGAGAGATGGACCATACAAGGGCGTGTTGGCAAAGCCGAGTGGTCTCCTTTGACGTGCCGCATCTGCCCAATGAGTGCGAGAGAGAGAGACGACAAAACAGAGTATCGACCAATCCAAGATGAGCCCTGCTCCCCGTTTACAGCCGTTCTTTCCCGGGCTCACGCTCGGAAAACACTTGGGTGCTTTTGCCGGTAACCGAATTCCCCAGCGCACTACCACCGCGGACCAAAGTACGAGGCCCAGCCTGTATTTTTGCGAGTGTGTGTGTGCGCCAGGTGTCCCTTTGACGAGCCGCGGAATGTTGCATCTGATCAATGAGTGCGAGAGAGATGGACGATACAAGGGCGGCTTGGCAAAGCCGATTGCTGTCCTTTGAAGTGCCGCATTTACGCAATGAGTGCGAGAGAGAGACGACAAAACAGCGTATCCACCAATCCAAGATGAGCCCTGCTCCCCGTTTACGGCCGTTCTTTCCCGGGCTCACACTCGGAAAACACTTGGGTGCTTTTGCCGGCAACGGAATTCCCCAGCGCACTACCACCGCGGACCAAATTACGAGGCCCAGCCTGTATTTTTGCGAGTGTGTGTGTGCGCCAGGTGTCCCTTTGACGAGCCGCGGAATGTTGCATCAAATCAATGAGTGCGAGAGAGATGGACCATACAAGGGCGGGTTGGGAAAGCCGAGTGGTCTCCTTTGACGTGCCGCATCTGCCCAATGAGTGCGAGAGAGAGAGACGACAAAACAGAGTATCGACCAATCCAAGATGAGCCCTGCTCCCCGTTTACAGCCGTTCTTTCCCGGGCTCACGCTCGGAAAGCACTTGGGTGCTTTTGCCGGCAACGGAATTCCCCAGCGCACTACCACCGCGGACCAAATTACGAGGCCCAGCCTGTATTTTTGCGAGTGTGTGTGTGCGCCAGGTGTCCCTTTGACGAGCCGCGGAATGGTGCATCTTATCAATGAGTGCGAGAGAGACGGACGATACAAGGGCGGCTTGGCAAAGCCGAGTGGTCTCCTTTGACGTGCCGCGTCTGCCCAATGAGTGCGAGAGAGAGAGACGACAAAACAGCGTATCGCCCAATCCAAGATGAGCCCTGCTCCCCGTTTACGGCCGTTCTTTCCCGGGGTCACGCTCGGAAACATAGAGTACATACAGGGTGCAGCAAAAGTCCGTCCCACCCCTGCTAACTTTTGAACGAATTGAGCTCGGGTAATGAAACTTTGGGAATGGTCCTGTCTGAAAGGGGACCATCTTTTTGGGGGGGGGGTGTCAAAATTTTTGTCCCCCCTCAGGGGGGGCGCAGGGGGCCCCCACCTATTTTTTTAAAATTGCAACCCCTATCTTGTGATACCTCATTCGAAAGACCTTAAAAAACTAAGAATTTTGGCGCAAACCGCAGATGAATATCTTAATTTTTGACCGAGTTATGATATGTCAAATGTCAAATTTGACCTATTTTCAAAAAGTCATAACTCCGGTTCAAAATATCTTAAAGAAAAAAATTTACCAAATTGTGTCCGCTTTTAAGTAAAAATTGCAGAAATCACTTCGATTTAATTTAAAGGGGGGCTCGTACCCCCAACTACGTCAATTCAAAGGTCATTCAATTTTCCCGCGAAAGAAGCCAATTCCCCCTAGATTTGCCTCCACATTATCTCAGTAAGGTCAAAATCAGTTCAACATTACGTTGGCAAGTCCCCAAATTTCGGGAAAATTTTTAAAAAAACCAAATTTAAGGTGATGAAATTTGACCGTTTAAAGTTCGTTTTTTTTTAACTTTTCCCGAAATTTGGGGGCTCGCCAACGTATTGTTGAACTGATTTTGACCTTACTGAGATAATGTGGAGGCAAATCTAGGGGAAATTGGCTTATTTCGTGGGAAAATTGAATGACCTTTGAATTGACGTATTTGGGGGTACGAACCCCCCCTTAAAATTAAATCGAAGTGATTTCTGCAATTTTTACTTAAAAGTGGACAAAATTTGGTAAATTTTCCCGTTTTATTTTTTTCTTTACGATAATTTGAACCGGAGTTTTGATTTTTTAAAAATAGGTCAAATTTGACCTTTGACCTATCATAACTCGGTCAAAAATGTAGATATTGATCTGCGGTTTGCGCCAAAATTCTTAGTTTTTTAAGGTCTTTTGAATGAGGTATCACAAGATAGGGGTTGCCATTTGAAAAAAAAAAGTTGGGGGCCCCCTGCGCCCCCTCTGAGGGGGGGACCAAAATTTTGACCCCCCCCCCCCAAAAAAAAAAGATGGTCCCCTTTGAGATAGGAACATTCCCAAAGTTTCATTACCCCAGCTCAATGGACCACTAGATAAGGTACGAATTTCAGCATTCTGATACATGTTTCTTAACCAAAATTTTACGTAAAACACGATGCACACAACGAAAATTACCGAAATTAACTCCTTACGAAGATATTTAATGATTCTTAATGCGTGAATTCAAACCACCCGCTCATGAAAACACAATGCTCTACGTGATTCACATCGCGCGCTAAACGTTATCATGACAGTCTCTGCGATATAAAAATCTGGCAACCTTAATCTTGACGCTTTGGCTCAGTTATAGCAAATTGCTAATAGTTTGAACAACACATGATGGGAAATGAACATTGCTCGATTGAGAAGCTTGCTGAAACCGTTGTAGTGGGCGATT